CCTGTGACCATCGGTGGCAGGCATGAGACTGCCATTTCTTTCCTTACCAACCTCGAAGAAAAACTGGACGTTGCTCAAGTACAGCTTGAGGTATACAATGCCCTCTTACCTCATATGAATGATCCTGGTGAAGCCGGAGAGAAAATCAAGTATCTCAGCAAGACCTTGTTGACTATGTCCGAGGTATGTCCCGATGAAAGATTTCAGTCGTTGTTTTATTTATGTACATTTTTAGCTGTATCAAGTTTATGCGGAACCATTCGATCTACCGGTCATGAAGCTCTTGATCTTACATGTTTCTGATCATCACGATGAACATGTTGTCCGTCCCATATGGGATAGGATATTTGATGACGGTGTGTAAATCAGTCGTACGAAGGGTAGGCGCCTGTCTGACTTGCGTCCCGTTAAGCAATTGAGAAGGGTGCGGATGCACAAACCAATGCTGACCACATCATCGCAAGTGTTGTCCCACTAGGGAAACGATTTTACCCCTCCGAGAGTGCCTTCCCCTTGAGTGAGTCAGGCTGCACTTATTCTAGATCTTCTCAGCTCAAGATATAAATTCAGAGTACATTGCGTCGTTGTTGGTCAAGTTCGCTCTCAAAAACAGAACACAATTACCAAACGGTTGGACTCCTCGGGTGCTTGTTCAGTGCGGTGTTCCTTACGCGGATGTATGGGATGTACTCCATGAGATGTATGAATCACAGGTAATTAGTCCCATCTGTGAACTTCGCACAAGTGAAACTAATTCTGGCAACTCAGATACCGCCTTTCAACACACAAAGTGGCGTGCAAGTCGTCTCCGCTGATATTGCGATTCTTTTAAACGACTGGCTCGAGGAGGCAAAACGCCCTCAATCCTCAGTTCCCCGAGGAGAATTTCCTGTTGGCAGAATAGATCTCGCTGTTGGGCAGTATTTGGCGGAACTAGGTGCCAATCAGGCGGAGACGAAGGCAATTTATGAAGGAATCAAACGTCAGCTAAGAAGAAACTGGTAACACATGGGATGGCTTATGTATTACTCATCATACAATCCTACTACTTTCATAACACCTATGTCGGTAAATCAATTGACTTCTAGAATGACATCTTCCGCATACAGAAGTAAACGTTCGCTGATCTTTCGTGTCAACTTGTACGCCCCATATAACGCCCTGGATGTAATGGTCAAGCAAACATACAATATGTGTAAGGAACACCTGCCTCGCAATCCCAACAACTAGTAAAGCTAAGATTATCATCGCAGCTATGTCTGTTGAATTACTCCTCCGGCTTCTATTCCCTCTGAAACGAGCTATCCAATGGACCGGCCCAAGGAAAGGCAAGGACAGCAGCATGTGAACTATAGACCCTGCACCTATCATAGGGAGGCCGATAATGAACCTGCGCACAAACCGCGTCAACAATGATGGTGAAGATGGGAGCGGGGCCGGATTAGTCCTCGTTAGTCTTGGAACATTGTCCTCCAGAGGGAAAGCGTCTTGATCTCGGAGTATTCGTAATGCTGCACGGATGAGATCGTGGCCAACTTCAACCGGTGAAATGAAGAAGTAGTAAGATGATTCGTAGGGCGAATAATCCTCGAAGGAATTCATGAAATACGTTGTAACATAGGACGAACACATGACAAGTATGGTGAACAAAAAGGAAGATATCATGCCAACTACGACTGGAAGAGCGTCAGTATCATCTCGCTATACGGAGGGTTTCACTCACTCGGGTTGGTCGCCAACCCAATTGCTTTGGTCCGAGCAAAGAGATAGCGGTAATGACACTGTGGACAGCGATAGAAAGAGTTGTTGCTGAAAGACAAGCTCCTCCACCTTTTCAGGCAAGCTATATGGACATACTAGATACTCGTTCAACGATGTCAGTGTATCGAGATTCGAAATCATTCGAGGGAACCAGTGACTGACGCTAATGGAACCCCTACACAGACAAGGTCGAATAAGCCTTCCCAATGACTCGTCTTCACCATCGAAGCAGATACGACATTGTTTCTCCTGCTCGGGCACTGGTTCTTGGTCTGTTTTGTTCTCTGGCTCTGCCATGGCATCGAGGATAGTACCAGTGAAGCATTATACTAGTTTTGTGTAAATATTATGTCAAATATGGACATTCACCGGTCAATTTCTTGCCGAGCATTCGGCATCACAATTTGGCTCGCATGTGGAAGTTGCCGAATGAAGCATAGATTTTCCTAACTGAGTTCCACATGCGCTTGTCTACTTCCGGCCACAGAAGTCGACACTCGAACACAAAATTCTTATCGTAAATGCCATTCTCTCTCTAATTACGGGGTTGAAAGACAATTATTGAAGCAGAATAGTTGAAAGTGGTGAGTTCGTGCAGAAATGTCACTCTATGTAACATGGTCCTAGCTAGCATCCCCCTCGATTTTACCCTCGCCCTTAAGTAGACATAGTAAATATTAGTTGTTCCCTTGCGCCTGAACTTGCGCTGGCTCACCTTGAAACCGGCCTATGTGACACGTTGTGACATTTGCGTGATTGCCGACTTCTGTGGGGTGCCGATTCGGAAGGGATAGTCTTCTGGCGTGAAATGTCAGAGATTAGTGTCTCCTTTAGAATGCGCATCACGATGTACACCGCGTAATCTTTAAGTTCTTATCACAACTCTATCACAACTCTAGTTTATCAATGTTGTAATCCGTGCCAAGTCAGTTCGCTTCGGTGCTTGAATTTAATTTTCGTCGTGTTTCTTTACGTCTGGACGGTGGCAGTGGAAAAGATCCCGCAGCAAACAGCCAGGCAAATATTGTTATTCGGTGACTAGGTTGCTCGGGTTGACGTACTTCCTAGTATCATTTTAATCGGCAGATGGGCGTTATGGAATGAGCCCTTCGACTCGGAGAAATAAGTGGACTCCACTGGGGACTTGAACGCCGTCCCGACATCAAGCTTCACAGGGGTTAAGGGGTGCACCGCGTTTCAAAGGCGAGGGTTTCATTGCCTCAAAGTTCACACAACACTTTCAGGCAAGTGAAATGAGCCCATACACACCTAGTATCGCGCTTATTGCAATTATACTAGGCAATTAGACATTCGGCGCTATCAAGTAAATATCACTTTGTTGGGCGACGAAGTTTGGCTGATGCGTTCTTTTTTTATTGATATCGAATCCCCCATGCTGCACGTGTGTCTTCGCCCCCCCCTTCTGGCCTGTCGAAGAATAATAGGTAACTATACCGTCGAAATCGAAACCATGGCCGTTGCTACGTAGTACGGAAAGGCCTTGGAGCTGAATACCTCTCTCGACGCTGTATCATGATGAATTTCCGATGATACCGCTTGCCTCAGCCGATTTATGTAAATCCCTGCGTCGATAATCAGGCGACCTGATCAGGGACGCTGATTTGACGCGCGCGATCACTCATCCACATCCCGCAACTACAAACGTGGATTCTTCTGATACATTGACAACACGGGCAAACCTTCCATAGTACTGAATAACCGGCATTTTTGGTGAGCGAACATTATTTGCAAGTACTGACTCGGTGGATATTTACAACCCCGTCGGTGATAACCGAGAGTCTTCTAAGATGGTAAGTAGCAACTTAAACATACTTGCAGATCTGGACAGGAATTCCTTGTTGTTCAGCCTGATGCCAGTGTCGTACTATGATACTCGGTCCCAGTCAATAGTCTACAGACGTAAGTTGTTATCTGGTACATGAAAAATCGTCACTAGGACCCTTATGTGTTTTTTTTTCCAGGTACCTCGCATTAATTTCATCTCACTTCCAGTCAGGATGAATCTTAACTCGAAATCAGATCTCCACAAGGCTAAGCTCTTCCTTCCTGCCGTAGATCGTTATTATTTTAATGGTCAGGTCGTAGCTCACATTAATGTTACGTGCCCACCTTCGGGCTTTTACATCAATCAAGGACGGGTCATGCTTGAACGCACCTTGTGTCGAGCTAACCTATTCCTTCTTGATGAAGTCTACGACATGGATCTCGATCCTTATGTCTTGAAGGATATAACGGTAGGGGCGAGTGGTCCATCTCACCAAGATGGCTGCCAAGTACCCTGTCCCATCCAGCGACAAAATACTCGCTTTATCTTGCACGAATGTTGGCGTTGGTCCTGGTGGAACCACCGCAATGCTCGCGTTCGTCATGTCGATTCTTCATGGCCTGCTCGTCTATAACACTGACATTTCAGACGCGTCTCTATCGTAGATTACAAGGGACAAGTTATACTTGATACATACGTATCACCTACGATGCAAGTCAGCGACTACAGAACTGCAACCACCGGTATAGAATCTTCTCACCTCCTTTCTCGTGAGTTCAAGGGTGCAGTGTCATTTTTCTGGTATTCACGCTACCTGTCACATTAGCCGACACGCCTGCCTTCACCCAAGTTCAACAGCATGTTGCTGACCTTATCAAGGGCAAGGTACTTGTCGGCCACAGTTTGTGGAACGATCTCTCCGGCAAGCACAGCTTTTGTTCAATACCCCCGGCCGTCACTTATTGACGTCTTCCCCAGTTCTAGGAATTCCACATCCCGCAGTAGCTACTCGAGATGTTGCTCTATATCAGCCTTTTCGAAACGCGCTTCGGTCCCCTAATCAGGTGATCGGCCTCCAGACTCTTATGTGGCATTTGATGTGCCGTCGATGTCAAGATGGCCAGCTTCACCCAGTGAGTTCCTACAATCATGACAGTCCTGTACGAAGTGACATATACCCCCGTAGGTTGAGAATGCGCGCGCTGCACTCGACTTGTATCGGACTGTTTCGTCTGAATGGGAAGGGGCAATTGCCATTGGAAATTGGCCTTCATGCCTTCCTCCTAGCACATTCTCGCGTTGCTATCTCTGAACAATTTCCATGCCGATTACTATTCGTTACACCTACATGACATTCTTCCCGCAGGAGTATTTCGTATTTAGATGCTGTTAATCCTACTATACACTCGTCTTATGTCAATTCGTTTTATGCCAGTTCGCTAGTGGGCTTTATGATCTCTATGTATGGGTGCATTGACTTCGCCTCGGAGTTCCAAATAAATCTACAACGACTGGCTAAGTTACTCGGTACGTCACTGCACAACCCTCGACTCTTCTTTGCTTCAGCTTGGAAAGCTTCCTCTTCAATGCCTGCCATTTCCAATTCTCGACTCCCCTTCCATGAAAAATCTTTCCAGTTGGCCGTCTGAGTAACCTAGTAAAAGCCCGAGGGGATGGCCCTCCCGTAATGTCCCGTTGCGTTCGCCATAATTGCTTCTGCAAGTAAAGTGTTCGCTCAGATTCGAGCATGACCGCGGCGATATCAAGACGTCCTTCTTTGATGGAGAGACTAGCGATCCGCCGCCTGACAACGCTGGATTCTGTGCGCGGGCCCCACCGCGTGCGAAAGGTTTTGAGGCACTTCATAGCGACAGTCCCGCACCGCTTGCAAGACCGGAGACTTGCAAGGGTTAAAAATAGAGTTTTTGACGATGGTCGGATCCCAGGATGAGCCGAAAGTAAATGGGAGATGACACGACGTTGGGCAAAATGTCGAGCGAGTCCTGATTTCTCAGTTACGGCCCTGATGTGTAGGTGAATGATATCCAACACTGCGTGTTGCTGTCTGCGGTTGAGTCTCCTGGGGAGCGTTTGGAAGTACAACGAAGTAGATTCGAGCGCCTTGACGCGGTTTCCCAACTGAATCATGGCCTCCGCGATGAAAAAGACGGCCCTTGGTGGCAGCTGAGAATATTCGGGCGAGGCAACAAGTGGAAACATGTTCATAAGAGAACGATAGCGGGCAACCTGCATTGGGCCAGAGACCGTGGATGGTCGCAAGACCACGTGTCTGAAGTTCGCAGACTTCCATCCAGGTTCACCTCGCTGTTGCGGAATTTTAACCCACCGTCGCAGAGCACCGCGTTTCAGAGAACCAAAAAACTCCATCCACAAAGGTAATGGTAGTCCGCCCTGATGCCCAGATCGTAAGCCCAATTCTTCTGGCCACTGCTCTCTTCTCATAATACGTTCAACACGCCCCAAAGCCTCGTCCCATCTTCCAGTCCGTACCAACCACCTGACAGTTAATTTCCACGTTTCGAGATTTGGGCGGACCGACTCGGCTTTCATGGCATTGAGAAGACGCGCCGCAGTACCAAAAGCCGCTTGTCTCAACGCAAGAGAAACCAAGAAATTGAAGGAACGAGTTGAACGAAGGAGACGCGTGTTCCGAGGGTTTGAGAAATGATAGTTGACGAGTGCAGTGAGTGATGCGTGCGAGTAATTATGCATGTCCAGAAGATTTTGATAGAACATCTCACAAGAGGTGGGAGTCGGTAGGTGAGGTATCGGCGCGGCGGTGAGGGAGTGGGTACTGACGAAGGTAGCGGGTTCAGAGGGAGGATTTGGAATATACACTGGCTCTGCACGACCTGGATCCTTCCACAAAGCCTCCCTTACAGAGATGGAATTGGGATCTATGGGTATGACATACTGACCTCGACGTGGTGTCTGAGGTTGCCGCAGGAACAATTCGTCAGAACGCGATTTTCTAGACATCCCAGCAGGCCTCTTGTCGGGCAGAAGAGAGCCATGGTATTCGGCATGTCGTGTCCAAGCACGAGCTGCAGCTGACTGCAAAATTGCAGAGAATGAAGACGTGGCGTCTGGCGGAATATATGAACATTTAAGCAGGTGGGATGCATGATGAAGCATGCATGAGCTCGCAACTACACACTGGTCAATATCGTTTCCGACTCTTACACATTTTTTCCGACTTACTTGCAAGGCAAGCTTTGGGAGACTGGCACTTGCAGTCTTCTTCTACCTTGAACAATATTTCTGATTCCGGATGCTGATCTGAGGCTTGATGGACAAGGTTCTAAACCAAATAGTAACAAATGCTCTCCCGTTACTAATAGAACCATTCGAAGTATCACTTCAAGACTTCCAAGGTCTGCACGAGTCTCGCGTTTACATTTCAAGGCCAAGGTCAGCCTGGAATGTTCGTTACTACTATTCCAGAAAAACGCTGCATTTCTGACGATTCATACTTCCGTCGCGCATGTGCATTTCATAGAAGCATCAATTCAGTGCGATCAAGTTGAAAGCTTACATCGAGCTTATATACTATTTTCACAGCAGGGTTGGTCCACTCTATCGTAGACCATGTTCCTAGAATGATGATGCAGGGCCCAAATTTACTCTGCAGGGACAGTGGGTGTCACAGTCTTGCTAGAAAAAATCCCCGCATTTCCTTGTCAAGCTTCTTATCACTTGAACCGGGGACACCCCAGAGATGACGATCAAGGAAGGAAACTGGGGCAACAGCGTGTGTCGATCGAGCCCACGCACTAGAAGACTAGCAGCAAGGTCGGTGTTCTCTCGAGCCCAACCGACATTGGTGCCATAGGTCATGAGCATCGTGTCATCAAAACGCTAACGCTGAAATTTTATTTCAGCCGGCGATCTGTTACTTCTGATCATGCAGTGCTTTCCAACTCGGAAATAGATTTCCCGCAGCGTTTAGAACGTGGTTATAAAGTCCTCGTGCAGCCGTCAAACGTCAGTGTTTTTCAAGTCCGCATGTCAAAAACACCAGTGATATCTAGAAGGGGGGTAGGCCCTAGATTCAAATGGTGCTCAAAACATGTTCAAAATGCCTAAATGAGCTTTTCAAACTCATGTTGTAACCGTTGCTTACATCTCATCACTGACAATATCTAAATACAATTGGTCTGCAGGTTTGGAAAGCATTTCTAGATTGCAAGACGACACTCCGACTTTTAAGGTTTAAATCAACATCTGCTGCGGAAAGTCATCCACTGACCGAACCGAAGTATCTAGATTCTAAACTCCAGAGATTCGGGTGTTTGGAAATCGCCGGAACTGTGAGGCGTCTCAAGGAAAAGACATGCTATGGTATGAAGAATTTGAAACAGGTATGCACTTTCCATATAGTTATACAAACTGCGAGCATAAGAATCGATCATGACTAAATACGTGACGAGCGATGAGATGTGCTGCCAGAAAAAAAACCTATGAACTATCAGTAAACTATAATCCAATGACTCCGCTCAGGATCGAACAGGAAAAATGAATTCCATTATCAGAGTTCCTCTTCCATTAGGTGTAGAACATTCCTACCCACCAGCCAGCCGACTTTGCCCACCCACTGATCTCGCACCTTTCGCATGTCCTGCCATCCCTCCGGACCTTTCGCCTCGGCAAACTCATCCAAACCCTTTTCCCAACTTCTGACGGTGTCCACTCCGAACATCCCCCCTTGTTGATTCACGACCTCATCTATCCGATCTATCCAGGCTCGCCATTCCTGAATCAGTCGGGGCAGTAACAGAGGGGCGAGAGATGATTGTGTCAGGGACGGCTGAGAAAGGATATGGTTGCTGAGGGCCGAAAGAAACAGAAAAGTCTCTGACGGATGAGACCTATCTTTATGTTGCAGCTGAAGGGCTGCAGAGAGTGACTGTGACGAAGCGCCAGAACCAACGTGCAACGGTAATGAAGGTGATGCATACGAAAAATATGGCACATATGACATGGAGGCGGACACGAACTCGTGTATAGCCGGTCGCAGACGTGATAGGATGTATGATTCTCGCATGCCACCATCAGGTGGGCTTGCTGAGCTCTGCTGGCCGAAACGTGTGAAGCCAGACGGCAGGCTGCTGACGGATGTTCTATAGTTTGTGATCCCGGATCCAAAACCAAAAGAAGTCGTCGATGATGGTCCTGGCGCAAATGAAGAATTGGAATAGGGATATGCTTCCCGAAGTTTTCGAGCTGATTGCTCCAGAGCTTGTATAGCTGTATCCAGCGTTGGACGGGGTATCAGAGGTAGTATAAGAGATTTAAGTGATGGCTGAGCACTAAGCATGGAATTAAGCAGAGGAAGTAGTGATTGTGGTGGTAAACTCGCTAATTAAAGCAGGTTAGATTCACCAGGACATGATCAGCAACTAAAACAGCATACCAAGGAGAACGCCGACGTCAACGTCATTATCTGAACCCACTGAATTGTTTTCTTTTCCGCCTTTTTCATCTTTTGAGTTGCTAGCGGAGGTGATCTTTGCTCGCTTAGGTGCCGCACGCTTAGGGCGTTCTGGCGTTGGACTTCGGTCCATAGCTACGTCCCGGGCGCCATGTCGACTGGAACTTTCTGTTTCATCGTCGAATTCATGTCTCCTTTTCTGTGAGCGATGCGCAGAAGTAGGCAGGTTCATGCTAGAGGCTAATTGCTGGAAAGCAGCAGGTTGCGTATGTCCCATGGTCATTGTAGACTGCCAACTAGCTCCGGAGTTTACTGAAAGGCCAAAACCAAAACCCAAGCAGGACGGTGGATGAGTGGCTGGGTTGTGCAAGAAATCGAGCGGGGGATGGACAAGATTTGCCATGGTTTTGTTGTTGTTGAAAGAATGGTAGAGGATACAAGTCCTTCGAGCCACAATGCAGCCACGCGCGAATGCAAGCGATCACTTTGACCAGCCCTTAACAAACTGCACGTGACATTTATATTAAAGCGCCTGCTTTTTTTTCTGGAGACTTTCTTTTGTTCTCTCCCTCCTTACAATCATTTCAATCAAGGTAAGCACTAACTTCTTGAGCCTCATCTCGTGGTGACGATACAAACGAATCGCTACTTCGAAGCTCATAGAGCTAATGAATTTTTTCGTATATACCCAAATTTCTGAGCCTTGTCTATGATGCTCAGTTTATTTGCATTGTAATGCTCACCAATCTTTTGCAGTTCACCGATCTTACAACAACGTTCGTAATTATTGATGAGCCGTGAGTATCATAACCATCCCCCTTCTCGAATGATCGAACAAAATAGAAGTCAAGCCCTGACCTTGTCTAAAGGACGAGTGTTGATGAGCATCCATGCTAATACTGACTTTACGATGTTATCCCTGCAATCATTCGATGCTGATTCTTTCTTTCAGGCCGTCAATTATTGTCCATTTCTGATACATGGCAGGCACGATCAGTAGTCGTAGACATTAATTTATTTGCAATCCAAATGATTTTGTATCACATCCACTTCGAAGATATAATGAAGTTGTTGTATCTATCGTAAGCTCCAAAAAGTTTTAGTGTTCAGTAAATAAGTATGAATCATGCTATGTCGATGTCCACAAAGAGTTAGCCAACCACATCGCTCCCATCCACATCATTAGCTTGGCTTTTACTCCGGGTCTCCAACCCGATCCTTTATACCACACCTTGTAGCCTGGGGAACGCTGTGGCGATGCGCCATCAGCTAATCTATCCACCCATCGTCTTGTGGGTCGCACGGGTGAATCGGGTTTTATGGGATGACTGTCGCCATCCTTACTCGTGTGGATGTCGGTGGTGAGGGGAACAGATTCTGCACTGGAACCTGATGATGTCGTGTGGCGGGTGACGTTGCGAGTTGAAGTGGGAAGTGAAGTTTCCTTGTTTCCGCATATCCACGTTGTAAGCTCTCCTGTGGCATGGGCAACATGATCGGAGATGTAGATGAACATAATTGTGGAGATGACGAAGTTTATTGGGCGCCAGCGTGTTCCAGGGAGAAGGACAAGAACACCCTTCGTGTCACCCGCGAGCCACAGGTGATACTGGATAATGAACGCCTCCAAAGAACATCTGCCGATAAAAGCGAAAGCCCGAGAGCTGCATGAACGAAGGGAGGAACTTGCGTTCCTGAGAATGATGAATGCTACAATGGGCAAGAATGATATATATCGATGCCATGCGTTATAGGTGAACTTGCTTTCCTGCATAAGTTCAAACGCGAAGAACCACAACAGGATAAAAATAGAAGTCCCAACAGCCGCTTTCACCGCCATGGGCCAAAGGTGATGGTCGGTGAGTCGATATGCTTGGATCTTTATTACAGCAATTGCCAGAAGCATCCCGAAATACACGACCCATAGGTCAAGAGTTACCCGGAAACTCCATTCACGGGCAGACCAATGGATGCTGAATATCCGCTCCAGGAACGTGAATACGGCATCCAGCATCCACGTCTCAGTCATGAACCATGTGAGCATGCCCATCGAGATCGCAATCTTCGATAAGAGAAATGGCATGCGATCGTTATATTGCGAGCCTATCGCCATCGTCCCGTACACGATGAGATACCACATCGATACGAGGGGAGGGAAATAGTACGAAAGGTAATTGACGTCCATGGTGTATACCAGGATTACCACTAGAAGATTTAGACGAACCAATACCTACGATCAATTCGATGTTATTGAATGGCGCCGTTACAAGGCATGCTCAGATTTGACGCTCACCTGAGCAATACGCAGGAAGCCAAAGTCGGCTTTCTTGATATAAAAGGTCGTGTGACCATAACCAGTCATGAACAAATATGCCGCGACTAGCACGCGAATAGGATTGTAAATTCCAGAAATCTTCGATGCCCCCAAGTAATGATATATAAGGATTGCGACTGGGACAAGAGTGAGAATATATGAACATTAATGTCGTGGTGACAAACCTTGCATCCAGCCCTTCCATTCATCTGTTTGATCGCGGTTTAGGAAACCCATATCTTTTTCGGCACGCCTCACCGTTGCCAGGCCCGCCGCGAGAGGACATAGCACGAGAAACCCAAAAGTCCACGGGTTGAATTGTTTTTGTTCTTTCAGCCAGAAGCCAGTTCGATCAGCGATAAACATCAGGCCTATGGAAAAACCAAAGATAACAGCTGGCCTATATTCGCCTGCGAAGGAGATACCTTTGGTCGGATTTCGAGTGTCTGAATAATGATCAGGTGTATGTTTCCCAAGAAAAAAACATGCTTACACGCAAGGTACCACACGATTGGTCCGTACACCACAACAGCTATTATGATAGCAAGTTGCAAGAACGACGGCAACGGATAAGCACGGCAACATGTCTTGTCAAAAGGGGACGTCTTTGGCCACAAATTATTGCAGCGCAAATTAAGGAGGATATTGGCATGTGCTTTCACGATGTCGTCCGAGAAATGGAGTCCATCTTGTGTGCTGGCGTCGTCAAGCATCTTATTGAAAACAAGCGGTAAAGAAACGGGTAAAGCCGTGGGAGAGCTCGAGAATATGGAATAGATAGCAGGTGGTGGTGGATTAATGCGATGGTGGAGGTCCGAGTTCATTGCATCTACATCTGAGGAGTGCATGGTTTCGGCACGTTCGGGAGAGAGTTTTGAAGATACGATATCCTCCACAGGGAGAATCACCACCTCATCTGCCGGCTTCCTCTGTGCTGCAGAGACAGATTCCAAAAGACTCTCTATATTCGCTTCCCAGGCAGGGAGGCCACCTGTAGTGGCATAACGCAAGTACCATAGGCCCGAGCCTAGGACAAGCATAGCAGGACGGTCATCGACGCCAAGAGAAGGCAGGTGACCATGAACGAGAGAAAGAGTGCTTGATGTATTCAAATACGGATCCCAGAAAAAATCCAGTGTTGTTACCGAATCTGAAGTGAACGAATAGTTCGAATGCTTGTGGTCGTCATCAGGAGGAGTGTTTGGGAGCTTCGGATCGACAATACGCATGAAATGAAAATATAACGAGCGCGTTACGGAGTCACCAACAAAAACGACGCGTTTAGAAGCAAGGCAAGGCGCGGTATCCTTTGATTGGTATGCGTGTAGCATACAACCTGATTATTGGTTCAAGGGTGAGCACGGCAATGGAAGCCTGAGCAACAGACAACATACCCTCGGGTTGCCAGTTGCGGTGGTTCTCATCCAACCAGGTGCCTCTAGTAAGCAAGGAATTGCAATGCAGTGGATCTGCTCGGCCTGCAAGCGAGCCCGTTAGGCGCAAAGCCGAAATGTGCGAGGGATGAATGCACTAACCAGAAATGATATAATGTAGTATCCCTGCCAATATGGCAAATACTCCGATAGACAATGCTAGATAGTGGTGAAATGAGGGGTTGAGCGAGAACAGTCTTTTAGACGAAGACATGAGAGGATGGTGAGAGTCTGCTGCGTGTGGCGGTACAGTGATGTTGTTATTCTTCAGCGCTTGGAGCCAAGAGTAGGATGATTAATTATACTGGCAAAGTTTTTAACCCCAACGTAAGCCTTGGGGGAGACTTCGAACAGTTTGTGATCATCACTTGTGTCGATGAATTGCAGAACGCCGCGGCAAACCCGATGCTTGACTGACTTACTCCATTTGAAACGCATTGTACGTATAGGTAGTATTAGGTATACGTTGCCCTGTTCCCCTCGCGAAATGATTGTTATTAATTGTCACATTTGTGAATACATGATACAATGTGCAATATCCAGGTGCTCATAGTCATCACTGGGGAGTGGGCCAAATTATCAGCGTAGTCTTATTGTCCATTGGTCATAAAGTGATGATGCAGTGCACGAAGTTAATGTCCTAGTATGAGATCGGAAGGTGTACATTTAAATACTCGACCCGCCAGTGGTCGTAGTAGTGCTAAAGCCTATCCAATTCAAATCACCAATTAATCGAACAATGACTTATAGTAGAAAGTACACACCTGTACCTTGACAATGATTGTTAGAAGCGGTAGGTATACATGACAGGTACCTGCAGCCCGAGCACGCTAAGGAACCATCAGCCATTATGTCTTCGTGATCACAACAAACACGAACCTGCATATGGATCTGAAGTATAGAAGTTCCGAATCAGGACAACGAAAAGGACGATTGCCAATGGTATGGCCGCCAGCCGGAAAGCCCACATGATGAGCTTATGGCGTTTCGTTGGACTGATTACGGGGTACAGGGTTGTGCCAACGAGAAGACCCATGCACAAGCCTCCCAGGTGAGCTGAAATGCTTTATGAGTTGAGTTGAGGGGCGAGGGAAACATTCACTTGCCAAAGTTATCCACATCTATCGAGAAAAAGTTAGCAATGGTATTCAAGACTAGATGAGTATACACGTACAAGGTATATACCCAAGAGCAATACCGAATAGCAGTTCCACTGTCATGATGGCGAGCTACGGAAAAACATAAGAACGAAATAAGCACGAAGCTGACAGTCATCACCTTTCTACCAGGTCGGTATTGATATTGCCAGTGAGCAAAAAGATCCACCCATGTAACCTAAGTTGCGAGGTGATCGAAAGGTAAAAGGTGTAAACAGGTTCTGAAGCTTACCGCGACTGTACCAAAGATGGCACCACTGGCGCCTAGTGAAGGTGCGCCGACCAGTGAAAAATTACCGCCCAACACGTTACTACATCATACGTCGGTGTGCATAAGAATAAAGTAAGAAGGATTTACCCAAAGATCCCAGCCGCGAAATAAGTTATAAAAAAACCAGCGGAACCCATTTCACGCTCTATCTGGAGGGGCATAAGAGCAAGTAATTGAATTAGAAAGACCACCAACTTGAGCGGATATTGTCAGCTGGGCGAGCATGTTGAGGATGATATGGATGAATCCCGCATGCAGGAACACGGCAGTGATGAATCTGAATCACGAAATTTTGACCCTGAACTACTGCGACCACAGCTTGCTTACCTGAACCACTGATTGGGCTCACCGCCATGGAAGCCACCAAAACCACATACGTCCTCGATCGAACAAAGCCGATCTGGCGGGTTTGCGGTATCATTGAGACCTAGTCGTCAAGATGGATCAGTAAGGGACGTTAGGATGTAGGACAAGCTTATCTTACAAGCCATTTGAGTGGTTAAAGGGAGTCCTTGAACAACTTTCATGCATGGTGGGAAACGAGCACCTAAATTGATCAATGCACTTTCTGACGGCCCAAGCATGGGGTTTACGACTGGCTGAGCGGGGGTCAGTAATAAATATGGTGTTCACGGACTATTCACAAACCTTGAAGGATACCGGGGTACCTTGTGCTCTGCTGTTCACCACTAGCTCATTGATGAAAACGCCAATCATGATAATTGTCAGGGCCCATACTAGGACGATAAATGCCTCGCTGATGGGATGATAGTCGTGTGCTCACCAATTACAGGATACTTTTGCCGCCCGATGCCCCGCTTCTTGTCCTCGATCCGCTGATCCATAGGGTACTTCCCCGTGTTCATCCCAAGAGCCTTCTGAAACGGAGATGCGCGGTCTCCGGCAAGCTTTGAGTTCTCATCCAATGGTTCTGCGTATTCTAGGAAGTTCAGGCTATTGTTACAATACCAAGGTCGCAAGACACACCCAAGTCCTGATAGCTGTCTGAGCGTCCCATACCTGCAGCATTATGCATCAGGTGGTCGTCTGATTGGCCGACGACAGACGATGGACGTGTTGAATAGGAGTCTTCGTCCTTATATGGGACACTCAACTCGCCGAAAACTGGTGTATGTCTTTCGGACAACGACGGTGTAGGTTGCCGACTTGGTAGGGGAGGCGACTTTGCACGTCGATAATTGAAGATGAGAGATTGCGCTTCTGTTTGACCAGCACCACGCAAGAACGATGAAGGGTCCAGTGCAGGAATGCCGCTCGTAGTCGTTGCGAAAGTCGTGGTATCGTCTTGTATTATTCCATCTAAACCGTCAAAGGGTTTTTCTCGACTGTCATCTCCAAAAGGATCCGTATGGAATTTCGATCCAGCTGGATGGTTTGTATCAAAATGTGCCATGACTTCCAGAAGCACAGCGAGAGGAAATTCAAGTGAAGGTGGTGGTATAGGAAAGAAATTATATATGTGTGTGGATTGCCAAGCTGCAAGCCATAGGTTTCAGGACACAATTCAAACCCCATCACGTCACGAACACAGCCCCACCACTAACGGCGGTCTCCGCAGTCAAATCCTGTACTGGCCAGTCGACATCAACGAGGTACAATTCACACTGCACAGTCGCTCTCGATGCCAAAATGTATTACATACTGTGAACAGTAACAGATCTGCGCGCTGAATTGAAAGATCATATTTGAATTGTATACAACTGCCTGTTGTCAAGCTTCCTCCAATGACCACCGTCAAATTACCTCAATCGATTGGAAGTCCCTTGCTTTCATGCCATCTTTTCAGGAGTGTGTTACTGGGCATACCGAAAGGGTCCAGAACTTTCTTAGCGACCTCAACCCCAGCAACAGGAAGATTAGAGGGGTCCAACAGTCCAAGCTGCACAAGAATCCCGGCCTGGTCCCAGTACCTGAAAGGGTGAGCCATATAGGCTACAAATCTGTGTCTCGAAGGAATACCCACAGATGTCTAGTATGCAGCGTTAAGGATAGCACCTTTAGACTTTAAGAGTGACTGCATCCACTCACTCAAAGAAAAGTTTATCGCCTCTAAAGGCAACTATCCCCACCATAGCGATCTCAATGTGTTTCCCTGTCGGAGCTATTCCAGGCAGAAAACTGTCGTTGGGTCGACTTCATGACACGAGGAGAAAATTCCTTTGAAACGTACTAGTCTATTTCCTAAGAAGCAAATCTAGCTCACTCATAGGACATCAGTGGATCGCAACGTACAGATGTGTGGTGGCACTTGAAAATCATCTCATCAACAATCCTATCGCAACCAACTGAACAAGATTTAGTGGGTCAAGTCTTGAACTGAGCCATATATGCCTCACCAGTCCGAGAGACAGTAATGAGCTCAAAGTCTTGCGGTGTTACCTGTCACACGTCGTAAAAGCGTAAAATGTACGGGGCAATATTACCCCTTACAGTTGTGAAATGATACTAAGAGACGAGTAAGTGAACGCTGAGTTGGAATGTTGTGGCCCACTAACCTTGTAAAATCTCGCCAGGTCATCATACCCGACGCCTCCGGTCATCGTTGCAACATGATTGACGTATGGTGTGGCAACCTGTATCAATGTATCACTACCTGCTAATTCATCATTTGGAGTGGAGATGAACCATTGTAGACATCGTCTCTGTCGATGGAATGAATTAGCTTCCCTGCTTTGAATGCGATGGTATTAATGGTATGTTGACGTACTAGGTGCATCTCTTTCAATAAATTCCTGCCCAATAAAACGTGTAAGTGACTTCTTTAGCGCCATATTGTTCATGTACATAATAAGTGTGCTTCTCCCAGAGCCTCTCGAGGTTGAAATGAGGGCCAAGATGGGCCTTCAACAATTCGAGGGTCCGAGTAAGCGATAGGCTGGAAGCCGAGCGAAGATAGGGGTCGACCGATTGTTTATCGTTAACATTCACACTGACGGGAGGTTGTATCGAGAAGGGAAACGGTGGGAATTTTGACACTAGAGGGTATGAATACACCCGCACCGGTAATCGAGAGTGAGTCGGGAGAGAATAACCAAGATTAGCCGGATCCTCGAAAAGTAACAGGGAGGCATGGAGCACTTCTTGGGAAGAAGCGAGGTGAAAAGTAACTCTTGAAATGGACGGCAGTTATAAGTTAATTTAACCCTCGAGGCAATAGTCGACTTACGGGATGTGTCTCCTCTGGCTGTCCTTCATCAAAAAACCATGGGTAACCTCAGCATCTGGGCAAAAGTGAGCGCAAGCCTTCAGATCTGCAAGCGAGAGAGCGAGTTTCGATACAAGGGTCTCCGCATCCTCTGTGGTCAAACCGTATGTCAACAGTCCCCAGTCAGCTCCCAGCGTAATGATTTTGTCATCGACGACTTTCATCGCATCCTTGAAAGAAGAATTTGGGGGAAGAGGGTACGTCAAATGTACCACATTGTATCCTTCCTGTGCGAACTGAAAAGTGATGGCACCGAATGCTTGAGACCGAGTTGGCCAAAAACAATCTCCGATAACACACCTGCTGGCACCAACTAGTCTGATCTTGGGGAAGTAGCATCAATAGAGTCGCAGGTTTCACCACGGAAGCCACGCTATTGAAGAACACTTCTATCTGCGTCATCTTGTGGTTATGGTGGGGCTTTATCAGAAGGGACGACTGTCTTCCTTCGTCTATAAAGGTCTGGTTGGGGAGACTATGCCACTATTGGGCGGGATCAAGCCCCTTGACATCGTTGACCAGACAAATGGAGATAAGTAGGTGGTTCCGAAGTTCATATTCAAATATTGGTCTCCCTTATCGTCCACTTCCATGGTCGACAGATTGTTGAAACGGTAACACAATATGGATGCGTAATATACGAAAGTCCAATACTAGTGCAATATCAAGGTAAAGCAATGTCAGATCGATGAACAGATGAGCCCGACGATTCATAAGGAAATTGGTATGACAGGGTCCCCAATGAGACTGAGACGCCCTCTACTACGGGCTGATGGTCTCTTGGTAAGTGGGGTGCCGTGCAATACGGTATGGGGAACATCAGTGTTGATGCACAAGTCATCTATGCCATCGGATAATGGTGTGGATGGGTAGGTCTCTTCGTACTCTTCTCCATGCACGGGCAGTTGGAATGTCTGCGGTTTAGTCCTGAACCTGTCGACCCACTGCAGCGTTTCGAAATCGACATTTCGTACCCTTCGACTGCGACATCTCCACTTCATTGCCCCTCCATCGAGAGTGCTTGCTTGGCTGGTGTTCCGAGCATGGCCTGCGGTTCGCGCACCTACTCGTTCACCCCATCCGTTGACCACTCGTTTTTCGGGCGTCGCAGAAAGTACACGAGGATCTGATGGAAGGAAAAGAGGCAGCATATGACGAGAATCTAGAAGCTCCCCTAGAACTTGGGGTGCTTTGGCTGGCTCCCATTCAGATTGTGAGTGCGAACGATCAAACAAGTTGTCGATGCTATGCTGGGCGGCGAATGTTTCTGAAGATGCGTTGAGGCTTGCATTAGCTTCGCTCGCCATGCTATCTTCAAGCTCACGTTCCCGCTCGCGCTCGCCCATCTGGTGGGTGTGTTAGTTTCGCTCGGCAAGATAGCAATCAGGGTAATTACCTCCTTGCGCAGGGCCTCAACACCCATCTTAACACGATGGCGTTCCCAGTCCTTTTGGAGCTGCGTCAAATACTGGATGCACTCGTCTGTCATCCTCCCCTCATTAACTTCATATTTGTAATCTCGCACAGCACGTCGCATCTGTGTTTGAACGGTAAGCATAAAACCGTGATGTCTAAAAAAATGACTTGCTTGTAATGGGTTAATGCTCTTCATTGTCTGTATGGTAGCCACCAGATTGGAAAAATCCGTAATCGATGACAGACACTGTAATCGCGTCATTGAGCGGGCGGCAGCGTAAATTCGAGTATTGATACCTCACCTGAAGCCAATTCAGTAAATCCCGTACAGGTGTAAGATGGGATGCAATTCCACGAGGTAGGCCCATATCCTCTACCCACTCTTCCAACACAACCAGATTCATGCCGATCTGTACCGCTTTAGACCTATGCTCGGTACGTGTGAGTACTAACAGACTGTCTTTGCAACAAATACATACCGGCAGAGATACTTTTTCCTGGTCAGAATTCGATTGAATATTTCACCTGACGTTGCGAGTCAATTATAAGCGAGCAAGAATGGAAACTACACTCACACGAAGTCCAGTACATCACTTGAGACCAGAATTGAATCATTAGCACAGGATTGACGTCCGATAGGGTTAAAAGTGTATGTAGTGCCGTCAAGAATGAAGTCAGATCCCGCAATCCTGTAGTTTGCAGGACGTCAGAATGCGTGTTGAACGCTGTCGAAGGTGTTTTTGCGCGCGAAAGAGTTTGTCTCAACGATGACAATCCTTTAGCTGAGACAGGCGCGGGGCCGAGTAACAAGGGAGACGGAGATGGTGGACGACTCGGTAGAAAGGAGACGGAGATGGTGGACGACTCGGTAGAAAAGGAGGCGAAGATGGTGTGCCATTCTTGGGTGTTCCATGATTTGGAGTATTTGAGGTACTCTTCTTTTTGGCGCTAAACGGTCTCAAAAATGACCACTCTGATTGGAACTGCACGGATTCAAATTCCGACGCCACGGGCGAACTGTCCAGTATCGCTGCGTCCAGTAATTGATCTATCTGACGCTCGGCGTAACGAATGATGAATACTTCAGATGACGTCAGGAATAAAAATACGACTAGAAGAAACCGAATGAAGCTCACCAAACACAGAGTTGATCACTTGCTCGAGAAGTTCGAACGAGCCTAGCATTTCACAACCCTCGTTTATAGCGTTGTCGCATTGCATGAGGTGCAACCATATGGTGGCGTTGTATAAACAAAATACAAGACAAGTGATATCTTCTGAACGGCTCTACGTGATTGGATTAGCTGTGAGAGCATAAAAGTAAAAGTATGCACACAAAGAACTTCTCTTCGATTGCATCTGTCGCTCCTAGTACAAGATCTTCAAGCCACGTTTGATCGCATGTTAAGCACGCAAAACGCGCCATAAGGTACAAAGTAATGGCAGGTTGAGAATTCCGAACAGAAGTATGGGAGGTCGTGATGACTGCATCGAAAATATGTGAAAGCTCTTGTGGTGACCATGCGAGCATAGATGTAAAGTCTAGTTTCGGAGTCTCCATAACAAGATAAGGCAACCGCAAGTGGAATTTCAAGGAGGATATGTGACTCACATACAGTTCTTCGTCAAATCGATCATCCTCGTCATCCGAAGAGAAGCCTTCATCTTCCTCATGGGAACTCCACCATTGATTCTGTAGGCCAAGCACTTTTGAGACATTCTCGCGTACGCTTTTCTGTCTTCCTTTACGTTTAAGCTGCTCGTCCAACGCTCTACGCTTCTCCTCCATCCTGCCTCCCATCCACCCTTGGCTCCGCATTGCTTCTTCGAGTAACAGCGCAATGTCATCACGCCCGGGCAGAACAGTATGAGCAGTAACTATATCGAGCGGTGTCAGCCGTCGACGTGTCTCTGCAAAAGGGGAGCATCCATGCGTCATCAAATGGGAGACAAGAGTAGGGGGACAAAGAACTGCAGCGTGATGGAGAGCAGTCCAGCCAGCTAATAACGGAAATGTCAACAACTGGGTGAGATGGAACCGATGTACTCGCCTTTATCTGCACAGGCAGCATCAGTTCCTTGTGCAATCAGCAGCCGAACACATTCTTCACGTTCGACATCTCTCTCCGATTCAGACCCGAAACCTAGGATTGCAAGACTGATCAAGCTAAGCCCGTCTTCGTCGCGTGCGCCGAGGTCGATATAAGGTTGTAATTGATGGTCAGACAAAAGATACTGGAGAAGAGATAGATCCCCGAATACGCATGCTCGCGACAGTGAATGGGATACCAGTTCAGACTTTTGGGAGGGTGCTAAGCCCGAATCGGGTGACAGCAAGTGGGATATGAGACTTGAACTCGGATACAAAGGATGAAGATCGGGCTCCGGGGAGAAATCCAGTGGTCCAAGCGATACAGGGATCATTGTTATGGCAAAACGTTTGGGTCACTGATAACAGCGGAGCAGCAATAGCCGTTGCCAGTTACCGCGTCGACGACCAGACGGGACCTATCTTCTCCTCGTGAAGACCGCGAGACAAAAAATATTCCGTGACAATCGCCTGTACACAAAATGGTCTGCAGGGCCTCGATGCTTGCGAGAATGGCGTTAAAGCTAAAATTCAAACATGCTCGTGTAGCTCACTAGTGTGAACAAAATGACTAGTTGTCCAAATTAGAATTGGACTGATTTCAAATTCACCTTCAACTTCGACCACATCATGCCTGTTAAACGCCTAAAACTCTCAGAAGATAGCGATGTTGACGCGTCTGGTGCAGACCACGAACAGAGTGATAATGATCTCGAAGCTGAAGCACAGCAATCCACGACCTCTATTTCTTCATTGGAAGACGACGATTCTCCAGACACGGAGGCTGAAATTGCGGATAAAAGAATAACAAAGTCGAAGAAAACATTAAAACGAAAGCGGCGGGCAACAGAGCCCTCACAATTTGGTGCTACCCTGCAAGGCCTGCTTGACACCATTGCACCGTCGGACCTGCCGTTATCTCTCAAACCTTCTATCGCGCGCCAGAAAAATGGTGCAAAGCTTGAATTGAAGGCCCACAGAGTGATTCAAATAGAGAAGAAGGAAAAGGCGGACAAAGGACGCGTACGGGATGTTATCGGAGGCTGGGGCGGCGAGAGTGAACGCTCCTTGCGCAAGGTTGCTCAACGAGGAGGTGCGTATCATAATATTGCTTGCATTATCCTATCATGCATTGAAAATATCTCAAGTGGTGAAACTCTTTAATACTATTCAACAATCGCAGGTAGCGGCAGGCGTTGCTGCCGAACAGTCAAAAGGCTTGCGAGGAACGGGGAAACCTGCCCTTCCAGCACCCCTGTTGGACAAGAAACCGAAAGGAAAACAAAAGGCCAAGCACAAGGACAATATTATCGGGAGAGGAAATCCAGGTTGGTGTCTGAATTGATGTGGCAAACATGAAGTGATGTACCTTTTACAGCGACAATCGGGAAGGACGATTTCTTTGACATGATCAGGTCAGGTGGCATTGTCTCAAAAGTATAGGCGGCTTGCGCCTAGTCTCTCATACACAGGCCGTATACGAATGAAGATAACCGTTTCTTCGTGAATTTTACCCCTACGTCGGCATGGCGTCTGCTCAGATGATTTATCAGGGACTAGTGGGCTCAAACACTTTGCTTGTCGTGGCTCGCAATGGAGGAACTCGCGTTGTATTGGCAGTATCAGACTGTGTACGACAGCTGGTAACAGTTCGCATTCAAGGGCGACGAATTACTTCGCACAATATGATACGGTCAACCCCTTTTGTGCCATGATTCTCAGCCTCATCTCCGTCTACCACTGACATCGGACTTCGATGCACCCGCACGTCATTCATATGCGGGGAGAACCTTTGGTTCATATCTTGAGAACTAAGCGCGATTTTGGGTATGGAATTTATTATTTATGCGACGCAGCGTGTGTGTAAGCTGGTGTATCCATTCGCTAACGATTAAATTCTAAAACAATGCTGCAAGTGATACAGGAGAAGTTACATGCGGCGTCGAGTGTTATGGCATTCGAGCAGTCATTTTTCCGCCTACTTTCATAGACATATGTGATACTGGTTGCTCATTTCCATTTTTAAGCATCCCTATATGTACTTGAATCTGATCATCATAATCTCAGAGCAGGGTGTACTATCCCTTACGGTCTATTCGTGAGTGCCGTGAGCCACTTTCAATTGGGGATGTAGGGGATAGTACTGGCTAATTTTGGTCATTCATGGCTATACTACTCAACGAAAGAACCTTACTGTACTGGTATAAGTACTGTCTGCATATATAGGACCCTACCCCGTGGCCAAGAAGGCGATAAAGATGTGAGGACTGCGATCTGGATTCGACCGCGTCTTGACTGAAGGTTGCCAAATCAGAACTCAATAAGGTTAGCACGTTGCCAAACCTGCCCTGAAGTGGCGCAGAGCTTAAATTCCTTTTACCTTCACCCCCGTCACATCTATGGTGTGTATTTTCAAGCTTCATTCGTGCGGCGTATCTCTTATGATTGTCGGCCAAACTTCAAACTTCAGCCTCCGAGGACCACAATTCGTAAAGAAGAGTGGGAGCGACGTCTATGCGAGGTTCAGGTCACAAAAGAGTGAGTGTTTATCCTTGCTTTCTGCGCCTAAAAGATGAAAAATCATCAATGGGAATCTCTCTGAAATTTGAGATGAGAAAAGATATTGCATGTATTATCTGATATATCCTCGTTACACGCCGTATTTTGAGCGTTTACTGACATTCTTGCTTGTTAGTGATTTGAACCGACTTATTATGGACTATCTCGTTATCGAGGGATACAAGTCTGCCGCAGAGGAATTCAGCGATGAAGCCAACGTTCCACCACCCGTAGACTTCGAGAGTATCGAAAGTCGCATGGTGATTCGAGAAGCCCTGCAACGGGGCGATATTGAGGAAGCTATTTCTCGCATGAATGACCTGAATCCTGAGGTAGGGTCACGTGTTATTTTTTTCGTAGCTTTTATACCAAGGACGTAAGATTAAAACGTTTCATGCACCACTCTCAGATTTCTTCGGAAGTCGGTGATGAGATCTGTAAACCAAAACTTCAGTCTTCAATATGATCCGTCCTTGATTTATTTCACATGTGGAATGGACGAATTCTTACCCTTGCATTTCCAGATCCTTGATACGAACCCTGCATTGTATTTTCACCTTCAGCAGCAGAAGCTAATTGAGCACATTCGGCATGGGCGTATCACAGAGGCATTGAAATTTGCGCAAGACGAACTCGCTCCAAGAGGTGAAGAAAGTCCGGAGTTTCTTGCAGAGCTGGAACGTACGATGGCACTTTTGGCGTTCGACTCTTCATCCTCGGCACCTGCGGCCATATCCGAACTTCTGTCGCCCGCACAGCGGATGAAAACTGCGGGTGAGGTTAATGCTGCAATTCTTGAAAGCCTCAGCCAGGGAAAAGAGGTAAAGCTGGTGCAGCTTTTGAAGCTTTTGTGTTGGAGTGAGGGGATGTTGGCAGAACGTGCAGATTTTCCCAAGGTCTGCGCCTTGGCATTTGGATTCGATTGGTTTTGCTCAACTTGAAGCCCTCAGATTGATCTTCAAGAGGGATTGATGGCGACGGGGAGAAAAGAAGCAACAGTGACAGATGATTCCATTATGCGAGAATGAGGGACAGTATGTACAGTACGGAGTGTATAGCAGAGGACGTAACATGGCTAAGTTGAGTAAGTGATGAAATGGGCAGTGGTCAGTCCTAAGGATACGAGATTGTTCCTGACAGGCCTGTAGGATCACGGCTCCGTGGAATAACCGTTGTTCAATGATCTAACTCGGTTTAGCTACGGTGAGAGTAACCCGGGTTGCGACTTGATGGTAAAACGAAGAACAACGGCAAGAACAAGGAGGTACTATAAAGTACCATAACCATGCATGGCGGCCATGAGGCAGTTGATATATGATAGAATTGATTTTTTTTGGGTTTTTGTTTTGAAAACTCCCCCTTGGGGCTTACTTAAGTAAGCTAAGCTTATGGTCGTATGCCACACTTTCTAGCGCCAACGGGCAAGTTTGACCACCTTACGACGACTCTCTTCCTTGCTCATACTCGTCGTCTGAGTATCAGTCCTCTTTATAGGTATTCTTACTAGCATAAATAAACGGAAGGTGTGCGGTCCTCCCACTGTATCTACCATCGTAGCAATGGCTCACAAACAGATCAGGAAACCGTTGGAGAGAGCTGTTAATGCCCTCCTACTCTATGTCAGAGGATACTAGGTCGTCGAGCGCACCTAGACCTCGCCGTGTCCTCGTTCTATCAAATCCAGATCCAGGCGATTCTAGTAGTAGTGAGGATGAACGTCCTCGTCACCCTCGCCATCATCCCCAGGCTTCTAACTCTTCCTTGAATCAACATTCAACATCAGTAATTCCAACTCCACCACTGCGTCCTCCAAGACCCCCCGCTCCTCCCTTGACAACCGATCTACCACAGCATTATCCTCCATCCCGTTCAAATCCCAATCTATCCTCTCCTTCGAGTCAGAGCTCAAATGCAGTCGAATCAACTCCTCCACCAAGCACTCCCGGTCAAACAGCACACTCAGATTTGAGTAATTCAGTCATTGCTATTGACGATGGTACAACGCTCGTTGAACGTACCGAGTCCGCTCAACCCCCTACTCGTCTCCAGAAGATCGCCGATGTTCTCCACTTTCGCCATCGCAGACCCTCACATCGACATCTTGGATCTGAGGTTTCTCTCCATGTGAGCTATTTTTTATTTTTGTTTGGTCGTTATCTCACATTCATACTTTCAGTCTCCATCCCCTTCTTCATCGTCGACTGTACCACATCTGCTTCCGTGGGTTATTATGGTAACCTATGACTGTCATGCCTATACAGCTGTCGATATCACAAATGCAAATAGCGCAGCTTTCATCTGGGAACGCATTTTTGCTGATGTGCGCCGATTCTTCTCATTCCATTTCAATCCTGACCAAGCACCTACCGCAGCTCAAAGTACCGCATGAAGATCAATGTGGACAGCTCTCCATTTATCGCACCCAAATCGGCAAAGTCGCGATCGGTGAACCACTATCAGACGATAACCTAATTCGGCTGGTTCGTGATCGAGGTGACAGTGAGGGGAGCTTGAAGTTCTTGGTTTGTCCTTCTCAAGCAAGGGTTCAGGACCCTTCGCTCCTAAACTCGCCAGTCAAATCCGTGCCCCCGCCCCCCGTGCCAGTATTCAGCCCCTTGGTTCCAAGGCCACGGCCATCCAAGTCTTCTCGCCCGGAGAGTGTATCTTCTGAAGATCTAACGCCGGATGCAGGCTATGAGCCATCTGTGATATCTGATGACATCGATGATTCAGATAACAGGAGTACGATGAGGCCACCTCCTCACTCCAATTCATCTGCCACCATGTTATCGTCACCACCACAAAGTGCACGATATGAAGACCGTCAACCTTCTCCCGCGTCCGCAAAAACACCGCATTCAGCAGGCGTCGATCGCCATCGTTACGATTCGTCTCATGGACAGAGTCTTCCCTCTTCTCAATCTACTCCTATTCATGAGAATTTCCTCAATAAACACCACCTGCGGAGAGGTTCAGATGCAGAGACAGTTGATCAAGCTTTTCGCGACGTTGAACGTCCAGCGGGGCTAGCTGGGGAATGGACAAAACCACAGGATAATGGCATCCATCGGGCGCGAGCTATGATACTGCGACCCGAAAGATTGACAACTTCCGACGATCATGCAGGACTCGCAGCCACCCGTGACAGCGAGGCGGGATCTGTGGTGAGAAAGCCTTCTCCACCTTCGTCGTCGGGAATGACGCGTTCGCCCAAGAGGAGACCATCACACGTTGAGTATTCCCGCCCATCTCAGAACAAGCAGAAGGGGGGAGGAGGCAAGCCTGTTCCATCACACTATATATCTACACATAAACCAGCCGATTCTCCGACTCCCACAAGGTCGCTCAATAAAGCGAAGAGCACAGAGGTTCTCAAGGGCTCGAAGCCCCCTCTGCCACACATACTTCGCCCTTCACCGAGCCGGCCCCATCTTCCTACTCCGTCCGGTTCGGGCACCAATTCCTATCCAAGACCCCTAGATTTAGGACCCAGACCCAGGCCATCTCAAAGCAGGCCCGATATTGTCAATGTGGACACCACCACATATACTCGCGCTCAACAACCATCAGCGAGCGGCACTCTTGGCTATCTGTCACCCACTCAGGAACCATGTCCGCGCCCACATTCTGCCTCGCCCTCCCAGCAGCGTTACCCTACCAATGACGCACATCGCGACCGTGATGATTTTAGGCCCACTCACCAAACTCAGTCCAGCAGCGGCTCTTCAAGGTTTGGTGAAGTTCCCCTGAGAGAGGATAATTATGGGGGAATCACCCTTCCGTCATCCCTAAGACCTGGTCCTTATGCTGGTTCTCCAGCTCGCACCAACCCTCCATCTGAAACTCCTCCCCGCAGCCCCGTTACTTCTCGGCCGAGTACGTCGAATAATACATGCGGACTTACCTTTACTTCCACCGGGACGATCGTACCTTCGACTTTCAAGACTGATTCTGGTGCCAGCAGTCAGGAGAGCACAGCCACAGAGTCCACTTTACGTCCGGATGAAAAGGACAAGCCGGTCTGGGATATCAGACTCAGACCCTTCATAACGTCGGATTCCTCGGACGATGGAGTTGGCACTAATGAAACTTACGGGACCGCGTCTTCTGATCTGTGGTCGCGCAAACCCACGTCAGAGAACAATGACACTTCTAGGACTCCCGTGTCTGGTACCAACCAGAATCCCAGTCCTCCACGTCCCGCTCTTCACGTTACAACTCCAAGCTCTGGGCCTGGTGGTATGACGCGCGGTGTCCCAGCCAATTTCCCAGCACCACCTAATTTCATGCCTCAGCTACGCCTTCCTCGACCACGTACGCCGAAGACTAGGCACAAAAGCAGCACGTTTGAGGAATCTACTTGGGCGCATCGTCCTCCTCCAGAGGATGTCTACGATCGGCTCGAGGAGTTCTTCCCGGAGCATGATCTCGACAAACCCGTCATTGAAGCTAATTCTGGCGGGACATCGCCCACTGCCATAGACCATACCTACGGGATTCCAAACATCGTTGATAGAGACAAGGCGCTGGTACGACCGAAGAAGTCCATCCGTATCGTTGCGGAAGAACACAAGAAGCGGATAGATCGCTTTTCTAGGGGTGATCTATCAGCCGACAACAGTATCTGGCGGAAGAGGAGCACGAAGTTATGGGGAAGTCGCATTGAGGAAGTCGATACCTCGTCACAGACGAAGGCGAACTACAACAAGACGCTCCCTGACTCTCCGGCGGGTGGTCCCAGACGTGAGCTTTCTGCTTTTCTTTACCATACTGAGCTAAACTGTAATTCAGCGATATTCAAATGGGTCCGTGGTGAACTCATTGGCAAAGGAACGTATGGTCGCGTATATCTTGCCCTCAATGCCACCACGGGCGAGATGATTGCTGTCAAGCAAGTTGAAATCCCCATAACCGCCAGTGACAGAAAAGACAACCGTCAGATGAGCTTCGTACAGGCCCTCAAAATGGAGAGCGAGACATTGAAGGATCTCGATCATCCTCACATCGTGCAATACCTTGGATTCGAGGAGACACCGACGTTCTTGAGCATGTAAGCGCTGCGGAAACCATCTTTGATGATATACTCATTCGTGTTTTCAGTTTCTTAGAATACGTACCCGGAGGCTCGGTCGGAAGCTGTCTGCGAGACCATGGCAAATTCGACGAGGAAGTTACGAAATCGTTCACTGGACAGATTCTCGAGGGTCTGGAATATCTCCATTCCAAGAATATCATACACCGAGTAAGCTTTATCTATGATTGTTTGTTCGTACCTCATTGTTTTGTATAGGATTTGAAGGCAGACAATATCTTGGTGGAGAAAACGGGAATTTGCAAGATCTCTGACTTTGGTATTTCAAAACGCACAGATGATATCAATGGCATGGCTTCTACGGCGATGCAGGGCACAGTTTTCTGGATGGCACCGGAGGTCATACATCCGCAGAAAAAAGGCTATAACTCCAAAATTGACATATGGAGTGTGGGCTGCGTCGTCCTCGAGATGTGGGCAGGGAAGCGGCCATGGAGTGATGATGAAGCTATAACAGTCATGTTCAAGGTCATTTCTTCGTATATGGTGCAAAGTGCGGTGCACTCATGAGTTTGCTGCAGGTATACCAAAATAAGCAACCCCCGCCCATACCTTCCGACGTGGTGCTATCCGATCTTGCAAAAGACTTCAAGGATAGATGTTTCGCAATGCAAGTGTTGTTATTTACCGTCTTGTTTGCCGTGCTCACGAACGATGCTTAGTGATCCGGAGGACCGCTCGAGCGCTGCGGACCTTCAACTACACCCATACCTGGAACTTCCGGAGGGCTGGGTATTCAACGATTTTAAGTAGGACCTCATTCGGACATTATTTTTCTATGTCATTCCCTATATCACCCATTTCTTATCGCATTTGCTCTTATTTGTTTCAATCGCGCATCTTTCTTTGTTGTTTCGCATGCTGTTTCATAATGACCATTATAATTTTTTGTACTTGTGGAGGGTGTGTTCATACATAATTGCTTCACGTATCCAAGTTGACTTCGAAATTATGTGACTAGAGTTTGGTGTCCTCATAAATGACAGTTCCTTCACGAAGTTCACAGAATTCTGGTCAGTACTTGTCGATAAATTTGGATCGAATGAGCGGCGCTCAAATCATGAAACAGGTTTGGGGCCTTTAGGTTCCTGAGGCAGACTTTCCGCCACATTTAGAATCCTAGATTTTGATTCAAACCTTAAAAAGCCGGAGCACTTCGTCGCAACCTAGGAATGTTTTCCAAACCGCAGTTCAGGTGTAAGCGATGGTTACAACATAGTCACAGAGATTGAAAGGCTCGTTTAGCTATTTCGAACATTAGGGCCTACCCCCCTTCTGGATATCACTTTAGAGACTGGGTGTTTTGACACGCGGACCTGCAAAACACTGACGTTTGTCGGCAGCATGAGGGCTTTAGAACGATAATATTTATAAACACATCTACAGTAAATGGTTGATACACTATTTCTGACGAACGCACTGCATGATCAGAAGTGGAACAGCTGAAGTGACGGATCGCCGGCTCAAATAAATTTTTAGCGTTTTAGTGACACGATCAATGATCATGCTCACACCCTGTGAAAATCTGGCGCCAATGTGTTAGGCTCGAGAGCATACCGACTCGGACCTTGCTGTTAGTCTCCTAGTGCGTGGGCTAGATCGACACACGCTGTTGCCCCAGTTTTCTTCGTCGATCGTCACCGGAAAACGACTCTGGGGTATCCCCCTTCAAGTGATGAGAAGCTTGACAAGGAAATGAGGGGATTTTTTCTAGCAAGACCACGACACCCCATCGTCCCTGCAGAGCAAGTTTGGACCCTGCAACATCGTTCTAGGAACCTGGTCTACGATAGAGTGGACCAACCCCTGCTGTGAAAATAATATATAAGCTCAATGTAAGCTTTCAACTTGATCACACTGACTTGATGCTTCTATGAAATGCACATGCGCGACGTGATCTGAATTTCAGAACTATGAATTGTTAGAAATGCTGCATTTCAGCGGCCTTTCTGGAATAGTAACGAACATTCCACTAACCAGAGCGCTGACCCTGATCAAGAAAGCCCTGAAATGTGTGGACCCAAAACTCGAGCAGATCTTGGAGCTTAGCTGAAGTCTTGAAGTGATAGTACTTACCACATTCCACAGTACTGTAATGGTTCTATTAGTAACGGGAATGTGTTTGTTAATATTTGATTCAGAACCTTGTCAATCAATCCGGAATTGGACGAAATCAGAAATATTGTTCAAGGCAGACTCGGAAGAAGACTGCAAGTGCAAGTCTTAAAGCTCGCCTTGTAAGTCAGAAATGTCTTGATCTCTCCAGACTGCCCCAACCCCTAGGCGTTCGTTTAACTAACGTGTGTCCTCTCTCTTACCTACCCCACTCTCTCATTTTTCTTCACAGCGTCGTAATGTAACATCTGGCTCTCTTCATCCTCTGCTCTTCCCCAGTTCGGCGTCATACGACCCCGCCCACGCTACGGACCCAACGCATCCCGCCGCCCGGTGGAAAACACATGCCTTCCCGAATTTCTGCTGCACCACATTCACGCTGCGCGTTGCGCCAAAGGATGCACTTCTACGCCTAGAATTCAAGGGGCGCGTGCTTGTGCAGCGCTCTACCACAGTGTCCCGGGGGATTTGGAAGGACTGTCCCAGGATGTGAGCATCGTCTCTATGATTTCGAAAAATAAAGATGAATAAAAGGGCGGCGGTGCGCAATAGGATCACGACGCGCATTAGGGATGCTTTGAACCCATTGTCATCTAGGGTGCAGATGCTGAGTCCAGAAAGCGCGTACAAGGTAGACACGGTGGTAAGGAGTGCATTCCTTTAGAATCAGCGCCGTCAAACATTATTTGCAAGCCTAAGCAAAAATTTGATTGGTTCGGTCTACAAGTCGAACCTCGCTAGTAGCTTGTTATCCTCGGCCACACCGTCTAGTTTTGGGCTTGTACCGAATCCTTCTCCTACCGAGCATCTAATTTTCCAAGGTATGTTATCAAACGAAGTATTTCTTCTCTCCTAACAAGAACTAAGACTGGCCATATGTCATGTCATGTCGTGTCGCCTTCTATTCTGAGCTGCCGGATACTCCTCCCCGATCTTATACAACATATACTGCAGGTCTCGAGTGCATTCTAGAGTAGTCGGTGGAGCTCGATGCGCTGTATGTACTGGACAAGAAAGAAAGAAAGAAAGAAACAACCTGCCCACATTGTAACCGAATAACCCGAAGCAGATTGCAACTAACGAGGACGAGCTCCCCACGCTATTCGACTTCAATAAGTCCGAGACATGCGTCAACAAGGAGAAGCGGTCTATCGTGATTGTCGCCGTCTAACGAGTTGTTCTCAGAGGGTCGACAATACGCTTACTATTCCATATGCAGATTGTCTTATTGTCGCCTGATGACATCTTGCAGTGGCCATTTGAAAGAGCATACACTCCGCCTTGCTCCATCTTGATTTGGCGCGACTCAGTTCCGGGCTCTCTGTTTTTTACATGAGCATTGTTCTATCGTTTAATTCATGGGAGAAATGACCGTTTGGAGACTACGAGAGTGAGTGACCACACTGTCCTGCCATGCCCGATCCAAACCCTTCGATCATCTCTCAATTCATGTTTCACTATTGAACGCACCCCCTCTTGCAATTGTCTTGCCGTCCACTGACAGCATCAGTGCCAATATACTTCCACCCGTACTTTTCATGGTTCACCAACAACAGGTCCTGTGTCGTAGGTCCGATTCCGCATCTTGCTGCCACTCACGCTGTGTACGCTACCTTGCAAGAAGGCGAAATTCCTTATAGAGTTCTTATTTCCCTCAAATCCATGCTTCAGATTTGGTCTTTTGGTTTGCACTAGCAGTGATGCTTCCCGAGGGTCAGCTTTGCAGATGATCCAGGAGGCACAGCTTGTTACTGCAAGGCGTCTGGTGTGTCAATTGACCTGTGGTAATGATCAAACAAGTATAGGCGGTAACAGTCTGCCAGTACTTATGAGTTAATCTGCAGCCCGCGGAGTAGGCGAGTTTCATATCGCATGCAAAGCGGTGCTAATCATCGATTGGAGGCTGTGCTAGCTATGGTTCAATGATACATCTTTTTCTCCTATTACGATCTTCACAAACCACGATAGGCCGCTGATGATCCTCTTTATAGTCTAACCCGATACCTCGTAGCGGTGCACAGGTGTACGATCTCAATATTTTAAGTAACCAGGAACATCCCGAATACACCCATACAGGTAAGCCCGTGGGAGTCGCCCTCCTCGCCGGTTTCAAGTCTCTCGTTCTTAGTGCTGCTGAGGAGGAAATGGCAGGTGTTCCAATTCGACCCGAGTTCGTGCTTGTTGAGAAGGAGAAGGAAAACGGAGTTCCCAGTCCCGCACGTTCAAAGGCACAACTCTAAATTATTGCTTTGACTAATGTTATACAAGGCACCTTGGTGGATGTTGAGAGGCTATCAACGGCATCTGTTCACCCCCTCATGACCCTAGACTCACAAGTCTGTGCGCTGCAATGTAAACAGTCGAACCAGATCTCGTAGCCACAAACATGGAATAGTGTTACTCTGATATTATGCGAGGTCTAATTTAAAACACTACAGCGTAATAAGACACCTATGTGAGGATGATCGTATCGGTATGTCAACCGCTAGCCTTCAGTGTAGGCTGCCTGATTTTAACACTTCTTGCATGGCCTCCCAGTCACCCAGATCCATGGAAGCGTGTTTCGCCGGGCGTCCGCGCTTTTTTCCTTCATTACCAGTCTGGGTGCCACGGATCTTGGCATCGATCACCTGTCCTGATGTCTGCTGCGCAAGATGCTTAATCTCAGGGAACTCAGAGGTAGCTTGGGCTCGCAGCCAAGCCGCGCTCTCAGCACGATGAATAAGACAACTAGGAGGCTCATAGCCTTCGTTAAGCTGGTCGGACGCTTTGGAAGGCGAAGAGTCCGCAATCATGGGGCGTCCATCTTTCCACAATGAACCGTTGTTTGTCTTATCCAAAATACCAGCAATGCCCAGACTTTCTCCAGGGGGGATAGGGTCAGGATGAGAAGGTGTGACACATGGCATATCAACCTCCTTTCTGAGTACTCTGTCAATATCAACGGCTGAGAAGAACGCGACTCCCTGAGGTAAGTCATCCATTCCTAGTTTAAAGGCAAAAAGGCTCCGTGTCCACAGGTTGGCGATCTGCAGCGCGAGTGCAGCTCGATAGCGATCTTCTTCGGCAACCAAGTAGCGTAACTCGTCATGCACCGAGATGAGATAACGTGCCTTGATGCCATATTGTCTGGCCAGATGGTCCATTGCGACAATGAGAAGGTGTAAGTAGTCGACACCAGAGGACTGCACGACCCAATTTATGCGTGATGTCATATAATCTGAACCAAATTTTGCCGGAAGAAGCTCCTTTGACAGGGCAGCTGTGATTCCACATCCGAGAGCTGGAGTTCGTGGTTGATCAGAAAGCGCGATTTCTTCCAGCTTGTTAAACACGAAGCTCTCCGTTCCACCAAACCAGAATTTCCTCCCAAATAAATCCGTGCGATGCGTGTTCTTGCCCTTGGTTGATGAATATAAATTTTCTGCGAGACGTTGAGCTTGATCGGGCAGCATACCGGCATTCGACTGTAGAAGGAGAAGGACTGCATGACGCATCCCAGCACCATAGATTCGGGAATAGTTAAACACCTTCGCTTGGTCACGAGAGATGCCCAGGATGCTTGCTGTCTTTGAATGAAGATCTGTTCCTGCGGCTTTGGTGCCTTCAAGGGTCATCCATCCAAGAGCCGTAGCACCGTGTAATCCAAACTGTGCGTCACCCATACAGCTCGAAATCCATAGCTCTTCTGAGTCCACATCCGCGCCAACGATGGCGTACCCCTTGGGTGCGCGCACCATGGCTTTGAGCTCTGAGCCAACGCGGTTTTTCTTCGCGTTGCTCGCCGTGAGCCATGTCCTCTCGATAGCGCGGCGCGTCACAGTGCCCATTGTAATCACCTGAGGAAGGATGATACCCCATTTCTGGGGTCCGTTCGAAGATTCAGGTGGTTCGAACTGAAGATCTAATGCTTCCTGCTGCCAGACTACCATCTGATTTAAGATGCGATCACGCGCGCTGATCCAATAGCTGCACTGCGCGTTCATGTCCAATGCATCTTTCGCCTCGTCGCCAGGGCTCGTGAGCGTCCCATCCTGCGCATATTTCATGAACGTTTTCCCGAGCGGACTGCCCACGTTCGCCCTCTCTCCGTCTTTATGTGGTAACTTGTAGAAAACGAAACCTCCCTTCAACCGCATGTCTTGTAAGGTGTCATCCGCAGGATCATAGAAGTCAAGCTGAGAAAAACGGGTAGGAAAATCGGCATCCCCCGGAACGCGAAAGGTCCAGCCGTGTTCCCGGGAGTAGAAAAGTGGCCACCCTTGCCAGGACAAACGAAGGAGAATTGGGGCAATGCGATTCCGTACTGTGACGTCCAGCGTGCCGGGAGGCATGTCTTTCTTGGGCTTCGCGAGATCCCAGTACCACTTCGGCCAAAATACCTTTGGTTTGACCTCCTTAGGAGTGGACTTCTTACGTCGGGGAGAAGAATCGGGAATAGTCAATGGGCACGCTGCCGTAGAGTCAAGCTATAAAAGGAAGAAGTCAACAGAAGTTCGGTACATCGACATCGCTACACACCTTATCGGCAGGCACGACACCCCTAGATTTCCCTGCTACTTTGGGTGTCCAATCGAGTTGGGAGAGCCAAGGGTCATCCTTCCAAAACTCGTCCTTCATCCTATCCTTGGCTTGCTCTGCGAGTTCGACAAGTCGCCTTTTCACTTTCCCATCTAATTCCTTGTAAACCCTTTCTGCATCCGCAAGATATGATTCCCAGGACTCGTTCACCGTCAAGAAACTAGAACCCATCGCGAGAATGCCAGCGAATGACACGGGACTAGGGCAGCGGTCGAGAAAAGCCGATAGCACCTTAGAGAACACAGCGTGAGTAACGAAGACGTCTTGCGCGCAGTAGTTGAGATAGTCGTGGATATTATCTGTTATCTCTTCTGGGGCCAACTTCATAAAATCCATCCTGATCTCCTTGTCCATCTGAATATTGCAGTGCAGCTTAGCGACATCAGCCAGCGAATTGGCAGACGTCAGGTCTTCCCAGCGCTTACTTGAGAGATCAGCTTCCACGGCATCGGTATCGGCAGCTTCGAGCTGCGGAAGGCTCTCCTCGAGATCAGCACGGAGACAGCGTAGTTCTTCTCGTTTGATTTCATCGGCCTCCTGGTCGTGTTTAAACTCCACATTACGCATGAGTTCCATAACAGCCTCGACCGCTTCGGCGCGACGAACATTCTGAGTCTCCTTAGATTTGCGGTGCTTCATCCAAGCAGGTCTTTGGTGGGAGGATATTCCTTTCACTGCAACATGCAGAGCCATCGTATCGAGAAAGCGGGACTGAGTTCCATGTAAGCTATACTCCTCCAGAATGCGCGCTCGGTCGTAGCAGATGTTGTGACCAACGACTACGCGCGGGGAACGCGTATCTCCCAAGGGAATGAGGTGCTGTTGCTCAACCGATTCCCCGAGTAACCAGGGCGATATCCAACTGTACCAGGCATTCTTTGAGGCAGCACATGCCATGATGGCATAAGGATGATATGTGGGCATGGTTTCTACGTCAAATGTGAGCACTTCTTCCGCATTCCCCTCGTGCTGTGGGAACTCGACATGCTCGCTGTAGCTCGAACCATCAGCAAGGAAGTGATACTTCGTCCATCCCGACTGAATGTCCCAATGATCGGGTTTTGGAGGAAGTTCGTTGGATGCAAAATCTTTCGCAATGTTCAGCCATGGTTGAGCGGACTGACTGCCGATTCTGTGGAAATGCTCATCGATGTTTGAGCCTAGGAGTGGTGGGAGGGTGAAGCCGATATCAGGAAGAACAGAGCCTTGTTTGGGGTCTAGTCCATGCATTTCCAGATGCTCCTGTGCAATACGAACGAATGCTTTCGATGGTACTGGAAAAGAGAGGTCGCGAAATATTTGCGAATGTAATTCCCGAGAAAGGAGCTGAACTCCAAGCTCATTGCGCTTGACTGTCCGATATAATTAGTTGCGGGAGAATAGAATTGAAGCAACATAGCGCACCATGATGCTTCACTGTTTTTCGGACTATGTCACGTTCTTTTTCTCTTCCTTTTTTCACGTCAGTTCCGCCTATGACAGGTCGCGGTTGTACATGATTATAATGTTGCTTTTGCTTCTGAACGAGTGCAGCTGCTCGAGCAGAGGTCTGCAAGTGTCGAGCCGACCCACTGGGTTTCCGCACAAGGTTTAGCATTCGTAGTTAGCATTCAGGTTAGACTTGCGCTACTAGATGTCGCGCAGGCAAAGTAAAAGTTCGTACGAGTCGCTGTGGAATGAGCGATGGGGTCTATGCTGATTAGTTTTCTTCCTATACAAGTGATTGCCGTTGTGCTGGCTCGTCTTGTAAAAGGAAATTCTGCGCGAATTTGGGTCTAGCACTATAGAAGATTTCTTTTGCGCATCAATATGCATAACGTAGTATATTGTTGTCTATCTTGTACTGCGAAAATAGCATCCGAGTCTGCGTGCATGGTACGTTGCAGATGTCAAGGAGTTGTATTGAAACAAAAGATAGTGCGAGGTGTTGGCTGCATGACAGCCGAAATCGGAACTCGCACGCATAAGGTGCTGAAAGTGAACGTGAAAACTTGAATGACGATGGAGATCGAGTACAACTCAGTTGTGCGCACAGTAAGGCGTTGGCTATTGTTAAAAACCACAGTATGTAACTTGATGTAAGATGAGGCGGAAATTGAAATTGGCAGGCAACGAAATTTCGATGTGAACGTTCACGCACGCACACAGGCCCGGCAGGTTGCATTGAGTATCGGAGGCACATGGTCCTGTCACCCCTGTGGTTGAATTGTTGGAAAACACTTCATAGCGCCGGTACTTGAGGCTCAACCCGGGAAACAGTTAAGGTTAATCACCCGGAGAAATTCGAAGAATTATGCACAACGTACTAGGAACTCGCGTGGATCAGTAAAGTTGAAGTGGTCCTTCGAGGGTAAGAAACTTATTTCTGCCGGTTGTTGACATCCAAGGACCGATGTACTACGGCATGCAGTATGCCTGCAAGATCGATAGCCCTCCCCCGGACAAGTAGTAGTAGATTCCAAGAATCTTGCAAAGAAGACTTTGCGGGGTCGGGGAGATGATGTGGGGGAGACAGCAACGGGCGCATTCTCTAATTGGAAAAGAGATCCTTGAGAACAGCGAGCGAAAGACGCGCGATTGGAACACATAAGAGTAGATACGACAAGAAATGGCTGATATAGTTAGGGGATATGGAATGAGGCCCTACTTGAAACTTTTAAATGCCCAGCCCCTTGGAAGCTCCAAATACGGATGTTGCGAAAGTTCTGCAGTGCTCGCGCGTTCTTCCGGATCACTAGGCATCATCCATGAGCACGGCAAACAAGACGGCAAATGACAAAGCTTGCATTGTGAAACATCTGTCCTTGAAGTCCTTTGCAAGATCGGACAGCACCACATCGGAAGATATGGGCGGGGGTTGCTTATTCTGGTATACCTGCAGTAAACGCATGAATGTACCGCAGGTAAGCGGTACATACAAAAAAACGAACCTTGAACATGACCGTCACAGCTTCGTCATCACTCCATGGCCGCTTCCCTGACCACATCTCAAGGACAACACAGCCCACACTCCATATGTCAACTTTAGTGTTATAGCCCTTGTTCTGGGGATGTATGGCTTCCGGTGCCATCCAAAAAACTGTGCCCTGCATCACATGTGACGCCGTCCCATCGGGATCGTCAGCGCGTTTTGAAATTCCGAAGTCAGAGATCTTGCAAATTCCCGTGCTCTCCAACAAAATGTTGTCTGCCTTCAAATCCTATACGAGACGATGAGGTACGAACAAACAATCATAGATGAAGCTTACTCGGTGTATGATATTCTTGGAATGGAGATATTCCAGACCCTCGAGAATCTGTCCGGTGAACGATTTCGTAACTTCCTCGTCGAATTTGCCATGATCTCGCAGGCGACGTCCAATCGAGCCACCGGGCACGTATTCCAGGAAACTGGAAATCTAAATGAGTATACCTGTCAAAGACAACCATCGTTTCCACGGGTTTACATGCTCAAGAATGTCTTTGTCTCCTCGAACCCAAGGTACTGCACAATGTGAGGATGGTCGAGATCTTTCAACGTCTCAATCTCCGTTTTGAATGCTTGTACAGATTTCATTCGTTGGCTGTCTTTTCTGTCACTATGACTGGCAGCTATGGGGGTTTCAACTTGCTTGACAGCGAACATCTCGCCCGTGGTGGCATTGAGAGCGAGATACACACGGCCATACGTCCCTTTGGCGATGAGTTCACCACGGACCCATTTGAGTACTAAATAACAATTTAGCTTAACGCAACAATGAAGTAAACAGAAAACTCACTCCTGTCAGGACCAGCTGCATAGGGGTCAAGATTCGCCTTCGTCTGCAACGAGGGATCGATTTCCTCGATTGGACCGCCCCATATTTTCGTGTTCCTCTTCCGCCAGACCATCGTGTCGGCTGATGGCTCACCCCTGGAAACGCGATCTATCCGCTTCTTGTGCTGTTCTACAACAGTACGGATAGACTTCTGTGGTGGTACCAGCGCTTTGTCTCTATCAACGATATTTGGAATTCCGTAGGTCTGTTCTACGGAAGTAGGAGGTGTTCCACGAGAATCTTCAATGCTGGGTTTGTCGAGATCATGATCCGGGAAGAACTCTTCGAGATGCTCATAGACATCCTCAGGAGGCGGACGATGCGCCCAGGTGTGCCCCTCGAGTGTGCTGCTCTTATCTCTATTCTTCATCCTAAGCGGTTGAGGAGGGCGTAGTTGATGCAAAGGATTGGGCGGTGCTAGGGAATTTGGCAGGACACCGTGCATTATACTACCGCGGTCAGAGCTTGGAGTCGTGGAGTTTAGAGGGAGACGTGGAGGACCAGTTCATCGCCTGAAGCCTCGTGAGATGTTGATTGGCGCCAGTATCCTGAAACATGACGGGCCGAAGCACTGCTCCACCTGAAACGGCTTCCAACTCGCTCGAAGTCTTAGTCTCCGTAGGCGGACCATATAGAAGGAACTTCAGTAGTTGTTCCTTTCGCAGCCCGACGAAACGCTGGAACATGTCAGCATGAACGTTCACTCACCAGCACGAGATATATTTGGACTCACCGACCGAATCCGCATCTCAAGATCTCATTCCCCATAGTCCTTTTCGAGTATCGACAATCCAGATCTCCAAATACTTTCTCATTCCTCTTCCCACTAGTCTGAGCACTCAGCACTCCCACATACTGCATCCTGAAGTCACCCAGTAGGCGACGTTCTACGCTAAGTGCCAGTGTATACGGACCGCATTGGAAAGTAGGACTGGTATGACGGAACAAGTTGCAGCTCGCGAAGCCGTGAGTAAAATCGACGTTAACTTGGAAGGGCACTAAGATCTGGAGTTATCAAGGCAGGGTAAATATTGCACACGGCATATGGATTCATAGAGAGCATAGCTATATACTAGGTTCTTCAAGCTTTCCCCCTGTCAAGTTAAACAAGGAATGATTAATGACCGATGGCTTGTATGTAAGGCAAACTTTTCGAGGCGTGGCAGATGAAAACACCTTTTCCGATTGAACCAGACCGAGGGACAATGGCAAAGATCTTCTATAAGCCGAAAGTTATCTTTCGCATCTATCACACTACGATGTACTGAAACTTCGAAAGGTACTTTACACGACTGTATCTTGCACCTGTTGTAGATATACTGATGAAACCTTCCTCCTGATGATTCACGCCCTGGTCCATCGACTTTCAATGTTTGAAATGCGAACATCAACTTTAGCCTGAAGTGGGACTCGGTGGATCGTCACGATTATAAAGCCAAAACAAAGTACTGCCTTACCTTCTCGTCATAGTCGACCCAGTCATCATCTTCAAGGTCAACATCAGAGAAGTTAGTGCCGGTCTCTCCCTTGCATGACCACCGCCCAACCTGTGACATTCTCATATAATGAGATTTAAGAAACACGATAGAATAAAATACAAACTGGAGCAAAGTCCGTGAACTCTAACCCACGACACTCCATCTTCAATAGGGTGGCAAATTGTCCATTTGATTCGGCGGAGTATGGTTTTGACGGTTCAGCGACAAAGCTAGCGGAGCTTTCCTTTTTACAATTACCACAACGCCAAACGAGGTGAGCTGAGCCTCTGCTATTCGAGATATTTCGTGTTTCCTAGAGGAACGAGATGGAATCCTCCATCATCATGAAGTGAATATACGTACCAATCTTTTCAACGTGACGAACTTCTTATGTTCCTCGTGACAACTATTGCAGACAACCTGCACGGGGTATTCAGAATACAAGACACGATGAGGTCACCGAATATCACTTTGAAGAAGTACTCGAAATCATCACCAGAAGGGGCGAGATCTGTGACGTTTTCCAGCTCAGCTTTGATTTCCAGTTTCAAGAACTTTTCAGAATTAACATATGGAGGTCTTTCCGACGTAGCGAAAGAGACTTACGACCATGATCAGACGATGTATCTTTCAAGTTTAGGCGAGATATACAAGTTCATCGTGAATGATCAGAGTTTGTTCTTGTTTGCTTACTTCCATTTTCGAAGTCGGTTTTACAGCTAAACGACTTCTTTGAATTCCAAGTTGCATACTCCTTGAATATGTGGTTGCTTCCGCCATGTCGACGCGGTCCGCCTTCAATGATGGCCGCTAGGCAATTTCATGCTACTACACAAGTATCCATGCGAAAAAAGATATCCAAGGCGTCGAAAGCAGATGACGAAGAAATGCTTCAGCACTTTCAGCCAGATGGAGGATTGGATGTGCCAGTGGCCGGATACCTATTACACCGTCAGCAGCGGCAGACATTATACTATATGCGACTAATTGAGCACGAGATTCCAAAACTCGTAGGTCAGCCATGATTGACCACCCGAATTAAAGACGTCCACTCATTCGCATTTTAAAAATTTAGCGTTCCGCAAACCATTCGTCCCTCCAACTGCCGCCACGCCCCTCGTCATACGGTCCGTCGATTTTGCTGGGGAACAACATCCATTGACAGCTAAGCGGAGTGTTGTCGTCCCGGTCGCGCATCTTCCCCTGCGGAACGAAGTAGCTTTTCACAGAGCAAAACTCCTCGCCGGCGTGCGGTGGATGCCAGGGCCCCCAAGAGACTCTGGCGTTTCAGCGGATGAGGATGCGGCCAAGCATGGTTTTATCAAGATTGCGTGCGAGGACTTTCCGCGAGCCAACATGAATTTAAAATGGATCAGCGATACGCTTGATAAGCTGGTTCTCGAAGCAAATGTAGGTCGAGCTTGACGTCGGCTATCACCAATACTCATAATTGTTAGGCTGAGGGCGAGGCACCATATCAGCGACTACCACTGGATACCCGACATCTCGATTCTAAAGTGCGGAAATCGAAGAAGGGTGATCATATTCGAGGCAGAGGTGGATTGCGTCCAAGTCTCAAAGACTTCCCTACGGAATGGCTTCCAAAGCGTCAAGAAAATGTCATATCTTCTATACTTCCATCTCAATAATAGACTGTATCTCTGGGCGGGGCGGCCGCTATTAATCGGTCCGACATCATGATCACGAGTGTATGGCGAATCATCCAAAATATGTTATAAGCTTATCGATGAACAAGCCCGCATGCTTTTCTCCTTATCTTCCCTATGGCGAATACAATTCGTGCGTCTGTGATTCAATCCTGCACTGTCCGTTTCAATCTATCAGAAACATTGGACAAATTTGAAAAGCTGACTAGACTGGCGAAAGAGCGTGATGGGTCACAGCTCGTTGTATTTCCCGAAGGCTTGTGAGTCTACCTTGGTCTGCATATCGTCTTACCTTTGGCATATAACTCTTACTCAGCATCGGGGGCTACCCGAAATGGTCGACCTTCTCATGCTTTGTAGGAGAGAGAGTTTCAGAGGGCAGGGACGAGTTTGTCAAGTATTATAACGCGGCGGTTGAGATTCCTTCGCCAGCGACAGATCGTATCGCAGAGGTGAGCAAGGCGACAGGGGTTTTTGTGGTCATGGGGGTCATCGAGCGTGATGTCGGGACGCTCTACTGTACCGCTATATTCGTCGACCCCGTTGAAGGCCTAGTGGCAAAGCATCGAAAACTACTACCGACAGCATGTGAACGTTTCATCTGGGGGCAAGGCGATGGAAGCACGCTTCCCGTTGTAGCAAAGAAGTTCCAATCCTCCGTCGAGCCAACGCGTACTGTCGAGACGAAGATATCCGCTACCATATGTTGGTGAGTGTCAAACCTGATCGTCCTCACCTAGAGATCATGGACGAGTTGTATCAGGGAGAATTTTATGCCTTTGCGTGAGTCTTCAGGCTGATCTGAGTAAACCTCACAAACGGTTTGTTTCCTCCAGTCCGAACTTATTATTACTCTCTCGGGACGCAGATCTATTGCGTACCGACTGTTGACTCGCGTGAGACTTGGGAAAGCTCCATGCGACATATCGCATTCGAAGGACGTTGTTTCGTGCTTTCTGCGTGTCAATTCGCGACCGAGAAAGACTATCCTCCGGACCATCCCGTTGCAGATGCCAGTAATCGCAATCCTGACAATGTCATGATTAACGGTGGCAGCTTGATAGTCAGTCCTCTGGGGAAAGTACTCGCTGGTCCCACGAGGAAGCCCGAGGACATCCTGACTGCAGATCTTGACCTTGATGACGTTGTCCGAGGAAAGTTTGATCTTGATACTGTGGGACACTATTCTCGTCCAGATGGTACGACCACTTCATTTTGACTTGAGATGCGACTCATGGTCTGTGCTTAGTCTTTCAGCTCAAAGCAAATATCTCGCCATGATTTAGGCAGGGGGGCCCATACTCAAGAAAGAGGAGAGTGTAACGACAATCTCTCATTATCATTTCCACTGCCAATATCATGTCTGTCAAGTTGATGTATACAATGAACACCGTGTCCACTACTAACAGTTTCCACTGACATTGAGTGTTGGACACTGTGCGACTCCTATTTTTCCTAATTAATTATGCTTTGTACGACATGTGGCCTAGTACGAATGTGGCCGACGAGGACAAAGACCAAAGCGACATTCTCTTTCTCATACTTCCACAGCACGCACAAAGTGATGCATAGAAGTCCACCTGAAAGCGTCCACATCTACTATGATATAAAAGCTAGCTGGGTTGTAGACTCAGTCATATATACAACTTCCCTCATCGCTTAAAGTCACTAAGCCGCGGCAGGTCCAAAGTTAGCCAGACTCTTCAGCCAAATACCCCTCGTACTACTCGCTATACATTCCATAATGTCTAACTTGCAAACTCCCGATGCACGCACTGCGCTTATACAATCTGTTATCTCGCGTCACTCGCAGGCGAGTCCGGTGAGAGTATCCCCAAGCTCCCCATTGCGGAGACCAAGCCGCAATTTCAACGTGCAGGGCTTTACTGGCCACCGAAAGCAGGCAGCTAGCCCTAGCAAGCGTAAGGTGCGCGAAGACAACATTGCCTTGGCGATTCGAGGCAGAACGATCTATAATTCACGGATCAACCCCGCTACATCCAAGACAAGCAGCCCATGGAAGAAGCTGACGAAGCCAACCGCTCCCTCATACGAACCCCTTGGAACTGGCGCACGATCGCAAGCGAAAACGTTGTCTCTGGATATTTTACAACGAATGGAAGCCGAGGAAGAACATCTAGAGAAGGACCAAGGTTTCCTGGTGGAAGCCAGAGGTGACTCGCCGAGCTACCAGGCGAAGTCTCCCTGGATGGGCGTCTCTGAGTCTGATGCAGACTACCACATGCGGAGGGGCAGTGAACAAGGCACACCCTCGGACATGGAATATTCCCCATCTCGCTGGAATGCGCCGAAATTTAACTCAGGGGAGGGGGACTGGGAGATGATGTTTGACATGTACATCAAAGAACAGGAATGTATGGAAGCTATAATGCTTTAGGGAGGAACTGTTGGATAAATCACAATCAGCGCATAGCAATACAGTAATCACTCATTTGATATAATTTCCTGTAGTTAGTTATGGCACTACGTATATCCTGCCGCGCACTGTCATTTACATACCATCGGATCGTATAAACGCCCTTTTATGAGCGGCTGGTCCGCACCTATTAACGGCTAGAAGTGAGGAAGAATATTAAGTTATTCGTTTACCGAAAAGCCAAGGATTTAGCGCGCCACTGAAGCCAAACAAATGCAACACGTGTGTAGACAAGAAGTCGAGTGTTTGCTTCATCTTTCTTTCCTCGTTTGCAGTCAACCGAAAGTAAATTTTGGACCATCTTGCTAGTCGTCTTAAGCCCTTCATCACTGACAGCAGCGTCCAGATGACTGACTCCTACACCTCCCGCGTCGGTGACCATTCGCCCTCTCCAAATGGCTACGCGAACGGTGCCAGTCCGTCGTTGACCCAATCTAACAACGCTGGTATCTCACCTGTCATTCGCAAAAAGCTCATGGGCTACGTCGGTTTTGCCAACCTTCCAAACCAAGTGCACAGGAAGAGCGTCCGAAAAGGTTTCCAGTTCACTACAATGGTCGTCGGTTCGTTATTTTATACCAACTTAATTACATGCCCTCAAATGTTCACCATTCTCTAGGCGAGTCGGGTTTGGGCAAGTCTACGCTGATCAACACCCTCTTCAACACGCCTCTATACCCTCCCAAGGAGCCCCTTCCTCCTTCGGCTGAACGTCCCAAAACGGTTGCTATTGAAAGTATTGGCGCAGGTCAGTGCCGTATAACAGCATGCGAGGTGCCATTAACAGTCGCACTTAGATATTGAGGAGAACGGTGTTCGTTTACATCTCACTGTCGTTGATACTCCCGGTTTTGGCGATTTTGTCAACAACGACGACAGGTATGTAAAAATTTCGGCCAAATTGAGAATATCTCACCTATACGTAATATTAGCTGGAGGCCGATTGTAGAAAACATTGAGTCGCGCTTCGATTCATATCTAGAACAGGAGAATCGCGTAAACCGGCAGAAGATCGTTGACAATCGTGTTCACGCTTGTCTTTACTTCATTCAGCCCACGGGTCACTCGTGAGCAGTTTTGTTGTCTTCTGTTGTACCTCTATCTGATACATTCCGTCTTGCACAGGCTGAAACAACTTGACATTGAATTTATGCGTCGCCTACACACCCGAGTTAACCTAATCCCTGTCATCGCCAAAGCTGACACGTTGACGGACGAGGAAATTGTTGCCTTCAAAGCTAGGGTAAATCGCCTGTCCGTGTCGCGTTTCTTGTTACCTGACCTTGGCACGCAGATCCTTGCAGACATCGCTCACCACAACATTCATATCTTCCAGGCGCCTAGCTATGAGAATGAAGACGAGGAAACTCTTGCTGAAGCCGAGGAAATTGCTAGCAAGATTCCTTTCGCAGTCGTTGGTTCAGATAATGTTGTTGACACCAAAGATGGTCGTCAAGTCCGTGGACGTGCGTACCCTTGGGGTGTCATCGAAGTTGACAACGAGGAACACTGTGACTTCGTTAAGCTTCGCCAGATGCTTGTGCGGACCTACATGGAGGAGCTTAGAGAGCGTACGAATGATGTGCTATATGAAAACTGGCGAAGCGAGAAACTTCTTAGCATGGGTGTCGCGCAGGATTCCAGTGTCTTTAGGGAGATCAAGTAAGTGCTGCTCTTGTCATTTGTGGCGAAAGTTGATTAACGTCTTGTTCAAGTCCTTCCGCCAAGATTCAGGAGGAACGCATTCTGCACGAGGCCAAGCTTTCTAAGATGGAGGCTGAGATGAAGATGGTGTTCCAGCAGAAGGTCCAGGAGAAAGAGTCGAAGCTGAAGCAATCCGAGGAGGAACTTTATGCTCGACACAAGGAAATGAAGGACGCTCTCGACAAGCAGCGTGCAGATTTAGAAGACAAGAAGCGAAGAATCGAGAGTGGTCGACCGCTGACCCCAGAGAAGAATACCGTAAGCCAAAAACCCCACCCTGGAGTTTTTACTGACTGACGTTCTGTAGACCAAAAACCGTCGCTTCTTGCGGTAGATTCTCTCCGTCTCGGTACTTCTTTCTTATTGTTCTCTCTTCGCCTCTTCTAGTTTGCCATTTAGTATTCTTGCTATCGTACATCGCCTTGGCGTTTCACTCGTTACCTCGCCCCCGAACATTTTACACTCTTTTGGATTGATATCCAGGCTTGGCTACCCTCCACCCTTTTAGTACTATGATCAACTTCTTATGCGGAGTTTCTGGGCGTTGAAAGACGTCGAGGGGACGATTGGATTTATATTTCTGCGATGACTGCGCGAAGATACCCAGTGTTGCCACTATGTCAATACTGATAAACAGATAATCTTTTGAGTGTCAGCTTAATGTTAATGAGATTTGATCACGAACCACAACAAAGCTCAATCATGGCTGATAACCAGTCCGCTAATATTCAAGCACTGCTGTCCGCATTAAATGTGTTTACTCGTGCACCTGACAAGACTTCTTTGGAGAACGCGAATTCCTGGCTGCAGGATTTCCAACACTCTGTAAATTCACTTTCGCCCTTCGCCCGATCTTCCAATCCGGTCATCTGACTTCGTCCATCCGCCCTGTCCTAGCCCGAAGCATGGTCGACATGTAACGTCCTCCTGCTATCTCATGATGCACCTCCAGCGGCCAAACTATTCGCCGCACAGACTTTCAGGTCAAAAGTTAGTCAATGGCGATTCATTTCTGTGTGGCACTGAAGTCTCTCCGACAGGTTACTTATGATTTACATCAAGTAGATCCATCGAATCTTCTTCCCCTCAGGGACACTCTGGTCACTGCGTTGGAGAGATATCAAAGCGGTCCGAAGACCATTATCACACAGTTATGTCTGGCGCTTTCAGGGCTTGCCTTGCAACTCCCAGCTTGGGACAATGCTCTACAGAGTATAGTCGAGACATTCGGAGCGAACCCTGCAACTGTTCCTGTGCTGCTCCAATTTCTGACCATCCTTCCGGAAGAAGTATCGGGTAACACAAGGATACCTGTGACTGTGAGTGGCGTATAATCAGTAGATTTAGGAGGTTTCATGATCTCAACAGGACGATGAATATCGCGAAAGGTCTACAAAACTCCTTTCAGACAACTCTGAGCAGGTATTGGAGCTGCTCTCCATGTACTTGCAGGCAACTGGTTGGTCTATTTGTTTAGTTGCCAAAGGGCGTTGGTTACAAAATTCTGCAGGTGTCACGCATGCAGTTCAGAGCCAAATCTTTGACTGCCTTCGCAGCTGGTTAGTCGCAGGAGAAATCAATATGCCCGCTTTCGGGAAATCTTCTTTACTTGCATTTGCATTCGAGGCCCTAGCTTCAGAGGAACTTTTTGACTCGGCAGTCGACGTCGTCTGTGAAATGATACACGAGACGCAAGAAATCGACGACAATATGCCCGTGATTGAACTCATCGTTCCTCGGGTCATTGCCTTAAAGTCTCGACTGGAGGATCAGAAGGATGATCCTGAAAAGATTCGAGGCTATGCAAAGATCTTTGCAGAAGCGGGTGAGACGTACCGGCTACTCATTCTTCAGCACACCGACACATTCTACCCAATCGTTGAGGCAATTGGCCAGTGCTCAGCCTACCCTGACCTTGATATTGTGCCCATCACTTTCCCCTTCTGGATGCGGCTGGCTCAGACTATCGGCAAGAAAACAACAATTTCGCCACTATTCGGGGAAGCGTACAAGGCGTTGATGGGAGTCGTTATTCGCCATTTGCATTTCCCTCCTGATCTCACCTCTATGACGGGCCAGGAAGCGGATAATTTCCGCTCGTTCAGACACGTGATGGGAGATACTCTCAAGGACTGTTGTCTAGTTCTTGGTGCAGATGCCTGTCTTCTTTCTGCTTACGGGCTCATCACCATGGCGCTCTCTCGCGGTCCACAGTCCATCTCCTGGCAAGAAATCGAGGCCCCTCTCTTCGCTATGCGCTCCATGGGTGCCGAAGTTGATGTGATGGACGACACCGCCGTGCCCAAGATAATGGATCTCATTCCCTCCCTTCCGATTCATCCTCGAGTTCGTTATGCTGCATTGCTCATCATATCCCGGTACACCGAATGGATCAACCGTCACCCAGACTACATCGCATATCAACTACAGTACATCTCAGCAGGCTTTGAAGATCCTGACTCTGAGGTCAGTGCGGCTGCAGGGCAAGCGTTGAAGTACTTGTGCCAAGACTGTAAACAGGTAAGACCAACCGTCATCTTTATTGTCAAATTTTATTTTATAAACGTATTTGCAGCATTTGATTGAATTCCTTCCTACACTGCATACTTTCCTCACAACAACCGGAACAAAACTGACTCAAGACGATCGGCGGCAAGTATACGAGGCCATCGCTTACGTGATTTCTGCGATGTCTATAGAGAAAGCTGCGGAGTCCCTGCGAACCTTTTCGCTCGATATTTTGTCTCAAATACATGCCATAAGTAGCAAATCGACAGCAGTTACCAAACAAGAGCTCAAGGAAGTCGGATGTAAGTTTTGTGAATCGTATTGATATCCGGCTAACGCCTGCCCCCTAGATGGCTTGGAAAACCTGGAGGTCATGTTGCATGTCGTAGGACCCTTTGGAGACCAGCTACCTGCCGCCTGTCAGAACAGCTGTCAAGAAGCATGGTCGATTTTTGACACCTTTATTTCCAAGTTTGCGTTCGACTACGACACTTCTGAGAGAGTCACTCGCGTACTTCGTCACGGCATTACGCTGTTTGGTCAGGGTTCCCTCGCAGTTGCATCATCTGTCTTGTCACGAATGGTGACGTCCTTCGAGGCAACCGGTTTCTCGTCTTTCTTGTGGATTTCAGGGAAATTTGTAGGGAGGTTTGGTCACGAGTCGGACCCAGTGTTGCGAAATGCCTTTCAAAACCTGTACGAGAGAGCGACCAACAAAGTCGTTAGCCTCTTACAATCAAAGGATTCAAGAGACATTCCTGATGGTGAGCCCTTTTCGTTCCAGTCTTGGCAACAACTGACTTTGGTTTAACAAGTATTGGAGGATTATGTTCAGCTGTTGCTCCAGCTCATACGGATGGCTCCAGACGTTTTCTTCCAGTCCAGCGCATTCCCACTGGCATTCAGAGCCACCATGGCTGCCCTCACTCTAATTCATTCTGACCTCGTCTTTGCATCCTTAGATCTCTTCCGCGACATCCTTACTCACGAGAGTCTTACTCCTAGCTCATCGCCACCTCTCAAGTTCCCCATTTACTCCTCCGCTATCAAGGCCGTCATGGAAAAGGAAGGATTCGAGTTTGTGGGCTGCATACTCTCGGGCCTTGTTGGAGATTTCCCTGAAGACTCTACCTGCGGTTGTTGTCACCATCTTCCGCGCCATAGCGCTTTTGTGGTCTACGCAGCTGGTCACATGGCTGCCACCTATTCTGCAACAACTTCCTCCATCTAGTACCCCGAACCAAGTGAAGCAGCAGTTTTTATTGGATGTGACCAAGTGCGTGTATCTTATAACTCCCTTCGGCGATTATGGTATTAAGGTCAATTGTTAGCTCGTTGAACACCGCCCAATACGACAAGGTCAAGTATTCCATTCTGGCACTCCACCGAGCTTCGCGCAAGGCTCGAGATCGTAGACGTGTAACTCCCTTGAACCAAGCGTGAGATCCAAGTGAGGAAAGCTTCCTCGTCTAACACGGACCGGAATTCAGCGAAGGGGGTGTGCGTACTTACAGAGCTGTAATAGGAATGTTGTACATGGCCCAAATTGTTTAGTATTTGCCTGCGAATGCGCTACCAGTGTCTACCACCGCTCGGCGTTACGTCCGAGAAAACATTGTTCACGAAAAGTGACACGGCAAGGGATACTGTGAAGTGAAGTCCGATTCAGGTACATCAGGAACGCGAGAGTGTCTCATGACATAGTGCCTAATCGGGAAATATCGGGTTTTGAGGTTTTGGCACGGCGGGCGGGTTGCCACAGACCATAGCGTAGCGGAGAGATTTTGCATTTCTTTCCAACACCACGTCCACCAATGTTTCGTCGTTCAGGTCAATCCTTTGCTTCTGACCGTACGTTCCTTGTCTACAATAACAGCTTAAACTGATGTCTCCACAGTCGGTCGCCGGTCGTTCTCGGTTTCGGCTTCTCGAAAGAGTTATGCCGACACTATACACAACCTACGTATTCACAAAGACACTAAAGTACTCTGTCAAGGTTTTACTGGAAAAACGGTGAGCTCTCGACGTTTTTGTGGAGTTTAATGCGCGAAGAATTTATCACCGGAACAGGGAACCTTTCACGTGAAAGAGGCTTTAGCTTATGGAACAAACATGGTTGGGGGTGTCTCCCCCAAAAAAGCAGGTCAAATACATCTTGGCCTCCCTGTTTTTGGTAGTGTCAAAGAGGTATGAAGGGATCCATCATTGTTCTGCAACTGTCTTCATCATATCGAATAGGCCGTTCAGGCAACAAACCCCGATGCAACAATCCTTTATGTTCCTCCCCCCACCGCCGCTGATGCCATCATTGAGGCCATCGAGAATGAGATTGGTTTGATTGTTTGCATAACGGAGGGAATTCCTCAGGCCGATGAAATAAAGGTGGATTATTTTTGTGATTCATCGAAGCAGTTTATGAACTTTATATTTAGGTCATGAATGCCTTAAAGAGCCAGTCTAAATCTCGTCTCGTTGGGCCCAACTGCCCCGGTATCATCAACCCGCTAGGTTGCAAAATGGGCATCCAGCCTGGTCACATCCACAAGCCCGGAAAGATCGGTATGTTCTGACCAAAATGCTTGTTTTGATCTCCCGCTTCATCGATGCACTCCAGGCATTGTCTCACGTTCTGGAACCCTTACATACGAAGCTGTCGCCCAGACCACCGGTGTTGGTCTTGGCCAATCCCTCTGTATAGGCATTGGTGGCGACCCATTCCCCGGCACTCAGCACATAGATGCTCTCAAAGTTTTCATGGAAGATGATGCGACTGAAGGTATTGTTGTCATCGGTGAAATTGGTGGTTCTATGGAAGAGGAGGCTGCCGATTACCTTGAAAAATACAACAAGACTCGTAAGAACCCCAAACCTGTCGTTGGGTTCATCGCAGGACGCACTGCTCCTCCTGGGAGACGCATGGGCCACGCTGGTGCTATCATTTCCGGCGGCAAAGGTGGGAACCATTGGACTCGCTTTAGTCTTCCACTGATTTTTTGGATCGCAGGCGCTGCAGTAGACAAGGTTGCTGCTCTTGAGAGAGCTGGTGTTATAGTGACGGATAGTCCGGCAAAGATTGGTGCTGAAATGCTTAAGGTTTGTTCAGCTTTGATTGCTTGGAATAGTTTGCTTACTTTCGGGAAAGGCAATGAAGGCGGCAGGTCTCGTATAGATAGATATTACCGCTATACCAATTTACTACAGTTCAATCTATTATTTTTATTAGGCCTGCCGTGGGCTTACATAATCGTTCATCAATCGTTCATCGATGTCATTTACTGCGTCCCTAGACATAGATGAAGCAGCAAGCTATCTATCATCCGCACAGTCCCTCTCAAAGGTTTCCACTACCATCAAGCTCGAGGTCAATATAGTACTCTTGACTTTTATCCATTCTCTAACTTGTTCACAGCTCTATGGTCTATTCAAATATCTCAAGGTGGCCCCGAAGCCGCAAGGCTCAAGGCCATACATATTTGACATGACAGGACGCGCCAAGTGGGACGCGTGGAAAGCGGCGAGCGATGCATATGAGAACAATAGCTACGCCGCGGCACAGCGGTATCAAGCAATCGCTCAGGAACTGGGATGGAAACCAGGTTCTACTTCCAGCAGTGCACCTGGGAAGCGATCGGAGGATGGAGGCACAGATGCAGGTGTTCAGAATGACTCCGCTAGCTCAGGAGTCTTCAGGTGGTGGCGGCGGGATGGGAACATCTGTCAGCTTACTAGTCAATCCGGGCCCAGATTTGGGTGAAGCTCAGACGCTGTACGGATTGGCTATCGCGGGAGACGCAGAGAAGTTGATGGCGTTCTTGCTTGTAAATTCAGCAGTCGATATAAACGCACGCGATGAATTTGTGCGTTTCACCAGTGCTTTTCTACGCAAAACTCAAGTTCCAGTGCCAGGATTATACCGCCCTTCATTTGGCCTGTGACAGAGGGAACATGCCAGTAGTCCAGGCATTACTGAGCAAGGGAGGGGATCCTCTATTGAAAGTAAGGCATGGAACTTTATAACTCGAATACTGACCCCGTAATTGGACAGGACCCCGACGATTACACTGCAGCAGAGCTGGCTCAGGTAGCTGGGCATCAAGAGATATATGACCTCCTGAACAAATAGAAGATGCTTGAATGATAATGCAATTATGGCTGCAATCTACGTATGCGAAGCTGTAGTGGTAATATATGACTTCCTCCTCGCTCTTAACAGCCGGTGGAACGAACCCACCCCAAAGCGACGTCGAATTGCTCAAGATTTCCTCAGACACCACGAGAACTACGACAGTAGCTGAAGTTATTCCAGAGCTACTCGTTGAGCCAGAGGAACTGTCTTTTGATGATTCTGTGCCAAATTTTGGACCAGAAACCTTCGGGTGATACTTGGAGTCTGGCGGTAATACACCACCCTTGAATATTATTTACTTTAGCACCAACAAGCGTACGAATAACAAAGGCGGACTTACACGTTCCAATAGCTTGACTACAGATTTACTAGGCAGTGCTCCAACACCTAACCAGTACTTTATTCTGTCCACACTCCATTTGACAGTCTTGTGTGTGTCCCCGAGCTTAAGAGCAGGATCGTAGATGCCCAAAAGCTCCATAGGCTTTGCGTCTCGTCTTGTGCGCTGGTTAATGGCGACTAAATGGAAAATACGGTTGTGTCTCTGGCCGTGCATGGCCATCCTGAGGCGCACAGGCATGATGAACTAACAAGTAGTATGGCTGGAAGAAAGCGAGAGCGAAAGTTGTGTTTACCACTATTTGGAGGGACGTGTCGAGCTGAAGTACGCGCGCACTGAGTGTTAAACTCCAGGCTACTATACATTGATTGTGACCTAAGTACAATCCAGGGATCGCAGTGGATAGGCAACAAGTCTTATAGATCATACATAGTTGATTTGGATGAAAGGATGTGATGCTCGTAATGTCCACAATATCACCGACGTTTACCATACCTGCTCGAACAACATGGCGCCAGTGCTAGTGAAAGTTCCTCTACAAGCAACCCTTAAGCTGAGAGTGCAAGAGCTCGGAGGTGTTGACTTTTCTACTGTTGTCTTCTCATAAGTCACGAGTCCGACTCAGGACCTTCGCTGCCTGGAATTAACTGGGGAGGCAGATGTCAGCCCCCGCCCGAACATTCAGTAAAATAATATTACAGACCATACAAATATTGTTACCATTGAGAAGCGTCTGCGCAAGCCGTGTTTTCTTCCTTCCCTGAGGAGTAGTCTCGCTGAGGACGACCGTCAGCAACAGGAAATCGCCATCGTCTAGTCTCACTGACTATTCTGTTACATCCTCTAGCACCATGTCTGCGTGTAGGTGTGCTCAATACAAGCTTCATCGCGTAAGGAAAGAGTAGCCGACTCACTCACGAAATCGTCGAAGCCAAGCAGCGTCCCAGTAAACTCACGATCACTTTTCATGATGACCCATATCCGGGATCCAATACATCTGTCAATCAGCTCTGCGAGGCTGTCAGGAAAATGATGAGCGGTATTTGTTATCTTTTGTACTCGCCTAGTGGGAGGATTTGAGAAGCCATGATGGTAGAGTTTGTGGTGGCGTAAAGCAAGACGGGCGAGACGCACTCAGATCAATGTTGTAAATTTCATCTACCGCATAACGGACGTCGTAGGTAGTACAGGTTACCAATAATCACCATTATCAGCTACTACACTGAATCATTTTCTCGTGCTCTGACATATATTGTTCTGTCACAAAGGAATTTGCGTCCGTTAGACGCGTTACATGTAAGATACCGCACAAACGTAAAAAGTATGGAGAGATCACGGGTTGCAAACAGAATGGGGAGTTGAACGATAATGGGTGGTGCAAGATATAAATGACAGTAGCACACAGTAGAAGAGATAGGCGAATCAACAAGACCAACAGTTCACTGTTGGCCGAAACTAAAGCCTCCTTGAGGAGCAGTGACATCTGAGTGGAACTGCACAGATAATTAGTACACGAAAAAAGGACAATATCAGTGAACTTACGGCAAATGCACCACTAGCATCAACATTAGGTGCGCTAATTGCTGCATCCACTTCCTCCTCGTCTGGGAAGTACTTGTCCATGATATTGAATGCCTTCTTATATATCTCCAGGTTGTCGTGTGATTGGAGGTTGTGGATGGTGATCATACCGCCTGCCTCTTCGACATATAGAGCATATTGGTTGACGGATCCGGGACCTCCAGCCTGTTTATCCGTCTCGCCGACCTTCAGAATGTTATCGAGCCCATCAAGAGCAACTTGAATGATTTTGTTATCCATCATAGTGAGGAGGTCGCAGAGTGGCTTGATACAGCCTTGCGAGACGAGATAGCGGATCTGCGCTGGTTCATGAAGACCGCCGGACGTTGCGTTCGAAATTGCCCAGCAGGCCTCCTTCCGCGTTTTGAAGTCGGCATTGGAAAGGATGTTGATAAGTGGGGGAATAATATTGGCATCGATGACTGCCTGAATTTGGGGAGGCGACCCAGCGGTGATGTTGGAGATTGTCCAGCATGCTTCTTTCCTGATACCCTCTTTTGGGGAAGATAGTAGCGAAAGGAGAGCGGGCAAGGCCCCAGACGCGATAACGACCTGAGTCTGAAGATCATCTCCAGTAACAATGTTGCCGATTGAACGAAGAGCGGGCGTTTGCACGGAGGTTGAACTGTGCATAAGCAGATCAACGAGGCGCCGACATACAGCTGACTCGATAACTGCTTGGATCTTGTCGTTTGAACCATCTGAAAGGTATGAAATAGCCCAGCATGCATCAATCAAAATTTCGTCATCGAGCGAGTAAATGAGTTTGGTCAAGACGGTCAACGCAGGAGAGATCTAGTGAAAGATGTCAACATCCTATGCATAAAAGCCATGATTTGTCACAAACCAGTTCCCAGTCAGGCTGAGGGTTTTTGCCCCTGCAGAAGTTACTCAGGGTCCATGTAGCATTCCTGAGCATGCTAAGTTTGTGATTTTCGCTTAGCAACGTGAGGAGCGGCCTCAATGCCCCTTGTTGCAGGACATAATCTCTGCATTGTGGGCTATCACCCGCGATGTTCCCAAGGGCCCATACCGCCTGCTCACGAACATCGAGAACTGGCGATGACAGGAGGTTGATGAACTCAGGGACGGCTCCAGCGGAGATAACAACCTGAGTGTGCTCAGGCAGTCCCAGAAGCAATATTTGTGAGCGCCCAAGCGGCCTCGAACTATAGAGCGATTAGTATTGACTGAAAGCGAGGCACGGAACAACAAACCTGCAACATGGAAGCACCAGTCCGAAGGAATTCGACAAAACGGGGAACAACACCACATTCGATGACTTTCTCGATTGGAGGGTTCCTCTCCTTTGACAACAGTTTGCGGAACTTCGTAGTTGCATCCAACTGGCGATCGGGATCATTAGAGAACACGCCACTGATCATTTCTTCCGCAAGCTGCAAGCACATTCAGTACACAGTCGTGAAACGGATGGGATCGTACGCACCGGAGGCTCCCAACTGCTTGTCGTCGCTTCATCATCTGAGTCGGCTGAAGCTGAGGGGAGGAAATTACGCCTTTTCGCGATATTCTCCTCGCGCTTCTGCCTTCTGATCTCAACTTGCTGCTCCTCTCTGCGACGCCTAAGATCGTCTTGCTTCAAACCACCTTTATTCTTATAGTCTGATCAAACACGCGTCTTCAGTTACTGATATCAAGAAAAAAATTGAGACAAGCATACTGGCTCTGCGGTGTTCCATAGTACGTGACTCCATGACGGATAACTGGATCGCAAAAATCTAAGAAATGATGGAAGGAAGAGATAGAACCAGAAAGAAGATCAAGATGTTGAAAGCCCTCGCGTCACAACAAAGGATAAAGCATTATCAGCCACGCGTGACATTGTTATATCATCACACAATGTGACCAAATTAGTCACGTCACGAAGTTCTCACTCCAGGTTCGTGGCAGATAAACTAATAGTTAGTAAACTGTTCGGTATCTGATTTTACAAATGATAGATATCAGGAGTGCGACGGCAGAGTGGAGCCGAGCAGTAGAGAACTTGCAAGTAGTGGTGATACCTCACGAAAAGCTGTGGCGCTGTGTACGTTCTCGTACTTCGATCGAACATAACTCAAGGCATCGCACGATAAATTTCTAAATATTGAAAATGTTCGATTGAAGTTAGGATACAGCGTGGATAATAGTTTACGAGTCAAACGGGTACTGGTAAATTTTATTTAGTCTCTCGAGGCGACCAGTCATTGTTGATGATTACTCACCTCAAATGATTCTGGAGGGTCAACAGTCTGGCGAATTCTCATCCAGAGCGATGTGGATCGAGGGCCTGGCATGATGTACAAGGGCTTGCGGTTGCGCATGTCCGTTCTCAGTCGGTGCTGATTCCACGACGGGAGGTTCGAACGAAATGAACTCTGCCTCCGTGTCAGGCCTCTCATCCACCATCAGGAGAATACCACCCCCGCCCGCGTACCGCTCCGAGGCAACACCAGATGGCGCCTTCCTGACACCAGCGTTCGGGTTCCCTTTGCCACTAGTCTTGGGCGGGACTGTGTTCAATGATACTGGACGAACAGGTTGATACCGTCCTTCAGGGGGAAAGCTGATGTAGGCGAGTTGCGTGGGGGTAACACGAGAGAAGTTTGCAACATTCTCTGCAGAAGGCTCTGATTTCCGTTTCGGCTTAACGTCTTCGGAAGCGTTAGTCGAAGGTGAGCCATTCGTAGGCTTGCCGGTAGGACCCTCTTCACCTTTCATTTCAACGTCGCCATCTTTCTTTTGCTCAGGCTTCTCGTCCTAAAATAGTACATAGATAAGTAGAGAAACACTTCGTTGTAAACGCAACTACGCGTACCGTATCCATAGCATCTGCATCAGCAGCAGCTTTTTTCTTTTCTCTCGCCTTGACCTTAGCGGTTGTCGAAAGAACTGCGGTAGCCGCTTTAGCGAAGGTCTCCCGTTTGGGAGGAGTGGCGGGAGGAGGATAGGCGAAGAGACTGGGTCTGGCATTGGAGACAAACTCGAACTTTGGCACCTGAATTTTGGTTAAGTGAAAGTAGTCGAGAAGCATTGCATGGGGCTCACCTTCAAATCTTCATTCAAGCCAATAATAGCGGTTGGCTCAAATGCGAGGCACGCGCAGTGTGCTAATGGATACCAATACCAGAACTGGCAGAACATGGTCATACCAACGATTGCGTTCGTGTTTTTGCTCCCCGCTCGACTCTGCAAGCTAATGGTGACGTTACGGCCACCAGCATCTATCAAACCTTGTCCAATAGCAGCACCAAAACGTGCCATAGGATCTTCGTGCTTGTCAGACACAACTTTAGTGTAGAGGGCACGGGTTGAGGACATGGATGGAGATGAGGCTTCCGACTGTTGGACCAAGATCATACCAAGAGCGATAAAGGCACCCTGTCGCACGAAATCAACTCCGTCCTTGGTCATGGGCTCAAGGATCTCAACAGCATCTTGAAGACCGGTGCCTGCGCATGCGATACCCAGGGCTAGGGTTGCACCACAACGAACGTGTGGGTTATAACTTTCACTGAGGAGCTGAACAATTCGGGGAACTTGGCCTGGGTTCTTGAATAGGAGGAAGGCGAGTGAGGTCACAGCTGCCCTCCGAACATCATCTGAGGTGTCAGAGACTGCGATGTGCAGTAGCTGCCGCACTGCGTCATTATTTGACGTCCCTGCGTAGGCTAGTGCGAGAGTGTAGACACCGCCATAACGTAAAATAGGGTCCTGGATGGGCACTTCAGTAAGAGTGCTGACGGTCATGGTAGGACTTTTACCTTTTCAGTCAAAAGTGAAGTAATTGTAGAGTCGGCCTCCTCTTGGCGACCATAAAATATGAACGCCAGTCCCATAGCCAGACCGCGGATGATCTTCTCGTGCTGCGTCTCTCTAGCATACGTCAACATCTCCTCCGCGGAGGTCCGATCTGCAGAACCAAGCATCACAAGACCCATGGCATAACCAGCTGCTTCGCCAGCTACGGCGGAATCGGTGAACAGCGTCTCCTTCAAATCATCATATGCATCAGAACTTCTTCCACCCATTGCTGAAATACCAAGACCGAGAGCGGCACCGTGCTGCACAACCTCGCCCTGAGCGGTTTTCATCGTCTCCCGAAGGTAGTTCTCAACAGGTTGGCCGCTACCACAGCCAGCGTTGATCAAACCAAGAGCATAAAGAGCACCACCCTCGGAGTAGGCGGCCCCTTGGATCTGGCTTTCGCCTCCCGCTTGGGGGAGGTATGGGCCAAGAATGTTCATTCCCTCCTCGAAATGACCCTTGTGAATGACACCGAGGGCAGCGGTCGTAGAGAACTTAGCCCAGTTAGACGCCAAACCGAGCCATTCAAGGTTTTCACGAAGGAACACGTCAGAAGTTGTTCCAGCGTGCATGAAGGCGTTCTGTAGAGTGACCGCTGTATGATATATAGACGTCCGGGCTTCAAGAACATCCTGGCGGGAGAATATTAACGATGTTTAAATCTACCATGAGAATACTTACCTTCGTGTTCTTCAGAATTAGCATATCTACTTTATTGTTACGCTTCAAGAATTCCAGGTATAGTTTGACAGACTCTTTCCCATCCAGGATTTTACGGAGCTTGTCGTATATGTCTTGCGTTTCCTAGAGAAACCGCTTAATGTATCGTTGGCAAGTATATGACAATACTTACCTCCTTGCCCTCAGGCAAATCGACTTTCACCCCCTGCAAGAATTCCCGAGCACCTCCCTCAACCAAGTCGAATGCGAATTGATATGCAAGAAGCCTCTCCTTTGGAATGAGGGAGGTCAGGAGTGGAACAACGAGCGACGGTCGATTGAGGGTGACTAGTAGCCGAGCAAGTGCATGAATGTGAGGGGATTTTGACAGTGATGTTGGAGGAGGGAAGAGAGGTAGGAGAAAGTTCAGGACTTGGTCACGGTAGGAGAGAGAGAAGCCTGTATCTAAAACGGCCTCCATCGTGTACGAGAGAAGGGAGACGTCGTGAGTCAAGTCATATATACGGTTTACAACATCGAGACGATGAGACTCCAATGCAATGCCAATTGCCTGCCCACAAACGGTGAGCTCGGAGTAGCTAATATCCATGACGGTTATGTTACCTGACGGTACTCCCCCTCTTCAATACAGCGATCAAAAATACTTTCTATGATAGCTTGTAGCCGAGCATCAATCTTCGTCGAGCTCCCGGAAGGCTCTTCAGTGCGCAGTGTGACGTATCGGTCAATTGCGTTGGCTTGGAGGTGAGCAGACAGCATAAGTTGATTATGGACCAGGGCAAGGGGTTTAGCACTCACATATCACTGTTTCAACATATTCGCCTGCACCATGTGCGCGAGCCTCAGCCTGGAACGCGCTCCCTGCGCCCAAGGCAAAGGACAGGGCTTCGTCATACTCTCCCAAGAAATAATACACTTTGCTAGCCAGCAAAGCAGCATTATGGCGAGCAGGCTTTGGAAGGTCATCGGACTCGTATAAGCTTTCTCTAAGAATGAATTCCGAGGTCAGAATCGACTAGTGTGCAGTGAGCAATGGCAACCCATACATGAGTGCAATGTGCTCCGAAATTTCTGCCCAAAACTGAGGAACAAGGGGAATGAGTGCTTTGAGTGCATGTTGCTTGAATACGGTGTCTGGTTCCTGTAGGAGAGCGAGCACGCCAGCCGCGGAAGATTGGGAACGGATGACCATAACTTTCAAGTCAAAGGATACTATGAGACGCGTCACCTTTCATCACGCTACACACGAACAAGTCTTTCAGTCGGAGATTTAATTCACATTCCCGACCTCATCCGTCTAAACGTGAAATATTCATTGACATTGATTCAACACCTATATTCATGTTTGCTCGCACCGCCGTACGTGCTGTTACTCGCGCAGCTCCCAGAGGCTCTCGCACTTCCTCTGCCGATGCAGGTGCAGGTGATTATTTTGCAAAGCGTGATGCGGTTAGGGCCCATGCTGCAGGTTTGCACAAGCACTGTCTTTTAGATATAATGGATACTTAATTTACCTGACAGAGGTTACTCAGCTTTGGCGTAGAATAAGGTTAGTTCAATATTTTCTACGTAGTTCGTCTTAGCTAACATTATGCAAGCTTCTTTGTTTGCGTCCCAGCTAGTGCGTTTCAACACCAGCAGTCTACTTGGTCTGCTCACCCCTTTGTAGCCATTGTTTGCGCCCTTTGGGTGCGTAATGTGGAAGCAGAACATGCAGAACATATAGAACACATAAAGGCAGAACATGATGGTCACCTCCCCGACATCCCTCAGTACGAATACATGAACCGTCGTGTCAAGCCGTACCCTTGGGGTATGAACTCGCTGTTCTTTAACCCACATGCAAGTTGTTTAAACTATTTTTGTGTTTGTCTCAACTCATCATTTGTAGGTCAACAAAGACTTGTCGGAGGAATGACCTTGTTTTGTACCAGTAGACTATGATGCAATTTCTGCAGCACTGCTATCTCTATCACTCCGGTCGGTGCGCAAGTCGTGATTTCCTGGTGTCACACCTCCATGGTTTCGATGAAGTGCCGGTTAAGTTTCTGATGTCACTGCCATGATCGTCAATATAAAGTGTGGTTGAAAACTAAAAGCAGGGCTGAGCACCAGCCCCTCTGACTGTTTTATGATCTGGGTGCTTATGTGGGGTCACAGTTATCTAGACATCAGTGCAGGAGTTGTGTCCCACACATGAAATACTAGAGATTCTACTTCACCTGGCGGTCCGCACTAACAATAATAAACTATCAAACTATTCGTCCCAGCTTCATTGCAGAATGTTACGAGCGGTTCTCGTGAAGAAAGTATGCTTGCGAAAAGATAAACGTATCCAAGGTTAGAAACCTAAAGGCTCTTGGAATATTAGTAAGTCTCAATTTGCACTCGCGTCTGAAAGTACGTAAAGCACAGCGGTGGCTGACGGATATTGTTCCCTCATTGTTGCCTGCAACATAGCGCGCTTGCGCATCTTTGCGAGGTTCGTGGCAAGGATATGCACGGTCTTACAGTGCTCCTCTAAACGATTATTTAATGCGCCTTCCCAGATTACGGCGCGTTTTAGGAGTTGAACACCCGTTTTAATATTGGTACGAATTGGAAGCTGGAAGTGCTTCAGAAAAACGTGCTATACCAGCTTCGCCAAACTCAGGACAAATCTCAGGCCGCCGTTGGTAGCGAGTGAGCTACACGCTTATACAGTATGAAACTTGTTGCTTCTGTCGTTCTGTCGCGTCCCGTCTCGTGCTCTAGAACACCGTTGATCAGCATGACACTGGCAGAGGCAATTCAGTGTTCTACAGGACCAGTGATCTGAGGGTGTAATCATGGGCATCTAGAATTGGTTTTGACCTGACATCGCTGTTTGACGTAACCGAGTCCACAAGGTGATCGATTGATCGATTGACCACCAAGTCAGTCTGTTACTTTCGCTGCTGACACGTGTATCCTGTCTGAGTTCGGCAATTAGAACCACTCTTGGCCGCGCATGTCCTTCATATTAATATGAAGCTGATATGTTTGTAGGATGATGCTGTCTTGACCAGTCCGAGTCTTAGCCAAGTGGTAAGCGTGACAGGACTGAAATCTGTCGCAGGTTGGAAACTTGCTCAACAGTCTTTTTCCATTTTACCACGCCTTGAACATTCCCTCATGGATAAATCCTTCAAGGTCTATTGGATCAATTTACGCTAAGGTCTTGCGGTAATTAGGCAAACGGAGTCCCCAAGCTCCATGCTCGAGGACTCGGACAGGTTTTATTACGAACCGAGAGACAGAAGTAGTATGAAGTACATAGATGCGAGACTCGACAATGTGTGCTTTAGATAAGACTTCAGCAGGTAGGAGTGAAAAATATACATGAGTGATGGAGTCCTAAAGGGCTAGCATTTTTTTTTGAGATATATATGTGTATGCTTTGTGGTCCTGGCGCCAGTGAGCCGAAGTCGTCAACACAAATGAAGTCGCGAGACAGCCGTCCATAACATTCACTCATGGACAGTTCCAAGGAAGTTAACGTTCATCTCGAGGAGATGTCCTGGCCAAATTGAAACTTTACGTACCATAACAGAATTGAAATCTGTTCCCTTGGACTGCGCAGGTTCGAAATCTGCCGACGACAAGGCTGTTTTCTCTCGGAACACACCTTGACATTCACTCATGGATAATTTCGTTAGAAGTTCGTCGTAACTGATCTTAGTCAAGTGGTTAGCACCACAGAATCAAAGTCTGTTCCTCTTGGACTGCGAAGGTTGGAAACTGCCGACAACAAGTGTTTTTTCTATCAGAACACCTTGACATTCACCCATGTATGATTTCCTCAGTCTCATTTTAACTGATCTTAGCCAAGTGGTTAACGCAACGGAATCAAAATCTGTTTCTCTTGGACTGTGTAGGTTCGAAATCTGCCGAATGACAGTTTTTTTTCTACCAGAACACACCTTCACATCGACTCATGGATGGATTCCTCGGAGCTCCACCTAACTGGTCTTAGCCAAGTGGTTACCATAACAGAATCAAAATTTGTTTCTCTTGGAGTTGGTTCGAAACCTGACAACATTTTTGCGGTGCATGTATAGATCCATCTTAACTAGGGCGCCGAAGCATCCTTTTATGAGGCAGTCCGTCCATGAAAAGGAACTTCACGCCTTGCGAGGGCCGTCTCAGGAACATCAGATATATCCTCGAGGTGCGTACGTGCTAACTCAGACTCTCGACAGACTGACCAAAACTGTCGGGATTCACCATAAAACGAAAAATGTCAAAGGGGCCGGAGACCAGAAGAATGCTAGCAAGCTAAGGACAGAGTGAGCCTGACAATCAGGAAAATGGTGCAACCTTCCCATCTTTAGCTCTCGAGTCATCTTCCATTGCATTGGAGGAGCCAACGACCAAAGGAGTGTCCATCGAGCGAGGCTGGAAGAATTGAAAGTGGCAGACCGAGCCAATATTATCGTTCTGATGTGTGCAGTTTACGTGCGTTCCTGTTTTGTGTCGATGCCGAGGCGAAACAAAAAATTATTTACTTTCGATTGCGGCAGAAAGACCCGGGGCGAAACGTCCGAGTCTGCGATCGGGAATTTGACGGTGCCAATGCTGTCATGTTTACGCTTGCGGAAAGTAGATCATGGCCCAAGAATTAATTATAAGCGGATGATTTAAAAGTAGAAGCCTTGCAAAACACAACAAAGGCGACAGGTTACAAGGTGGCACGAAAGATATGCCAGTAGTGATAACGGACTGCACAAACAAAACAACCGAATTATAGATTGAAAGAGTACAAAAAGTGTCGGGATTGAAGGCGTAGGTGACAATGACTAGGCATGAGTTCGAGTTCGAGTCGACTTATGAAAAGAACAAACACTGTAAATCCATCAAATCGGTTCCGCTGGAAGGCGCACTTATTTATGTCAGAAGCTTTCGCTCTTGACCGCCCAATTTCTGTCCTGTGAGCGTCTCCACGTGCTGCAGCACTACATTTCTCCATTCTCATCGCATTTGGGAGCTGTTTCCTTGCCGCCTCCCCCTCGACTCATGTTTAAGCAGCTAGCAGGGTTTTTACTCCCTATGGAGGAAGTCGAAAAATGGGCCACACGTATCAATCCAGATTGGCGAGCTAAAAGCCCAGATCGTATCATGGCTGGCTTTGTTTGCATGAATCAGGAAGTCATTCGCGACCACGTTACAACCTTCGATGGCGGGCCATACCTCTATCTCACTGATGCATCATCTAGCTCCCGGGACGACATCATCTACGTCACGCAAGGGTGCCATTCGTGCAGAAAGGTGAACTTTGAGAAAGGTGAAATAGAGTGTCGGGCCTCGGATTATCTGGAGAAGGAAGATGTGGACGTTACCAGATTGCGCTTTGTGAGTATCATGGGTGTTCAAGATGACTTGATTTACCGCCGCGCCGCCTACCGCTGAAGGACGACCGCTGTCGCTGAAGGTCAACTCAAACGCCTCGTAGCTATGTGACATCGCTGACACCCCTGTCAGGCTAATATCAGAATCCGATGGTGAACCTTACACTTGAAATTGACCAGTACTGTCGCCACTGGTGATGTTATCAGTACCCAGATTTTTTTAATAATAAACTTTCGCATATGTAGATGCACCTGTGGGACCCTCTCATGCCTTGTAAGTTGTAGACCTCCCTGGGTTTCGACAAGGACAGTGAAACCAGGACGGCTCAATTACCGCTAATTTCACGTGAGGGTGAGAAGCAGTTGCACAGACGAGGGCTGATTAATGACTGACTGGAACATGCCAGTTGGAAGTCTCGTCGAATCACGTCTTTCTTGGGACTTGCGAAAGACGTACATAGCGTTTCTAAGGCGGATACCATCTACACGCGCTGTTAAAATTCTCGATTATCATAGGTGCGCCATACCGCGCAAATGAGGCTGTAAACATGAGCATTGAGTGGGTTTAGGATATTCTTACCTTTGGAAAGGTTCTCCCACTCGGATCAGATAAAAATACCATGAAGCAGCCTCAAGGCATATTGCAAACCCATGTCAAAAATCGGCAGTGGGTACAAAATGATCGCCAAACTGACGTTACAACGCGTTGGAAACGGAGGGTACGTATGTAGTGTAGGGGGCAATGAGTATTGCGCTTTTGATAGCTTACGATCTGAGAATAGTTCAATAAAGCCACTTGTCAACGACACGATCTGATTCGACTTACATTAACAGCTAATCTGTATAAGCCCAGTACCAGCGTCGGCAGTACAAACGAGCAACGATAGCAAAGACGGCAAGCCATTTGCAAGATAAGACGTCAGCGTGTGAAGTCGAAGTGGTCGAAGACTCGGACTCGGACAGGGTTCCGATATGAACGATGCGGTCCCTTCATCTACGTAGAGGTGTGCAGGCCTCTGTAGCGTAGTTTTTATTCCTAGATGGAGGACGGAACTGTTAATGAATTGTGCTACCATAGCTAGGCGAAGTTTGATACTTAGGTAGTATGCTTTGGAAAAAGCATTACATACAGCAGTGGTGTGATTGTCGCCAAAAAAGGAAGGTGCTGTAGATTGAATACCACCAAAGAGCGCTGCTTTCATGTGGGACTTCTGGGGACTTTCACGCGTCAACTACTCACCTTTGCAATCACTTACACCACTACCACCAACACAGAGTCATGCCCCGTGCAATCATATCTCCTTCGGTCCTTGCCTCTGACTTTGGGCAGCTCAGTGCGGAATGCAAGAGAATGATCAAGGGCGGAGCGGAATGGTTGCACATGGGTACGTTTACCGATAAGTGAAGCTTTAGTGAAACAGTCCTTATCGACACCCCACCTTATGCAGACGTCATGGACGGGTAAGAAATGAGATTTAATGCTCTTATCCGATGTCAATCTGTCCCATTCCAGCCACTTCGTGCCCAATATCTCAATGGGTTAGTACACGGTCGCGCTCGTCTGCTTGCGAGTGGTTCTCACATGCATGCAGGTGCACCAATACTGTCTTGTGTCTATAAGGGTGTCCCGGGCATATTCATGGATTGCCATATGATGGTTGCAGAGCCCGAGAAAGTAAGCACGTATCTTATCGAACTCGGCAGTGACTGATATCGGCATCTGCCCCAGTGGGTGAACGACATTGCAGATGCAGGAGGCTCGCTATATTGTTTCCACATCGAGGCCACGTGTGAGTAATCCCGCCTTCGATCTTCTCCCGATGACCTTAGCGCCTTGCACAGCCGATGCTATTTCACTTATCAATGCTATACATGCGCGGAATATGAAAGCAGGGGTGGCTATTTCTCCGGACACGCCATCCACGGCCATCACAGATGAAATAGGCACAGCAGCGGACATGCTCTTGGTTATGACCGTTTACCCTGGTGCGTCATATTATCGATTTTTTGATAGGTCGCCTCACGTGGTATAGGACGCGGTGGTCAAAAATTCATCGAGCGGTGTGTACCGAAGGTTGCGGAACTGCGCGCACGCTTCCCAGAAAAGGACATTGAGGTAGATGGCGGTGTTGGACCCAAGACAATCGATGTCTGTGCCGATGCAGGTTAGTGCTGCCACCGAATCCCCTAGACGATCGTTTGACTGGTCCGCAGGCAGCAATGTCATCGTGGCAGGAACTGCCATTTTCAATGCGCCAAACCCGGAGGACGTCATTACTTCGCTGAAAGCTACCGTTAATACCGCTCAAGCAAGGTTCTCGAAGTAGATAATAAGGGCGCTGAACGGCTGGTCGCACAATATGTATTGAGTAATTAGATTTTACGAATTCATGTCCATTGAGGCAGCACAATTTATGTTATTAAAGTAGACTAAGATTGGTCCTAGCAGGGCACTATAGCCTGAACCAGAAGGGCAGTAAGCAAACTGCTTGACATGTCCGAGATGAAAAGATCGGCAAATGGTGAAGTATGGACAGTGAAAGGACCTGGTAATCAGAAGGCTAGGTACCCAAACAACTTGTCGTATTGATGTCAGAGTCTGAACCAAATAATAACAAAGGTTGCAGCATGCAATCTGTGCATTGATGATATGGGGTCGTTTCAGATAATGCGTTTAATATTGATTATAAGATTGCGGGACCATGGTCGACGGAAAGCCGCAAGAACAGAGGTGATTCAAGGTCACCATTGAAGCCATTCGCCGTACATGTTTGGCCTCTCTCCACGAATGTAAGACTCGAACGTTCTCTTGAGAACAGTAGCCCAATCAAGATCGCGTTTATCGTCAGCGACCCGGTCAGTGGCATCCTCTGGATCGATATCGGGCTCTGCCGCTGCACGGGCAGCCCTCTCGCCAGCAGAAAACTTGGGGCCTAGGTCAGGCCAGTTGCGAGATGGATCGAATGGCTTCCACCTGAGTCACGATTAAGCACGGTGTGTCACACAGAAGGGTAGTCTACTCACCAGAAGTTATGGAAGTGATAAGAGAAAGCACCCTGGAAGAAGCCTTCAAACCCTAGTGCCTGAGGAGCGGCACTGGCTTGGGTAGGTGTGTCAAAGAAGTCCGAGAACCTATGACAGATGGGTGAGTAAGCTACGACATAAGAACACGAAACTGCATACGTACTCTTGGAAGTATGGTTGAGGTGGTCTTTCGCGTTGATAGTACTCGGTGTTGAGCCACGCGGAGTCAAACATGGCGTCAGGTAGTCGTAGCAAAAGACCCTCCAAGTATGCATCCTTGGTATAACGAGATACCGTCATGGGGTGGAAGTCGAGGCCATTCTTCAGGGCAGTGCGGAACAAAAATGACCCAAGAGCAGAGTTCTTGTTCATGCGCAGAACGGCAGTATTGTATTTCTCCAGCCGCGACCACCTATACGCAAACGCGCCCTTCCAACCCCAAAGTTCCTCCCAGTCCCGCAAGAAGATGGTGTCTGCATCAAGGTAGATACCACCGAAACGATGACAAAGGACAAATCGCGCCATGTCAGAGAGGATAACTGAGAGGCGGTCATATGAAGACGATGATTTCGAGCCAGTACGGTTGAGCATATCATCTTCATCCGATTTGTTCTCGCCAGTAGACAAAGGCTTTGTAGAAGGGTCGGCATCGGTGCTGTTGGTCGAATCTTCTATAGTACTAGTACTGGAGGCCTCAGCACTTTTCGACTGCGACTTCTCGGCGGGCACACTGACAATGTGTCCTCCTGAGTTGAAAAGAGTCTCTTTTAACTCGCGCCACTCGTCCTTAAGTTCTGGGATACCATCAAGCTGGTCTGTCGTATTCCACAGTTTGAATTTGATAACGTCCTTGAAGCGATGATGTAAGAAAGGGGCTGCCCAGGGATTGGTCTTGAGCCCTTCATACATGTCGCTCAAAGCGGAAGGGTTGGGGACAGACGCTGCAGGACCAGGGTTGATCCACATCCAGAACTCAGGGCGGCAAACATTAAGAGTGTCGCCATCCTTCAGATGTAGACCGACATTCTGCGTGAAGAGGAAGGAGAGCAAAGCGAGATATGGCTTGTCGGTGAATGGGCCAGTCCAGAACATGTGGAAGAGACGTGGGTTTTCAGGGTCGCAAGGTGCCGGAAGACTTGAATAAGGTGTATGTTGCAAAGGGGTACGGAGAGGTAACTGTGTCTCCCAGTCTACCCCTACCTTCTTTCTTAAACCTGCGTTAGGATCCGTCTCTCCACCTGAAACTAGCGGACGGGGTGGAGCAATGGGATTGGCTATAGGGATGGGGTCCATGAAGGGGTCTGTGAAGTTCTCCTTTTCTTGTTCCATGTAGATGTATTTCCATTCGTCCATTTCGCCTCGCCTGAGTCTCTTGCCATTGTCGAGGCCAGCGCCTATACGCAAAACTTCGAGGCAGTCGCGTACATACTTCGGAAACATTAGTGGGTGAAAAAAAAAGAGAAACAGAATGCGTACTTTGCCCTGTGAGAAGTCACAGTGATCCATAATGATATCCAGGTCAGCGACGCTGCCTGGTACAGGGCGAGGTGGGTATGCAATATTAGGAGGCTGGCTTTGTACATCGAGATAAACGCGTCGTGGACCATCTCCACGCGTGGTTGTAGCTACAGGGCCTGGAGGAGGCCTGAATCGTGAAGGAATCGTTGGAACTTTTCGTGGAGGAAGAGCAGGGTTGAGTGGTGGAGTGCTGAGTCCGACCTGCTCGGGTACTGAGAGAATCTATGATCAACACGTATGATTACGACAGCAAGAGAGATGAGGCCCACTCTTTGCATTACTTGGATAATGGCCGCTATCTATTTCCCATTTCCAAATTCGCCGCAAATCATCTCGCCCAAAAACTAGGGTAGAAGACTCCCCAAAGTTGGTAGTCCACTGTTTTTCCTCTGCGCCGAACCGACGTGCAAAGGAACATATTGTGACAATGGAAGCAATCAAGACTACGCAGAGTAGTATAGGCCCTCGTCGTCGTCCGAAACGCGAGATACTAATCTGGCGGACACGACTTGGATTTGGCATAATTAAACGAAGGCGACGTGAGCGTACGCCAGGGATTGGGACTGATACTGGGACTGTCCAGGACATTGAACGGGAATGTCGATGCATTTTCTCGCTCACAGCGGAAGAATAAGTTGGAAGAGAGTTTGCTAAATGACTCTTGTCTAAAAAGCCATTCCCGCGTTGGGGAGTAAAATAATTAGAAGACGCCATTTCGTCCAGTAAACGGCGAATTCACGACGCTCGTGGTGAGCAACTTTTAAGAATATTGATGTAGCAGAGAAGCGTAGAGATCCGTGGGAATTTATCATCTCTGCTGTTAACGGGCATAAGTAGCCAAATTGATCATTTGGGTGTGAATTTCTTAAAGGCGATATTTAGGCTGGCACTGGCTTTGGAGCATGCCTGGCTGTTCAGCCTAGCCATCTGCAGTCACAAAAATAATCACCACAGCCCATGTCAGCGCCCCACTATTCGTAGCATATCATTGTAAAAAGTCTTTTGATAGTAAGGTCCAAAGTTTGCGTCAAATAGATCCGCATTGAAAATGTCTTCCTGTTCAGATCGTCACCACCGCAACCATTCACCATACATATTTGGTTTTTCTCCACGGATGTAGCCCTCAAACGTTCGTTTCAGCACAGTCGCCCAGTCCAAGTCACGCTTGTCATCGGTTATTTTGTCGCTCCAATCATCAGGGTCTGCATGAGGGTTGGCAGCAGCGCGCGCTGCCCTTTCACCACCTGCAAATTTAGGCCCCAAGTCCGGCCAATTCCTCGCAGGATCGAATGGCTTCCACCTTTCAGAGATATCAACAGGGATGTAATGTGACAAAAAGAAATTTACTCACCAGAAGTTATGAAAGTGATACGAGAATGCTCCCCTGAAGAACCCTTCAAATCCGGTGACCTGCGGCGCAGCACTTTGCACTTCTGGAGTGTCAAAGAAATCAGCAAAGCTTCGTGGTGGATCGTCAGCAAATTGCAGCCAGAACCATCTTCAGGAACATACCCGGCGAAAAAAGGGTGTGGTGGCCTTTCCATTTGATAGCCTTCCGTGTTTAGCCACGCTGGGTCGAATAGCGCGTCAGGAACGCGTAACAAAAGGTTCTCCAAGTGTGCCTCTTTAAGGTACTTAGAGACAGCGACAGGATGAAAGTCGAAGCCGTTCTTCAATGCGGTACGGAAGAGGAAAGAACCAAGGGCGGAACCCTTGTTGAGATGGAGTACAGCAGTGTTGTAGTCTTCGTGATAGGACCACCGGTAGGCAAACGCGCCTTTCCATCCCCAAAGCTCCTCCCAGTCCCTCAAGAAGATGGTATCGGCATCTAGGTAGATCCCTCCATAGCGATGAGTGACAATGAAACGTGCCATGTCAGACAAAATCACAGAAAGCCTATCATAAGTCGCTTCCGATTTCGAACCAAGGCGATGGACCATGTCACCAGTTTTAGATATAGTACTAGAGCTCCCTGCGGGTTGCTCGGCAGGTACGCTCACAGTCACACCCCCTGAATTGAAGAGTGTGTCCATTTTTCTCCACTCGTCTCTCAGTTCTAGGTTGCTATCAAGTTGTTCTGTCGTGTTCCACAGTCTGAATTTGATAACATTCTTGAAACGTGGATGAAGGAAAGGTGCCGCCCATGGGTTCGTCTTCAGTGCGTCGTACATATCTGTGAGCGCAGAGGGGTTTGGAACGGCCGCTGCAGGACCAGGATTGATCCACAACCAAATCTGTGGACGACAAACGTCGAGCTCTTGCCCCGGTTCAAGATGGAGGCCAAGATTCTGGGTGAAAAGAAAGGATAACAGCGCGACGTATGGCTTCTCGTTGAATGGACCTGCCCAAAACATATGGAACAGGCGGAGATTTTCAGGATCACAAGCAGTCGAACGGTTTGAACCCACACTTGGCTGCTCGGGGGGCGGGAGCTCTAGTGGACGTTCCCACTGCACATTCCTCTTCTTCATCAACCCCGCGTTGGAGTTTTGACGTCCGGTGGGGTATGGCCCAACAGGCACTATAGGTGCAGCCTGTGTAGCGCGGGGAAATTTTTCTTCTTCTAGTCGACCCTCTTCCATAAAAGCGTATTTCCACCCATCCACTGATCCTCGTCGAAGTCTTCGGCCATTATCCAAACCAGCTGAGACGCGCAAAAATTCCAAGCAATCACGGACATACTACGGAACAATGTAAACATGTGCGTAAGATCTTCGCGAATGACACACCTTGCCCTCTGAAAAATTACACTGCTCCAGAATGATATCTAAATCTGCAATGCTGCCGGGTATTGGTCTAGGCGGGTAGGCAGCGCCGACAGACTGCTTCTGACTTTCAAGATAAGTCCTACGGGGACCAACTCCCCGTGTAATGGTGGTTACTGGCCCTGGTGGGGGCGTAAACGGTGAAATGAGTGTGTGTGCCTTTGCTGGAGGCAAGGCCGGATTCAAAATTGCGGAGGTGAAACCAATCTGCTCGGGTACTCAAAGCAAGTCAGCTCCATCTGGCATAAGAGCCGAAAGCACGTTGTCGCTTACTCTTCCCATTACTGGGGTAATGTCCGCTCTCAATCTCCCACTTCCAAATGCGTTGCAAATTCTCTCTGCCAAACACGAGGGTTGAATCCCTGAACGGAGGTGCCCAGTGTGACTCTTCAGTACCCAACAGCGTGAGGATGACCACTGCAATGGCAAAGACTACAGTAAGGAAAGCAACACATCGACAGATGAAACCTCTTCGTCGACCGACTCGGGCTAATCTGGAGCGAGGCCCCGGGCTCACGGACTGGAGACGTATTCGGCGCGTTGGGGCTGTCATAGGCACGAGCCATTGCCTACCACTGGACTGGAGATGCAATTTTTCGCGAACGGCAGAGGAATAAGAAGGAAGTTGAGGATCATAGAAGGGTCGGTTGCGAGTAGTATGACGCTGAAATCCAGCGAAATAACGAGTTGCCATCGCGTTCAGGCAGCGATTTTGAGTTTGTGGAATAGTCAAGGGAGAAATGAAGGGAGGAAGAGAACTTCGGGCCCCAGGCGTCCGTGTCCGAGTCAGTACGTTAATACTTACTATGATAGTGGAGTAAAGAAAGTGAACATCAGGTCATCGCGTACAAAAATCCTGTAAGGAAGATATTTTACCGGTATCAGTACGGCCTGTGCCAATGCGTGGATCACTCTATGGGAAAGTTAACATTCTACCACGAAGATGCGCAGTTGATAGAGACACGAATAGAGTGTCGTGAGTAGTAGTCGGCGGATGTAGATCGATGAACCGAGTCAACGTCAAATGCCAGAATGTCATTGTACATTGTTATATGCATCACAACCACGCTACAGTATGTTTACAACAAAGTCCAAGGTCTCAACAGTCAACTTCAATCATCTAGTTTGCTCCCAGGGATTGCAACTCAAAATCAGCAGGATCGGTAGGAACCGACAAGATGCGCATGGTGTTAGTATGGCCAAGACCTCCCTTCCAGCCTTGCACAGCGATAACGGTAGTTCCCGTCTTGATGATATTCAGCGCAAGCGCGTTCTTCAAGCCGAATCGGATACGGTTGTCAACCTGGATAAGATATATCAGTTTCAGCTCAAAGTCAATCAAACATGGGCGCATGCTTACATCTTTCTGCCACTGACTCTCATGAACTCCACGCGGCTCAGGGTACCAGAATGGATAACATCCACGGTGGAGATGGATTTGGCGCGCGGTCTGCTCATTCCGAGTGACTTGAAAAGGTGGTTGAGTTAAATATGTAGATGATATTCAAAGGGCACTTACCCGTGATGATGGGTACTCTCGGGCGGTATTTGGAAATCAGACGAGCAGTGTTTCCGCTTGTGGACAGTACAATAATGGCGCTCGCGTTTTGCTCCGAAGCAGCAGCGACCGCAGCAATCGCCACGGTCTCCACAGTCTCGGTGGGGCGAGGCTGGATGCCTCGCAACTCGTCGTACAGAGGTGGGTAGCAAATTGCTGCCTCTGCCAGCAAACATGTCTCAGCCATCATGAGAACTTCATATAGCGTCAGTCTCGTCATGACCATCATACTAAAAACACGCACCAGACTCTACGGGATAATTTCCCTTTGCAGTTTCTCCAGACAACATGACACAATCGGAACCATCAAGGACAGCATTGGCTACGTCGCTAATTTCGGCGCGAGTGGGCCTGGGGTTGTACTGTGCGTGATCTGAGCAATGCTCATAGGGGAACAGGTCGATTAAAACATACCGTCATTGACTATAAGTGGCGTGTATTCAGCGAACGCATTATCGCACGATGAGCGATCTACGTACCTCGAGCATCTGGGTTGCCACAATGACTGGCTTCCCAGCGATGTTGCACTTCGCAATCATCATCTTTTGTGCCAAGAAGACTTGGCTTGCGGGGATCTCGATACCGAGGTCACCACGAGCAACCATAACACCATCAGTCTCTCGCAAGATTTCGTCAAAGTTTTCAACACCCTGCTCATTCTCGATCTTCACGATGATTTTGATGTTCGCACCATCTGGCCCCAGTACTGTACGAATGTCTTTGACATCCTGGCCGCGGCGGATAAATGACGCGAAGATCATGTCAACACCGTTCTTGACACCAAAAAGCAGGTCCTTTTTGTCCTTCTCCGAGAGAGCAGGAAGGTCGACATCGGTCTTTGGAAGGTTCACACCCTTGCGAGAAGAGAGGGTTCCATTGTTCAGGGCACGTACGCGAACGTTGGAACCCTCAATAGCCAAGACGAGGAGAGAGAGAATACCTAGACAGTTATTAGATGAATGAACAATTCAAGGGTGATCACAGATAAACTTACCGTCATCAATGTAGATGAGCTTGCCGGGAGCAGTGACCTTTGGCAAGTTTTTCTATAAGAAAATATTAGTGTGAAACGCACAAACGAGTATTTCCTGCGCACGTAGTCAAGCCATAGGACCTTGTCATCGCAAATCTCGCTGTACTTGTCTTCCGTCGAGATGACGAATTCATGGCCAGCCTTGATGGGCGCCTGAAGGTGAAACATGATGTCAATCACATAGTGGAGTCGGCGATAAAGATCAGACGCATACATCCTTTCCATCTCTCATCAAACCCGTGCGGATTTCGGGGCCTTTCTGTTACAAGCCAAATATCAGAATGAATCTGTAACACGAGTGCCCGAGCCTTACTGTGTCCAAAGCAATCGCAACAGGTCGTCCACTGGGATCCGCTAATATCGCGTATCAGTCAACACGATCGTATGCTCAGACAATTCGTAATTACCCGCAACCATCTTTCTTGTGTTGTCGATGACACTCTGGTGGTAATCATATGAACCATGAGAAAAGTTCATGCGAACTTGAGAAGAGGAGTGAGTCGATCATCGTAGAAATAGGATGTGCGATCATCACTGACCAACGTTGACACCAGCGCGTCTCAGGGCAGCAAGTTTCTCGACGGTGTTCGTGTTCGGACCTAGAAACAATCAGCATCGACTAAACATCGACGATCACACAGATCGCGCACCGATAGTTGCGATGATCGAAGTCTGCAAGGTTGTGATAATTAGATGAAGGATGGAAGGATGGGAGAAAACTAACCTTGCGAAGGAACTTGGTGTCAGCGGTGGGCTGGGGGGCATTGGAGACGCTCAAGGTGGAGTTCCACTCGAGCTGCGATCGGATACCATCGTAGGTGAACATCTTGTTGGTTCTGGCGATGTTGGATAGGAATCGATTATGTGAATTTGAGACCGTGCACTGGACTGAGGAAGAAAGGATATTATCAGCACTCGTACAAGATATAAATCTTTTAGCGGCGCTAGAGAATAAAAAACCGGTGCGGATCATACGATGTGGTTTTGGCTCGGGTTCGGTCGACTTACCTGATGATGGCGCGGTTAAGGGAGGAATATTCAATGTCCACCGAATGTCCACTAGTGCGTTTCGGCAGTTGTATTTATCTATTCCTTGAATCAATACTTATACTGATCTCATCGATTATCCACAACATTAATTGATTTCTTAATTGACTTCACGGTCCGCTTGTTCCTCGTGGGTCGTACCCATGGCAGGCCGCCACCTAGGGACATTTTGACACGAACGTTCGAGCCTTTTGCGTTGGCTATATCGGACGATAGCTAGCAAGTATTGTAATTAAGCTAGCAAATATGAACCCATCGTGAATTGACAATATGATAAAAAAACCTTGCCAGCATGTCTGGCTTACAGAAATCCACTCAAGAAAATGAACCGGTAGAAAGAAGGGTAGGTACGGGAAGTGCTAGAATTCGGGGGCTTGACGACAGCAATGATCTGAAAGATAAGACAGAGCGAACGAAGAGCAACAAGCAACGAGAATCGACGACAACATATCTGAATCAATGTTACATTACTCTTAACGTCCAACCATGCAAACCTCCATCAGCCGCAGCCGCAACTTGCGCCGCAGCGAGCCAGCTAGCATCCGCTGACCCCCCTGGCGGTGCTAGAACACCACCAGGTGCCATCGACCCTAACTCCATAGCCTGGAATACGTTTTCGCAACTAATCGTTCGTCCAGAGTGATAACCAATACCATCCGAGGCGCGAATGAATAACAGGGGAAGACTCCGGCCAGCAATGGAAGGTGGAGGATGTGACTGTGAACCACTTCCATTGGGCCCGTCAAGCGGTGTTCCATGTTCACTATGTTGTGGTGATTGCCGATGTATGAGACCATCTGGGGTTATCACGCTCGGAGTCATTACATCCTCTTCGAGTGCCTTGATAATCTCAGGCAATGAAGGCAGCTCCACTGTCACGATGGTGTGCAAAGGGGGCTGAGTGAGATATCGTGATGAAGCGTCGGCAGGGGAACTTGCAACGTCTTCACCTCCACCCACTACTACCTCATTAGATGAACCGGACATGGCAGCACCGAAAGCGGCAATGTTAGTCAACGGTCCTGGGGGAGCAGCCTGATAGAAACGAGCTCTGAGAGGACCAAGGCCACCTAAATACACGGTCAGTGGCATCTGAGTTCGTGTCTTTGGGTCTTCATAGAAGAAGTGCGACACGGTCATTTCGAGTATATTGTTTGTTGGTCGGTACACTGGCGCCGTGAATAGTGTCGGGAAGGGTGTGATGGGCATTTCGGGTATTGAATTACTATGTTGACCAAACGCATCAAAGAATGTATACTGGAACTTGGCTATGGTCGAGCATTGTTAGTGCAATCCAACGTCCCAATGAAAAGTACCTACAAATGCCCACAATTGTCCAGCATAAATAGTCATCTACTTCATCGGTCAAGGTTCGCACGCCATCTTTCATCTCATCTCGTATGCGAGGCGATTGGAAGATCAAGGGGTGTGTTCCACCCTGAGTCGGTGCTCCTGGGACAGATGGGGTGGAGTTCGGAGCGCCGGGGATGGGACCGGCAGCAGACAAATAGTGTCTTGTACCATCCTGATTTACTCTCTGCAGAGCAATTTTCTGCATCTGACTCACAGGTCCACCATCCTCAGCAGATACGCGACCTTTGTCTACTTTGCGAATGATAAGGGGTGACGTGGCGATATTAGACAATGTGTCGGAAAGGACAACCTCACAGCCGTAAGTGACAGGTTGCGGACCGGCTGAACGTGAACGTGAGTAAAACATGTATAATACTTTCCAGTCACGTGAGCACGCACCATTGGTGGGCGGCGCGTCATCGGGGCGTCGCACTACGTTCACATTGAACGCAGACCAAGTGACATTACTTGCACAGAGCTGAGAGTTGTCGATAGTCATATACTTGGTGCGTACAGTCTGTGAATTGATCCTGTTGAAAAGAGACACAGGACCTCCCGCGAGGATACACGAAGAGATGTTACGCGTTTTTGCTGTCTTCTTCGAGGGTTTAGATATAATGGTTACAGGAGCTGAATCAAAGGTGGCCCAAACACGTCCTGGAGTTCCATCAGCGCTGCTCTCGCCTGACAAAGCAGAAGGAGGAGGTTCTATTATGTCGAGAGACAACTGGAAGCTCTTTGCCTTTGCTGTGCCAGTCACGTGCAAGAATTTGAAGCTTCCGGTCATGTTATTGTCCAAATTAGTCTTTTGGTCCAATGATCGTTCACCCTGTTCGGAGACAACTGACATAGCGAGTTGTTGAGAGCGCATTTGCCATACAGGACCTTGAATATGCACGACGGGGGGAGGACAAAGGAAGCGTTTCTCGCTACCATAAGATTTCTGTGCAACAGCGGCGTGCAAGCACATGACGGTTGTCATTTGAAGTAGAGGATGCTGGTGCTGCTGCGCCACATGTTCGCGAACAACAGGCCGACGAATTTTTGGGTGTGGATCGTCAGGCTCTGTCTCGTCGAGTTTGCGCTTACCACTCTTGCCGTTTGAAGACTTGTTTGATGTACATATATGAGTGCTACACTATAGCGATGCACTTTGTACTTACCTGGACTATTGCGGGTGTAAGATGAGGGGAAGAATGATGTGGCTGAGGTGAAGGTTGGACAGGGGGAATACCCCATTGATGTAATGAATCTGGAGCTGCTGAATCTTTTCGGTTCGCGGCAAGTAGAGATTGAAGAGACGCGTTCGGATCGGTGTTAGAGAGAATAGAAGGAGGAGCGGAAGTTACTGGAGGTTGTGAATTAGGAATAGCATTGTTGTTTGATGATTGAATATGGTTTGAATGCTGAAACTGTTCACCAACTTTATTGGCAAGTATATGAGGAGGAGAAGAGGTAGGGTTTACAAGTAAATCCAAGGTAGATTGTACGGGTGATGTTGGAGATGAAGTGCTTGAATTTTTATTCAGCTGCTGTTGAAGAGCAGCTTCGGGCATTTGGATGTGTGAAGAAGAGTAAGGATGGAAAGTCCTCATAACAGTTTCCCGCCCGATGTTGGTAGCCAGCTGTGGGAATCGAGGAAGAGAGGTGGGAAAATAAAGAAGAGAGATTTCAACTAAGACGTGAGAAAAAACAATTACAAACACGTGTAATCGTGAGAATTGTATATAAATAATATAATAATGATAAACAATCTAAACTATACTAGACATTGCATGCAGTGCCCATCGTATAGGCCACCAAGCAGATCCTACTGACTTGGAACTCTCTCCAAATGCAAGGTCATCATCAATAGATTCATCCCTCTCATCCTGTGTCAAGAAAATAGTATCTTTGCAATATTAACTCATGTACAGTTGATTGGTTGGATCGGACTTACTAAGTACTGATAACACACCCATTTTATCCTCCCCTTTGATTGTCTCCTCTATCTCATCTTCTGCCCCCCGTGCGAACACGACGGGTCCCGGCGTGTCAGGCAACGACCCATCAACATTGCCCGATTGTAGTTCATTGTCAACAGATTCAAACGTTTGTTCTTGCCGTAACCACTCCCAATGTTCCCCCGGAGATGAAAGGTATGAGGCGGGGAAAAAGCCGTAAGACTGAACGGATCCTTTCTATCACGCGGGGAGGCCGCCGTCGCCACAAAGGCGCTAAATCTGTGGTGGGATGATGCGGGTGCCGATGTTTGATCTAAGCGGGGAATGAAGCCATCTACGGTAGACTTTGCCCTGGCTAGACCAGGTCGAACTTGATATTCGAGAGACTGAGGTGCGGTATTGGAACGACGGATGGCCATGGTGGCCAGTTCTATGGGGGACGTTGGCCCATATATGCAAGTCAAAACTTGTTCACCCCAACGTATATTACAAACTCCGCGACCTTGCACAAGAGGGGCCAGCCATTTCAAGGCACAAAGGTACCAAATGAAATCATGTATGCAGCTACCTACAAAACATACGCAGACTTGAATCGTCGTGCGATATGTATTACAATGGTTCTACATATGCATAATGCAAGAAAGGGTGATGGACGATAAGAAAACAATATTAATGTTGTCGAAGTTGCAAGAGACATGTGGGTACCCTAATGAAACGACAGGCGTAAAAATATGTCCATGAACGTCCAATATGTCTTAGAAAATGAGTGACGTGACCATAACACCTGACATCTGACACTATTTCAGGCTCATTCCCTCAACTTGGAGGGTCGCGAGGGACTCCAGCAGAACGACGTCTGTCCATCGGGCGACTTTGTCCTGGGAACGGAACAGTCGCGTTGGCCTCATTCTTCATCCCGCGAGACTCTCGCTTTGCACCAGCAGCGCGCTCGGGACGAACTCCAAGTTCTACATCATGCTGATGCCGCTGCCAATCCTCCACCCTCAATACCGATTGGCGTTTTGACGACGATGGGTTGTTGACACCGCCAATGGCAGCAAGCTTGTCAGCGTTTATTCCCTTGGACCGGCGTTCTGGGTTCTTATCGTCCTCGGATCCTGTCTTGCCAAGACCATCTTCTGACCTGCGCCGCAACTTCTCCTTCTCTTCTCGTGCAAGTTCTGCGGCCTTCTCAGCATACCGCCTGTTTACTGCTTCCCGCTCCACTGCCTTCGAGCGCTCCCAGCGATGCTTAGCAGCCTGGACCTCCGCATTTTGTTTCTCAGCCTCCGTGATGGGAGCTTGGAGACCCCGCATCTTCTCCCGATGCCGTTCCTCCATTTCCTCAAACGTTGCAACACGTTGAGGTTCTGGCCTCTTGGCAACCGGCGCTGCGATGTTTGCGCTTTGTCCGCGAGGAATGATCACGGGGATATTGCTGGGGGGCTCAGCAACCGCAGCCTTCAATGGTCGAGTGGGAGGGAGGACGATCGGTATGTTGCTTCGCTCGGGCTCGGGTAACAATGGCGCACTCCTGGAGAGGATGGCAGGAGGATAGCGTGTAGCAGCTGCAGGAGGTTGCGAGGGTGCTAACACAGCCGGGATCATGTTGCTGGTATATGGTTTGGGCTTCTTCGTGTGAGCGCGGGCTGTTGCAAGCGTGGCAATGGGCATATCCTCGTCTGACGTATCTTTTGCGCTTGTGTCTGGACCAACACTAGGGTCCAACAAACTCTCCCGGCGTTTCCTTTGGGAGAGGGCTTCCGTGACAGCTGGCGGGACAGGTAGGCGTTGTTGTGCAGACAGTGATCCCGTCCTGGACAAACGGCTCGTTGGGATGGGTGCAGTCACCCCAGCCGGTGGTTGTAGGAGCTTACGGTCACGAACGTACGAGTCCCAGTCATCGTCGCGCAGAGGAACACTTGTAGGACGGCCAATTGATGCACCAAGCGGAGGCGCATCTATTAACTTGGAAAGTTCCATGGACTGTGCACGGCCGCGTGGATCTGGCTGTCTGGGTGGGCGAGTGTGTGGACGTGGAGCAATAGCATTATCAAGATCATAGCTAAGGGTGCGGCGAGAGGTCAAAGAGATACGACGAGAGCGGGAGTCGTCCGAGTCAAGGCCAGGTGTCTCCGATCTGAGTGCATCGATTGAGCGTCTGATGGTTTGAATTTCGGCAAGAAGCTCTTCCTTGCGTGCGAGATCTTCCAACTCCAATGAGACAGCTTTTCTCACATCGCTGTGTTTGGTGTCGCTGCTATCAGGATCGTTATCAGTGATGAACCCAGAAGGAACATCCTGTTGAATTCCAAGGCCAAGATCAAGAGCAGGCAAGACACCGGGCGCTTGAGAATCACGTGCGGTCCGCTTGATATCTTCGTCAGGGGCGGGAGCAGCCATGAAGTCAGACACCCCCGATGTATAGCGACCACGCCCGCCAACCAACGTGAACATGGAAGCCCGCCCATCTTGAGAACCCCTGGTGGGGAAATCCTTCATTAAAGGAGTCCCGGAGTAGCCACTGGCTGTCCGGGCATGCATTCCAAGTGGTGGGTGATCGCGCTCCCATTCCTCCTGCTCCTTTGAGAGCTCTTGGAATTTACCGGCAGCGTTGAGTTCGGCCTCTTCATCCCGCTTCTTTTCTTCCTGAGCAATTTCCTTAAGTTTGCGCTGCAAGACGCGGAGGATGCGGAGCTGAACGGCTCCACCCATAAGAGTGATCGCTCCAATGAGTCCAAGTTCGATTTCCATCGTTTGTGTTACCGGGAATGCAATGCGGTTATCGACATACTTCGGGAATAGGGAGGTGAAACCTAGATTCCAGACGTAGAACTACCGTCGTGTGTGAGTTATCATGAGCTGACTATGGAAAATGACGCAAACCTCTTTTAAGCCAGCTGTTGTGTAGCAATCCACACCGAGAATAAAGGCAGACGAGCCAACAAATGCAGTCGCAACCAGAAGCATATGCCAATGTATCTTGGGTATTGTGCAGAGGACAAATGCAACCACGCTGCATGCTGAGCAACAAGTTAGTAGGGAGCAAGGTGTACTACGGAGAAAACAGTTACCTATATACAGAATCCATCTCATGCCAACAGGGGTAATAAGACCGCCATTTTTAAAGCATTGTATCCATAATCCGAAAGCGAAACCACCCCATGCGCCAATGAAGTATTTAGTGGCCTTCCAAAAGAAGATTGTGAACGCGCCGCCCATGATACCAGCAACGGCGGAGGCTAATACGAACATGCCCTGAAGTGTGTTGTTCGGTGGGTTGATCGCGGGAAGAATGCCGAACTTGACGATAAGAACGAAACAGACCAATGAAAGGGTATAGAAACCAATGAGGAAGAAGGATGTCCTACATAGTGTGAGTGAGAAATCGGTAGATCCACGAATGAGAGAAATTACCATCTATTCTTGTGGCCCCAAAACGCACTTGGTAGTCCAGTTATGATGAGGATCGCTCCCAATACACCAAAAGCTGGAGTAATTCTAGTAGCTAGGACGATGGGAGTTGGGGTGGGTGAGGACGAGGATGCTGATGTTGGTGTGGATGAATTTGCATGAATAGTGCTTGTTGCATTGTACACTGTGGGTAATACGGTGGTGATAGTGGTCGCAATGTTCCCTGAATGGCTGACGGATGTCAACGTGTAAGAGCTAGTCGTCAAGAACGTTGTAACATTCGCAGAGACAGTAGGAGAAGGACTGCTGCTGGCTGTGGTCTGGTTTGTAGACTGAGCTGAAACCTGAAAAAAGAGGGACAAGGAAAGTAGAAGACATAGCATAAGGCATAAGCCAGGTGGTGCTCTCGCCATTATTGAGCACGACGAGCAAGGACAGTGACTTAACCGAACTGCAACCTGGACGGAAGAGAGCAAGAGACTAGGCCAAGGCTAGGTTGCCTCGGCGCTAGCAAGTCAGCCACCCATACTATTCATGGATTCATTCACACTAAGGTTACATCATGCCACTGGTCCTATTTGGACCTATGATTGGTTTGATCCGCGTGCAAGACAGCAACCAACAGCATACTACCGCCGTTAATAATCCCGTCACAACCCACACAACGGCGCCACATCAAAACTCATGTTTACCATACTCTACCTCGGTTCCCAGCCCTAGGCATATCTAATCTACCGACGGGCACGGTCACGGTGTGACTTGTAAAATATTTCTGCCCGCGTCAGTCAAAGTGCTCTAGCTTTGTTGCACCAATACCAAGCTTCTTCAGCATTACATCCATCTTCTTCGAATCATCCCTGACACAAACTTTACCATTCTTCTCCTCATTCTCCCGGCGTCCCTCCACGATGGTGATCACTTTCCCTCGGCGGCCGAACCGGCCAACTCTCCCTGCGACATGCTGGTAAACATCTCCCGCGCGTCCTTCCGGAAGTCCAAGGAGAAAAACGTGGGTTAGCGCAGGAGAATCGATCCCTCGAGTCGTTGCAAGCGTCGATACAAGCAAGGTGGGATTCTCATCGGGAATATCCCTGTCCTTAGACAGAAGGTGTGCCCGTCCGGCTTCATTGTCCACGAGATCAAGACCGTGGGCATTCACCCCGAGTTGATTCAGCTCAAAAATAACTCGTCGGACGGATGTAGTTGCAGGTACAACAAGAAGCGCAATGTTTGGTACGTCGAGAGCGAATGCGGATGCAACGGCTTCAAGCATCCCAGGACTGAAAACGGGAGGAGCTTGCAGCATATCTGATCGTAAATCAAATTGTCAATGACCGAATAAAAATATAAAACCAAAATATCCCCACTCGCGTTAGTCTCATTATCGAGCAGTATTTCATCATCTTCATCAAAAATAAACTCTTCTTCTTCGTCCTGTTCTCCACAAGAACTCGCATGCTCAGAGTCCGACGGTGTGAGGGCTCGAGCTGTGCGAGCACCAGTTATATTTTTCACAGAGCCATCCTGCGACATGACAAGAACATGGTGTGTGATCGTGCGGTTAAGACCGTGAGCCGGACGTGAACCAGACGAAGCTTTTATAAGCTTCAACACGTTTCCCCTTCTAAACCACCCGTAAGCGCCAAAGAAAGCCGTCCTCAGCCTATTTCGCATCGTTGCACTGAGCATGATCAGTTGCGGCCGATTAATCGGGGCCAACTTCATCTGCAAAAGACGCTTCCGCAAAAGGTTTGAAGCATTCGTTTTCGTGTTCGTATAGAGGACATCTAGCACAGTCTTCAGAACTTCAGGATGCCGCTTCTGATTTAACCGCGCTGTTTTTTCTGTGCTATACTTCAAGCCTTTCTGGGGAACCTGCAGAAGCCAGTCCACCTCATCGACGACGACAGTCGATAACGTGGATAACCGGAGCACTTCCGGCTCCTTGCGAAGCACGTCCATAAGCGCAGTTGGTGTGGCAATAAGTATATGCGGAGGATAATCCCGGAGCACGGATATTCCAGATGACGATGGGTTCACAATCGCCTCCAGGATCCGAGGAGATGAGTTTGTGAGGTTTTTGGGTGGTGAGCCGCGGACTAGCACCTGTGCAATCGAAGCGAGCGAATATGGACCAGGCTCACCCGTAGACGTCAACATGTGGTGTAGCCAGTGCAAAAATTGGTATGCAAGGTCACGGTGGGGGACGATCAAGAGAGTTGTGATGCCCTTTGTTGCATGGTCCTTTCCTTTTTCCGGATCGTATCTAGAGATCCTTGGTTTGCTCAGGAGTCCAAGTAGCAATCCAAATGATCTTGAAGGACGTTAGCTTCAGTCGGCCGGCATTCAGCGACAAGTACGCACTTCCCAGTACCCGTAAAGTCCTGCAAGAGAATATCTTGCCTACCCACCACAGCAGATATCATCTTGCGCTGCATTGTGGTGGGTTGCTGAACATCGGGGAATGCAGCACGGAGGGCCGCCGCGATTGGTGTCCCCACTCCAAGGGACTCGAAGGTTACATCCCGTGGAGCTTGCCCCGTGCTGTTCACATGCAACAGCTCTTTGGTATGTGCATCCGAGCTACGGCTCATATACCGAAACAGTCCATGCTTCCTGCAGACTGACTGACGCGCCCAGCTGCGATATAACAGCGCGACTGTTGGAGGTGAAGGAAAACTCATGCGGACACGTGACATTACCGAAGCAATATAAATCTAACGGAAGGAGAAAATCATAATATTGTGGTTGAAAGTATACAGTAATGACGAAACAGTAAGATGCGCAAATGGTGTCAATGAAGTGAAGTCGTAATTGTGAGCCAGTACGTAGCATATCATGAGGATTGAAAGGCACAACTGCTGGTGATAAATGAAATTAGCGTGCCAGAGAAGCAACATTGCTGACACTAGCATACTGTCTCGCAATTAGATAGCACTTCAACTGGCAACCGCAGCAGCAATAGGAGACGTGGGCGAAGAAGAGGAGGGAGAGAGCTGCTCCCTCGTATGATGCAAATCTTCTTCGTGCGCCTTCACGTGGTCGCCCTCAATCCTCGCGAGTTCCTATTCATCGCCCTCACCGATGGGCTGGTATGTACTCCTGTCATCACGATAGAGTAGCCGGCTAACCCATCCACGATCTGTGGCAACCTTGCGTCGAGAGCCAGAACGTACCGAAGGGCTGCGGGTATTGGACATCAGAGATGCCCGCTCGGACTCATAATCCAGCCTCTCCTCTGCAAAGATACAATCAGTACCTTTCGACTGGAAGAGATTGGAAAAACTTTACCTTCGCCGAACACAGCATCCATCTCTTCAAGAGGAACGCCTTTAGTCTCGGGATACACTGTGTTCAATCAGTGAGTATGGAAAACAGCATACAAGAGCATCTACCTACAGAAATAAACGAGAATGAAACTACACGCGCAATAGAACCCGTGCATAGGGTATAATCTCCATGTAATGACTTCTTGGAGGTATGGAGTCGTCTCTCCGACGAGGAAATTGAATGCCCTGGTCGTGTCAGTTGGTTGACGTGTGACAGATGCTTCGAGCTCACCAATTGGTCGCAGTTGATATAGATACACCTTTGGAACGGAATGTGAGGGGCATGATCTGAAGCAAATTCAGTATCTCAATAGGCTATTGCTGAAAGAATATCACCTCGGGGGGATAGAGCCATGGAATAGGGCCCCAACTAAGACAATATCAAATCGAAGGCTCAGAAATGTGCTGCAAGAGCTTACCTATAGCCGAATGCAGCATTGAAGACAATAACACAAATCACCACAGCATTAGGTGTAGCTGGTATGTCAACGTACATCCACCAGCCAGTGAAGCCCAGGGAAATGCCCATCTACATATCGGTGAGTACGTTGAAGGCCGTTAATCAGAAAAGGAACCAACGATAACGGCACCAGAAAGCAAGATAACGCGACGTCCCCAACGGTCTACGAGGTACCAGCTATAGGAGCATTTAGCCTTCCTAACAAGACCGTTGATAGGATGCCACTTACGGAGGTAAGGTGCTCAAAGTGTAAATGATAGCGTTGATGCCCGTCATCAGTACAGCATCACGGCCAAGCCACCCGGCCTCTGCGTTTCAATGAGATTTTCGCCAGAAAAAAACACGTCCACACGTACCTTCAAAAACAGATGCTAAAGAACGCGCACTGATCAGTCGAAGATCACTTTGTTGTGAAATAAAATACGTACGAGCGTAGTAGCTGATCACTGGTTGTTGTTCCAACTTATTAGTTTCACGAAAGCCGCACAAAGGCAGACACATTACCGTTGATTCCATTCTGGGAAATACATGTTCATGACGGCATGATACGAGTAAAATGACGAGAGCTTACCAGCTGAGCAAATGCTTGGGAAGACATGGCAAGCAACACACGTCGCTTATACTTCTTCCACATCACAGCGTACGATCGTCCTTCCCCAAGTTCACGCTGTGATTGTTGAATTGTAAAAACGATGATTGCTGCACCAACCATTAGCGCACCTCGTAAATGACTTTGTCCTTGATTTCTTGGAATTCAGCTTGAGCGAGAATGTTGTCAGGATCTCCTCCATGCAGATCCACGATAACATTCATCCCGGCAACATCTTGGTCAGTGTCAATCAACCACCTGTATAGTTTCAGTGTATATCACCGCAACAATGAGAGACGGTATACCGAGGGCTCTCGGGCATGACCAGGCTTCCCGCAGCGAGGATGCTTCCAATGACACATTGCAGAAAAAGGGGAATACGCCAAGAAAGATCGGATTCGATGAATGAACAAAAATAATCTGCCCACTTTGGATAATGTCAGCTCGCCAGCTTCATAACTGCAACACATAGAGATGATTTACAACAGAGCTTGCATAGCCGAAAACATTACAGGTGAATTCCATGCACGCAAGCGCGCCTCTCTACAAACAAAATTAAGAGCAATAAACGTCGGAGGTTTGAGACCTACATGATTGGGTGGAGAAATTTCGCTTTGATATATAGGAACAATCGTCCTGGAAAATGCGCTGAGCGCTTGCGCATAATTTGAACCTTGAGGACTCACGACAAGAGCCCAACTCCACAACCGCTTATCACTCGACCAACGATCATAACGTAGAAACCTGTGGTGAATGTCTGAATAGCACCGCCAATAGTGAAAACGATAGCCCCAGTGAAAAGGGTCCCCTTCCGGCCAATTATGTCGCCAACACGACCAGCAGCAATCGACGTGGCTGTGGAATGTCATGATACAGCGTAAAAATGATAAGTAAAAATATACCAAGTGCCCCAAGCTCGAGAACCGCGACCATGGTACCAACTTGAATGGGACCAGGGGAGTCGAAAAACTGTTTGAAATAGGGACCGGTGATGATACCTGACATGACGCTACCCTTGGACTCAGTGGCTAGTAATTCAGTGAAATATGTCTAACGAACCCCTGGTCATATCCGAACTATAAAGTAGCACCAATGATCAGTCTTTAATGTCTCGTGCCTTTTGTGACATAGCGTACCAGGAAGACACCCAAACTAGCGAATACGGAAATAGCGTAGAGGAGAGGCTGCCCGACTAATTTGCGTCGGGAGGGCGTAAGAGCAACATCCACCATAATGCATGGACTGGTGATGGTAGGAGAGAGTTGACAACAAGGGGTAGGAAGGGAAAGCAGGGAAACGGTCAATGCCGATGTATGGTAAAACGTAGGTGCAGCGCCACATAAAGTGGCAACAGTGTCAACTTAAAGCTACTTCATTTGGAGACCATTGCGTCAAGATACTGCACTGCTGCAAAACCAGGTTAAAGCATGCCACGCTCGGACCATTCTTCAGACTCCTCATCAAATGCGTCATATGATTCTGATGAAGAGTATCGCTTGGCCCAGAAAGAGTGGAACGAGAGTTTAGAAGAACTTCAGCAGCTTGCGCTCGTCTTACTACTGCCATGGGTGGGCAAGTACTTTGGCAGGAGATGTAGTTATTGGCGTATGTACAAATGCATCATGTTTATCTACACTAACGAACGTGCCTTGCAGTGTACGATCGTTACATTCGTGTCGGTCTCGGCAAGTCATTTTTCATGGGCGAGAAGCCTTTGGCATGGTCATTCTTCTCGCGATGAATGATGTGTATTATATTGAAGGTATGTCTGCGTCAGACATAAACCTTTGGTCCTAACTTCATCCTCCAAGTTGTCCGTCGTTGGATTCTACCAACCAGGCTCTCCAATGCCCCAACCGGTTTGATGTACCTCAGGAGGTCCTCTACCATCTCATCTGCAACTGCCCATTCCTCTCTCGAAATTAGCCCATGTAATAGGATATACCATGTATCATAATTCATTGGGATTTTCCGGTTTGCCATCTCCCTGTAGTAGCCCAATGCCCCTTGCAATCCTTCTGGTTCCGGGTTCTCCAAACATGCTTTGATCAGTATGTGGTAGGTCACCCGATTAGACCGGATGTTTCGCTCCTTCATCCTTTTAAGGACGTATCTCCTGCACTCCTCGGCTAGGGCGGTGTTGGGCCATACCCGGCGGTGCAAGGATGCCAGCACACCTGTGTATGTCACGTCATTGGGTTGGGCATCCGGATTCGTCTCCATTTTTTGAAGTAGCTCCATTGCCGTCCTGAGACCTTGCTCCGAGGACTCGCGAAGCTGTTGGTCTATGATCGCGCTGAAAACGGCGACGTTGGGCTCCACATTTTGCCTCTTCATCAGACCCAGAATGATGTCGATGGCGTCAGTACGCCCAACCTTGAGAAGAGCCGAAAGCACAGAGGAGAACGTGAACGCATCGCCGGTCAACCCGTCTTCTCGGAGACGCTCGAGTAACACCGATACTGCACGAAATTCGCCTCTGCGGCCATGGTGACGCAGGAAGGTGTTGTAGGAAACGATGTCCGGCTTTGGGCCCTTCTGCCGTAAATTCTGCAGCAGCGCATCGGCATCACCAGGTCGTCCATTATTGAGAAGACCGTGCAGCACTGTATTGTACACAGGCAATGCGTCCCCAGTGTCCGGCAACGAACCGTTGGTAATCTCTCGTTTAAATATTGCGAATTTCTCGATAGCGTCATCTGGTCTCCGAGCGTTAAATAATGACGAGATGACAGCACGATATGTCAAGATTCCCGGTTGGATTCCTTGGGAAACCATGTTATCCCAACTGGTAGAAGCGGCATCAGCTTCCCCCATGCTATCAAACCCATCCAAGAGCGCTGTCCAGGTTATGACACCAGGCTGAATACCATATTTAAGCATATCATTCCAGAGATTCTCTGCCAGGTCCCGACGGTGGCATCGCAAGAACCCTGTCAAGAATGCTGCCCAATTAATCTCTTGGATCACGACAGGTCTTTGGCTGGATTTCTGTGAATCACGAACAGCGAGATACGGCTCTGGGTCATTCAAACCCTCGATGATCGCCCGATATAAATTCTGGATCTGTGAAAGGTCCTGATTGCTTGAGAGATTTGCGATATGAGTGCTGAGTGAGTGGTGGCGAGAGATGAGTCTTGCGATGTCAACGCGGTGGACGTAACTTTGAACTTTTGCCCGGAACGAGAAGTCATCGAATGAAGCCATGAACTCCTTCTGGACGGACTGATTTATGCGTACAGGATTGTCGAGCATTATCTTCAGCGCGCCCTCGAATGAATTTTCGAGTGCATATGCGGCTATTGCTGCGAGGACGAGTGAGAAATTGGGCTGGTAGGATAACTGATCGCCTAGAAAATTGAGAGCTAACCCATTCGCATCCTCGACATTTTCCTGCGTTGAGGATGGTAGGGGCTCAGACACGGTCTGGTTGCTGGAGTGAACCAGGAAACGCCTGTACAGGTGAAGGGCTGCCTGCGAGTCGCCTCTCTTTATATGTCTGATCATACAAGTCGTGAGGGCATTGACTGCACCCTCACAGGCGGCAGCAATGGCTATGTCCTCAATGACCTTCTTCTCGTCTTCGTCCCAAGGCTCAGAGTTGTCCGTGAAGCACAGCTTAGCAGCGCGCTCGGAAAACCCACGCAACTCGCGACCAAGGAGTCGTAGCAGCTTTCTATCCTCCAACTGCGACCATAGCTCCCCTACTCGCGCAATATCACCAGCCTTCAGAGCGAGACGAAGCTCGACGACCTTTTCGTCAAAGAAGTTGATGTCTGGGTCGGAGACAGCAGCACCTGGCTGGCTCAGTAAGCTGATACGTTGTTTGATGTTCTGACAAATAATTGCCGGGTTTTGTGTGTGTACAGAGACTGGAAATTCTGCGAGTCTCTCCGTGTCATGTCTTTTGGATGGTTTCATCACCGAAGGTTGCGGTTGCACCTTGGAGCTACCAAGACGGTATCCAAACGCAGTTGGCGCGAGGAAATCAAGCACGACAATAGTCCGCCTTGTTTTAGTGGTGGCATGACGCAGCATCTGCAAGATGAAAAGGATGAATTCGAAGCAGATGGAGACCTTCGACCTTGTTTGCGTTTATTATATTCGGAAGCTTGACCAGGTGCTCCGCTCACTTGAAGGTCATCATATCCTCAATCTCAAACCAACTGCAATATGGGCCACGGAAATTCTAACAAACTCTATATCACACATGCAGAACATGCAGGCGAATTCGGACAGCATTCTGCTTCGTCCGGGTATAAAGCGTAAATCTTTCCTGCGCCTAAATCATGGAGTTCTCATGTTTTGCACAGGAAGCTTCAAGTACCACACCCTCGAGCGCAAACACCATTCGACTGTTGCGCACTTTCTTTCCAGCCATTTAATCATCCAGTATGCGCCCGCAATACGGATGGAACAGGCTTCGTGTTTGACCTTGTAAACATCATTCCTTGGCTAAAGCAAGTTGTCCTCTCTTCCTGCAAGGTGACGTTTGTCTTACGCTTCCATTCAAAGGCAACATAACAATACAAATCCCATTACAAAAGAGCCCCTCGCACCCGGTGACCTGATAACACTCCACTATTCGCGCAAAACATCTAGCGAAATTCATGATCCAATTTCATTCAAGCCATTCAGCGAGCACTCGCATATAGTAGCAATTGCAACCACAGGAAATGTTTTCCTTGCAGAAAGTATCAAAGGCGGCAAGGATCTTCTTGAAGATGTTAAATTTAAAAAGTTGGTGGTTGAGTATTTCTTCACTGTTCTGGATTCAACGTTACTCTTGCAGGGAGGACATTATCACATTGCAAAACCCCCATGGTCTCCCACCCTCGTCTACAATCAATACTGGTGCTACTGCTATTGTAAAGAAGGATGAGAAGCCCAAACCAGCTACTGTCAAAGAAGTCTCTGAAGTGAAGGGTAAAGCCGCTATCCCTTGTGAGCTTTATCGGTTTTCACTACAGGATGCAGCCTGAGTATCATGCCAGGGAACATTTCTCCTTATTCTAGTGGTGCACCCGGTGCATCATTGACGTCAACGTCTGTGGACCCTCAGACACAAAGTTCACAACTACTGTGGGACGAGGTGCGCAAAGAGAACTGACTACGATGAGCATTCTTGTTGATGGTAACTTAGGAAGAGCTGATGTTCGAAGAAATGTCAAACCCTCCCAAGGGTAAGGGTAAAGAGAAAGACGTTGGGAAACGAAGAGCATATGTTCGGGTCGTGACCAGTTTGGGCGGTTCGTTGAACCTGGAGTTGTATTGCGACAAGGTCAGTGCTGTGCGCTCTTGTTGACGTGGCTAACACTCCCTCGCAGGCACCAAAAACTTGTTACAACTTTCTCATGCTTGCAAGAGCAGGAAAGTATGACGACTGCCTCTTTCACAGACTTGTTCCTGGCTTCATGGTACCTCTTCATTCGCCGTCTCCCAAGATTGGGTACTCATGGTGGTGTAGGTGCAAACGGGTGATCCTACGGGTACAGGCTCTGGTGGAGAGTCACACTGGGGTACTCCTTTCCGAGACGAGTATGATATGAGAGGTGCTGCTAAACATGATAGTCGTGGTATCGTCGCCATGGCCAACAAGGGCGCTGGCACAAATACGTCCGTCTGCCGGTTTACCTTTGTTTTCTGTTTCAATGACGAGTGTCACTACAGGTCGCAATTTTACGTCACATTCAGAGCTACGCCGAACCTTGATAACAAGCACACTGTCTTCGGTAAGCTAGTTGGGGGAGACGACGTCCTTGATGCTCTGGAAAAACTCCCTCGTAAAGACGGAACAGAACGCCCAGCGAAGTCGGTGCGGATAACAGAAGTCATTATGTGCGTACATTACTTTTTTGCTCAGACCTATATCCATATATTTTCTTTTCTAGATATCAGGACCCCTTTGAAGCATATAAAACACGGCTTGCAAGAAAACTTGCTCGGCGTGCAGAAGCACAAGATGAATCCAAGAAACAACCTGACAAGACTCAAGGGGATGATATTAACTGGTTTGGGGTCAAAGTAGGCACTGGGGACTCGGCCTTTGGTGGGGGCGCCGCAGGCGTGGGAGCGGGAGTGGGCAAGTATCTCAGCGTCAAGAGGCCGTTGGATCAGGTAACACCTGGTGTACAAGCCAACGACGTTGGCGACGATGCCAAAAAGAAGCGGAAAATAGGGTTCGGAAACTTTGACAGTTGGTAGTAGACCGATACTGTTGCTCTAGCCTGACGTCTAATATCCGTATCATTATCTGCTATCCTACTGTAGTGTCGTATCTGTAGATGTCTGGGAAAGCCTAGGTCGCAAACGAGGGTATAAATAATACCAGGATGAAAATCTCTGATACCATGCGTGCCAGCAGGTGCTAACCAGGTACAGGAACTCGCTCCCTCTTAGTCTCTAAGGGCACTTGTTGGACTTCTAAATAGAAATGAGGATGAAGGCCGTCCGACGATCGTGAACTACTCTGACCTTCTGAAACAAGCGATAATGACCTCGGCGGAGATGGCAAATCCAGGCGCACTTCAGGTTCTGCTTGTCCAACCTAGATATCATGTGAAAAGGGCGAAATAATATCCGACAGCCAGTACTGACCGCTTCCCCTTGTAATGCTAAGAGCTCCGCCTGGACTGCGTCCTCCTCATCATGTGTTAATCGGTTCGCTAGCAAATCACCGATTTCCTGTACACCATCCTCAATACAGCACAAGCAGCACGAAATATAACATACTCGCTGATACTCTCTCGCTTCTTGCGTCTCATCCATGAGCTTCTCGACACTCTCAATACTCATTTCGCGATGAATTTCTTGAAGAACTTCATTGCCTTGCTTGAGACCGTGAAGGACAGAAACCTCGACCAAAGAAAACTCAATGGTTGACACCTACAAGGAACATTTGGTTTCAGCATACATTTGAGCAATATGAATGAGACGGACTAATTGTTCCAAGTTCTCCAATTGACTGTCAGTCTTCAGTAGCAAGCTCTGCTGATACTTGCGCCTTCGGAGGGCTATGACGGCACGGTCCTTCTGACCGGTAGCGAGATGGGCTTTCGCAATTTCATGCTCGCGGTCGAGCACAACCTGTATCTACATTAAACGATAATGGATGCTGCACCTCACGAATGACTATGCAGTCAAACCTTCTTCTGGTACTGCTTTAGCTTATCGCGCTGAAGTTTGAGACTACGGAACAGATACACCTGTTGGGCGTTACCGTTTGGCTGAGAGATCATGAAAGCCCACGCACTCGAGAATCGCTCGATCATGAGCGGTGACCTTGGGTATTGACTGGCTCGACCCCATGGTAGTGTCCTGTGTTGACGGGGTTGTGGAGACCGCCGAGTCAGTCTGCGAGAGGCACTTAGCAAATACACTGCCACCGTGACCACTTCAGTGGACTGATTGCTATTGGGTTTTCCTACTCCATGCCCACAGTCAAGACTAATTGCGATATAACACTAAGGATGCTATCTACATGTTAAAGTTAGAGTAAATGTACTGTAATACAAGTATGGAATCTGGACTGTGCAAAGCATGAAAGCAGCACACAGCAGTGGCGGGAACCGTGTCCCATAAAAATACAAGACAATCATTGAATCATTGCTCGACATTTGATATCACAGGGTGAGTAAAGCGCAACTCTGACGAGGAGCGCTGTGGTTCTCCAAGTTCAAAACTCATAGCAGGGAGCTCTCCTTCTTCAGGTTTTGTATCAAAAGGATAGTGTTTGTGGTTTTGAAACCGGCTAGTCCTACCAAATTGTGGATTTGAGCCCGTTGATGTTAGAACAACCCGCGAGGGCGACCGACGTCTATGCGGAAGGAGCTTTGGGCGTGTCAGCGTATATAGGATCGTGTTGAAGAATCCCGACAAGAGAAGAAGGGTATCTGCCCAAGCCGTCACTCCCCACGGGACTTTCTGTGTATGAAACTGTGTGAAGCGGGCAGCAGTTATAGGCAATACCTGTCGAAAGATCAGAGGGTACATAACTAATAAGTAACTCCACCTACTGTGACAATGTAGACCGCAGGGTAGCTGGAAGAGTAAAGGTCAGGGACAATCCACTGACTGTGGGCCATCGTCAAACTCACAAGAGCATTCGTAGCGCGATGGCTCCTTCGTCCCCCCGTTGTCTGGGGTCAGAACTATCGGACGGGGTGACACTCCGGGTCTCAGGCGACGTCCACCGAATCTTGTATCCATCAACGCTAATGATCCGTTTGACCACAAGAGCAAGGAAGATATAAACAATGATAGTGATGAATGCTGCAAGCCACATCCACATGTATTGAAGACCTATTCGTTGGAAGTTGTTACGTTCGATCCAGCACCCTGTCCAATGCAAACTTATTTAGCCGCGTAGATAACCTGAATCGCGAACGTACAATGCCCGGTGGGTCCATAGAAACTATCAATCAATATATTCGGTATCCCAACCATCAGCCCAACGATTACCCATATGACAGCTGAGCCAAGCAGCGCTGCCTTTGGAGGGGTACTCCACCTGAATACCAGGACCTGCATCGTGTGCAAGGCGATAGTCTGCAGAAACCAATTAGCATGAGAAAAGTTTCTATGGACCATGACAGAAAGTAATTACTATCGTGCTATTTCAGAAATTTGGTTAGCATCTAGATGTAAAACCACATGATATATCAGACTCGCCTGAAAGCTGCCCCCGTATTGCCCACATGCTTGAAGGCACCTATGATGATTGTGGTAAGTGGGCGTCACAAGGTTCCACCTCAAAGGATGGTACCTTGCACAGTGCATACGGTGCCGGGGTATATCCCCTGCAGATCAAACTCAGTATTATTAAGGGGTCATGATACAAAGTGTAAACCCACAGCGGCATCAATCCACGCGATATCGAACATCCCCCCTGAAACATTGTCAGAAGACTGGGGCACCAGCGCGTGATTTCCAGACATGGATGGCTCACCGATTGCTTGAATGAGGTCAAAGAGCATTAGATTTAGGAAATAATAATGAACATGAGTGTCCGTCGACCATCTGCGGGTAGCACCTATTCGAATTGTGACAGCGCTATACTAGTGAGCTTGGGATAAGTCCGTGAGCTTGAAATTCGAATAAGACACCTACAGTAATGTATGCCAGAAGAGATGTGATAGCCAGTACCGATAGTGCCGCCGCCTGTACGATGAAGACTAGACCCAGTCTATCATCGAAGTCGAAAACGGCCCCACTTTCCTGCAGATTCGCCATACTGGTCGTCCAAGAAAGCGAGAGAAGAAAAATACTGTGGACTTGTTGTGCTTGCGCCCGCATCCTCCAGCTTAAATTGATTATTATAGGTGCCGCCGGGTTTTACTTGTGTGTTTTTACTCATCAGGGGCTGCACCGATCTGGCAATTAAATTCCCTGATTTGGAACCAAATGAGACAAACTATGGTTGATGAGCTGTCGTGAGTGCTGTCGATCGATCATAGTAACAAAGTTTCCTGTTGAAATCCGCCGCGGTAACCTTCAAGAGCCTTCAAATAATAAAATTATTGTTCAAGGAAAATATATGGTGAGAATGTTAAGGGTCGGCAAAGCGAACAGCAAGGGCCCACATAGTTCTAAACGAAGAAAGTTATTAAAAAAACAGTGACGTTTTGGAAATTAACAGGGTTGAAGCTGAAGAGTATATACCTGGTGCGCGGTTGAACGTTGATACACTGATCGTTGATCGATGATCATGAAATGGCAGCTGTGAAATAAGCACGTGAGGTGACATGCACATGGGTATCGCGTGACATAATTAACGTTCTGTGGCATAACCAATCACCCTTTTAACTAGGGTATCTTCCATCAATTATGTTGTCGGGATTAGGCATGGTATAATTGGCGAAGCAATCATGCGCATAGTCGATCTCCCCAATTCGTTCATGCATCCCGCTGATGAAGCTCGGTAGTGCGCAGAGACCGTTCGAATCTTCCGTGCAACCATGGATGCCCGTCAGCGGCACCACACCATCATTCAGAAGGAACCGGATATGGGTTGGCTCCTCTGAGGCTGGGCAACTGAGCACCTGTGCTACAAGCTGACTGGAAAAAGGTGCGATCTGGCTGACAATATAAGACTAATGAGACTGGTCAGAGATCGAGGTAAGCGGTAGTCTATGAGACTGCGTACACGATGATGGGGTATATGGTCGGTTGGCAGAGGGCCAGTTGCAGCTAGACTAGTGAAGTTCAGGGCAGTGACGACTGAGCCCTTCCGTCAGTAGTCTTGCATTGGAGAGGAAGGAAGTGGCAACACACTACTGGAAATGACTGTGTCGTGGCTAGCGTCCACATATATAGGTTGATTAAGAGGGAATGTGATGTTGCTCGAGTCAAGAGTGCTGTTGGTGCTGCTGTTCCAGACATTGATGGGAGTGTGAGTGAGACGTGACACTAGTTCTTGAACATAGCCAAGGCCCTGCGCTGCTGCTGCTGGATTGCCTGGCCCATCGCTGTACCAGAAATCTTTGTTCACAATGAAGTCATCAGTCACTCAGGCTGCAAGTTTACCACTGAATGTGCTCACTAAGATCTGCAAATAGAGATCATCGTCGAGCTCAGCAAAGCAAAAGCAGGGATTATTTGAGGGAACATACCGACGTAATACTCGTATCCTTCCCATTCTTTCTCAGTGAAGAGATCGCAAAACTTGGAGTAACCGAGGGCCACGGTCTGCGGGATGTCAGAAATCCACGAAGACCGTGTAAATGATGTGATTACCTCATACGCGCACATTTCCTGCATATCAACCAATCGTGAGATAGTCAAATTAAATCCTTTGATCATTGGTTGCAAGCGCTTCCGAGCATCTTTGAGATAGATATCCGCCCATTTATTACCCTGAGTGCCACCGAAGTTACCGATATCCGCCGTATTGGAGTTGGGGCACACATCATAAGGAGCTAGGGTGTTGTTGAAGTTGTTCTCCTCAATGATGATCTCTTGGTGATAGTCAGTCTCGTAAGTTCTGAGCCCAAAAAAGCCTGCAGCAAAGTTCAGGCTATCGATAGCATTATCAGGCACAGCGTACATAGAATCATGAATGAAATGCTCACGCAGAATCCACCATGCGATCTGTACGACACAAACAAACTATCAGAGCGCATTGTGAAACAAACGTTCGATGCAGGCAAACCTTCAGAAGTAGTACGGAATACTGGGAGATCCGTAAAGGCATTGAGCAACTCGCCATATCTGTAACGGAAAGCAACCCCGTTGCTGAAGCTGATGGAGGGGAGAGTCAGTGGAAGTATCGTAATGTAGAGCGAACGTACAGCGAGTCGCGTCCGAAAGGCGTCAAGATCTCCGCACCCAACTTATATGTCCAGGTTGCCAAGAACTCCAAATCACCAGTGACACTGAAGCCTTCGTCCGATGCAGCAGCATGAATATCAGAGGCGAAGTCAGAAACTCCGGAACCAGAGGTTGGATAACGGGCGCCATGGCGCATCAAGAGATGTACTGCGTTGATGCCGCACCCTTCTGGGATGACAGGGGATGCACCAGGGAGACCGAACGATTCCACAGAGTACATGGGCCCCAAGTTGCCCCAGTGACGCATCACATTGAAGGTGATGTCTGCGCTGTCTGCCGAATTGGGCCTCGACAAGGGAAATACGTTTTCGACCTTGGAGAACGGGATGGCAGTGACAATTGCCGCAGGTTCAGCACCAGCTGAAATTTTTTGATTAGAACACAGGAAATACGATGAGCATCATCACTGACTAGGCGTTGGACCTGCATAACCGACTTGAGGTGCATCCGGGAAGTAAGTGTCAACAGCAGTGTTGGTGGCACCGGGGGGAGGATAAGAATCAACGACGGTTGATCCTGCATAACTGGATGCTGACTCTGCGGTGCAAAACGGCAGAGCGAGCAGCAGAACGGTGGCAAGCATGGTTTGATGAGTTAGGGTCAGAAAAATATGAAGCGCCCGAGTTACATACTTTATAACAAATATACGTACGTGATCATGATAGGAATAGTCTAAGAATGAACGTGGCCCAAATCAACTATATGGTGATCAGCTGCCTACCCTCGGGCAGTTGGAGTTTTTTGGTTGAAACGTTTGATGAGGCTCTTCGAGATAGGCGCATGTGCCACGGTACTTGCACACTGATCGAAAAGCACTCCAAAAGTACTTTTTTGAGCCTTTCTTTTAGGCAACTCCTGCCGAATTTGGCGGACCAGTGATACTTGGGTGATCATCGAAATAATTTCGTTCCCCAACGTGCACGGATGTCGAATATATGTTAACATGGTGACAATCAATGACTCGGAAACATTCAAGGACCGTGATGGCTCTAGCGATTGAGGCCTGGAGTCTATATATCCGAATCATAGTACGACATGCGGCATACTTATGATTGGATACCCTCAGGCAGCTAAGCAGGCCTGGTGAATTCATCAGGAGCTTAATCACAACTACGCGCAGAGGTTGGGTAACTATGACGGCGACGTCTTATCAGAAGTTGTTAGATAACGTCGCCGACTGCTCGGGGTTGGACTGACGGGGTCTGTTGAACTTGTCAATTATTGTGGATGAGTCTGCCACACGAACGCTTCAGCTGCAGCGATATCCAAACTGTTATCTCGATTGGTGTCGGAATCGACTCGGAGCGCCTGTGGCTCGATGCTGTTTTTCCCACCACTTAGACTAGCAGGTGCAAACCAAGTGGCAAGTACTGATATACTTAAGTTTGACTCAAGTACTGGCTATAAGCTACTTAGCGGTTTCAAGTTGCATATTGTTACTTGCTTCAACCTTAAGCTTTATGTATTGAGAGGCAATGCTCATTATCCCCTTACATGAGCATGCAACGAATACCGTCCTTACTATTCCAGTCGTCCAAAGTCTTGAATACAACATTGTGCTCATCGATCATTTCTTCACGCCGGTATCATGACTTTGTTCGTTTCTCTACGCCAGGTTAGCTTCTTTTCCTTTCTTGTTCTGAGGTTTGAACGAACAAGCTGCCCCGTATAGGTGGCGCAGGCCGTGTACCACTGCATGCCCCCACTATCATAGGTGTGGCATCGTCAAGAGGTACTCGCGGGTGAGCACTTTTCCTCACCCTTCGTCGCATACCTGAGGCTCAGTCTCTGTTCGTGCAGTCACCAGGAAGATTACTATGCTTTTGCATCATTACTCTTGGATCCCGAAGGGCTACGGGAGGGCTTGAAGAAAACACTCGGCATCGATTGGACCCCAAAGAACATCAGTGATCCGTTAACACGTCAGGTAGTCTTTGTCGGCCTTTATGATGGGTACGTATCATATCCATCTTAACACGTAGCAGCCGTTAACACCATACAGACATGGCGGATCCACCGTTTCTCAGTATTTGCGCCAGGAATTGCATGGGTTATTCGAATCTGTCGACAAGGCTCACATCCCAGAGTTGTATCTGTGGATCAAGGACCAAGGGGGTTATTTTAAGAGGTTCCGTGGGGGTGCCCTTGCTCCCTGGATAAATCAGTCCAACGGAACGCCTCCGCTAGATCTTGAGGCACGTGCTACCCAGGCATTCTTCGAAGTTGGTGAGCAACATTTTCTCGCCCATTTACGTTTACAAATGGGGTAAGTTTAGACCGCCTCCTCTCTATTGAGAGTGAAGCCAGAACATGTGGAGCGACAGCGTCCGTCGCGATCCTCCACTCCCTTGATACCCGCCCGTTCTTCTCGTCCGCAAAACTTGTTTTGACTGTCGCTCATGCTGGGTTAGTCACATTTTTAATAAACACAGACGTATGTTTAGAAAACATGCAAACAGCGACGCTCGAGTACTTCTTTGTGGCACCAACGATTGTCTTGTCCACCCGATGTCCGAAAATCATCACCCCGATACCCTTATAGAGGCCACACGACTCCGACGGATGATGGGTTCATCACTTATCACTGATTCGTTTGGCGAGTCTCGGTAAGGAAAAGCAACGCTTTCTATCATCGTGCCCCGTTGATGACCCTGCAGCTGGATGGGTGCTCTGGCAAATACGAGGGCGTGAGCAGCACACCTGTCTGTTTCCAGTGATTTGCTGATGTCAGTCTTAGCCTTGGAGATCTCAAGTGGAAGCCGTACGGCGTGACTCCAGAACCAGATGTTCGAACCATACTGCTGGAAGGTGTTATACTTCCTGTTGGATGTTGTTATAACTTCTTACATCCTCGACAGGCACCAAATGGGCGTACATGATCATCGTCTCCGATGGTGTGTCATCCATACTATCCGATCAAGAAATAGTCGATGTTGCCCGAGGCGCACCCAGCCCAAAGAAAGCTGCCGAGAAAATCTTATCATACTCCGAAGAGTTGGGTGGGGAAGACAATGCGACGGTTGTAGTCGTGCCCTTGTCCGGTTGGAGAGAGATTCAAGGGCCTGACAGGACCCGCGCTCTTCGCGAGTATCGAAGCCAGCAAGCGGGTAAGTGTTTCGACCTTTCTTTTTTCTTGTTGATTAACAGTGTCATGGTAGTCGGAAGTGAGCGACAGAGGAGAATGTGATTTAGAGGATTCATGAGCTATACCCTCCATTAGAGTACATAATTCGCCATATTATTGCGGATATTTATTGGACTTCATTTATCTGGAATGTTGTCTGGAGTGTTAGTACAATGTATCAGTCCCCTTTCGAGGGAGGTCCTTAAATCTGCGCTACGGCATGACCGTCCGACCTTGGGTCGCTCCCGGCAGCCCAAACAGTCTGCCCAGACGCATCAACAATCTTCTGAATGATCTGTCCACGGCCCATTATCTCCCTCCCCCAGCCGCTGACGACATTGGCATCATGGCCCATAGCTAAAGCGACTCATTCAGAAAACGGATGCCTAAAAAACAGAAAGTCATACCGCGAAGCTTCTGAATAGTTGACATGGGAATAGCATCTTCAAAGTTAATCCCACCGTTAACCACACCGAAAGCAGCAGGATCCTTGTCATCTGGGTCAGGCATTCCAGCTGAGATGCAGAACCGAGGGGCATCAAGGGCAGCTTGGGCAGTGAATCCACGCAGCATGTTAAGCAGGACCTGGACGTGACCTTGGGGCTATATGGTGTTCATTTAATCACTGTATCTACGGACGTTGGTGGGGTGCGAGTACATACCTGCATGAAACCACCCATTACGCCGTAGGAGAGGAATAGATCGTCCCCTCGTAACGCCATTGCAGGGATGATGGTGTGGTATGGCCGCTTTTCACCCTACAAAAATGGCACAATTCAATAGGCTGCACTGTTAAGCTTGCTGTATGATATACCTGTAAGCAGTTAGGGTGGCCCTCCTGCAAAACGAATCCAGCACCCCTGTTCTGAAGAGTAAATCCGCATCCCTTGGGTACAGCTTCATAAAAAAAATTCAATATCATCTCAACTGTGGCGCGAATTGATGTCACCTCCTGTCCCAAATCCTTTGGTTGCAAAGTATTAAGGCGTGCATTCGCGAATAAACTAGATGCCATACCTGCATAATTGCTCTGAATAAAACTACATGCATTTCCCCACTGATCCGAAGCTGAAACACGAGAACGCTTAGTAAATGGACGCTGCACGAGGCTCCATTGTCTATCGTACCAGTGAAGTAAACCGTATCAGATGAGTTCACTGGGTTTCCCTACCCGACCGTGAGTAAATTAAATGCGGATAACCATCGAACAAGGCTCACGTGGACGATGTCGGGGTTCCTAGATTGAGCATTGAATAGAGCTGCGCGTTTGGATAGATATTCCTACGGCCTAGATTAGATGCGACGGAGTAATTTAGGCTCGAAGGCTGACCTTGCTTAGTAGTTCATCGACCGGGATTTTGTTGAACTCAGGATCAGTCACGTAGTATTGTGTGTCTGGTGGCCGTCAGTTGCGAAACACAAGCAAGGCATGTATTGATCTCACCCGCAAATGCGAGACTAAACAAAAGAGACGTAAACGACCATGAATCTAGAAAATTCGACCACTAATACGCACCGCAGAGCCTCAATGAGTGCATGGAGATACTCGGCAGAGTTGTGTTCTAATTCCAGGAGGGACGGAATCTTTCCTTGTATCTGCATGTGCTCGAGAATGCCAAGAGCAACCAATGCAGTGATGCCTGGCAATGAGCATTAGTTACGCTCGGTGGGGACTTGACTATCTTCACCTTGACCATTGGGAGGACACTATATTACGATGAAGTCAGCATCCACCCGTAAACCACACGGTCGACGGCTCACCTCATAAACAGTAACATCTCCAGCATAAGTGTATTTGATCGGTTCTACGAATGTCGTCTTGTGCTTTGCAAGATCGTCAAGTTCCATAACACCCCCTTTGCTTTGAATGAGTTCCACTATAGCTTCTGCGACACGACCTTTATAGAAACCATCCTTTCCTTGCTCCGCGACAGCGCGGAAAGTCTTGGCAAGGTTGGGGAACTTCATGATTTGACCTGGGAGAGGTGCCTTTCCATTCAAAAGCATCTCATGTCCGTTCGGCGACGCATTTTGTATCAACTTTTCCGAGCGCTGCCACTGTAGACAAATCAGCAACTTGACCAACATGAACAAAAGGTAAACTGGCATTATAACTGTGAATTTCGGATACTGGAACTCTACAACCAAGAGTAGTCAATAAACTTGGCAACGAGTAGTGGGGATAAACATTACGGACCCTTCCTCGGCGAGCCTAATTGCAGGCGCCAGAACTTCAGCGACGGTGAGTTTTCCACTTCCGAACGTTTCCACAGTATCAACCCACGCAGCAGCAGCACCTGCTCGTTCGTTCATTCATAGCGTGATCAGAGGCATCAAAAAACAAACCTGGGACGGTGACACAGTTAAGGTCTGTGAGGGGAATCTGGGCGCCTTTAACACCTCGTCGACGCATGTAATCGACCGACAACTTCTGAGGAGAGTGGCCAGAGCCATTCATCGCCTTTATGGTTTTCGTTTTGGCATCATAGAAGAGACAAAAGGCATCCCTATTTCACTCTTAGATTGGGATGTGCATTTGCTCTTGGAACAGACCCACCCTCCTATGCCACAGCAACTTGGCTCTGTCACATTAAGAGCAGCAGAGGTTGCAACAGCAGCATCAGCTGCGAACGGAAGCACGTAGTGTCGGTGGAAGCTGAGATCGAGAATACCAGCACCCACCTGCATTACCGCCTTTCCTTAGGATTTCGAGTCCAGCCTCCGCTGCGAGCGGTTGAGAACATGCGACGACACCCTTGGTACCATAGACTTGGGATCGTCGACTTAGAAATTGCTGGAACACGACCTCAGGTTGGTCTACCTTGCTCCAATTGACTTTCATTGCGACGAATGCGGAGGGAATGAGAAAGACGGCGGTGAGGAGCTACGAGAGATCACTCAAGATTCTTGTTAGTTAAAAACGGTCCGCCTGGCGCTCACACACTATCGAATCGTGCTTCGTGCTCACATGAGCTCCATGAATGTGACCGCTGACTCGGAACACCGGCGCAGCCAGATTAGTACGGAACGAGGGTATTACATAACAATCAGAGGAGTTGCTGTGATATGATCGGGCATCGGGCAAGCGAAGGTGATTGTCTATTTTTTCGTCATGTCTCTAGAATTCCGTTTCCAATCAGCATCGATGGAGTACCAGAAAATACAGACAGAACTGGCAAGCTTGGTGGAGAATCGCACTCGTCTCGATGCCCAACTTTCCGAGAATGAGATGGTCAAAAAGGTTCGCTGAACATCTTCGCAAACTCATTTTTACCAACTCCATCTTCCAGGAGTTTGCGCAGTTAACTTCAAGTAATACTGTCTATAAACTTGTGGGACCTGTATTGGTGCCTCAAGATCAGAATGAGGCCAAAACCAATGTGGAGACGCGCCTGGAATTTATCAAGAGCGAAATGTCACTGGTTTCATGTTCGAGTTGAATGCAGAACTCATCAGCATCATAGAAAACGTGTAGATGTACAAATAAATGATGGCGAGGACAGGTCAGAGAAAAAGAAGAATGAGGTATTGTGACTCGCCCGTTCTTCCCAATGACAAGTTTGACCCGACGATCGGTTGTGTCGCAGCTCGTCGAAATCCAAACAAAGCTTCAGCAGGCTCAATCTACGCCAAATTCTTAGACGAATATCGCTGTGAAGATACTTCGGAATCGAATTGCTGGTCCCTACAGGAGTGCTAACTCACTTGAACGATTGACTTGTATTAATAACCCCGCGATCACCCCAAGCGCTACTCATACAGTGTACACCGTACATACTACTAAAGACTACATATGTCAGATCAACACATACTGAACCATCAATGAAAGGCTGCTCGCGTCAACACAAACCTCTCATAGAAACCGAGTGCGACTGTTTTTGATGGACCAAGGCTCCTCGCCTTGATCATCCCAAGCTCTCGCATAGCAACATCCCAGGGGAATTGACCAGCGGTGTTTGGGCATTCATGAATATATGCGTAGGAAGCCTTGAGCCTTGCCACCTCCTCCGATGAGAAGAAAAGAAAGCATGAAGGTCTGGGGCAGCAGTGAAATCACGAGCGAGGGAGCGAAGAATATCCTGCCGCCGTTCAATTTTAAGGCCAGAGAAACTACGACGGATACTCTTCTTGTGTTCTTCACGCATCTTTTCGACATGTTCGCGTATCTTGGAGAGTTCCATTTCCATTGTCAAAGCAGCATACTCATTGCTGTACTTCACACGCCGTACCCTTGACTCGGCATCCTGCCATGGCTTCTCGAGAGAGGAGTCTCTATGACCGTGGTGTTTGGAAAAAGCGCTATCGACCTGTTGCAGTTTCAGGTCCCGGTATTTCCGGGCATGGCTCATAATCGCATCCATAACAAATTCTGTCATGCCTTTGGGACGCTGAACGTTGATTTCGTTGGTTTCCGGTTTCTCCTCCCCACATTCTTTCCACTCTGGAGAGCGCTTGTGGTAGAGCTTTGTATCGCTCTTTATGACCTCCGGTAAAACGGTTAATCCACTCTTCGCACCATCGAGAATATTGCAAAACCTGTGGTTATATGAATGTGCGTCACACGACTACAACAACTGCGACTTACATGTAAGCTAAGCGAATGGTTTCGTTATGCGCATATCCAAGAGTGTACACTGCCACGTCGTGTAAGTTCGAGTACTTTCCGACTGACGATACATCGCGCAATCCTCCTAACAAAAATGACTGCAGGCGGGGTATGAGATCATCCAGTGAGCTTCCTTGGTGTTGTTCCAAGAAATCATCGACTCGTAGGGTGTTCTTGTGGAAATTCTCGGACAGATTGTCAGGCGGATGAGAATATTTGAGGTCGGCATTGTTGAAGTGCGACACTATGGACGGCTGCCAAACAGCAATTGCTTTGTCCCCATCGTAATCGCCTAATTGTCGCTCAGTATCTTGACATAGATACAATCTTATGATTTGACGTACCTCCAGCAAGAAGATCTGCAAACCGGCGAGTTCCCTGTACAGAGCACACTATCACGTCTGTGTAGCGCCTGAGTTCTGGTTTTTCGACAGCTCTGACCTGCCTCCAAATCATTAAGATACGAAATAAATAGTAGACGACAGATCAACATGCCTTCTGAGTATCTGTCGGCAGTTTACAAGGATGCCGTGTGAGCTATTATCGGTTCAGCGTCTGGAATGAGTTGAGGAGCGACATTGGATGACACTGACCAGGACATCACCCAATACAACATTTGACTCTGTTCCATCAGGACAGAGGAATTTCGAATCCTTCGAGAGAATTTGCACTTCGTCAGGAGCCAGTGTTCCAGAAGGGTCTAAGGTGCACAATGGTCAGATAAACGTAGCCTTGATCATCGATAACCTCGCACCTGGCACAATCCATCCCATACAAGACATGGGCACCTCGATTCTATATCGTTGCACAAAATTGTCGACCATCGTCTTAAGAACATGGCGAAGCTTGTCAGCAAGGACTGGGCAATCGCGAGGAATGAAACCAGAGTCAAGCATGATCATTACCGTTTCTTCAAGAGAAGAAGGGCAACCTGAGATCTCGTCACCCCACCAAGCGACTGAGCGAGGAATTTCAATGACCGCATTCAAATCGTCTTCGTCATCATCTTCAATGTCGTCGTCTTTGACGGCGAAACCTCTTGATCGAGCCTCTCCACCAGCTTCACGAGCTAACCTGGATCCTACCACGGCGCCAGCTCTGGCAACACTATGCCATAGACGATACATGGCATCTGGGCCATCCCAGTCGAGCAAACTGTTGACTATAGCATCCAAACCTTCCTTCATCAGATCAATAAATACTGAGTGGGGAACACCATTTTCAGCAAAGTTCACTATGGTCTCTGCGGCAAGGCGGGAGGGAGAGCGCATATGAGACGACCGTAGCACATCAATTGTTAAGTGACTAGGTGATAGTTTTTGAGTTTGAGGATACTTGACTTTGATTTGTGATTCGCGCAACCAAACCCGAGGGACGTCGGAACAATTTTCCGATGAATCAGGATGCAGGAGTAGGAGTCCCTATAGGAAGATAAGCATTTGGTTTTCCCGACACTCGAGCGAGTGTCTGTTACCTTGGCGCCAGCGATTCTACATTGTATTGCCGTCGGTGTTGTGTCCCATTGCAAGAGCTCGCGTAACCCCTTCAAGGCGATTTTGTTGATATATCCGCAGCCATCTGTCATGTCCGGACCCCCCGGGTCTTCGGCGCAGAAGTTAGTTTTCACTATAATTAATAAGAATACCAATAGCTTACCTTCTTCTTTCAAATACATGATATTTTCCCGGCTGATGGTAATACCCGGCACAGAGTTCGAAAGTCCCAATGCAAACCGCGAGGACCATTTTGCCACAGTCTGAAACGCATTAGTAGTGTTCCCGAACTCTCAGAACCGTTGCCAACCTGAGCTATATTATAACATATGGGGTTATGCCAGTCGAGATAATCTTCCAGAGACGGCGGTGGAGGGTGAGCATGAGAAGGAATTCGACCGCATCCCGTCGAAGAATCAGTTGCCACGAGAAAAACACTTCCATCTCTTGCATAAAATGCCCGATAAACCAGACCACAGAGGAGAAAGTGTTGCGAAAAAAACTCCACAAGGCCATGCTGAGGCTTGTTTAGAATGTTCCTCGGCACCTTCACGCGTAGGAAATTCTTCGAACCATACTGTCGGGTCAATCTCGATGAGGACCCAAGCTCTGGCGGACTGAGTTGAATGCGGTATTCAGGTGTTGTGGTCTTCTTATCGATAGCCTTCAAAGTTGCACCAAAATGCACTTTCCCTCCATACCAGCCATCGGCCTGTCGCTGGAACCCGTCAAAACTATTACCCATTGCAAGAGCGAGTTCGTGCTCTCGGTCAAGCTCTTTCCAAGGCGACTTGTTACGATATCAATTATCGACCATCGCAAACCAAAGGAACACTGTACCAGAACTGCCTTTTCCTTCACGAAGAATCTTTCTTCTTCGCCCATGGAGTTCTGGCATGCTGCAAACACCTGAGCCACGCGTGGGGTAGCTTCTTGGTTTGTGCCACGGAGCTTATCCAAGTCGGGAATAATGATGTCCTCGTATGCAAGAAGATCGTAAGTGACCAGTTTGGCAATCAGCCACTGTACCCCAAAGGATATGTTTTTACTGTCAAAATAAGCTTGTAGATTTCGATCGTGAGCCTGTGAACTTTATCAAGAAGAGTCTCAAAACCGCGCGAGAAGCACCCACGATTGAATGGATTTTAATCTTTGCATCGCCGATTCTCGCACTCTTACGTGAAGACAAGGAATTGTCAGGAGGTTCCTCTGTTTTCCGTTTACCTAGGATAGATGACCAACTGCTGGAAGGTGAGGCCGAATCCGCTGGATCCGACGAGCCAGCAGACATAGCTGAAAGGGGTTGAGCAGGGCTGGAGCCAACAGCGGCGATCGACGAACGGGAGACTATTGGAATGTCAACTCTCGAGGTAATGTTGTTCGCAGTACCATTCAAGACTGTGACTAGTTGTTAGGCTCTCGGATCACATCGACAATAAGTTAACTCGCCCTCTTCCGGCATATTGCACATCATATCACTCAGGTCTTCTAGACCGGAGTAGACAGATGATTGCTGATGTGAGTGTTAGTTATGCGAGAAAGACACCAGAATAGGAGTTAACTGGAGACTGACTGTTGATGAGATCGAGTCGCTTGAAGCACTCCTTTCCACTGATAGTGGAATAGCAGGAATGAGGACAGAATTAGCATCTTGGTGATATGGAGTGGGTCCATATCCATAACTATGTCACTTCACACGCAAAATGCAAGATCAAAAACAATCATACCTTCTGCGAATTCCCATTCGTCGTCTACTAAAATCTCCTCTTGTACCTCGCGATAATAAGCCCGTGCCATACCCCTCGACATCCCTAGATACACAAAATACGTGCAAGACGTAGTTCCTAGTGAATGTGAGTTCAAAAAATCGGGACGCGGACGATGGTGAAAAATGTAATGGGGACCAAGTTATTGTAGGCCAACTTGAGCTGGATCAGACTGATCATCCAAAGAGATCATCCAAAGAAACACGATTGGAAAGCTCCGAGTCGCTCAAGATAGAAGGTGTGCGATTCAGCTGAAACGTTGTTGACAATGAGGCTGGTTGCAAATCGTGATAAGATGGATTGAAGTCGCGATCGACTGACTTCGAACGTTGAACCATAGCGTGCAAGGTTGTAGTAGTACACCAGGTTCTTTTGCAACATTGCATCAAATCACAGTTTGATCTGTCAATCGTCTCTCCTGCATGCTGCTGAAATTGGCGTACGTGTTGCGTGTTGCGGTGTCAGGTCCACTGCTAAGGAGCTGGGAAGCAAGGAGCATATTATGGTTACAAATATATTGCTACTGCATAAATATAAACCCTATACGTGATATTGATAACCCATCAGCTTTCCGTTCTTGACCGGGCCCTCAAGCGGTTCCTCCCCATTCGTGAAGTGTACCAGCTCGAGTAACCCAGCCTCGATGTCACCGAACCCTCGAAACAAGGGCTCTCTAGACGTGAAGTTTTGCATCATTTGGGCGTGAAAGACAACAAACATCCGCAGGACTGGGTCAGTCAAAAGCATGTTAGCAGTACATATATTTGAAATGAATGCTTATTGTATGAGCGCCTCTACATGACGGGTATGAACAAGGACTCGAAGCGCAGTCTAGAATGCCATGCAGACTCCGGAGGTTTGGTCAACTAGAAATTGGACCATGTAAAACCAGGACCAAAATCACAGAACATACTACGTTGGGCGAGCAAGTTCCTCTGTGCGAGCGAATAGACGTACACAATAACTTGGTGTCATCACACCCCTATGACTATTGTGCAGCCTGCATGTGTGCCAAATCCCGCTCTGTCTCTGGACTCTTCAAGATCTTTTCCAGCTTAAAGCGTTTCCGCGCGGATATTGGAGGGCAGTTTCGTATTAACACGGTATCGTTCAATCGAAGGACTATTCCATGACTTAGCATATGTGCAGAGAATGTCATGGTGGCGACAGACCTTCTTGTTCGTCATGTGTTAGAATCTTTTTGCTTCGTTCAATGCGCTGAAGCGGCAGGGTAAGCATAGTTATTCTTCGCAGGGTGAAATTGAAGGTGTACTTTTCCGGTTAATTTGTGGATGACATGGCGTGAAACAGTCACAGTGGCTGTCTTGTGCATGTAGCCGGCTTTAGTGACGATTCCTGTTAATGCCATGGGAGGCATGGTGGGCAAGTAGAATGAGTTTGAGCCTGCGATGCTGCTGTTTGGACTCTTTATAGCGTGGGAATATCAGGATGCAAATTGAAACATCACAAGCTCGAAGCTCTCCACCAACTAATTTGATACGTATACTTACTGGACCTAACTCTCTTGTGTGACCTATTAGCATTCCGAAATTTGATCGGCTCTCTATCCTTTAGAAACCATGTTACCTACCGTTCAACTGAGGTTATTTAGCAAAGGAGGTACGAATCTTTTCTATGTATTAAGTCGTCTTCATTAACATCATCGAGCTCGCGGTCTTCAGTTGCGCACAGCATCCTGCCCATAACTCTGGGCACCAATCCCGTTCCCGCTCCTTCCTGGGACCTGAGGCTTGCTATGTCGCCGCTGCTGGTTGATTTTTTTTTTTTCGGAAAAGCGCATCAGGATCGGGCGGCATACCCGTGCCAAGATCCAGCGTCAGACCCCCTGGTCGTAGTCGACATCCTTCCCTTCGTTGATTCTTCCCATCAATCCTACTTGTCAGTTACCACTATTGGTGCGGCTTTCAAGTTCTTTCTTCAATGATTTCCACTGCATCTTGGATTTTTCTTCTCCTAGCTTGCAGCTCCACTACATACATACTACCGTGTATATACATGTATGTTCCTGTCATTGGTGGTCACAATTTTATATTGCACCTTCCTGATCTCACCCAGCAAACGACTGATGAGTGTTACCCTTCCGAGATACTTCTGTTCCCAGGTCTTGGCCTCTGCTGTAAGTGAGGTAACCCACGTACCTTGTTTTCAGGAGCCGAAGTATTTTGGAAGGGTAACAGGGCACCCTGTTACTCGTCCGAAACTTTTCGGTTCCCTGGAATTGCATTACTTCTTGAAGGTACAAGCAATCACCATTCAAACTGCGTGTACAGCCATTCAATGATCCCCGTCATTTCATGACGCTGAACAGCGCATGATCAAAATTTTTATTGACACAGGATATAATTTAAAGGCCATTCGCGCTCTACAGTGCGGGATATGCAATCGAAGCACCCTCGCAACAAAATACCTTCCACATTCAAATTGGTCACCTATTTTGGGAAGCTCGTCCCAGTCCCAAATACTCACACAACCAGGAGTCCTGTTTCGAGACTATTCATCACATCCACACTATCCTGTACTTGTCCGAGGGGGAGATAGGTGGACACGTCGGCATCCACCATGACTCGCTGATCCTTGAGTAGTAGCGATACCTTGAGCACATACTTTGTATCGATTAGTTGTGTGCCGAATCGCGTTGTACCTCCGACTCACAAGCCTGAATGCGACGCTGATCGATAAGTCGGATAAATGGTCGCGGGTTTGCTGAGGTCACACCGACCAAACCACAGAGTTGTCGAAAATCAGGCTAGAGCGAGACATGGGATCCAAGATAACCGTTGAAGTAGGTGCAATGTTATGCGGGTTGGGAGGAAGGTGCATCTAGGTGAAAAAATATATACCAAGTCTTGAAAGTTTATTAATTATTAACAAACGCGAAGACCACATTTATTGACATGTTAATATAGCTATTTTGATAAAGGCCAACGGTCCTTCATGGGCGGCGGCGTCGAAGCGTTCATATGATAGATTCGAAGGGGTGAGTGAAAGGAAGCCAGAGTGTGATGGCGACGGCATGTTTGTGATTCGAGTGGTGTGATCAGTGGGCGCTTGGATAAGTTGAGATGAGTTTTTGTCGAACGAAGGTATTGAACTAAATCGGAACGTACATGGATATTCAGAGGAGTGAGCGGCGGGTAGGCAAGACATTGACAAACATCGTCGGCGAAAGAATAACTGTTGGAACTAACAAAGATGGGCTCCTCGGGGTCTTGCATAGAACTTAACCTTGAACTTCATTCAGCTGGGAACCGAGGACGAGTAATAGGAGACCAATCACTCTTTTAGAATTGAGCATCCTTCAATTTTGTGGTATTCTGTTCAGTGTCGAACTTTCATTATGATCATGTATGTATATTTTCTATAAAGTATGTAACCCGGGTGCCCTTCTGACCTCTCTAACTTATCAAGCCATGCTTGCCACCGTTCTGCTATTCGCTCTGCCGTTTTGCACCGCAGAGTCAGCATCCAGTTATGCAGGATCAACCGTCGTTGATTCTTATCCTCCCCCCGGTGCCACCAACACTGCTATCGACACTTACTTCCCGGATGCACCTCAAGTCGGTTATGCAGGTCCAACGCCTAGTCAGTGATAATGCTCATTGTATTTCCTGTGTTCTAATCAGGAAGATTTCAGCTGGTGCTGAACCTGCGGCAATTGTCACTGCCATCCCGTTCTCTAAGGTCGAAAACGTATTTCCCTTGTCGAGGCCCAATTCGGCAGACAGCGCAGACATCACCTTCAATGTGATGCGTCATTGGGGGAATTTGGCCCCCTTGTACTCTGTGGAGTCGTTTGGTCTTTCTGGTGCATCCCCTGTCATCCCAGAAGGGTGTGGCATCAACGCAGTGCATCTCTTGATGCGCCATGGAGCCCGTTATCCAACCTCTGGTTCCGGAGTTTCTGACTTCGCCTCTGATATTCATGCTGCTGCATCGGACGAAGGCTTCAGTGTCACTGGTGATTTGGAATTCTCGGCAACCTGGACATATAAGTTGGGCGCAGAAACCTTGACGCCTTTCGGCCGCGACTCGCTGTACGTTCGCTCTACATTACGATACTTCCACTGACGCTCCCCTCCATCAGCTTCAGCAACGGGGTTGCTTTCCGTTACAGATATGGCGAGTTGCTCAATGCCTTTACGGATCTCCCAGTATTCCGTACTACTTCTGAAGGTTTGCCTGCATCGAACGTTTGTTTCGCAATGCGCTCCGATAGTTTGCTTATGTCGTGTAGATCGAATGGTGGATTCTGCGTGAGCAATTTACTCATATTTCTACGCGCGCCATGCCTGATAATGCTATCGGTAGCCTGAACTTTGCTGCAGGCTTTTTTGGGCTCGGAACTTACGAGACCGACTATCACCAGGAGATCATCATCGAGGAGAACAATTTCAACAACACCCTCGCTCCTTATGATGTGTGCCCCAACTCCAATACGGCGGATATCGGTAACTTCGGTGGCACTCAGGGTAATAAATGGGCGGATATCTATCTCAAAGATGCTCGGAAGCGCTTGCAACCAATGATCAAAGGATTTAATTTGACTATCTCACGATTGGTTGATATGCAGGAAATGTGCGCGTATGAGGTAATTACATTATTTACACGATCTTCGTGGATTTCTGACATTCCGCAGACCGTGGCCCTCGGATATTCCAAGTTTTGCGATCTCTTCACTGAGAAAGAATGGGAAGGATACGAGTATTACGTCGGTATGTTCCCTCAAATAGTCCCTGCTGAGCTCGGTGGTGATCTCTATTTGTAGATCTTAGTGAGCACATTGAGCGGTAAACTTGCAGCCTGAGTGACTGATGACTTTATTGTGAACAAAGATTTCTGGTACAGCTATGGACCAGGTAGTCCAACAGCAGCAGCGCTGGGCCTTGGCTATGTTCAAGAACTGGTGTCACGTCTCACTCACACTCCCATCAATGTCTGGAACAGCAGCACCAACAGCACTCTTGACTCGAGCAACATCACATTCCCTCTTAGTCAACCTACATATGTGGACGCTAGCCACGACGTGATCATTTCCACTAGTATGCTGCCACCTCCTTCCTCTCCGATGCCAGACTACTGACGGAAGGGCTCGGTCGTTACTGCTCTGAACTTCACTAGTCTAGCTGCAACTGGTCCTCTGCCAACCGACCATATACCCCATCATCGTGTACGCAGTCTCATAGACTACCGCTTACCTGATCTCTGACCAGTCACATCAGTCTTTCATTGTCAGCCAGATTGCTCCTTTTGCCTGCCAGCTTGTAGCGCAGGTGCTCAGTTGCCCGGCCTCCGAGGAGCCGACCCATATCCGGTTCCTTCTGAATGATGGTGTGGTGCCGCTAACGGGCATCCATGGTTGCATGGAAGATTCGAATGGTCTCTGCGCACTACCCAGCTTCATCAGCGGGATGTATGAACGAATTGGGGAGATCAACTATGCGCATGATTGCTTCGCCAATTATACCATGCCCAATCCCGACAACATAATCGATGGAAGATACCCTAGTTAAAAGGATGATTGAATATTTGGTCGTATTCACACAAGTTGCCACCTTTTGGAGAATGTTAATGGACGTTAACGTCCAGCTGAACTTCGTCGGCAGCAACCTTGTCCTACAAGTAGTAATGTCGTGTGCTATCTTTTGGAGAATCTATCAAAGGTATACTAATTGTACATCATCAGCGGTATCCTTTGGAAAGTAGCGAGCCAGGGCAACAATCGAGAGAAGCTGCGGGAAATTCACTGTGGGACAATATGCTACATGTGTGATGAGAATGAGCACATTTCAATAGCCTAGACAGGTTCTTACAAGTGATGAAGATGGATGTAACTTTCAGAAAGCCTTTGAGAGGTTCGTTCAATGAAGGGCCACCGCTTGACATCGTTTTAGTGAACCGGAAATACATATTTAACAGTGGTAGTAGCACAATCAACTCGTGAGGTTTCACTCAGTCAGATGATCAAACGAGAATAACTTATAATGAATAAATAGTGATACAGCACTGTATAAATGGTGTTTAAGTTCTCGGCATCGCATTCTCGTCGAACCACCTTTTCGAACGCATAAGTTATGGATGATAACTGGAAATTGTCCGACGAAAGCTGAAGTCATCGTGGGGCACGAAAGTGAATACCTTTTCATGGAGACTGTCACATAAAAAGGGGTTCCGCTGCAATGACTGGGCATAGTGGACCTCCGAGGATCCATACACCACAAAAATGTTGTCAGTAGGTTTCGAACCAACTCCAAGAACAACAGATTTTGATTCTGTTATGGTAACTAGTTGGCTAAGACCAGTTAAATTGGATCTCTGAGGAAACCATCCACGAGTCAATGTCAAGGTGTGCTCCAATAGAAAAAGACTTGTCTTTCCGCAGGTTTCGAACCTGCCGGTGCCACGGTTGAAGTGAAACAGATTTTGATTCTATTCCGATAACCACTTGGCTAAAACCAGTTAAGATGAATATCCGATAAAACCATCTATGAGTGAATGTCGCAGTGTGTTCTGATAGCGAAAAAAACTGTCGTTGGCAGGTTTGATTCTGTTGAACAGTTGTGGTAACGTCAACGTGGTCACTGGCTACATATAGGACCAGCCTGAGTTACGATGGACCTCCAAGAAATCCATTCACGAGTGAATCTTCAAGGCGTGTCTCAATAGAAAAAAGGCCTTGTCGTGGGCAGGTTTGGAACCTGCACTGGTAGACTGAGTCCAGGAGACAGATTTGGATTCTGTTGTGGTAACCACTTTGGTCAGGACGAAGTTAACATGAGCCTGCGAGGAAACCATCCATGAACGAATCTTTAAGCTTTAAGCTTTAAGGCGTGTTCCGGTTCCCACAGAAGAAAAACCTGTCATTCGGCAAGTTTCAAGTTTGTTTCTGTTGTATTAACCACTTGGTCAAGACCACTTAGCCGAACCTGCGACGAAATTATCCATGAGCGAATGTTCCGAGAGAAAGAAAACTTGTCGTTGGCAGGTTTTGAGCCTGCGCAGTACTTCCAGGAGAAACCAATTTCGATTCTGCGGTAACGACTTCAGCCAGGACGAAGCCGAAGAACTGAATGTTCAAGGCGTGGCAGCATCGGCGACTCACCGGTGAACATGATCGCTCTATTATCGAGGAAATATTAATTTTGCTTCCTATCTTTCTTCAATTGGATGGATCGAAGAAAAAATACAGGAGCATAAATCCATAAAGAGACTCCGGTTTTGGTTCGAATGGTTGTATAAAACCATCTGCAGTCAAAAGTCTTTCCTGTCGTCTTACCAAAGACGATGCGCTACTTTTAAAAAAGCTCCTCAGAGGCGGAGAATCCTTCAGCGCCAGTGCGGCCCCCAAGCGTGTTATCTTCGTCGCCGATGATTTGCGATGCGGATAATGTGATAGAGATATCATCCTCCCCGCCATCACCCCAAACTGACCCTGATCAAGCCGCAGAATCTTTATCAATGTTGTGTGGTCTTAGAAACTCTCCGACCAATAAGTGCTACAAACGGAGCTTCATGGGAGGAGTGGAGAACGATCCCCAGATCGCTCGCCATCACTGCTCTCATCTTCAGACGGGGTGACGGGCAATCATACACGAAGCACTGCGTGGCTACTATGATTAGATGATGAACCTGACATCCAAATTCTGTCGTCCCCATCCATGGCACCACCGCAAGAACGCAGTCCTCGCGTTGCGAGTCGCGCAGATAGCCTATTCGACGATGAAAGCGTTATAGACCAAAGGTGTCTCTCGCCCGGGGCACATCTAATGCCACCACCTTCTCTACCATGCCGAGGTATCATTCAGTCGCCCGTACATTCTTCCGATCATGACAGTCCAGATACCTCATTCGCTGTGCGACCCGCTGGACGTTTCTTCAAGCCGCGTGCAGCAGCCGCAGAGCTTTGCTCGCTGGCATTGGACATACCACCTCTTTCCCAACGATAGGATACATATATCATTTCTTGGGGATCAAGCCCGCCCCCTAAGCATAGCAAGCAAAAGCCATTTGTATCTATGCGACATAACCCGTGGCTGGATGGAGAAGCGGCTCACTCTGGTGACGAAGCAAGTGAGGGATTGTCGCACTCGGAAGATGATGTTGAAAGTGATTCCGATCGCCAATTCATCAAGGATATCGCAAACACTCAGGTCTCTCTTTCTTACGATCAGTCACTTGCTTATCGACGGGGTTTGCCCACACAAGCCCCGCCGGAAGGTCCCACGTTTGCTACCAGACCGGTGAGGAGGGAAGTATATACCCGAAGGGAGAGCGCAGAACGCCGCGCGCTGGTGGTCAAGTTCTCCCGTACGTGGCCAAACGAGTATGCCATTGGCAGCTTTGTCATAGATGATGATGAGGACAGAAGGATATCACCTGGAATATCCCATATAGGTTCTGCAGTCGAGGCTAGGTATGGTTTTGTATGATCCTTAAGGCTTTGGTGTCTCGTTGAATGTTTTCAGGCGGATTAGCGTTATTGAATATTGAGCGACGGTCAACGTTGTGCGTCGGGTTGTGTCGGAGCCACCCGCCACCGTCACAAAATCTCACATTGATTTGTCACACCACACTAACGCTTTTCGAAGTTTCCTCATCGTCGTTTACGACGCTGGCCCGCTGTCTTATAGTGATAGCCGATATCGAGTGAATTTTGCGATCCCACACATAGTCTAGTCCAGGCCCCACTTGGAGGAGCCTTACTATTTCCACTAGTTAGGACTACTCATAATTCTCCTGATCATGGATGAGCTCATGCATCGTTGTCTCCGAGTTTTCATTCGACGGCGATCTTGGTACGTGAGCACTATGTACTGATCTCATCTTGTCTTCGGTGTTTTTTGGGGTACTGATCGTGAAGAGGATCGTTTGAATCCCCATCATGACAACTCTTGCTAAATTTCCATTTTTTCGAACAGCATCTGATTTTTGTTATTTCCTGCCGTTCATGCAGGTTGTAACGTTTCCCACTTGCAAGATTTTATCGTAGGATTTTTCAGTCACGACGCGGCTACCCACCCGCAGGTCGTCGACGATGCTTTTTGCGCGTTTGTCTGGTCTACAGTTGTCCAGCAGCAGGCCGCTATCCGCGTTGGTGCAGTTCCTTTGGGCGTATCATCCGAAGTGCATATCACTCCTCACACGAGCGCAAAGCGTGAGGTGGCAACTAAGGGCGAGGTACTTGTCGAAGAAGCCCCACCGTCATTCACTCTCGTTGAAAATGCATGCGAAGGTTCATTCACAATGCGACCTGTGACGGATCTCACTGGAGCGCGGATATCAGTCACAGGTAACGTTTTGGACATATCCAAGCCACGGAGTGTCTGGTCAAAACAATTCGGGGACCTCCTGGTGCGTTTTTCTTCGTCTAGCAACAATGGCATCGTTTCATGGTTACGCAGGAATCCAAACTCGCTCCGTTAAAGCTCACGAGCGACACCTTTAGTGAATTGGGGAAAAATCCTGCAATCAAGGTGTGAAGAGCTTTTGTTTTGCAGCTCTGTAGCATTCTTATCGGTTCTCGTTCTTAGGCCACTGTGGTCAGCTTGCCAACGATCGAAAGCTCGTTTGTCGACCGCACTACGAAAGTAATACGAGCCTTCGATCATCCTGAATTTTCCGCTCCCCGGGTAGCGCTCGAGGTTCTCAATGCTGTAGAAAGCGGCTTCCTCTGGGTAGGTGAACTCATTGTAAGCAGAACCGAATCTTGCTTGTTGCATGTATTATCGTTAGGAATAAGGGCTGGCGCTGCCGCCGTTATGATAATGGTTATTAATTCTCACGGGATCAAAAATTGGGAACAGTCACAATTATGGCTGATATTGGTATGTACAAACTAATAATATGTTGCTCGAACTAGGTGCCCCCGCCCTCGTCTTCCTTCTCGTCGGCTTCCTCGCTACCCATAGCCGTACGTCGCCGACCACGACGAGCGCACGCTGTTTGTCGGCGCCAAGCTGAACACGGGCGTAGATAGCAGGGGTTATGGGAGATGAGGAACCGATCGTGTTCGACGAGAGCCCTGCTCCACTAATGTTGGGAGTCGCGGGTGTGGTATGTATATGTATAGGTACTTGGGATGTCATATATAAAATAAGTTATTAAGAGTTATTAGATTATGCTGGGGAGCTTGAAGGTAATGGTCCGGATGGAGCATATTTCGACTTGAATCTCAATATTGGTCCATATCTGCTTCAACGTTAGCCCAACATGACGCAGCATAGACTTGCATGAAATTTACCTTGACAGTACGAAGGGAATTGGCATCATGATCAGAGCGATGAAACCAAGTAGCGTCGAAGCCCATTCGGGGCCAAGTCTGTCGTACATCTGAGTGGCGAAGAGCTGAGCGAAGAATGATCAGCCGATATATGAAAGGGAAAGTACTATCTTCACTCACAGGAAATCCAGCGCCGAACAGACTGCGAACGACAGTACTTGCAGCTAGCGCCGACGCAGCGATAGCCAGATATGCATCAATGATGTAGTTAAACAGGGCAAGCTTCAAAGCCGTCGTGAGCTGTAGATTAGCATGCAAATTGGGACAACATACAAATATCAAGCAAATGCTCCATCCGAGCAATGCACCCGACATCATCGGGGCCCACATCGAAATACTAGGAAAGGATGTCCACGCAAACCAAAAGAACGATATGGCAAAGAATGGCGCTGAGATCATGGCGACCCTCAATCTGAACTCTGGTGGCACAGGGTTTGGTGCGCATTCCTGAGCTTTGCGCTCGTAATCTGGGTTTAGAAAGAGAATGTACTAAAACGCATGATAAGAGCGTGGAAGCATAATGATGAAATATACACACCGTTGCAACCGCAATAAACCCGCCAATGGGCAGCGGAAGGAACACGAGTCCAGACACACCCGCATCCAAGTTATGCCCCTTGGTGAAAACCACGGGATAGGCCTCAAAAAGCAGGTATATACAGCCGTAGACAAACTGGGATCCAATGTCAACAACCCTCTCGTCAAATCGCAAAATAGCTACACTTACGCTCATATACAGAGTTATAGCAATCAACATCGGTTCACGAAAGAGAACTTTGAAAGGCCGAGCAAGAATGGTTTCCACGCGCTGTGAGAGTGTCATGTTTTGTGATTCAATGGCAGCATGGTATCTCTCGTCTCCAGTGCGCTTCCGCATCTCTTTAGCTTTCTTGGCAAGAAGCACCGGACTAAAATTATGGGATGAGCGCCTCGCCGATAGAAGCAATTCTGTAAAATGCGCCCACCTATATGTCTCAGGAATCGTGAAAACAATCTGCAGCCAGCAGACTCCCGCCTAGAAACATGCGTGAGTTGTGATTGATAGAAAATGGAGACAGGACTTGCAAAAATAGTCAATATCCAAAAAAGCCAGTGCCATGAGACACCAGCTAGAATAAGGTATCCTGATACTACTGGTCCAATACCTGGTCCAGCAAACGGAGCCACAGTGAAAACCGCAAGAGCAGTGCCGCGTCCCCTTGCGTCCCAGATGTCTGATATAAGCGCACTGGAAGATTCGCCCTGTAAAAACGGAATTCTCATTGAACCAAATAGTACCTACCCTGAATTTGCTAGAGGGGCAGCTGCGAATGTACCTCCAAGGAAACGGAAAATCAAAATGGATGTGATATTCTGCGACAAAGCACATCCAATTTGGAAGCACTAAATTATAAAGATAATTGAGTAAAAGGCAGGAAAGAATGGAGAGGCCGACTGACCATGTATATGAAGAAAGATATAATGAATATTGGGCGTCGTCCGTACTGTTCCGATAACGGTCCCCAAACCAAAGGGCCAACACAGTAACCGCACACGAAAAGCGAAACAGTCAACGTCCCGACCTCCTGGGATATCCCAAATTCCTCCATGAAAGTAGGTACCAGAGCAGATGGTGCGCTACTCGAGAAGGTGCTAGATAGGGCAAATGAACAAGATTTGAGCGTTTAATATTTCGCGAGAAATATTGTACGCACGCATTGAGGACCAGGAGACCGCCAGCAAGGGTGAGGTACCACTTTTTGGCAAAAGACCAGTTCTAAATGAATTCGTGAGCTGATCAACATAATCTTGTAGCAACTGGAAAGTACCTTTGGATTGGCTGAGTCACCCTCATCGAACTGGACTAGAAATGGGTCTGGGCTGGACTTGTTGTCAAGAGCGATAGTAGAGGCATTCTCCTTGTTACTCTGCTCAGGTTGAGCGGTGGTAGAGGCAGTTCGAGTTGATGCCCTAGATGAGTCGGCCATGTTTGCGGCCAGAAAAATGAGGGCCTGAGTAGATTACGGTGCCCTTTTAAAAGTCTGAAAGCTGAGTGATGACAATGCCTTGCGGGCGTGATCCTCGGACATTCTGTTCCTACCTGACGCAATCGCAGTGACATAGGGCTGTAGTCAATATCAAGTTGGGATATAGCCTGATAGTTTGTCAACCTAAATATGTTGTCCGGTTGTTGTCCGGTGCCACTTTGTCAGCCTGACCACATAATGGATGGGCCTAAAGTCCTTGTGCCGATGTGCCGCTGTCGAACTGTCAGTGTTTTGCAAGTCCACATGTGCAACATCGCGTTCCAGACTGGTACCCGGATTTCCTTGCGACCTGGCTGCTAACCCCCACCGCTGACTGCAGGATTTCACGCTGCCGCTACGACTTCATAGACGTGCCCGAACCTGCCTGAGGCGGTCATTTACAGAATTTACATTAGTAATCTGACTCCGAGTCAGTCAGAACTCCAAGGTCAGCCAATTTCGGCAAATTCCAAATAAAGTAATTCGCATTTACATAAGCACTTCAAATTGGACTCTGAAGTGATCAACATTGACCAAAGACCATGGACTTTACAGAAATCTACAAACAATCCGGAAACCTTGCGTCGTTTAGCCCAGGCGCTCACTTCATTCTCAACGTCGTCGAAAACACCTTGATCGTCAGGCGAACGGATACTCTACAGATTGCGCGCACATGGACAGTCACCGCGCCTTCCAGTACAGCTAGCATTCTAACCAACTCAAAATCAACACCATCAAGCTTGGATGTTTCCTCAGAAGGGTGGATATCTCATGCTGGTTGGTCGTGCGACTCCGAATATCTCTTCGCTGCATCCGCGAAGAAAGGCATCGTAGAGGTTTTCAAGCTTAGGGATGAAAATTGGAATGCCCGAATTGAAGCTGGTGTTGAAGGCCTCCTCAAAGCTGAGTGGGCACCGGACGGTCGCCATATCCTTTGTTTTTCTCAGTGGGGCGTAAGTATAACTCCTTTCCGACCGTCTGTAGGTTGTTTATGATTCGTCGGCAGCTTCGAGTCACCATTTGGTCTCTAGTCACGGGCAATGCTACTTACATACAGTTCCCAATACACCCCGACAGAGGTATCGTGAAATAGTATTACCACCTACTTGTCATGTTATCTAATCAAGCACAGGTTACGCTTTCCGTTCTGATTCCCGCTACTTTGTCTTGGCTGAGCGACATAGGTCAAAAGACGCCATAGGTGTGTATGACACAACTGACGGTTACAAATTAGTGCGGGTAAGCATGATTTCATTGTTTCCATTCATCGCTCATGACCGGAAAGGCATTCACAGCATTTTCCCGTACCAACGTCCAATCTGTCATCACTGGCTTTATCCCCGACTGGTAATCATATCGCCATTTGGGAGGGTATTTTGGAGGTGTGTCATCTCAGATCGCAAATCCAAGAGCCGGCTAAATGCTTTATCGGCAGTACAAATTGCATATCCTGTCTCTGGCCGGAGATGTGCAAGGGACTTTTTCACCCAAGCCAAATCCGGGGTTTGGTGTTCGTAATGCAGCTTGGCATCCTACCGGAATGTTCCTTGCTGTAGCAGGATGGGACGACAAGGTATGTGCGTCCGCCGTTACACCATCATTGTCGAACTTTTCTAGATCCACATCCTCGATGGCCTTACTTGGTCTGTCGCTGCAACGCTCGAGTTGTCAAGTAAGATACCAGTTGGCGCTGTAAGTAAATGTATTAAACAAGGTGGAAGATGCTCAATCTTGGTAGACACTATGGCGCGAACCGTCAAACTGGCTTGAAACTACGCAAGGTCGAGGATTTCTGTCTTGTGCGCAACATATTATTGTCGCATCCATTGGGTGACACCGCTGACAGAGTGCCCTCCAATCAGATGAACGACTACAAGGGCCACAAACAATCAGCTTGCAGCGCACAGATCCGACGAAGTCAAACCCAAAGTCGGGTGCAGTCCAGCTTGAATGGAATAAGACTGGCACGTTGCTGCTAGTGCGGTTTGGTTTGCTAAGACATTTATTTCTTTTGACCTAATTTAACATAATGACTGTAGAAAACTGCCCCACGGTAGTTCATTTGTACGATTTTCCAGCATCGTCGGATCCATTCGTTCCCCGGCTACGTTGTGTTTTTCAACACTCGAAGTCAGTCCTGCATGCACAGTGGAATCCAGTCCGTAAAGGCAGCTTGGCCCTGTGCAGCGGGAGTGGTAGCATTTACACATGGAGTGACGAGTGGATTGGAGAGAACGGGGTAGAGGAAGATATGGCGGAGTGCATCGGTGTACCAGCGAACAGTAGGTTGACCCGTTATTTCTCTGCATTCATGATGATTGACGGCTTCATAGCAAAATTTGACACAAGAGGTATCAAATGGGCTCCTGACGGGAAAGGGCTGGTGTTGTTAGACAAGGAGGTGTTTTGTTGTGCGTTCGAGGTGGAAGAAGATGGTACTGAAAGCTGACAGTTTTGTTATAATATATGGCCTTCACTGTTTATCTCACATGGTTGCTTTGAAAGGCTACTAAAATTAGCACTTGGCGCTGCACGGTCATCCTATCGCGTCACTGCCGTCGACGACGCAGGCCAACGGCAGAAACCGTTCAAAGGGCTGACATAATCACATTAGCACATTTTCGCAAGCGTTCAATTCCGCCGTAGTACGGCGAGCCCATTCATTCCATTCCATCTTGTCGTCCAATGCTTTCCCGTTCTCTCCGTGCTGCCAGGCTTGCAGACCGTCGACTTGTTTCTCTAGGTGCATCCCGATGGCAGAGGACGTATGCAACACCGTCGGGTCACAATGATAGCAAACCGCAGCGGAATGAAGAGGATGAGGGAAATGTGCAGAAAGGCAAGGAGAGGGCTAACAATAATGCAGCTAAAGAATCCGGAGATGGAGGTCCAGAAATCCCGAAAGGACTTGAGGGTTTTTTCAAGCGGTATCAGCAGCAGACTTGGTCTCGTCAGTCCTCCGACGAAGACGAGACTCCACGACAGAAACCACCACCACCACCACCGGGCGGTAATAACCCTAATAATGGATTTAATGTCAACCAACTTGCTCTCCTCGCCACGTCTGCTGCTATATTTTATGCTCTGACTAATTCTTCATCTTCGGGCTCGCGAGAAATTACCTGGCAGGAGTTCCGCACCGCATTCCTCGACAAAGCTCTAGTTGACAAACTCATCGTTATCAACCGGCAGAAAGTCCGCGTCAAGTTGCACTCTAATGCCACTGGCGCAATGTACCCCGCAGCATCTCTCGGTGGAGGAGATTACTATTTCTCCATAGGCAGTGTCGAGGCTTTTGAACGGAAGCTTGACGAGGCTCAGGCAGAGCTTGGTATTCCTCCTCACGAGCGGATACCAGTCGCCTACCACGACGAGATATCTACCTTCAATACCATTCTCAACTTCGCTCCCACTATCCTTTTCGCCGGTCTCCTTCTGTACATGTCGCGACGAGCTGGAGGTAGCGCGGGTGGTGGCCCAGGTGGCATCTTCAGCATCGGAAAGAGCAAAGCTAAACTTTTCAACAAGGATACGGATGTAAAGGTCAAGTTCAAGGATGTTGCAGGTATGGACGAGGCAAAGGAAGAGATCATGGAATTTGTGAAGTTTTTGAAGGAGCCCGCGAAGTTTGAGAAGCTTGGTGCAAAGATACCACGCGGAGCTATCTTATCAGGACCTCCAGGAACTGGAAAAACCTTGCTAGCAAAAGCGACTGCTGGCGAGGCCTCTGTCCCCTTCCTGTCCGTGTCTGGCTCAGAGTTCGTCGAGATGTTCGTTGGTGTCGGCTCCTCCCGTGTCCGTGATCTGTTTGCGTCGGCAAAGAAGAATGCACCTTGCATTATTTTTGTTGATGAAATTGATGCCATTGGAAAGGCCAGAGGCAAAGGAAGTAGCTTCGGTGGAAATGACGAGCGAGAGTCGACTCTCAATCAGTTATTGGTGGAGATGGACGGTTTCGGAACCCAGGAGCACGTTGTAGTACTCGCAGGAACCAATCGTCCAGATGTCCTAGATCCCGCTCTCATGCGACCTGGGCGTTTTGACCGTCACATAGCCATTGACCGCCCAGATGTCTCCGGCCGCAAAGGGATCTTTATGGTGCACCTCAAACCACTCCGGCTAGCACAGGAGCTCGATACGGACAAGCTTGCTCAGAAGCTCGCCGTTCTTACCCCGGGTTTCTCAGGAGCAGACATCGCGAATGTTTGTAATGAAGCTGCTCTTCATGCTGCACGCAAGGGTCATGAGTCTGTCAAGGTGGACGACTTTGAGAGCGCAATTGAGCGTGTCATCGCAGGTCTGGAGCGCAAGAGCAGAGTTCTTAGTTCGGAGGAGAAGAAAACTGTTGCTTATCATGAGGCTGGTCACGCTGTCTGCGGCTGGTTCCTCGAACATGCCGACCCGCTTCTCAAAGTAAGCATTATCCCTCGTGGCGTTGGGGCCTTGGGATATGCGCAAGTGAGTACAGATACTCTTTGACGGTATCTATTAAATAATGATTTTCCCCCGCAGTACCTTCCTCCAGACCGCTACCTGCTCTCGACTCCGCAAATGTTGGACCGAATATGCATGACCCTTGGCGGCCGTGTATCAGAGGAGATTTTCTTTGGTCCAGAAAATATCACGACAGGTGCTCAAGATGATCTTCAAAAGATCACTCGCATGGCATTTGAAGCATGCGCAAACTATGGCATGAATACTATCATTGGTCCCGTCAGTTATGGTGGTCGTGAGAGCCAGAAGGAAAGTTGGACGAAACCATTCAGTGAGAAGACGAGCGAAATGTTGGATTCTGAGGTGCGGAAAATGATCATGTAGGTGGATTCGTATGATCTCTGCAACATTAGCTAATAATTCTATTTCAGCGGAGCACATCAGCGGACCACTGAGCTTCTGACACTCCACCGGGAGAGCGTGGAGAAGGTTGCCCAGCTTCTACTGAAGAAGGAAGTCATTACACGGTATGTTACGCGGCGTCCATTCCGACTGCCCTAAGTTGACGATTGTTTGTGTAGTGAGGATATGATTGACCTCTTGGGTAAACGCCCGTTTGCCAATAAATCCGACGATATGGACAAGTGGCTAGATGATAACCGCGGTCATGAGCGCAGCGCTCCAGCACCGATTGAGGAAGCCCCACAGAGCACTGTAGATCCCGCCCCTGCACCTGTCGCCACGTCGACAAAAATAGAAGATTACAAGTGGTAGTTCCTTTCTTCTCTTGCACCGACATACTGGGTTTCGTTTCACGAGGAGGCTCTCGACGCAACCACATATATGTTATGTATCTTCGATTTCACGCGACGATCGTGTTACCCTTCTACTTACCGTTCTCGCTGCATACTAAATAGTATTTAAAGGGTATATCGGAATTGACTCCACTCATCACCTTTCTCGCGTCGTGCATCGTTGACTGTCTCGAATCGCCCATTCTTCAAGGCCAACTCATCCATCTCCCCAGAATTGTTGCTGTCGATTACCTCATCACGCTCTCCTCTGTCCCTTCGCTCGTTCTCCCTACGCAACAGGAACATGAATGCTGCTGAGCATAACCAGCCAATTGCAATGTAGGCAAGAATGATGCCATGACCAAGCCTGTACCAAGGTGCATCCTCCGCACGATACTACGGGCCGATAAACAGGCAGTGAGTTTGAGCTAGCTTTCCGGACTCACAACGTTCGAGGAAACAGCTCCGTTCAAATTTCCCCTTGATTGATGTCAATTACACTGCCTGGTGGCATATGTGAGGGCCGACGTACCACCCGATGGCCATGGCTAGTGTGACGCCTCGTTTATAGGAGCCCTCGACATTGCTTGCCACCCATGCTCTGAAGTACGGTCAGTGAGAGAAGTGAGAACAAACAAACAAACGTACACCGAATTCGCTGTTTCATAGCCACATCAGTTCCATGCTATTTGAGTGCGGAGGAGGATTGACACATACGGACTGCAGGATATATAGCGCTGAGGATGAGAATGTTCAAGCTAGCACAAATGTTCGAGTTAGAGTGCATCTCATGAGACTTACGATGCAGCTAGGAAGCATGCGAAATAGGACAATGCTGGAGTCCTGGATGTGATTAATATGATATAGCCAACCAGACCTGGAAGATCTATAGCCTATGTTTCGGTATTGAAAGTTGAAAACACTTGCCCGTTCCGAATAGAATTCTATCGTGTACATAAGACCTCGAAAGTTATTGAAAAATGATGTTACGCACAAATTGATGTACCCTCTCTTCCCGAGACGGTCACCGACTAATCCGACGACCACGGTCACTATGCATGACCAGACATAAACGGGCACGGAAAGCAGATTCGCTGTTGTCGCTGTGTAACCTGGGTACTGGGGTCAAGTACTCTAGCAGAATAAATGTTGATAACACTCACCGAGCTACCAGTTTCAGCCGCAAGGCAAGGAACGTTGATGAGTGAGGGATAATATCTGAACCTGTGGAAGATATACGAACCTCGTTGATGATTATCGGGGTGAATAAGGAAAACGCGAATAATGGACCATCACTGACGACGTATTAGAGTAATCGCAATGTTATAGCTCTTTGACCCACAATCCCATATATATACCCACTATGTACACTCAGTACCACTGACAACAATAACATGAACGCACGTACTTGCCAAGTAGGTTTTCCAGTCTCTGAGGCTTTGCCAAATATATCGGACTTTGAATTCCTCGCCGCCAGCGCTGAACTGCATGTCGTCCCTCAAACGTCTAATGACGAAAACCCCTGTGTTCATGTCAGTGTCAGGTAAGTGTCTGGGAGATTTTCTTTTGCTACTTACTCTCTTCCTTGGTGAGAAACCCAGCTGTTTCAGGGAAATTCGAGATGACCCAATATGAAACAACTGCACACAATACGGTGAAGAGTCCTTCGAGAATGAAAATCCAAGACCAGCCAGGCTTTCCTGCGACACCATTCATGTTGGATATAGCGGCGGCAAGGAGACCGCCTACGAGCATACGATGACTCACAAAACCTCGGATGTACTGTGAAGCACTCACTGAATGCTCCTGCTATAGTAGCAGAAGTGAAGAATGCTGCTATCCGTGTACCAAGCTCGGACCGCTTGTACCAGCTGCATGCGCGATATCAGTACCACGAAGTGGGTTTCTGAGACACATGAGACTTATCAACATACCAAGAGATATAAAATACGATTCCGGGGTATAAACCAGCCTCCGCCACTCCAAGCAGTACTCGCAAGGCTAGAAATTAATGCTGGTCTCGACAGTGATCAGCTTTCAGAGTATACCAGGCTTACTGACGAGCCCTCCGTAATTATGTAGAAATCCGTGGCACATCTTGCCTAGAGTGATTACATTGCGAAGATGTTAATGAGCTTCTAACACATACCATGACAATTCCCCAAATGAACATCATTGAAGAAAGCCATATCGAGGGTCGAATCCTTCTGAGGATTACATTGCTTATAGGCTGTATAGCCTAAGGTCAGTACGGGCAAACATCGCACATATCCCCCTTACCTCAAGCAATGCATATGGAAAGAAGAAGACAGTAAGTGCAATGAGGTATTGCTTGTCTGTGATTCCCAAGTCGGTTACCATGTGGTATAGCTGAAAACGCATCAGGGTATTGAAGTTAGACTGACTAGCTAGCCAAAAGCATCACCTTCGCATTTCCTATACTTCCCCGATCCAAAAAGTTGAGAAAATAGAGGAGGGCCAACCAAGGTACGACTCGGATATCGATTTTACGAAGGAGTCGTCTCTCGTCGACTTGACTGGTGTCGACATGAGCCTCGTAGAGCTCGTCCTTGTCTGCTGCCAATGATACGACAGATCCTGAATGCGACATCAGACAAAAGGATGATAAACTAAGTATCAAACAGTCTTATCACGTATAAATAGTGGATCTCCAATAGTGCGCTTGGAACACGGCCGCCCTATCATGATAGTATGAGCATATAGTACATGTTGGGACACCGAGATCCTTCTCAGGCTGTCGGACTCCAACTACAGCATCTTCACATCAAAGGAACACTTTACGATATTCATCAATCCCAACAACGACTTCCAGTCCCCTAAGTGCCTCCCTGAACCAATTCTTCACGTCCTCCGTATCAACCCCAGCAGCTCTTACAACCGCGCCTTTGCCATCATCTACAGGAGTCAGGGACCAAAGGAACCTCTCCGGGGCGGCACGCTTGAAAATAGAAATAGTGCGGTACTTTGCCTGCAAGTCAGTCACGACATCATGTGTCCGGGGCCCATAAAGAAGTAGCATGGCATAGCATGAATAGGGCGCAAGCCTATCTTTGAGCATCCGAAGTGGTGCGCGGCTAGTATGATTTGACGAGCAGGACTCAGACGCAGTTTGGGTATCAAGGGACGAGTTATCTAGCAGTAAAACGTCCCGTGCGACGCGTCGGCCTTCTATGAAAACTTCGTTAACGCTGTAATACCGGAGGAAATCCCAGTCCTCCCCCATAGACCTGCGCCCTGAGGTAATCCAGTCTAGCAACACAATCGACGCGCTCCCAGCAAGATGGAATGTTTGCACTTGGGTATAAGATGCAGAGCGGAAGCACGTGACAGGGTCGGGGAGGAGGAAGAGCGCGCTGTCAGGAGCTATGGTGACTTCCATGGATTGAGTCGTGACTGCTTGTAGACTCGGACTGCTTGGAGTTGGTTGGGAAGAAGATCTTCGAAAACGCGTGGATGCTCTGTTGCCAGCGCGCGTTTTGAAAACTTTGGTAGATCCCTGACGGATGTGGTCTCAGACTGGTCATCCTCATACAACATACACCATCGCACCTGTGAGAGTAGTAAGAGCTTGCATTCTTTTCCTACTTCGACGATAAGTTGCATGCAGTCCCCGCCAACCAGACCACCGCCATAGCTCATCACGTATACTATAGCAACCCCATGTTCTGCAACTCTAGGTGATAAGAGCTTAAGCGGGTATGACGACGAGAGCTTCGAAAAGACGACAGTTGATGAATGTAGATCACAGCTGATATGTCCAGTGCCCACAGTGATGTCCTCTCCAGCCGTGGAGGACATTCGTTGTCAATTGACATGGAATGTCTGAGAGCAATACAATAACAAGCTGACAGAACCTGAAGGCGTATTCCCAAAATGATTACACTTCGGCTTATACTCAATCATTTGAACCTAGCAAAGCCTGGCAAACCTATTCACAACGTTTCGGCCAAGTTTCGGTGAGTGTTTGAACAGCGTATTCCATATTATCCCATACACATTGAGTCAAGACGTTGAGCCAAGACGAAGCAGAAGTACTCAGAGCAACGAAAAGGAAAGAAAAAGGATAATCCAAACGAGCGACAATAAAAGAATCAAGCAAAAGTAATAAGATATGCGAACAAAGACGAATCGAATTGACGACACACAAACAATCGAGGGAGTGGCATGGAACAAATCCAATAATTTTGTACTGCAAATCTGGGAAGCTCCGGAAAAGGATGTGTAAATCAAAGACATGCATAGGGTCGTCGTGCAGGTCGATCAGAGGAAGAGCGGGGAACAGCATAAGATACGAAAATAATATCAATACTGCCGGGTAGCCAGGGCACGGATTTCATACAGGTCTCGTCGATCAGGCGAACCAAAAGGGTCCATCTGCCGTGACGTTCGCCATCCTTTGATTTCTTGCTTGTGTCTTTCTTCTGCAGTGCGACATATTTCCACAAAATCATCGGCCACGTCGTAAACAATGGATGCCCTTGAACCACGATCGCTTTCCGACTCTGAATTTGTGCGTATTCGACTGCGTGCTGGGCTGGGGGCGGTGATGATGATAGCGGAATTTGTCGAGCTGCTTGTGTCTGATATCGTGCCACCAGTGCACCCCTGGCTGGCACGGATTGTGCCTCCCTTCGTTTCCCATGCATTTTCATCGTCCTCATCATCTGCGAGATCGGCGAAGACATCTGGTTCTTCCTCATCGGGAGGTAATGTCGACACCCAGCACATCCGTGTAGGGTCGAAGATCATGTTGCCGACCTTGCGGGCACCGGCGGCAAAGGAGCCCACTGGGGATCCAATGGATGACCCGGTGAGGTGTGTAATCAATGCAGGGCGTGTGGAAGTTCCGACAACCGTGTCGAAATCACGGAGCACTTGATCATTCCCTTCCCAACGAAGGTTTGTCGGATTCCATTTCATTTCGCCCACAACTGCGTTGACGCTCCCATGAACACCAAATTAGGAGCTACTATGACTCGATCGTACCTTTTGGTCCACTTGCACTGCCGAGGTGGCGGATCAGGGTAGGTTTTCTCCTTGTGTGGCCGAGCACAGGCGATGAGCCATCTTTCTTCTTCTTTATGGAAATCTCGGTGCCAGAAGTCTTTGGGAATTCAATGCGACCCGTGCGCCTCAAGGTGTTGGTGGCGGGTGCGAGTGCGCCCGAGACATCTATAGTAGGAAGGTACATGAGGAGGGCGAGCACACAAATACACGTGTTCTTACCTGGACTAGGGACATCCTTTCTTCCCTTCTTGCGCATCGTACCTGTCTCCTTATCTTTCTCCTTGTCGGAGGACTTTGACAAGTTACCAATAGGACAACGATTTGTCGCCTTGGGTTGTACCCTAAATCTTCCCTCCTTATCTCGGTCTGTCGGGAGGTCGTCAAAGGCATCCAGTTCAGTACCATCACCATATGTGCGTTGTCGCTTTGGTCGGCGTAGAACTTTGGGAGCTGATGTCGAAGGTATGAGTGATGTCTGTGTCTGTGCAGCACGACTACGTAATGATGTTATTGAAGGAGGACGAGGCGGTATTGGTGATGTTGCGCGATGTGAAGGCTGAGGTGCAGGGAGGGTAGTGACAGTGGCAGGTCCGGGGAAGACAGAAGACAGGGCAGGTCGCGACTTCATACGTATTGAAGTTGGCATAGTCAAGCGCAGTGCGGCAGGATTTGAAGAAGGGGTAGATGGCCTCGTGGGTGGCACGATAAAGTCGAGGCCGTGGATACGACTGGTTGAGCTCGTGTGTGACTTTGCGCGTGAGGCGGCTGTGGGTGCCTCGTAGCGTGCAAGTTTACCTGATGATGGACCTGCAGTAATGACGGTACCAGAGCCTGATGCCTGAGAGGTGCCGCATTCCATTAAGGAAGACAAAGACGCTTTGCGGGTGAGCCCCTTGCGTTGTATTGAAGGAGGGGTAGGGGGTTTAAGGCCAGAATGCGACTTTTGTCCGCGGAGACTGCCTGGTTTAGGAGATAAAAAGGTGTTTGTTGGAGGAGGAGGGGCGGCGGAAAGTGCTTCCTTATAAGTGAGAGCACGTGTACACAATGGACGGGGTGGGGGTGAAGACGAAAGCTTAATGCGCTGTAACTGACGGGCAGATGATATGGGAGGATTTACAGGTGACTTTGCCCTATCAGCCCTCATCCTTGAGGGCGGACGTGCGGGCAAGAGTGCACGAGCAGGAGCGCTTTTGCTACGGTTGTAGCGCTGGCTCTGCTTTACGTTGACGAGCCTGCTTGGGCTGAAATCGTCATCATCCTCGATAACAAGACCCGTTTCAAAGTCATCTTCGGGGTCGGGGCTGGCAACCTTTATACGTTGGTCCGTCATCAGGACCTGTTTCTTGAGTTCGAGCATCTTTTTAAGATGCTTTGCGCTCTGGCTGGACTCGAAGAGGTCGGAGGGAACAACTAGTCCCTCCAGCTCGCTCTCGTTTTCGTCGCATTCACTTTCCTCCGTTTCGTGTAAGGAAAGGGAGGATACAGAGTTTGATGACGAAGAAGCATCGGCGAGACCGAGGGAGGAATATGCATCAGAGGATTGAGAAGATGAAGTATGATCACCCCATTCCAAGGAGTTCTTGGAAGAACGATGGCTAAGTGAGAGAGGTGCGAGGGACAACTGTGTGAGGTTTGAAGGAAGAGCGAAGGCAGATTCGATGTCCTCGTCGATGGGAAAAGGAGGGGGTTTTGCAAGAGCCATTTGAAGAGCGGCGACCTTTATGGTAGACACACCTTCATCTTCTTCCTCATCTTCTTCCTCCTGACAGGTGAGTGGGGGACGAATTGTGATCATGTTGCCAGAGACAATCCTTGAGAAGTGTGACCTGGCAGTCATGCCAGCGACAACGGCCTTTGCCTTTGCGCCGCCAGTTTTACCGAGGTCCATTTCAATATCCCAATCCGTAGCGTCATCTTCATCATCATCCTTGTCGGATTCAACGTCGAGAGAACGAATATGGTCGCCATCTGGTAGGTCAAAGTCTGCGTCTGGCCACTCTTCACGAGCGAGCGGTAGTATGGGAGCTGGAATGGTGGACATGTTGGATTACAGTATTTGTTGTAAATATACTAAGCCCCGTTCGGGGCTGGCGAAGTAGAAGGTCAGTGGAGTTTAATGGTAGGGAGCGTATTGGAGAGAGAAGGGCGACTAGGAGATAGGCCGAATGATAAATGTGTACCGGACGGTGTGATCTTCACATACGCGACCTATGAACGAACAATGGCCTTGGGTGAGGACTTAGCTTGATCCTCGTGTCCAATCAACGAAAACGAAGTCGTCGAGGAGATGTTTGTGACTATTTGTCACTCAATGTGACAATACTCCAATGTCTTCGTCACAAATAAACCAAAACAATATCAAGTTGTATTTATTTGTACACCGGGAGAAGCGTATGTATACAGCCTTCGCAGTATACCGAAGCACTAGTATGGCATTAGTAGCCGCCTCTGCCTCGCCTCGTGTTCGATCTCATCCTCGGAACCATCCAGATCTTCGCTATCAGAACCGCTTTCATCTCCGTCAGTCATCCTCTCAATATACTCATCTACACCTTTCCTCATCCGGATACCCCTTTCTGCCATAATGTCCACGAATCCATCAAGCTCGCGAGCACTAAACACAGAACGAAGTGGCCCAAAAGCCATCATATATAAATCTGCACATGATATTCAGCGGATGGTTTGATAGATATCACAATATACTTTACCTTTGGCAAGCGGGCATTCATTCACTGCTCTGTAAAGCAGTTTCTTCGCCCTTTGCAACTCCCCGACCCGAACCTCAAATTCCAAAATGATGCGCCACAAAATAGCGCTTCCCGTCGTCCTGAAAATAATGTCAATTCATGACAGCCGGAGCAGGATAATCACACAAACCTCTCACTCTCCGCAGCCGCAGTAAGTCCGCTCCTCGTCCTTTCGATCTCACTCTGCCATCGCCCTTTCTCCCACCCAGCCACCCACACTTCTGCGATACGCCGTGAAATACTCTTTTCCTTTGGGCCCCCGTCAGCTGTGCTTTGTCCGAGTTGGGCGCGTACGCGACCCCAGATACCATGCCCCTTCTCAGCCTCTAGAAACATTCCAAATACCAGGCTATTGTCCGGGTAAGTGTCGACGGCAATCTGCAGTCGATCCCTCAGGACAGCCGGTGGAGTGGGACTTCGTAGCATGACTGAATGATTGTACAATAGCATAAGAGATGCCACCATCGTGCTCTCTCTTGGACCAGAACTCTCGTTAACGCTCGGCTGAGAGTCGAAGATCGTGAGTGCCCCATCTTGAGCCGAGGAAGTAAGCAGTTCGATCAAGGCTCGCAGTTTTATCCAACCCTCCCGGTCCTTCCACTGCTCATGAGCGCAGCTAATCGTATCGTCGAGGGCGCGTTTTACACGAAGAACCATCATACCACCCGCACCTTCGATGTTGACTGAGTGCTGGATAACACGTAGTGCCGCATTTTGGTCACCACTGAGCCATTCCATCTCAGCCCAATCCCACCATAACTGACCAACGAAAGGCTGACTAGGCGAGTGCCGAGAGGCTACAAGTACCGTTTGATAGATCTTACGGGCATCATCCACGTGCTCGCGCAAGCGCTCAAGACGTGCGTGGGTTGCCCAGTGCGGTAAAGAATCTCGTGCTGTCGACAAAAACGTCCGCGAGAGCTTTAGGGCACTGCACCAGCATAAGTGCCACTGGCACACATCAAGAAACGGATCGCACCTTTTGATATTAAGAGCTGCCTCAAATGCTAATGCGTAAACATCCCACTCATAGTCCTCCCTACCACACCTGAGCTGCTTGAACACGGCTCGTACGAAATCCTGGTCGATCCCTTGCAGATCAACAGCAGCCCACATGCGCCACTTCTCTTGGCCTACCCACTCCAACGGTCCGAGGGCATTGCAACTCCACTCTTTGATCGGACCGAACGCGCTAGAAAATTCTCGTTCTCTCCCTATGAGTGTGCCAGCATGAGAGTCAGCCATCAACTGCCGCTTTCCCGCAGTAGCAGGGAAAATCGAGTCCAATCGCGAGAAAGAACAGAGGTAAGTGAATGACCATCGGTCATCCCAAGATCCCTGCGACAGCGTTTCTGCGAGACCGGGAATATGGAAGCCTAGAACGGATAACCAAATTAGGCGGAACGCATTCTTGGCACCTTCCGTGCGGAGGGGCAATAGTAGTGCCTTGATATCCGAAAGCAGAACTGTTGCGTATGGGTCAGACTCGCTCATTGTGTCCGCGGAGGCGGGCACACGTGATGTGCGATCGGCGCGAGACTCATCGTAATGCCATTGGACATATGGATCTTTCGATTGGATGTCAACGTCCATCTGGGGAACCGCCTTCAGCGGGGAACCGGAGATATCAGGTCTACCGCGTGAGATCCAGTCACCCCAACCTTTCGCTCCAGGCTCGCCGGCGCGCGGTACTTCGGACTCCCAAAATTCTTCGAGGGATTCCACTTGCAATTCAAGGGGAAGTCCGTACAATGACTGGGGTACCTCGAATGTTCTATCTCAAGTGTGAAAATAATACTCAATCGGAATGGGATTCCACAGTACTCACAGTTCCGCTTGTGCCTGGAATAAGGCTGTGGCACGTTCATAGTAGCCTGAAACATACCGATAAGGAATATGGATAACGCGGCAGTAGTTCCGTACCTGCTTGTTGGAATGCGACTGCAACTCGCCACACGACCCGTAGTTTATCAATTTCACGCCTTTCAGAGCTACCGAGCGCGCTTAAGACGCGCGTCGCATCTGTGACTGACGTGTCAACTCCACCGGCAGCGGTGCGAATCCGCCATTCAAGCCATTCCATCCAAATTTCAATTCCGCCAAGTTTCAGGGCTTCCTCCCACTCGGCCTTGATTTTACTCTCATGCCAGACTTCCTCTCCTGCCCTTAGGTACTTCAGGAATAGAGTGCGAGATGACCGGTTATGTGGATGGGCAGCACGAGCACGGGTAAGAATAGCAAGTGTTATCTCTGCGCGAGCTTTGGTTGCGTTTTTTGAGGTGACGGGAATGTTCGATAATGAGTGTCTCACGAGTGACAACCACGTCTCGACTGAAGATGGATTGGCAGCCAATTGCTGCTCGAGTGTCTTGAAGGATAACTGGTGTGATGTGAGAATGGGTGTTTCTGACTCATCACCTGAGCTGTCATCATCTGAAGCAGACGACTGGGAGTCTGAATCAAGGTGCTCTTGCTGCCTGGTTACAGAACGATAGTCTTCGGCAGCTTTGTGACCACGGTCGGAGGGTAGTCGCAAGAAACCGTCCACCTCCTCATGCTTGTAACTATCCCCGGATCCAATAATGCGTCGAGACGGGGGTGCTGCCAATAATGTTGTCACGCTTGAGTCAGTCAGGGCTGGTTGCTAGAGACAAGGTTATTCATGGACGTCTGTTTGACGTAGGACTACGGTACCTTATGCCTCCTTCCTATGTTTATCTCTATGCCCTTACCTCTGCGATAGATAGCCCAGTCCCCATCAAGACCAAGAATACTTCTACCACCTTGCACATCATTTAGACATCAACAAGACATCCGATAGATGACTTACGGTCTACGATATGATACTTCGGGACATTACCAGCGTGAATACCGCCGTAGGTAACATTTAGTTGGTCACCTTTCCGATCAGAGATGAACACTGGGGGAGAATCCCATTGGCTTTCTTGAATATCACTCTGAGCAAGACGTCTGTCCTCCTCGGCCTTGATTTTTTCATCATCTGGTATACTCACTCCCTTCCATGTATGTCCGTGTTGCCTGGGAAGTACCGGCTCGAAGTCGTGCTTTGCCGTCCTATGCTTCTTGTCTTTTCGAGACTGGTCTCGCAACTTCTTGCTGCCACGTCGGTTCTTATCCTTTTTAACAATTCTATCTTTCTCCCGAGCGTCTGTGGAGTTTTCATTTCGCGTCCGGTCCAGGGTATTCCTACTCGGTCCAGGGTCAAGGTCTGGGAACGAGGCAAACGAGGGTGGAAAAGACGAAAATGAGGGTGTGGACATTTCGAATGGAGCTCAAGGAAGGAGCATCAAACAATTCGGTCGTTGTAGTCAAGTCAGCTGGGTGGCTCGTGGTGTGCAAGGAGCTGTATTCTCAAATCCGTCCAGACTTGATGATCATCAACCATCTACATTTGACCTACATAGATCTGTTTAAGTAAGCTGTGCTTTCGGAAATTCCCGATGAGAAACCGAAACCCCTCACCTCGTTACTCGGAAACCTATTTATTTCATATCGAAGCTCGATTTCACTGCAAGCTGTCGCTTTAGCCTCACCCTCACGGTTCGCTCCAAGTAACCTCAACTTTGCAATGCGTCCCCTCACAGAAGACGAAAGCAAAGCCGTTTTCACAAAACTTGCCAACTACATTGTACGTATAATTGCCTCTGTTTTGATACCCCTTCTTTACTGACCTTATGAAAATCAGGGAAAGAACCTCATCCACCTCATCGACCGCAAGGATGAGCCATATTGTTTCAGGCTGCATAAAGATAGGGTCTACTACGTCTCAGAATCGTCGATGCGCATGAGCATATCGGTCGCTCGGCCAAATTTCGTCAGCGTTGGCACTTGCTTCGGAAAATTCAGCAAAAGCGGCAAGTTCAAGTTGCATGTAACGGCGCTTGATCATATCGCACAATATGCAAAATACAAGGTGCGTCATATGAACTTGCTACCTTTTTGGTGATTTTCGTAACGCATTTGTTTACTCGACGTCCGACAGGTTTGGATCAAATCAAACGGAGAGATGCCGTTCCTGTACGGCAATCATGTTGTGAAGGCGCATCTTGGCCGGATAACAGAAGATACTCCTGAGCATCAAGGGGTGGTGGTCTTCAGTATGAGTGATGTACCACTAGTACGTATTCTTTGCTGATGCCTTCGGCCCAGACTCACCATTTTTGCAGGGCTTTGGCGTCACAGCCCGGTCAACGGTAGATACCCGGAAACTAGATCCAACAGCCATAATCGTCTTTCATCAAGCGTAAGCTCCATTTATCATTGTATTTGCTGTGTCTTACGATGTATCCTTTCCTAGTGACGTTGGTGAATACCTAAGAGACGAGGTAAATTCATAAGTAATATATCGAAAGTTCTCATTCGCTTACATGGTTTGCATCAGGAAACCTTATTTTGATCGCTCCACTTTTCTTTTCATTCGTTCTTTTGGTATGGGAGGTTTATGGACCCACACATCTTAGCTTACCCGTTCACATGTCAGTGGTTTTGTAGTGCTTCGTCACGCGTAGATCGCGTATCACACCGTCCCTTTACTCTGGTAAAAGTATCGTAGTTTCACCTTACGGATGAAAGTTCTGTCTATTTATCGGTAGAAGGTATATGATCCTACATATTTACATTGAGTGATGAATATCCGTCACAAGACGTGAAGTACACTGGAATCATCAATCGCAGTAATATTATGTGCCCAAAATGTCCCGGTAAGTCTGCAATGCGGTCTCGAAGTCTACGTTCATATCGTCCTCGAGATATCTCTCTGGATCATAGTAACAAATCGGGAAATACTCAACCGTCTCTAGATCTCCCTCCTCGCTGTCATATGCTGAATCAATGATGCCGAGGAGACGCTCTCGAAAGTCTCGTCATCACTGTCGTAGTCGAAGTCCCTCGACATTGAATCAACGCCGGCGTTGACTATGTTTCGGAATGATTCATAACCAGCACAAGTGGCCCCATAAGACGAGACATAATCCATGTCCCGCTTATATATATGTCCTGCATCATGCTGCACGTGAACCCCTGGAAAATGCCACTGCAGGGTCTCGTGGTGCCGCACCGAGTCGGGAGGAATGACAAGGTGGAGGCGAGGCCCTGTAGTTCTGAGCAGCGCCCAATCCAATAACCTAATGGCTTGGAGTTGCGGAAAACACTGAGACTTCCATGACACCTGTATGACATTGGGATCGGGGGCGGAAGGGTGCCACGTTGCCCGAATATCCATCCACCGCAAAGTCTTGTGCGACAAAGATCTCCCATGCATAGGTGAGGAACAGTGGTCTGGAAGTATTTGAATATTTTGCGTGTCCAGAAGGGGTTCATGAGAGCCCACGAATTCAGTCATAAGTGGGAATAATGCAAGGTGCTCCAGGGCGTGGCAGCGGTCTAGAACCGACTGAACGGATTGTGAGTGCAGAAGAGGCTCAACAGCGTACTCGCGGTCGAGGGGAGCAGTGATGGGAAGTGTCGTCAGGCGTTTGCTGTGTGCATCCAAAAATTTGAGGTACTGTGAGACCTGAGATGGTTTGGGTCGCCATTCATACATCGTGAAACGGCAAAGGCAAGGCAGGTTCCAATTCCGGGCAATTTCGTCAAGGAAATCTAATTTGTGGAGATAGGACCATATCACGGTAATCTGAAATTCCTGGAGGTGTTCGAGGGTAAGATATTTGACGTAATCCTTGTCGCAGGTATCAAAGAACAAAGACAGGATGGTGAGACTTTTGCACTGCGGAAGGCATAGGAGAATGTCTGACAAACGCTCGCTTCAAACTTGAACGTCAAGATGGACTACTTTCTGGAGGTCATACTGACGTGTAGAGGGTACCAACAGGTTGCGGATACCAATAAGGTCGCGGATACCCATACTTAGTGATAATCGCGTAGCATTTGGGCTCATCCCCAAGATGTGTTGAAGGGCGTCATCGAACATCACAAAGCATTGGGACATCACATGGCAAGACATTTTGATATCCATGATCATCTCACCAAGTCGCGTATTGCCCTGCAAAGTACTGAGAAGTGCTGCGACTTGTCCGATGTGGCGAAAATGTATTTTCCGGTATAGCAAAGGGGTACCGATCTCCCGCCAACATTTGCAGACGAGAATTAAAGATTTCTTGGTTCGTTGCGCCAGACACCAGGCAGACAAAGGTCCGCAAGCCAAGGATGCATCCAGAAAGACTGTGGGAGGAAGTGCGAATTCAAGTATATCTAGTAATATTTCTGGAGGCGGCTGCTTGAATGCGAGTGGCTTGCTAGCCTCTGAATCACTAGCATCAGAGTGTCCTCCCTACAAGACAATCCTATTAATTGCTTGCCCCGACGAGTAGCGGAGGGGCTCACTCTGGAAGTGGGCGGTGACAGAAGCGCTGAGGAGTGCTCTGCAAAGGAGTCCGACTGACTCATTTTATAGGTACGATATAGTACTGCAATCACTGATTATGCCCAACCGATGTCTTAATGATAGATCAGTAAACATGATCCTTGAGAACAAATAAATGATATGAACATTGAAAACATACAGGGCACTGGGTTATACGGTGAAAGGAATTACGTATACTGGCCGTCCAACCTGCGGTATGTTAGAATGATTGTTTGGAGATGATCGATGATGGCTCGAAGGATGATGCTAAAGGCTCTAACTAAATATTGATAAAGTTCAATTGCAATTTCACAAACCTCGATGTAATCACACGCAGGTGGTATGCACGTGGCGTACTTTGCAGAGTGTACAAACTGAGGCACTACTACTGGCTTAAGGCCCCAAGGTCGTTCCTCATATCCTCACCACCACCACCATGGTCTCCACTGAGTCATCATATACTCGCTGGGAATCCCTCAAGGATGAGGAAGTTACAGTTAGTGATGTTCAGGACACTCTTGCCCCAGCCAACGATGACCTGTGGGTGGCAGCTGCCTGCACCGACCGGTTCGTGAGCGACGAAGTAGTTCAACGTTCCCTCATCGAACTTGGAATCAATCGAACGAGCGCAGCTGTGCAGAGGTGCAAAGAGGTCCTTCTCCGACCCTCTAGGGCTCCTGGAAGTTCTGACGCTGTAAATGAGCCCAAAGAACTGCTTAGTGCGTACTTCACTGATACACCTGAAGATGCACAACTGTGTCACATTCGGACTGTTCTACTTGCGCGCCTCAACAGACTGAACTCCTTCGCCGAGATCTACAAGGAGCTTCTGGCGAAGAAGAGAGACGAAGAAGACAATCCAGGGATCGATGAAGAATGGGAAGATGACCCTTGGAAAGAAGAAGTGGAAGCTTCTATCATTGCTCACGCAGCAACTCCTGTTCAGTCGCTGCAGGACTTTTTGACGAAGGATATCTTGGATATGGCATGCTTTTACGCATCGCAGGAGTGTTTCGACGCTGTGCGAACTCTTCTAACGTACCACCGCTCGTGTCTGTGGCCGTCCCGCTTCAGCATTCTGGAAAGCATACCATGTCACTCCCACCCTTCCGACTATCGTGACTTTCTTCCAGCTTGTGACGCGGCCACAGACAAAGAACTCGCAAGCCCGTTACTCAGATGGCGGACAGAAGAAGATTGGGTGGAGTCAACGGAGGTTCAAGCGGCTCTTTCACAAATGAAGCTCTCAGCTGAACTCGGAACTCTGCATTCCTCAGCCAGCGCCGCTTCCAAAGAAAGTCAGCTGTTATCTGCACAACAACTGACTAGTTGGTACAAGAAACGTGTCGACCAGGTCATATCATCGACAGGGATGCTAGACATAGCATTGTCCCTTGTGCAGCATGCTGGCTCTCTAGGTATCCCAGACCTTGACGAGCTAGGAGAAGATCTGAGCTTGATGACCCGGCTGGTTTATGACATTCCTCAGGCCTGGGTTCAAGATGATGAGGATTGGACTTTAGCACGCTGGCGGAGCATGGAACCGTCCCAAGTCGTGGGCGCATATCTAGCACATTCAACAACAGACACCGTAGCTAAGGACATCTCGCGGTTAATCATGCCCTATCTCTTTGTTTTGGAGTCGCGATCGGAACGAGCTGGTCAGCCTGACCCAGATCTTCCCGACCGTCTTCTTCATAATTACGTTCTTGGTGCACCGTTGGATATCGTCGCGGCAATCATTGAAGCCTCCAAACGAACATTGCTTCCGCCACAAAGGGTTATCAAGAATGACGAGGACGTTGCACGGCTTGCTCTGGCTTGCCTTTATGGCAGCGATAGCCTCACGGAGTGGATGACAATGAGCCGTATTTTTGAATGCCTTCCCGCATGGGAAATTGGCCCAAGCCCCGAAGATGAAGCAGACGAAGCAGGCGCTACGATCGTTTCTCTTGGAGACTTCGTGACGCCATCCACAGCGCACCCTCAGTGTGGCCCTACAGATCTACTTTACTTCTTCAAGCCTCTTCCAATCGCCTCGCTCTCGCGCGCGCTTGACATTCTTGACGTTCACCTTGAATCCGGAGAGATATTTGCGCGATGGAACGTTCCTGCACCGTTACGCTGGTTCCTTCAAAGCGCAGGTAATGTCACAGAACAGCGTGCTTGGGCCAACAGGATGGCTCGTCGTACTGGTGCCGCCGTCGACAAACTTGGGCAGATGGAGGACTGGGAATGGTTACTCAATGACATGTTGAAACTTTGTGGGAAAAACGAATCTGGTGTACCAAGTGCCTTTGGACTTTTGACGGAAGAAGAGGTGTCATCCATATTTTTCAGCGGGCTTCTGAGTTCTGGTCGTGAGTGTACCAGCTTTTTGCCTTGACTCTATGCTCAACCGTCAATCAGGATTTGATATCGCCAAAAACCTTATCCATTCTAAGCACGGCAAGCTAACCCTTCGGGCGTCTAAAATCGAAGATCTCTGCCTTGCCGCGTCTCGCGAATTTTATGATAACGCAAGTTCTGCTAATTACAAAGTTGGCGACATGAAGCTTGCCTATGACTGGTGAGCCCTTATAATACCGGAGGATACAAGGTGCTCATGCTTCATCTAGCTTGGATGTTCCTGCACCATCTCAGCAGTTAACAAAGGAGCGAGATTTCATTGAAGCTACATCCCGCCTCTCTTCATTCAACATCATGTCTCGACCAGGAATTCCCATTTTGCCCATCGAGATACGACTCACCAAAGACCGCCTATCCCTAATCTCCCGGGTCCTTTCGAGCAATGCAGGCGCCTATAAGCATACACAAGTAATGCTCGACCTCCTTCACAAACTCGGGTTCCGAGATGACGTCGTTGCAGAGGTGAAGACTCTCGCAATGATATCTGACGCCGCATTACAAGCGGAGGATTTCGCGCGGGCGTTTGACACGAATCAAAAAATGATTGATGTAGTGTTCAAGCTTCGCTCAGCTATTACATCATCAGGGTCAGAGGATCTACGATTCCAGGAGGCCAGCGAAGTTTGCTGGCTCGCCTGCTTTCAGCTTGGGCGGCATCCAGAATTCCCGGACGTCGAACAGAAGCTCACGCTTATGGGCCGTGCGTTGGAGCTGTGCCCGGCAGACAAACTGAATGATATTTTGATTCCTTGGCGGCGAATGGAACAAGAAGATTTGGAGGTGCGCAAGGAACGACTTGCCGATCACTCCCCCCGTCCGAAACCTGCCGCTACAAAACCTGTCTCTTCCCTGCAATCACGCTTAAACAATCTCCATGTTCCCACAACTCCCCTTCTTAATGCCGAGGATGCGGCTGCCCTCGCTGGTCGAGCCTTCAGCCGCGTGGCATCTAATTTCCCTTTCAGAGTCAGTGGACGCGAGCGCTCGGAGAGTCGCGAGGGTCAAGCCAGGTCGGGAAGTCGAGATGAAAGTCGTCACAGGCTGGACGGTGAAGACGTCACCCAACAAGCAAGCCGAGCGCTTCAACGAGGCATTGGCTGGCTGTTAGGGGCAGACGACGAAAGCTGAGCCAGTCGAACTCTTATATACATGCATAGGACGTTTGGACAGCTAGACTGTTTCTATATCACATACATCTACTTGCGAGAAAACACAGCGAACAATATACAGTACTCCAACGATTGAGATATATATGAACTGGAAGGAACAAATCAAAAGTATCAACAAGGAACGACAATGGAGAAGGCGCCAGAAGGAATGTGGTAAGTTACTGATAAATTTATAAGGTGAATAAAATTATGCCTGATTAGCGACGGGGGAAGAAAAACAAGAAGTTACACATAAGACAAGAGTTAGATGGATAGTAAATCCAGATATCAAAACGTACACAATCGACTGATTAGCAGTCACATTTGATGTAGCCCAAACAAGAAATAACGAGTGACAAGTGCCATGATGGCGATCCAACCTTCCTAGATAAGTGAATGGGATAGTCATGGTGATTGCCAGACACCTGCCTAATTCCTACTGACGAAGCGAGATGTATCGCCTGTGCGTCCCCTCGGTCTGTCGACAACACCAGTTTTCTTCGTTCCTGCATTGGAAGCTTCACGCTCCTCTCTGGGACCCCCCCTACCGCAGTGTTCGCAATATCCCTTGTCTTCATCCACAGCATGGAGGTCCTCGATTCCAGCTCGCAAGTCCCTCACTTGACCTTGCAGCTCCCAGACTTGGCGTTGCCAGGCATTTTTCGCTGCTATCATCTGTTCCTGCAAAGCCTTTATTACGAGGGACTGTTCCACCGGCGATGATTTATCGTCGCTGGGTCGCGACCATCCAGGAGTGAAGGGCGAGAGCGCTGCCACTGAACTATTTGTAGATGTCGGGGTGTCCAGTTCGAGTTCTGAGGTACGCTCTGCCTCCGGGATGGCAACAATGTCAGCGAATTGAGAGCTGAACGTCGTAGATATTGGACGTAGTTTGAGAGCTTGAAAGTCAATGGCCCCAAGCGGAGAACACCAAGGTGTTTTTTTTCCTGACTGGGGTGACTGAGCCAGGTCTGTGGGTCGATGTTCAGCGCAGAGTGGAGACTGGTTTGATGCGCCAGTGGATATGTACAATGAGGGCGGGGTGCGTTTCAGCGAAGGTGATGACAACTTTGGGGAAAGCTCCCCTTCGGCATCTGATGAGGACTCGTTGAGGGCAGTGCAGCTCCCGGCATCTGAGCCCAAGGATGACAAGCGAGGTGGGATGATTGGAAGTGACGATTTGCTATCTTTGTTGCCTCCGTGAGCGTAAACACCATGTAAAGGCGGAACTGGAGGTGGCGGACTCTTCCCCTTGTCACGACCTTTCTCTCGTTCACGCCCATTAAAGAGTCTCATAAACCCGCTTTTCTTGTGCCTCAGAGTTTGCCCGCTGGGATTAACGACATCGAGTTCTGAACCCCTTCGCTCAGGCTTACTATGCAAAGATGTCGCAACGACTGAATGAAGGACACTTTTGGCACGTGCGCCGGCACTAGTGGAGCGAGCGCGAGCCCGCTTGAAGTTGCCAGTAGCAGAAGTTTCAGTACTGGCTATACTGGCAGAGTCATCTGGCTCCGAAAAAGGAATGCGTGAAGTAGTCTCATGCACCGGAGAGGGGGACGAAACCGTGGCATTGGCGGTAGCACTGCGGGTCCTTTCTCTCGCTTGTGCCTCCTGCAGCGATATCAAAGTGACAGTTGGAGAGGAATGACCATTCCAACCTGGGACACCTTCAAATGCGGGCGGGCGGTGGAAAGACGGCAAGCTGGTGCTCTGATCGCATTGCGCTGAGTTGAGGTCGTTGGCATGGAGAACTGTGATGGGGGGAGAAATATCTTTGCCATGAACGCGCATACCTGTGGAGGGGATGTGATCTCGCGATGGTATGGAGGAGGCAGAGGTGTCTGGTGTTATAGTAGAAGAGAAAGTACCAGACCGCGAACTTAGTGAGTCAGTCACGGTGGCAGCCGAATCGTTTCGCGGGATATGTCCAAAGGTAGAACGGAGCTGAGCAGGTCTGAGAGGGGCATAAGAAGCCACCAAATCAGGGTTGGCATAGGGATGTACGAAGTCCTCGTGAGACAGACGATGTTGGAAAGTATAAAACGATGAAACAGTAGCACTACGTTCGTGATCTCGTGGAACTTCCGGAGCTGGAGAGTATGGTCTGGGTGTATCCTGTGTGGGGGATGATGGCTGGGGAATGTGTCCCGTTTCTCGCAAGGAACTGGTGGAAGACCGGGGCTCTTCCAGCGTGCGGTCGTCATGGTGAGTTGTAGGTGGATAGTTTGTCGTGCGGGGAAGAGAGAAATTATGACGATTTCTCAGCGAAGGGGCAGGAAACTGTTGAGAGGGAACGGTCAAAGAGGAGGTCGATAATGATTCCTGGGCCAGGGTGCTACATGTTGGGGGTCAAAACTTCACGCATTAAGAGAGACAAACACGTACTACAAGGCACCTCGCGAACTAGAATGATTACCCGCAACAATTTCAAAAGAACCATTGGACTGAACCTGAGAACGGAATGACTCGGCGCTGGGTCTGGCGGAGGAACTCTTGCCGAAGTGCCGTATGAGATCAGCCTTCACAGTCTTACTTTTGACTTTCTTGCCAAACGCGGTGGACATGGCACTATGATCCGAGTCGTTCCCGTCAATCGTGTCTTCTTCTCCAGTTTCCCAAGGTGCTCGAGAGTGAAAACGTATCTTGGGGCCCTGAACACTCATCCTGTGTGAGGCATCATCGTCTTCGTCGTCATTCTCCGTGTCGTCAGTTGTATCTGCAGTGTTAATTGAAACACCCGTAACGTCCTCATCATCAAGATCCAGGCTACTTGCTGCATGATCATCAAGGTAGTCAGAGTTGGATATGGATGGCCGACGTTGGCTGGAGGAGTCCTGGATCATAGTGATATGAACTGGTATGTGGTTCAATATCTCCGCTGCCTGGAGAGAAGTAGGCGTGGCTGTAAACTGATGGAGAGTCGGAAAATTCGGATATTGAAGGAAAACGAGTGTGACGAGGAGCATAGGAGCGGAGGCTTCGAAAGTCGTCTTGGGCGTCCCATGGAGAATGGACGGACCTCAACATGACCGCAGCGGTCCAAGGCAACTAGGTGTGGTTCTTCCCATCAACTTGGGCTCTAACAGGCTCTAACACATTAAAATACAAATAATCCCACGTATTCAAAACAAAGTTTAAATCATCGTTCGCATCACAAAATTAGACTGTATGTACTCCGACGGGACCCCTCGGTACGCGTCGACGGAATGTAAAAAAAAACATAAGCCGCTTCGAGAATCTCAAAACATTCACCTTGGAGATATCGTTAAATTAAATTATGTAATACTTTATCGACGATCCTAATATGGACATGAACACCTTCAAGTTTATCCCTCCCATATCGAAAATGTCAGAAGAGCTTGTCCCTCTCACTTCATCATCACATGGACGTGTCTCTGGGAAATCATGGAAGGCACAAAAATCAGCAACCTTGTACGTATCATACTACACTCCATGTAGAACAAAAATCATTCGGTCATTAGTCGAACGCAATGTTCTGCCGGACACAGGTCCAACTTTGAGGAACGAATGAAGAAGACTACAAAAGCCAACGCTGCAAAAAAATTGGAAACTGAGCTCAAAACTGAGAAAAATGCTGAGAAGCAACGGTGTGTAACAATTTATGCAGCGTGATGGGGATCAGAGATAATCCTGTGACGTAGGAGACGAGAAATCACCCTCGAGAGGAAAAACGCAGCAGAGGAGCGGCGCAGACTGGAAGAAGACAAAGCAAAGGTAGATCCAAGGTCCTTTATTTACCTTTTGAGACTCATTGCTCTCAAGATGGGAGCTAGAAAAACAGCAAGGCTACGACGAAAAGCAGGACGCACAAAAAAGATTCACGGTTAACCACTGCTAAAGATATAGTATTAGAGCATCTCAGTATGCTATATTCACACCATGTACCATCCCTACAGCGCCCAGGTCGTGTCCAATTCATCTGGTTTCACGAATGGCTTATCCAACCCTGCAACCACACTCTCGCATAGCGGACAACTGTTCGCGAGAACGTCGTCCAGCTCGGCCCGTAACTTCTCTGTCTTCTTCTCAAAGTCTTTATCCACCCCAACCTTTCTTCCCCCACCTACACCCGGTATCCATCCCGGTGCGGACACAACCGAAGCCAGCGCATCTGGAACAATAAGATCTCTCAGGCGGTCTCCAGCAGAAAGTATATTTCGTCCGAGGAGATTTGCGGCCTTGGTACCATTCTGTATAGGGTTTCCAAAGCTAGCAGATAGGAGTGTGCGCTGTTGGGTCGCCTGGCGTGAATGCCCGTTTGGCGTGACAGTGACTGCATTATCGAGATTGGTTTTTTGACCTCCCTTCACCAGCTCGGTCTGCAGAGTAATGATCCGCCGGAGCGCATGCGTAGGAAGATATTCTTTTGCCTTCGTGACCGCACCATTCAGAATTTGTTCCCTTTAATATAAAGAGCAAACATACCAATCCGATCAAACAATCTGCATGGAAGGTATGCTGGCAAGGGAAGACGTAGAACTGCCTTGTTAACAAAGGCTGCGAGCAAACGGAGCACCTTTCCCCCGCATCGATAGTCACGAAACGATTCTTCAACTCAGCGATGTCCTGCTTAATAGACTCCGCAGTACGAGTCGCGTCATCCATCTCTCGTTTCAAGTCGTCGATGTGGGCTGAATAACCTTCTAAAGCATGCGCGATTTCCTCCTTGAAGTCGTCAATAACCACGAAGTCAGGGAAGAAGGGCAAAATATCCTCAATCTTGAGTATATTCGTATTCTCCAAGAATTGCATCGCTCTACTCAGACGCATGAGCAGGAGCACCTACTGACGAAGATCTTACTTACGTTTTAATGTCCTGTTTGTCCTGCACCACGTATCGCGCAATCTTGAGCCAAAGCTTCTTCTGCAACGGTGCGTCGTCCTCCGGTTTATTGGCATTTTCCTTCGCGAGCTCCAAGTCACCCTTCTTCAATGCCAAGTCCACGCTATTTTCCCAAAGACCCATTTGCGAATATATGTGAACACACGATGGGATGCGCCCTGTTCTTTTACACACTCGAAGAGCGTAGTCGAGGTCATAGTACGGTTTGCCTGTCATCGGATCCGAGGGTGCCGAGGTCAAGAAATTTAGCAACGGGCCATCCTCTTCTGAAGAACGAGGCAACCGAGTTGCAAGGAATGTCACGAGAAGGTTATGAATCATCGGTGACTTGTTGCCCTGCTCAAATACCACGTAACTGAGGTATCGCACAGCGTGGTCGGGAGACAGCGGGTCGCGAGGGAGATGTTGCAGCTGGAGCAAGGAAGGAATGAGACGCAATGGATCCAAAGACGGCTGTTTTAACCAGGATTCAATCATCTCCTTGGGTGCTTGTCTGGTCAGCACAGTACCGAAGCGGTAGTATAACTCGGGGTTGGTCTTTCCTCAGTCAGTTAGGGATATTGCAGCGTATGAGTATAATGCTTACCTGGCGGTTGAGTACATCGATGGCTTTGATCCACTGTTCTTCTAATATCCAGTGTGCAATAACGCATTCGGAGTCACCGACCACCGTAGCATAGTGTAGGAACATGTCAATCCGACCATGACCTTGGATCAACTCATAAACAACATTTTTATCTAAATTGCTCTGCAACAATATGTTCAAGTGAGCAAATTATGTATAGAATGGCGTACCTTATATGTATCAAAGAATTGCCGTAGGTCGTCTTCAAGTATCGCACGCTGAGTTTGCAGATTCTCGACATCGCTTGTCACCGATTCAGAAGCACACAGGTTGTCCAGCTCATTACATCTGCTCAGATAGAATTCGACGAGCCATGTTGCCAACATCATCCGTTGAGTCAAGTCCTACGATACAAAAAAAGTGAGGGCCAGGCCTCATTGCCGAATATCGCAGAGGGAAAACTCACCGACTTCCGTGTCCGCTCGAGTCTTGAAATCAGGTATGAGCGCAGTGCATCTCGTTCACCGGCATCCAAGAACTTTAATGCAACTTCCTCGAATGGCGTAGAACACTGAGAATAGCACTGTGCAGCCTGGAAATAGCGACCCTCGTCAAAGAATGCACGCGCTTGAGCAGACAATATGCTATCTCGTTGGCCTGCCGTCTGCACTCAACTAATCAGCCAGCATCTAGTGAAGGCAAACAGATATCGCCGACCTTTGCATACCGAAGTGCGACGTCAAACTTTTGCTGAGCCAGATATATCTGCCAGACGTCCCGATTCTCATTGCCGACAACAAGCTCGAAAATGGATTGATCCGTGTAGGCCCAGTATGTTTTACGAACTGGGTCAGCAGCAAGTCCTCGTACAATTTCATTCGGTCTCTAGACCAATCAACCCTCAGCAACAATGCGACCTGCGTTGACACATGTGACCTACCAATGGTATGACATCCTCATAAGTCTGCTTTCCATTCAAGGCAGAGATACCAATGATACGGTCCCTGTATATCAAGATGAAGTGAAACTCCGTCAGGGAAATAGAGACAGGGACTTCTGGGGGCGAGTGGGAGGTATCAAGGGATGTGCCAGGTGAGTTGAAAGAAGGGTATGGATGGAGTTGTGTTGAATCAATGTGATCGTCAGAATTTGGGTCGAAATTAAGCGTCCCATGATAGATACCAGGAGCTACGAATGTTCGCATTAGGCGAAGGAAATCATAGACACAAAGAAACATACCGGTCATCCAAGCAAGATTCTTCGGAAGCGATAGTGCCTGGTCTGAGTTAGGGGTGTAGAAATGAAGTTCAGAATACTGTAGATTTCCAGGTAGTTCGGATATTTCTTGTTCATGTCAGAGAAGAGCTATGCCGCTAGGGACTGGTTACTTACTTGGCGTAGTTTCCCGATATGCGGCGAACAAGGAAGAGAAAACACGACCACCCTCTTCAGACCGCCGATCCGGTGAACCAGCGAATTGATATATTCGTGAAGGAGTCGTAACGATGATCAGGACATTCCGCGGGTCAGAAGGGGGAAATAAATCAAACTTGATCCCAGTGACTGGATACTTTTCAGGGAGGGTAAACAGAAGCTGCAGGTACCGTTCCTGTGACTTGAAGAAATCCTCGCCAGCATCTAACACAGCTTCAAATATACTGCCATTCCGTGTGCCGACCAAAAATTCTCTTGTTGACATGGAGTGGGTGGATGCCAATAATGCAGCCTTATTCCATGCAACGCTCTCGATTACCATCTTGAATGACTTGAGTTGCCTAGGTTTCTTCCAGCCACGGTATAAATACCAGTTCTCGCCTTGAGTAGAGGTAACGACGAGATGGCGGCCTGATGGGTCGAGAAAGATCTTGTGTATGGTCAATTCGGTCGCTTTTCGTGGGATTGGGATCGTAATGACATGTTCTGCATGAGATAGCTCAATGAGGACTATAGTATTTGATGCTAATGCCATGGCAAGAATATCTGAAGAGACTGCCAGAGACACGAGAGGTGCTGGAAGAGTATATTGGACACGTCCGAGGTCAAATAATGGTGTGTTGGCCGCAAGTGGGCTCGGTAATGGAGCATCCTCTGGGGGATTCAGTAGATGAAGGTGTCTGATACTTGTTTACACACCAAGGCTCCAGGATGTTCTAATTCGGCATGAATCTCGCTGTCATAAGGCGACGGCTCGTAACCCTCGTACTGTACTTGTGGAAGAGGTGCGGCGCCACGAGAATAACCTGCTGTGGGAGCAGCGTGCTCGACAACTACATGGGTCGTTAGCAAAAGATGTCAAGATACAAGCGCAAGATACGTTACAGTCGTCGAACATGGCACAGATGGAGACTGAGGACTTTGTAAGTAAATTACAGTCAGTCTTACTACTACTGCCATAAGCGGAACCAATTTAGGATAGTCTCCTTTTTTACCCACAGTTCTTCAACAATGATTATTCGGTTCTTTCGCTGATAGTGATCACTGATAACCATCATCTACTAGCATCATGACACCTCCAACACCAAGATTATTTATTATTCGTCATGGTGCGCACAATATCATTGATATGTTATGCTAAGCAGGAGACGATGTTGATTTCCTCTGAAGGCGAAACAGAATGGTCCTTGAATGGGTAAGGTTCTTGGGTCCTTAAGGGATGCAGTCGTGGCTAATGTTTCTGCGATAGACGACACGTAAGTACTAGAGACACTCTCATTTCGATATGTGAACACGTCTTCGTTAGACTGGAACAAGCGACATTCCTCTGACAGTCCGTGGAGAGGAACAAATCAAGTCCAAAGCACACATCTTGGTCGGCGAAGGCAGTCAGTATCATACACCTTGTTTACACTGGTCGTCCGATTCATACCGTTTCTGCTTTTGCAGAACCCATCGATCCGCAGAATCTCTGTGTTGCCCTTGTATCTCCTCGTCAGCGAGCCCACAGAACATTCCACCTGTTATTCGAACATTTGCCCAAGGTCCCAGATCACATCATCGACGAGTCCGTTAGAGAATGGGACTATGGGAAGTACGAAGGCTTGTTCAAGCATGAAATTCTTGCAATAGACCCCAATGGGACATTTGGAGAGATGGGTAAGTCACCACACAGGTCTCACTCAATGATTCCCGATTGAATCGACTTGACCAATTTAGCTGTCCCGGAGGCGAGAGTGCTCAGGAGATGCGCGACCGCGTTGATTGTGTGATCGCTAAGGTCGGTGCTTTAGTTGCATATTCTGCACATCTGATTTCTGGCAGGTTCGAGAGTACCACAGACAATATTTTGAAGAGGGAAAGGGAACACGCGACGTATTAATCATTGCTCATGGCCACTTCAATCGTGTCCTCATTTCCCGATGGATAAAATTTGAACTCGCTTTAGGTATGATACATCTGACTATTTCTTGTAATATCTTGTGTTTAAGTCTGATCTTCAGGAACTCGTTTCAACGTGGAACCTGGAGGAGTAAGTGTATTTTTTATTATTTGTGCTAAGGAAATCTAAAGACATTGGTAAGGTCTCTGTCCTGAGCTATAATCATAGTTCCCTTGATGAACCAGCCTTGAATGCTCTGAATCTGTATGCTGACCTCAAATAGTTTGTAGTATGCTCTCTAGATTAGTAGACCTTCTTTGAAAATATGTGAATTTGTGGTCCCCTAGCCCGCCGATTAGAAAAGTGGTCAGTTCGGTGACGGCCGCGACGGCCGGCGCCAAGCTGGGCGCGTCCCGTGATCGACAATGTTAGATTTTCTGGTTTTGTATTTTATTTCTTCTGCATTCATTTGACTGTTCGAATTTCCGGTCCCAACACGTCTTCTATCAGCCCCGCCATCATTGTTAGTGATTATGGCCGACATAGAGAACCTTCCCAAAACCACCGACCTCGAAGCTGCCGTTGACTTTGTTGCCGAGGATGGCGTGTCTCCTGAACCTCATGGTGAACATGAGGCGTTTGTCGTGGTAGACCCAGATCCAGTCACACAGGATGAAGTTGACCCGCCTGCTGATGGCGCAGTAGATGATGATGTGATTGATCAAATAGTCATGCAGGAAGCCACGCAGCCCGGCGACACGCTTAAGGATGCTGCACCTGCCACAAAGCCGGAGGTGACTAAGAAGCTTGTTGCTCCAAAAGTCGTTATGAAAGTAGGGAAGGACAAACCAGTCATATCCGCTAAAGCTCCTCCGACAAAATCTGCACCGCCTACGCCAACCGTGAAGAAGGTGTGTTTGCCTCACCTCAGTCTGATACAATTCATCTTAGTCATGTGCGCAAAGGTATTGAATTCTGGCACGTTTGAATCTGGTGCTACGAAACCAAGCCCTGGGAGCAAGGTTCCTACTGCAACTCCTCTTACTCTTTCGAAAACCACCCCTTCTGCTCCCTCATCTTTGAGGAAATCTATCAGCACTTCCTCTGCCAATTCGCCAGTAAAGACAGCGCCGACAATGGCGTCTTCCAGAAGTCCTCCCGTTCCTCCACCATCTCGACGATCGTCCGTGCTCCCTCCAAGGGCGCCATCTGCTACGGGCAACCCTCCGCCACCAAAGTCGAGGGGCACTTTATTGTCGTCCCTGACATCTTCCATGTCTTCCAAACCTCCTCCAGCAGAAGCCAGCGCACCTTCGCGCTCTTCTGTTGTTTCCCCTTCTAGTTCAGTTGCATCATTGAGGTCCAATCCCGCTGCTTCTGCTGCCTCTCGTCCTCGTGCTTCAATATCAGATGTTGTGAGGAGAACACCTTCAGCATCATCCATGAAGGGAAACTCTTCGACGGTGGCTCCTGCCCGGCAGGCTAGTTCAATTTCATCCATTCGAGAAGTTAACGACGGAAAACCTCTAGAGGAGATGCAACAGAAAGTGAGGTGTTTGCGTTTGGTTTCAGCTTGTTGCTGACGGTTTCTCTTAGCTCAAAGAGGCAATGGATGCGCTTTCAGCAAAAACGCAGACAGTTGCTGGCCTTTCAGAAGCTCTGGATAAGGCTCGTGCAGATGCTGTAGCAAGTCAATCTTCACTTCTACTGCTGCAGCAAGAAAGGGCTGCTGCTGTGTCGGACCTGCAAGTACTCAACGCCACTTTGCAACAAGATCGTGCTGAACACTCGCGGGTCCTTGTTCTCCTCGAGTCCATGAAGCGAGAGGTAGGTGAATTGTTTTCAGTCCATCCAGATTGTCTCTGACATCTTCTTTCAGCTTGATGCGGCAAAGTTGGTATCATTTGACCACACTAATGTCGTTTACGACCTCCAGAGCCAAGTGCAATCTCTCACAGCTGAAGTGGCTGCAGCTCACGAGAACCTTGAGACTCTACGCACCTCAAGCGAGAAATCTTCTTCCGAAGCGGCAGCAGCAGCTCAAAGCGAGCGCGAGGCTGTTCTTAGGGCAAGGACCGACTACGAAACTATCAGTGCGGAATTGGAAGCGTTGAGGGTCTCTCACGCTTCTACAATTCACGATTTCCAAGTCAGGTCGAGTGAGGCCCAGGAGCGAGCTGCTGATGCAGACGCTCTTGAAGCCCAGGTCAGGCGACTCAAGGCAGAGCGCGAGGAAAACGCGAACAAGCTCTCAGAGCTGGAGGTCGAGATTTTAGAGTTGAAGGAGAGTCAAGAGCAAGCAGAGGACGACCATGCCAAGGTACTTGACCACCTCAAAAGGCTGGAGGAAGAACTAGCCCATGCCGCTGCAGCCACTCAGAGTGCTCTTGCTGCATCTAAAGTCAGAGAAGGGCAACACGCTGAACAGTTAGCTGAGGTCAAGGAAACTCACAGTGGCGAACTACAGGCCGCCAACGATGAGCTCTCCGATATTGTCGCCGACCTTGCGGCATTGAGGGAAGAGCTCGCTGCTGCTCATGCAGCCCATGAGCAGACGAAGGTCGAAGCTCAGAAAACCGCTGAGGAGCACGAGCGTCAGATTGAGGAGACCGAAAGTGAATTTTTCTCGAAGCATCTTGAGCTTTCGGAGGAGATCAAGAGAATCACTATCGAGCTGGAGGCAAGTTCATGCTTGACATCTCCGATATCATTTTCTCATGGGTGATATAGAGTCAAGAAGTACACTACAATGCTAAAGTTGACGCTGTCAAGGCCGAGCACGATTTGCTCCTGCAGGAGGCGTTTGAGCGCGCCAAGGTATGTATAATCCATGTCACTGTGTCACAACTTGCACTAATCCTGCCGCTTCATTAGAATGAAGCTGCAGATGTGCACGGCGAAGACCTTCAGGCGCTCCGTGCTGAATCACAAGCGACAATCGAACAACTCCGTACTGCCCACCAGTCAACGGTGGATGGACTGAAAGAAGACCATGAAGACGTTCTTGCGTCGCAGGTCGGCGATCTGGAGAAGAAATTGAGCAATCAGAGCCTCGAGCTACGTGCTACGCAAGACGATCTCGTCAAAGCCAAGGCAGCGCTAGAGTCGTCGCGGTCTGACACGGAAAGCCTCAAAGCGCAGCTTGAGGATGCTCGGGCGGCATTTGTCGCCGCCTCTGCCTCTGCTGACCAGGCGTCCGAGATCGATCGCTTGACGAAAGAACTTGCCAACTTCCGTGATGAGAATGTTATGCTCAACGACGTTCTTGCCGTCACAAAGGAATCGTTTTTGGAGATATCTTCTAATCACACAAAAGAGCTCGAGGAAGCGGCTCGTGGACGTGTCGAAGACGTCATGAGCCTCCGTGCTGCTCATGAAGAGGAGATCGGCAGGCTTGCGGCGCAGAAGTCAGAGCTGTCGCTCAAACTCTCCGACCTGGAGGGAGAGATTGCTACGCTCCAGGCACAGATTGCTGCTGAGGCTGCGGTTGCACCGAGAAACAACGGGGCAATGTCCCCGTCCTTGACCATGGTCACCAGGGAGGAGCTCCAGAGAGTGCACGAGGCGCACAACATGAAAATGCAAGACGTAGTGGCTGACCATGAGCGTATCGTCAGGGATCTCAGGAATGAGATTGACGGGCTCCAGAACAAGCTGGACGAGGTCCACCAGGACATCGCACGCAAATCGATGGAGATTCAGTATCTTGAGCAAGAACAAGAAGAGAGCCAAGACTCTATTACTCGGTATGTCAAGGTCTTTGGACTTCAAAGTGTGTTTGGAGTAGTGATCGCGCTGGCCGTGATTTTCGATTTTATTTGATTGTTCTGACTTTTCTCGGTGATGGCCGCTTTACTTTTACTATAATTTATGAATACCTTTCGTTACTTGTCCTGCGGATGATTATCTTTGGATCTCATTTATTAACTTGCACTCATACCACGGCACGTTTCTCCCGCAGATTAAAGGCAGACCTCGAACAACTAAGCGGCACATCTAATGCATGAAGGCTCGAACACCAACCTTCCGCCGTCACGATTCACTAGCCTCGTGGATTCCGCGCAGCCTCCATCCCCCCTCCTCGTGGTCGGGCTGTGGTATCCTGCTCTGTTGGCGTCATTGTCGACTTGTCCTTCCTTTCGTTACCCCTCTCTATTCGTAATATCACAGACTCCCCGCACATTCTTACCTATCACTGTCAGATGTCCTAGTCTAGCATCAACCTTCTTTTCACTGCATACCCCACGTATGGTTAATGATTGCACATATCTGGAGGTCTTTCTCTAATGCGACTGTAACAATGTAGATCCTGCGTCGTTGGAATGGAACTCCTTGATCATTACCGACTATCTCGCTCCAGAGTACAGTACTTACGTAAGTCGGAACAATTTACTGTAGAACGTACGATGTAGAGCGCTCCGACCATGCCCGCTGCTTATACTATTCACTTCATTGAGTGGAACGAGTCTCGGGATTGGAAATAACAATTTACATATATGTCGCTCTGAAATTGTCCATTTTTGGGCTATTTTGTGAAATCAAATGGGCGTCGCCTCTGGTCCGGTTAACGTCCAACCTTTTATTCGCATCGACCTTAACGTTGTCTTTCTTTACCTCTTTCACCTTCTCTTTTCTACGCGGTCACTTCCTCCTCCGACGAGCGCACGATGGCAATTCAAAGGGAACCTGGCCAGAAAGGCATCAACTGGTCTAACATTGCTGTCGGTGAGCGCGTCTACGTGATTTCGCTTTATGAAACATGCTGAACAATATGGATTCTCGTAGGTGCTATCATGAACATGGTATGTTTTTGCACTCGCTGCTGATTATCAGCTAATGGTACGCGTTGTGATGCGTCCATGTTATATAGTTTGTGCGTTCACTCACATTTTGGTGGGGTGATTTTTACTGACTTATCTCCGCCTTTGCAGGAGGCAAGTCGAGGGAGACGTGTTCGCGGTGTTAAGTAAATCTAACAGACCTATCTTTAGGTCACGACCCTTGGTCAGCCCTTGGAAGTCCTCAAGACCCAAATGGCCGCCAACCGATCACAGACTATGGTCCAGGCCACCAAGGCGGTCTGGGCCCGTGGTGGTGTCGCAGGGATGTATCAAGGTCTGATTCCATGGGTCAGTGGCTACCTCGTGAACGTCTAGGCATTCGGTCCATGCTGATTTAATGAATAGGCATGGATTGAAGCCTCCACCAAGGGTGGTGTGCTTCTTTTTACCGCTTCAGAAATCGAGACTGCTGGCGTTGGTATGGGTGTCAGCCCTGCTATTGCTGGTCTCTTGGGTGGTATGGGCGGTGGTATCGCCCAGGCTTATGCAACTATGGGTAAGTCTCCACGCAGACGCTTGCTTCATATATGATGTATACTTTTGTCTATCGAGGCTAGTTCATGATACTGTGTTGCCTTCAATTAACCATCTTTCGGGACTGACTTACACGCGATGATCACGAATGTCATACTAATATTTCCTACAGGATTCACGACGTGTATGAAGACTGTTGAAATTACGCGACACAAGGAGGCTGCTGTCGGTGTCGAACGGTCAACATTCCAGGTGTTCATGGACATCTACCGTCGCGAAGGTATCAAGGGCATTAACAAAGGCGTTAATGCTGTTGCTGTACGACAATGCACCAACTGGGGCTCTCGGTCTGTAATATTTACACGAAATGTCGTATTTTCAGCTGACGTTCTGTGTGCAGCATGGGTTTTGCTCGTCTTGCTGAAACTATGATTCGGAATGTGCGCGGCAAGGGCGAAAAAGACAGCCTTGGAGCCATGGACAAGATCTTGTCTTCTTCTATTGGTGGCGCGCTGGCTACATGGAATCAGCCTATAGAGGTTGTCCGGGTTGAGGTCAGTATAACACACCATGATTGGCTCGACTATGCTGATTTTTCACGTGACAGATGCAATCGATGGCAAAGACCACTGCAAATGCTAACCGCCCAGCAAAACTAACTATTCTCAACACCCTCGGCTTCATTTACAAGGAGAACGGTATTAAAGGCCTCTACCGTGGTGTCACACCCCGGATAGGTCTGGGCATCTGGCAAACAATTTGTATGGTGTCATTCGCGGACTATGTGAAAGCCTGGTATGTGTTCACCTACTGTTTGCGAGTGGAAGGAAGCTAACAGAGCTTACAGGGTTAAAAAGAGTTAGGGATCGCAATAGCGGTGTCTACATTTTAATCCTCTTAGACTGATAATAGTATATACTCTACTATAGATCCATACCACTTTTGTTGCTCATTATATACGCTTTCCTAGACATATATCCTGGGTGACTTGCATCCAGAAGTTGCTTGAGGTCTGATATCTGGGATTCCCCGACTCCACAAAGTTGAGATGATCCTCCGATCGAAGAAACTATCCATAATCGAATTCTGATAGGGAAAAAAGCTGTTGTCGGCAGGTTTCGAACCTGCACAGTCCAGATTTCGACTCTGGTAACTACTTGGCTAATGATTCTCCATCCATGAGGTTAGGACTAGTCAAGATGGACGTCAACGAGCCGAAGAAAATCATGCATTGACAATAGGATCACAATGTTAGGCCATTCAACGCAAAAAGACTAGCCTGCTTCGATGGACACAAAACATGCTAGAATAATAAGTCGGGGGCTGAACGATTGGCATCATATGTCTCCGCATCCGGTAACCGGCCACTTTATCTAAGTGCAGCATTAGCCGGCCCACGCCGCATGCTCTCACTGCTAGCTGGCAGCTGCAAATCTTCATAGTGACCACCATGAGCACAGGCAAAGCCCCCATGCACCCCCTGCTGGCGCGGTACCTCGCGCAGCTGTCGACAAACCCACTGCGCACTAAGGCATTGACGTCTGGTAAGCTTCCGTCAATCCAGCAAACACGTATGACGCTCAACGTGTCGGATGTGTGTTCATGCAGGCATGTTTTGTTTCCTCCAGGAAGTCATTGGTTCGAACGCAGCTGGTCTTCCACCACCTCAAATCCCAAAGGATGCGGCCCCCTTGACGAAAGCGCTTGTACGCGCACGTATTGACTCCAAGGCCATCAAGATGGCTTTGTACGGGTTCTTCGTGTCTGCTCCTATGGGTCATTTCCTCGTCGGCACGCTGCAGAAGGCTTTTGCTGGGAAGACAGGGCTCAAGGCTAGGCTGGGGCAGCTCCTCGCGAGCAATTTGCTGATTTCGCCAATAAATGCGGCTGGTGCGCAGTCTTTTCTGGTTTCGCTTATTTTGGCGCTGCTGAGGCTCATATCTAGTGTTCTTGGCTTCTATGGCTGTCATCAATGGTGCCAAATCCGTCGACGAAGTCATCCGCACCGTAAAGGCTGGCTTCTTCTCTGTCCTCCGAGTAAGCGGGAGTTTGCGTCCTTTCAAGCGGTGTTCTTACATCCCGTAGGTATCATGGGTAGTTTCCCCATTGTCCATGACCATTGCACAGCAGTTCATTCCCGTCGAAGTATGTCTTCTGACCATGTCCATAATCACTTGAAACTGACGGCCAAACAGCTGTGGGTGCCTTTCTTCAACACAATTCAGTTCATGGTCGGCGTAAGTTCTCCTTGGCTCGTTCAGTCATTTGATGCAGGCTGACATCAATACGCAGACCTTCATGAATATCAAGGTGAAGAAAATGAGACTCGCCGCGGCAAGGAAGGAAGCTGAGGAGCGGGAGCGAGAGAGAGCGAGAGCTGCCACAGAAGAAAAACCTTGATCACCTTATCTTGTATTCACGCGCATGTCAGTCATACTTACACTGTTTGGTTATATCCGTAATATATCCCCTGTGCATACATTATGGTAGCGAGAGATCCGATACAATGATCGATGAAGAGTCGTCCGCAGCCGCCCTCTGCTCGTAACGGTGCCTTACTTGCCATGACCCATCCTCCCTGCCAGGTTCGCCTACCTCAGTCTCCAGCCGCCAGCCTGACAGCGCATACGTTCCTGGACAAGTAGCACACAACTGGGCGAGGACAGACGTTGTCTGCAACGGCTCCAGAAGCCCTCTGAAGGTCGTCCGGCCGCAATATGGTGCAGGTAGATGATGTCTACAGACACTGTTAGTTGACAATATATGGGGCAAAGAATCACTCACAACGATGATTGTTGACGATGGTCGAGTCTAAGAACAAAGCGCGACGGATGGGACAAGGAATGGTTACGAATCGTAAACTCCACAGGAGTCAAACAAGCCCTGAACAACAACTGCTCAACAACCGTTGCTGGATGTGAAGAAAGATCGCTCACCCCTGGCTGAAATCATGCTCTATCACCAAACCATCATTCACAGTCATAACAACCGGATTCATCTCAGCGTTCCACTCGCTATCCCGGATAGCTTGCAGCATCTCCACCTTCTCCCGTTGTGTCTCAGCATACATGCTCCGCTTGACTTTGGCGCTCTCTACACCCTCGAGCACTTCTCGAAGTGCAGCATGACTTGCACCAAGAGTAATATCAGAAATAAGGATATGACCGGAACGCTGCTCAGAAGGGATCTTCCAGAAGACGACGAAATCTACAGAAAGGGGGTTGTACAATGGGAAGATGCTAGGATGAGATGATGTGGGTATTCGGGGATGCGATTGAGCGAGCGAGCTAGAGACGGCTATTCGCCGCGCGTTCATGATGAAGTGGGCGACGAACGGTTCGTAGGCAAATGTCTGTGGGGGGCTGATGAGTGATAATTTGGGAAAGGTGAGGGAGATCTGTACCTGGGAGACATGTCCGCAGAGGAGCTCCAGCGGTGGCGGATCGTCAGGCCCGATAGCTTGACCATGCAGCACGTTGCTCAGTTTCCTCGAGACGAATGCTGAGACTGCATTTACACTCGTACAATCGCCGGTGGAGGTGGCACCAAACGACATACGCGCTGATTGAGACGGACGCAAAGGCTCACTAGAATACGATCAACGACATGAGCACGAACATTTGTTTGTACTTACGGCCACAGTTCAGCGAGGGGAGAACACAACCAACTAGCGCCGATCGTTATTATTTGGTTGATCTCCACATTACTTGAAGATAAGATGTTAGTCAGGTCCAGGCTTAACGAAAACGAATGATCTGGCGAGTGACTCGGGTGCGAGGCGGTAGAAATTTGGAGGCCCTGGACGACCTCATAACTCCTTATGACACGCGTGGAATGGAACGGACTGCCTTGTGCCTGTATCAAACATCTCAGCAAAGAGTAGAATGAGGATGTCGCAGCGACTCACCTCGCGATAAATGAAGAGAAGCGACAAGTCCTGTTTCCGCGTGCGACCTGCGTGTAAAACAATCGTGACTTCGGTGTTCCCAGACCTCGCGAGCTTCTCTGCGAGGGGTATACTGTATGGAGTTGGTGGAACGATCTTATTATCGGACTGCCATGTTTTCCATGCCATGCCCGTAGCTGAACCTAGCTCAGCATAAGCGCTTGCAAATACAATAAGCCAGCAATCAAATATACCTTCCCCACTATCCAAAGGCTCGATCCAGATCTGATCCTCAGCACCAGGCACAACCCACACCTCCCCGATATCCCTCGAACCAGCATTCGACATCAACAGCTTCATCCGCTTACACTCTCCTTCAGCAAGCACAAGCGGTCCATCGTCCACAAACGCCACCGCGAGCTCTTGGCTGGCCTCTTCTACATCGAGTTTCAAGAGCTCTTCAGGGGCATATGCGATTGTTTGTCTCTGCTGAGGTGTGTCCTGTAGCCTGCGACCGCGGCGTGCTAGCGATTCCACCGTCGGAAGAAGACCCAGGAAGTCATAAGCAACGCCTGCGATAACCAGCGATGCTGGTTTGGAAGCCTTAATGGCAATGGAGATCTGAATTGCATTACGGTCAGCTAAAGCAGGAAGAAACGACTGGTACCACTAACTGTGCGGGATTCGTTGGCATAGAGGATAGTATCCTCGGTAGTCTCGATTGTGATGTTATCTCGAATCCAGGCAGCGTCTCCAGAAGACGACTCGACTACCACCGTTGGACTGGCTAACACGACCTCTGTATCGAGGGGATTGCGTAGGGTGATATCAACCCAGAATGCCTCTGCACGAGAGATGAGCCCGCGAAGTCGGAGCACATGGTGACCAGGAGAATTACCTTCTACAGCAGCATTTCCACTTCGTTCAAGCTTCTCATTGCCTCGATGTTTCCAGAAGGACGACCAAATCTCTTCCCGAGTCTCCCACTCGGACTGTTCGCCCTCGACAGAGTCTCGAGCTAAGCGAACGCAGGTCTGCGAGGGGATAACGAAGCGAAGCGGCAGCTTGACATCCTCAAGGCGTGCTTGCTCCCCAGATATCGACTTCAAGTGCTAGTAAATGGGTTTCAGAAGGTGGTGAGGGTGACGGAAAGAGGCGCATTACCGAAATAGCAACCTGGAAATCCTCCAAAAACACTTTGTCCGAACTACTCGGATCCTTCGTGATGTCCACGGTATGACTGGAGAGCTGAGCGAGTGGAGAGGACGATGCTGAAGACCACCGCAAGAGACCCAAAAAGTGCCGCACAGCGCCTGGTGCGTCCCCAGTTGTATATAGCAATCTTCCTGAGAGATATACCATGTCAAGGAAAGAAGAGGACAACGGTCGAAAGACACTAACCAAGTGGATGCTCAATACCGGACATGATAGCATCAAAGCCTTCAAAGTCTGATGGTTGTCTGTTTTCGGACATCCAGAATGATGGCGACAAGAGTTTTTCCGGTCGGGAGAGGGATAATTCATGGGCCCTCCGAAGGAAATACATAGTTAACGGTTTCTGGAAATGTATTTGGGAATCGGTAAAAACCACTATTCGAAGTCGAAATAACGTACAATACCACATTTCTCCAGGCGGTTTGCAGCGAAGAAATACCACAGCGCTGCTCGCCGTCTTGCATTCTTTCGAACACTGAGGAGTGCAGCATGAGCTAACAAGAGGGCTGCTGGTGGTTCTTCTGCCTTAAATCCTGACAGTCAATTGGTGCACTCGTCGAGGACAACAAATGGTAACAAACGCACGTTGCCTGCAGCCCAGACAAGCCATCGCTCACCCTCGAGGGTATCACTTAGAAAGTCGCCAATGGTGAGTGTCGATTCCCATCGCACAGCATATTGCAAGGCGCGTAATTGTGTATGTGAATGAAGCTCGGCGTTTTGGGGGTAGATGGTATTCAAAGCATGAGAGGCGTGGAGCTGCACGGCTGGCGAGGGAGCAATGAGCAAAGGGAGGATATCCTGACGGCGAACTTGTTAGATGGCAGGGGCATATTATAAGATACAATACTTACGGAGCCTCCCTTCCCTTCCTTCCGCAGTGATTCCCAGACAGCAACTGCTAGTTTGAAGTCACCAAGGATTGTTGCAAACTCAGCTAAGCGTCGTTGCTGGGATGGTGGAGGGATGGTGGAACCAGATAGTGAGGACTGAGGTGCGGTGTATGTGCTCGAACGTGTGTGCAGAGAAGGTGAAGAGGAGTGTACTGGGGTTGCAGACGAAGTTCCAAAAAGCCGACGCGTTGACGAAAACAAGCGTAACGGTAGTCTTCGGCTCGAGGAATACTGGTAAAGGGACTCAGTAAGTATGTGGAGGGGAATTGTTGATACTGACTGTCTCGTTCCATTCTATCACACATTTCTCCATCCATGGAACCAAGTTCATGATGACGAATTCTCGTGCAAATCTGGCAGTTTGTTGGATGTCTTGTTCAGACATTCTGAGAGTATTCAATGGGACCGTCTGTGCGGTCTTTAGGTCAGGGCGCACGGCATCGGCAGAACCATTGGAAATAGTAGGTGGCGGTAATCGAGGAACAAGTGCTGGAATAGATACGGGTGGTGGAGGAGGGGATGGAAGCTCAAGAGAGAGAAGGTAAGTGTGTAGACCATATTGTTTCTTAACAGCGTTGAAGAGTGCGCCTGCTCTGGAAAGGTGATACTATGAAGAGTAAGAACAGTAATGAGCAGTGAATACGCACTCTTCATCAGAGAGCGGAGAGTTCTTGGGATGAATTATAAGGGTGTAAATGAGATGTGTGACGTCTACCCATGATGGAAAGTCTAGTATTTGGGAATGTAAGGCCGTGATTGCTTGCAACGGATTTGGGGCTGTAGTAGAGACTGCTAGTATTACTGCGCCAGGAGTGTGAGGCGCAATAAAAAGGTGGAGCAAAATTACTGACTTGACATTGGATGGTTCCACCCCTCATCTCTAGCCGGGATGTGATCTCCTTCGGCACAACGTCTCAATTCATCCCACCAAGGTGTTCTTGCAACATCTCGATCGTTCATCTTTTCAAAATCATCTACCCATTTGGCGCAGCGTTTGCTGATACGGTCACCAATCCAGTCAATAGTTCGTGTGGCGCGTTGTTCCTCATCTTCGCGACAAGCGGCCTCGATTTCCGTCAAGTCAGAAAAGCGAAGTGCAAATGATGCATGGGGTACAGTGGTCAAAGTAGTAGTGCGAGTTGTGACTTTTGTAGGGATTAAATATCAATACTAGTGGAAAATAGTTAAACATACCTTGTGGTAATGGGGAAAAGGACTGTAATATATGATGGAGGGAAGGTAGAGCAGAAGACTGAAGGAGCTCTTCAAGGTCTTGAGAAGGAAGGATGCATATGTGAGGGGTCAGCGATGAAGGCAGCACCCTAGCCATGAAATTTGCTCGTGCACGTTGCTCTCCAAGATGCGAAGCTACCTTTAACTGACACTTTCTGAATCTTTCCTCGGCGTAATGGTAAGACACAAAGTATTGAATCAAGCCAATTTCCCACATTTCAATGTCATTAGTCTTACAATGTCATAGTACATGTTGGTATATAATATCAGAAGAAACCGCCACCACCAAATCCTCCGTCAAATCCACCACCTCCAAATCCTCCATCAAGCATATCTCCAAGTAAAAGTCCACCTGCCAATCCACCCAACAAAGGTAATCCCATCCCCCCTCCAAACCCTCCACTCCGACCTCTTCTTCCATACCGACCTCCATTGTATGCATATGGGTCTCCTGCAGGTGGGCCATACTGACTCGGACCAGGACCATAGTAGCCGCCCGAGTAACCTGGGTTACCATAGCCACCGTACGGCGGATAACCACCATGTTGCTGCATGTATGCAGCACGTTCCTCCAAATTTCGTCTTCGTGCCTCACGACGCAGCTCCTCGTCTCGCGCACGTTCTTCAGCCTTCTGTTTCTTATATGCCTCCCGCTCTTCCTTAGTACCAATAGCCTTATCTTTCAACTTCCCGAACATCCCGCGCTTTCGCTCCTCATGGTGCTCGTCGATTGGTGGCGAGATCGCACTGCTGGAAGACTTGGCATCGGTATGAAGTGGGGCGGCCGTCTCTCCACCGCTGAATGAATGACGTCGCTGTTCGTACGGAGGGGGATCTGCCAATGGTACTCTGAGCTTCTCTACTTTTGCTTTGACATCTGGGTTCTCAGAAAGGAATTGCTCGTCCTCGTAGGGGTGCACCCATATTGCTCGTGGTGGGTCTGCTGATGTATCAACCTGTAGAAGGAAGTGTTAGGACCCAATCTGATAAGAGAGATCAGCGATGCTCACCCAGAATGGGTGCTTCTGCTGAGGGTCATACTCCTGAATCCAGCCCTCTGGCAAGGGTAGTTGAGACATACGGGATACGATGGGTGTTATAATCAATTGTGAACCGAGTACTAGTAGTGTCCAAGCGCGACCAGTCTGTGTTTCACTATTATACTCGTCTATCATCTATCACGTGCCTTTAGGGGTGCAGCACTGCCCCGACGGATGTCACAGCCTTGCCCCGCTGGCATAGCTACAACCACAACTGTGTCCCTCGAAAATTCGATGTGATTAATCGCTCAACATACTACGGATCTGATGCTCAAGCTATGTATGTACCTACACGCAACTTCGTGGGCCCTGGCGTTGCCGCGCTGTGGAGAGTGTGATGAGGACCCTTATTTGTAATCCGATGGTTGCGTGCAAATTGAAGCGAGAAGAGACTTAGATATAGTTGGACTTCACCTTAAAAGAGTCATTAGAGGTAAGTGGCTCCAAGTGGCTCAGCACCGCGCAGCAACCTTTCCGCAGCACAAGCTGTGTCAGGACCGCTGGAGGTGTATCGGCGTGGACAGCAATTACTCATGGATTGCACGTAACTGTAAGTAAGCATTGCAGTTGCATGATTCTGGAAAAAACTACGTAGCACCCTCTTCAAAATCAGAACTTTGCCAGTATCGCATCGTCTTGGTTTCCTGTATGTCTTAGTCACGACTTAGCAGCAATCACTGCACAGTGCATGTCTTGACGGTACACCCTATCCTTGCTTCTACACCAATTCCACGCCCGAGATCTACCATGTCATCATCAGACCCAGGGCCATAACCCAATTGCACTCACTCTCGATGGAGGCATCACCAATCGGTGAGGCATTAGCTCCGACGACGCTCAGCATCATTGCGACGGATACCAGAACAACAGCTGAGATATGTATTAATGTGATTCTGAAGGAGTAGGAACTTGAAGGGAAATCTTTCCGAGTTTACTTTGATTGAAGATGGATCGCGTCTTTTTACATTTTTCGTGACGAGCTTACGGGCTGAATGCATCTTACATGTTCTGGGCGACTGGGATACTCCACCTCCTATTCTTGCGGACCTGAGTCCATTCTGATGTTGTCAGATCATCATTATACCCAAAATCTTAATCAAACGCCTCTAAACAGGTTTGGTTGCGGCCGAGCACTCAGCGCGACTTACACTGCGTGGCCGGCGATAGTCACGGTCAGGCCCTTTCAACGATCTCAAGCCGAGGCACATCACTGACATTACAATACCATAGCGAACCGATAGAATGTGATGTATATTATCTGATACAACACAGGGAAAACTCAAGTTACGGGCACCTCCAAACGGGATTTGGTATTCAAGTATTCGTCCCAGATAATCATTCCTTGTTATATCCTCCTCTTCCCCTTGCTTCCCTATTATATCCCCCCCTTCCCGGCTCCCTTGCTTCCCTATTATATCCTCCCCTTCCTGGTTCCCTCGCTTCCCTGTTATATCCTCCCCTTCCTGGCTCCCTGGCTTCCCTGTTATATCCCCCCCTTCCTGGTTCTCTCGGTACTTCACGCTGGACATCTACGGCGTCATAATCAGGCTCGGGGCCGGAACTGGCTCATAATTCGGTTCCACTCACTCTCGACGGAGGCTTCAGCGATTGGGGAGGCGGTAGCTCCGATGACGCTCAGCATCATTGCGACGGATACAAGAACAGCAGTTGAGATGCGCATTGTGAGGTGGCGGAAGAAAGCAAATGTTTCTGGGTTTGATTGAAGACAAGTCGTGCTCTTTATGTTCTTCGGGACATAAGGTTACGAGCTAAATGCTGATGCACATGTTCTGGGCGACTGGTGATACTGGTGCCTCTGGCCACCGCTCATGCCTGTAGGCCTGAGTCCATTTTGATGTTGTCAAGCCAGCAATCATTTCCGTCATGCTTGCGAACTCAATCTCCGACAGACACCTCGGGTTGCGGCTGGGCACTCAGCGCAAATTGGAGGAAGACCTGGTGTGCATAATTGGCGATAGTCCCCTTTCAACAATAAGCTGAAGCACACAACTGGGATGACAGTCCAATAGCGAGACGATAGTACGTGCTCGAACTCTTGTATATGTCTGACGCAGCACAGGGAAACAGAGGCAAAGCCCCAAGTTCCGGCAGCTCCAAATGGAATTTCATATTCAAGTGCTCCCTGACAGGAGTTGATACGTCGACAATCAAACCTATGTTGCAAAGCTACTAGTACAAGTACGTCCGTGCCTCATGGTGCCAATTCCAAATCGCAATTGATAACAATACAGAATTCAGAAATATTCACCGCTTTTATAGATCCTGCATTCTTGCTGGACATGGCATCTGGCGCTGTCCATCCACGAGAGGGACTGATCTGATTCTTCTTGCAGGCCATGAGACAGTCCCGACTCCTGATGAAAGAGAACAGATGAACAACAGCAGATACATTTGCTGAGAGCAGTGATTATGTACTAGGTAAGGGAATACGGACTATCAATGATAGTGGTTGATGTATCCAAGCTAGCTGTACTCGGTAGAGATTACAATTAATATGAAATATCGATTATGGCGCAAACCATGTATAGTAAGTATTATAACTGTCAAAAGGATTTATTGCGGTGTCTAGCAAATTCACAGTCAAGCTGGGTTAAATGTGGGTCAGCGTTCAGACCTCCCACCCTGGAAAATGCGTCGTGATAAGCCTGGGTCCGCTCGACGAAGCTTTCCAAACAGTCAATTTGTTTTAGCGATACCCGGGCAGACCACTTGCGGCTATATTCACTGACGTCTTGGCGCCTGGCAAGCCAGAAGCTATAGCACTACGGACCACTACTGCGTCGTCATCAGACTCGGGAGGGAGGGAGTTCACAATTCCGCTTACCTATGGGGTGTGCATTAGCTCCAATGATGCCCAGCATCATTGAAATGGATACAAGAACAATAGTCGAGATGCGCATCGTGAAGGATCGTGAAGAATAAAAAATAATGCGAGTCGAAAGATTTTTGTAGGGTCTCATAAAGACGAATGGTGCCCTTTATGCATATCTTGCACGCCCATCCGATGCGATGCATCTGACATAGGATTTAGCACGGCACCCATGTACCAGGGTATGCGCTGCACGAGCGTAACCATAGGGGAGACCAGTGCGACTCAGGCCATGCACGCTTGTGATCAGGCTGAGAACTACGCCACGAACGAGTCACCTCACTGGCCGAGTCATCGATATTTGGTATGCTTGCTTCAATTCACCTACATAATTTGGATGAGGCGGTTAGCACGAGGAGGAATGTGCACTGGATGATAGCCACGGTCGGGCACATGGTGAGCCCAAGCTAGCGATCCGACAGTGCCGTACGTGCTCGAACTCTTGCATATTGTCTGACACAGCACTTAGTAAAACGGATGCTAGTATTGCAGTGATCGATGTTTCTTGTACGAGAGGAGGCTGAAACGTCGACGACCAAATCGGTGCATATCCAAAACAAAGCGGCTAGTAAAGATTTATTCGCGCAATACACTATTTTTCACGCTAGCATCAGTCATTCCACAAGATAACTCTCGTGCTCCCTGCAAACTACCGAAAAAGTATCCATGTTCAGTGCTGTACACCACCATCACAACCCTGATCCTCAAATGTTGCTGTCGGTGCATACAATCAACAATAGATGTATCCACCACGAGAATACCCCACGCGCCGGCCAGCACGTTCGCCGAGTCAGATACATCCAGCAGCACCGTCGCACAACCCAACTTCATGCAGTAATACTACTCCCAAATGACACACAAGTGTGCCCCTGGAAGTTAATTGTGGTCATACCGGTTTCTGTTTCGAAATCGGCTACGAGTTCAGCGTTGAATTCTCGAACACTAAGGATAAGACGAGGTCCCAGCACAAACATCTGCAAATTCCACAAGATTTGAAGAATGCCGCCATAAATCAGAGATCCTACGGGGGAAGCCGCCTGTAACAATGATGAGCAATAGTCACATACGGATGTGTTAGTGACAGGTCGGCGTACCAAGACTGGAGAGTAGAAACCGAATTGGAAACAAGAAACAGCAACGCAGCTACATGGCACGTGCGGGACTTCAGCGAGAAAAGATAGCCGCATCGAAATCACAAGCTAACCTTGCAAAGTAAAGCACGTGAGTTTTTATCAAGACCGTAAAGGTGTCCTCGATGGTCCATCGTCGTAGTTCGCGGAAGTGTTTTGCAGTAATCCAGACCACAAGGCAAAATACGAGGACCTCCCATACAGTGCCGAGTATCCAAGTGATAGAAAGCAGAAGTGAGGAATCCCCACCGAAATAATAATTACATTTGTAGGTGCCAGAGAGGATGAGCTCCTCTGATAATCATCAAATTAGCTTGATGTACTGAAGCCTTTCGTTCATAATGAAAGCTTGCCTCCTGAGGTATAGCTATTTGTGAAGCCAACGGATACTCCGGAGATGATAATGTCAGGTAGGAATGTTACAACGAGGAAGATAAGCATCTTTCTGGATCCCTAATACGTGGCATGCAATCGAATGATCATGATGGCTAGCAAAGTTTAAGTCAACTCAAGATCGCTGAAGTATTGCAGCTGAGTAGCTCACCGCCCAGGGCTACATTCACGACCACAGAGATCCAGTTTATTGCATAGTATAAATTAGCGCCTGAAAACCCCGATTAATGATGAGATCTAAGACTCGGAGGACCAAACACACCAGAAACTCACAGCTGTCGCAGTTATTACATGGAACAAACAAGCTTGTCGGGAACCTCACCCCTGCAGAGGAGTGCATTTGTTTGTTCAGGAATGTCAGGAATCGGCACAGATTACTCACCGCATCTGTCACTGAGACCGTCGGAAGATTGTCTGTATGGTACTGGTCAAACGACACAAATACAATATATGAGGAGACAAACCCAGCATATTGATGCTGATTGTGAGAGATGGATTTATCAGCAGAGCGCCAATTTATTAGCCTTGCAGACATACACAGCATATGGCATTCCAGCATAGCGCACCTAGTAAATTTTGGAGTCAGCACAACTTGCCAACTGCGCATATGAGCTACATACGCCGACATATAAAACGGTCACAAAGGACCAGGGTTGCCTCTGCCCCGAATTAATTATCTTGTTACTGTTCTGATATGGGACTCTGCCTACCCAGATCAATTCGACCTATCAAACCCGTTCTTAGCGACGGCTGCTCTGGTGATGATAGTATCAACTCACCTCATGTCCGAATGTCAGGACTGGAGATATCATAAGGATGACACTGGTTTTAATATATTTTTGCTTACTCCAATCGTATATCACCACCACAGCAGAGATAACTGCAAACCACACACAAGGTTAGTTCGAGACATCACGATCGGACTGCCCCCCCACGAACCTGCAAAATAGCTGAAAAAAAGATTCAAATTGATTGACGGCCAGTAAATGGGATCGTTTGAGACCAAAGTCATGTTTGAAGGGTGGATGTAAAAGGTGGAGTTGTACCATATATACACTGCGCAACCTTGGATTGAAATAGATCAAGGATATATCAACCGAGAAGTAAACGGATGGCTCATGTCTTCCACTCGGGCTAGATTAGAGTCACTGAGGCTGTAAAAACAGATACAACCAGGGGTACATCATGATAGTAATTTCTTTGCTGTACTTTGTTGCCCTGATTTAGTAAGCGATACCAAGTAGTCCATCATACAGCCGTCAATTTGTATAGCCAGGTGGCATCCGTGATGCATATGCATCAAGCCAGCTGGGCGATTTTCATCGGTTGCTATCTTTAGGTACACGTTACAATGTCCTAACTTCATGTCGCTACCATGCAGTGACTTTGCAACATAATGTTCACATCGCGCAACCATATTTTCTGAAGGTCGTGAGTTGGCCGGTAACCGTGACCAAGGAAACTTCCAACGGCAAGACGATAATATTACATAATCGACATGGCTTTTCTCCCCGGATACTTCAATTTCGGATTTCCCCTTGAGGTTGTACGGTATGTTCGCCATCTGATCGTAGTTTGCTTTTGGTAGTTCCACTTGCGGATCATTTCATGCGCTTGTGGTCACTCGTGGGGCTGCTGGGGAACTACTGTCACAGTTGACGTTGAACTATTAGTGGCACGCTTGAACATTTAAAATTCCCGCCTATATCAGAACTACGTAAGCTCTCTCTCCTTCACTCTGAGACATTCTATCCGCCCCGCTCAGTCACTAGTCAAAGAAAAGGTGTCCTGCATCTCTTCTAGCTTGTCCCATTTGCTTGTCACGTTCCTTTTAGCTTGTTTGTACTGCATCCCAAGGTCGAGAGATAGTGTATGGCCCCCGACGAACATCTATCGGCATCGTCAAACTCGGGAGGGACAGCTCACAACTCCACTTACTCGTCGGGGAGGCATTGGTTCCAATAATGCTTAGCACCATTGAAATAGATACAAGAACAACCGTCGAAATGCGCATCGTGAGGGAGCAGGAAGAATATTAATGTGGTTATATGAATTGGAGCAAAGGAAGACTTTTTATGTATTGCGCGACAAGGTGACCAGGCAGTACCGCTACCGCATCCATGATGTTCTGTGCGACTGGGGAGACTCATACAGGCGGCCACCTATGTTCTTTGGACCAGTGTCTGGTCACCAAGTTATCGACATTTGCTATGCTTGATCAATGCTGGGTCACTTAGCACACACAGGCTCGGTTTGCACTTGGCGATAGTCACAATCAGGCAAGGGCCTTCCGGGACTCCAATAGTCAGTACATGCTTTAATTGTCTGATGCAATACAACGCAGCTTGAACTTGGAACCTGATCTTCCGCATGCAAGGTCGAAAGCTAGGACGCCAACAACCAAGCCAGTGCGTAGACAACGCCAAGCGACATAAGCTTCGAGTGATGATAATGATCGCACCTGGACTGATCACTGACAGGTGAGCATTGACCCCTCGTTATGAAGGTTTCGGAACCGACTTCGATGAATCGATAATCCCTGTTGAATATACAAATACAAATTACTTGTGGTATATCAGATGCACATGAAGTTAAATTATTGAAATAAAGCGAGAGCAGACCATGACTGCATGCAAGAACATCTAAGAGCCGGTGAACGATGAGGGCATGATAACAACGAGAAGCGGCGCATTGAGGCATCGAGTGACTGCTAGGCAGGATGGGCGCGAAGGTAACGAATCACCTCCTGAATCTCCAGCACCTTCTGTTCCGTCGGCATCTGTCAAAAGCATAAAGTTAAATGTTTAATGACTTGCAGCCTGCAGTACAGCATGAGTTTACTCACTTCAAAAAAGTGGTGCATCCTTCGGCGCCTATCTTCATCTGCTGCTTCCTGAAGAGCGATGTCGTCTACAAAAGGATGCACGCCGCCGAGATCTTGTCTCTGGTGGTAGGAAGGGCTACTGGTAGGAGGGACCGCCCATTCTTCCATAACGCCCCAGCCTTTATCCTGGTCGTCCGATGTCAAGTCTGTGCCAGCAGACTTGTGAACAGACACATCATCTTTACGTCCCCATCCATCACTTCCCTCTTCATCATTCGGCTTCCTCCAAGCTCCCAACACCCCCCAAACCTCATCAGAGGTCCGCCATCCGCCATCCTCCTCCATCATCTGCAAGAATTCCTCCATTCTTAGCACCTCGCCCCTCTCCGCAGCATCCACCCCACGGATCCAGAATGGCACTAAATCAAATACATGATCCACGTGCGTCTGCATCTCCCATGTGCGCAGGCCATCGGAAGTTAGCGGAGGCTGCTCAGGCGATCCCCAAGCGTCATCGTCCCGTGGTTGCCACCACTCTACTTCAGAGATGTGCTGCGCGTGCTCGGGAGACGAAGTTTCGTGTCGAACTGCGGCTTGCATGGTCTTGAAATGGAATTGGTTGGTGCGCCTTGGGATGCAAATGTTGCAAGTCCATCCGCGGCGTGAGACGTCGGGGGTAAAATCTATAAGCGGATCATGCATCATGCATCTACCGTTGGTGATAAGTGTCTAGGACACACATTGTTTTTTGTCAAATTTCAACTTTTTGGAGGAAGAAGTGGGTGCCATGGGTTCAGGTCGAGAGGACTCAGAGGATGATGGGACGATTGAGAAAGTGCGAGGGCTCGGGGCCTCGAGAAGAGCAGTATAAATGTCTTTCATCTGGTGTCCACAGACCAGGACTCCAGTGGCACGGTCCACAATCACGATGAACAGCCGTATATATTCCGCATACGGAACGGCTTCGTATTTCCGCTGTATACGTTGCCAATACAAGAGAACCACGAGGACAAGCCAACAATGGCCATAACAAGATAGGAAGTCCTGAGCCTCCTACTATTACTACGCAACAACAATGTCCAAAAACTACAATGTTCTAAATAATGATCATAAATATCTATGAAGCTCCGAGTAGCGGGTCCACCCAAGTTCCATTCGGCCAAAGGGTCGCAGGCATTGTAAAATCACCAGGTGTACCCCCCATTGCGTACTGCAAAAGGATTCATCAGTCTTTAGCTAGCGCAGAAAGTTCCTTAAAAGCACTTACAGCAAGCCTGAAGAAATGTGGCAAGTCGGCCTCCAGTGCAGCAAGTGAGTAGTTGAGTGCAGTGCCCACGTACACCTCCACATCATCTACGAGTAACGCGAAGCCATTCCAACCTTGCGTGGCAATGGCCGTAGGCATGCCATTCCAGCTGATGGTTTGGTTCGCGAGAGCAATGGAGGCGTTGTAGGTGGTGGAATTCGTGAGCAAAGTGGGGAGGGGGGAGCCAGTTGTCCCGTCTCCGACAAGCTGCAACGTCACACGATTCAGAGCTACTGAAAGCATATATAATAAAAAAGACATACGCTAGCAGCGGTCTGTAGTATCGAGTCGAAGCCGAACGCAGCCACGCCATTGAGGAACATTCCAAGGAGGAACCCTTGATAAATCGCGGAAAGCCTCGTCGGGAAGCCAACACCAGGGAACAATGCCATCGAGATGATGTAATGATGTAGTCTGAACTGCAGGCCAGACGCCAACGCCAGCACCATTGTCACGAGGCCTCCAAGGATGTACCACCCGAGGTAGTATGGCAGCCAGCCAGTCTTCCGAATAACACGCATCTGGTTGACCACCAGGACGAGAAGGATAAGGACGATGATTACAAGTGCTACAACACCCCCCGGTTGTTGCTTGATATCAGCTGCAGTCAATCGATCAATAGGAATTTGGTCCATGGTGAGATTTGTCAGAACACCAGTCCAATAAGGCGCGAGGTACAATATCATAGCTTCAAACGGCGCGTTTGCAAACAGAGGTAATGTAAACCTCACAGCAACGCGCCAGAACCCATAGCAGACGAAAAGCGCAGGCAGGAATGCACCAAAGGCGACGTCTAGTGGGGGTGGGGTCGCTTGAGGCTGGGAGAACAATGCAATGTGCCAAAATCCGATGCAGACGAGGCACCACCACGTGACGATAGCTTTGGGTCGCAATATGAGGAAGAGAAGACAGGTAATAAGTATGTTGAAAGCAAGCGCCGGTGTGCGGAGGTCGATACAGTGAGTGAGAACATTAGACGGTGAAAATCTAAAGGACATCGGGAATACAGAGGGGAATCCAATGGAAGATAGTCCAAAAGCAGTTGCAGGTAAATAGTTCGTGAAATTCCCCACGAGGTTAACAGATGCGCAACCTCCTGTTGAGTCGCTGAAAAGGCCGCTATATAGAAAACACGTGAGTCAAGTCTGCAGCGTTGAAAATCAATCAATCAATAACTTACGCCTGAACGGCAGAAGCGCAAATAAAACTATCAGCTCTATAAGTCTTCTGAATATCCCCACCTCCAACAAGGAGCGGTACAAAATCCACAGATTCATCGCCCACCAAACGCGGGTTCTGCAGGACAACACTGCTACATTGCGCCGGGCATCTAAAATCGAAAGACGAATTACTAAACGGCGCGCACAAACTACCGTCCAGACCGCATCCTGCGTCTCCTGTCCAGTAGACAGATGTACAACCGACAAAAGAGCTCGCAGGGATTGTATACCACTGTGCACGGACCAAAAAGGAAAAGGAGATGATGTATGCCGCTACGAGGAGGGCGAAAAGCCATGTAGTGGTAAGTGGACGAGTGAATCGAATAATCACAGGTTCGAGTGCAATGGTAAATCGACGGCCTTTAAAGTTGTACGTGCGACCGAGGAGGGGCACAGGGCCTACATGTTGTGAGCGCCGGTAGCAAGTGATCCAAAACATAAAAACTCACTCGGAAGATCGACTTTCGGCCTGGGTCCCCGAATGTATTTGACCGTTCGATCAGCAACATTATACAACTGAGGGGATCGTATTCTGAACGAATCAGTAAGTCTTGAGAAACGAGTGGAGGGTGGTGGAGAATGAGGCTCGGCTCTTAATGAACTCGGACCATAGAGGCCTTGCTCTGAGGCCTCCACCTCAAACTTTGATCTCTCCTCACTTGAGCGGACTGTTGTCTCACGAGAAGAATCGTACCGGAGCCCTTGATCCATGAGAGCTCAGTTTGAGGCGACTGTCATGAAGAACTGGTTGTGTGCGAAAGGACATGTCTAGACGCGCAGCAAGCGTCCAAAATTAAATAGCATCACTAATGCTGTCCTTAGCCCCTAAATAGTTGATTAGTATCAGAAGGCCTGCAAGCGTAGACTCGAGCATCCTACATTCCTACAGCTCAGATTCATAGAGCAATATTGTGCACATACGCAGACGGATTTGCAAAAAGAAGATCATTACCAGAAAAGTCGTATGTACCCTGCCAAGGCCATCAAAATATCGACCAATGTACTAGCTCCAGCAAATCATAATAGACTACAGGCAAAACTTCTATGCCGCATATCCCCCTACCGTTCACCATCGTCTGTTTCATAATCGCCGTCTTCATCCGATCCTTTCTCCTCTGTTCCTTCTGTGCTTTGCCGCCCCCGATTGCGGGCCCAACTCGGTCGCCCTTGCTGCATTTTGATACTATTATTATTACTCGACCACTTTGTACCTTTGTAGTGGGCTGCCAGGGACATGATGGCTGTGGGAAATGAGAAACAACATCAGAATATGATATGCGAAAGAGGAAGGAGCGCACCATCTTCATTCCTTCTGTAGAATTCAGACCATGATTTGTCTGATCTCTCGCTATCCGGGAACTACACCATCAAATGCACACGATTAATTCACCAAATTCAGCATATAGAATATGATAGTTCCCACCTGCTCAAGAAAACCCTCCCATCGTTCCCGACCTACCATGTCATTCCATCCCGGAGTGCGCGCAACATACCTGGCTACGATCCTCCAATCCGCAGGTGTGAACGAACCACCAATGGCTCCCATGTCTGCTTCGTCAGTATCTGTCGTGGCGGAAGCATCGTGATTGCCAGACGAGGGAGAAGGGGAAGGTTGCGAGAAAGAGGCGCCCCGTTTGGACGCGACCATCTTAGTCCTTGGGACACGAGCAGCCGGTTTTGTGCGACGAAGCGTGGATGTTGTCTGTCGAATGACTTCAGTTTCTGAGTCTTCAACTACATCGGATGGCGCATTTGGAGAGTCTGAGTTGGCATCGTCTTCATCGTCTTCTTCTCCATCTTCATCTTCGTCATCGGCGCCCTGGAAGGAATACAGGATCTTGTCTGCAATGTCATGCCTGGCATGCCAGTGAGATGCCCAGGAGGGTGCGCTATGATGTGGGGCCTGTACAGGGTCAGCATTGAACATATGTTCAAGCGCAACACTCCACCTTTTCACTCAACATCGCACACAACTCTTTCTTCGTCAGGCTCGCATCCTGACTCAGCCTCCAACTGATAAAGTTCAAGAAATACGCGCGATCCTCCTCTGTATACTTATTCCCATTTGTTCCAGCTTCGATTCTTGTTGGGGGCGTAGGGCTTCGTGACGGTGGAGGGGGCAAAGTAATATCTGCTTGAAGTGGCATAAGCTTGGAGGGAAGGTTTGTCGGGAGGAGGGGTGCAGAGAGAGAGTTGAGGGTTGCTCGGGGGCGTTTTGGAGGACGGTAGCCTAGGGACGGGGTTGTGCTGATGGCGGTAGGTGTAGAGCGTTTGGGGGGTCGACTTTGTCGGAGTGGTGGGGAAGGTGAAGGCTGTCTCTTTCGTGAATCGCGATCACGATTGTTTAGAGGGGAAGCAGACTTTGTCGCGGAGGTAGATGCGTGGTTGGAAGTAAAAGGTTTTTTGACTGCTTTTGATGTTCGGCTTTTTTCTCCTAGACGAGCGACGAGGACATCGAAACGGTCATGGTGGTCGAGGTAATAGTCTTTCCAAAGGTTGGCAGCATGATTATTAACCTAAGGGAGTGTGATCAATGCGTGTGCACGCTACGATGTAGTGGAGATGACACGGACACCATGTAACCCTTCCAGAGCCTGTCTGTACGTCTTCCCGGACTGTTTGCAGTCGAAAAGAGCTTGAGCAAGGATAGAATCGTCGTTAGGTGACTGGCCGACTGGAATTGTTAGGCGAAGAAAGTCCTGCATGAACTGCTGTGGAACGACAGACGCGAGATCAAAACTTGGATTGGGGAACGCGTGCTGAATTGAGTTCACGTTCGGTGCAGTTGGCACGTTACTATTTGGCTGGTGCTGCTGAGCCGTGTGGTGACCATTCTGGATACACTGTTGGTGTTGTTGCCATTGATGATTCTGGGGTCGATGAGAATATTGGTTCTGGTTCATCGACGGCCAGTTTTGATGGTTGAGGATGCCTGTCATACTCTGGTTATGGAACTGGTCTTGAGGTAGACCGGCGTGGTGAGCAGGCATTCCATTTGGTATTGGGGAATTCATCGAGGACGCACGCGACAGCGAGGAGATGAGTTCGCCGTTGTTCACCGCGACGAGCGACGAGCTCACAATTTGAAAGTGCTCAAATCCACGTGTCTCCGTCACGTGCTAGCATCACGTGAGATCATCGCGGGGCACCGTCAAGTACTTAAGACTCCGAGAGCGCACTCGGTTTACTTCTCGTTGGATCCGTCCGTCATGTCGATCTCTCGTCTTGCTCGTATTCCTCTCTGCAGTCCCTCGCGCTCTTATGGCACGACAGCAGGCTTAAATGCCCTCGCTCGTCCCAAGGCAGAGAATCTCAGCGCGACTTGGAAGGGTACTAGTGCAACTGGAGGTAACACCAAGAATTTCATCGGCGGTGCCTTCGTCGACAGTAAGACAACCCAGTGGCATGATGTGCTAGACCCTGTATGTCTATGTCCCAAATTTAAGAGCAAGTATTAATGATTGTTCGGCAGTCGACTCAAACACTGCTCACACGCGTCCCGGAGACCACCTTGGAGGAGTTTGATCAGGCAGTCGATGCTGCTAGCCAGGCATTCAAGTCATGGAGCAAGCAGAGCGTTCTTGCTCGCCAACGTTTTGCCATAGAGTCCGTTTTTTTCGAGTACCCACCTTACCAACACCTGACTCACTTACGCTGCATTCAGACTTCAGTATCAAATCCGTCAGAATGCAGACGCACTTGCACACAGCATCGTCCTCGAGCAGGGAAAGACCCTTGCTGGTACGTGTGCCTTCTCTGTCCTTTCGATATCCTCTAACCACTTCCCAGATGCTCACGGCGACGTCCTCCGTGGTCTTCAAGTCGTCGAAACTGCCATCGGTATCACCTCCAACATTGTCGGTGAGAAACTGGAAGGTATGTGTGCTGCTTGACTTTTCAGTTGTGGTGCTCACGTTACCATAGTTAGCAAAGATATGGACACTGAAGTCCGAAAGCTCCCTCTCGGCGTCTGCGCGAGGTCTGTTCTGAATCATCCTACGTAAACGTACGCTTACCTCTTACAGCATCGCACCTTTCAATTTTCCTGCGTAAGTTCTTTTTTATACATGTCCCTGGCTTACCCCTTGCGTCCCTATTCAGAATGATTCCCCTTTGGACAATTCCCCTTGCTACCGTTACTGGTAATACCCTCATCCTTAAGCCATCCGAGCGGGACCCCGGTGCAGCCATGATCATTGCTGAGCTCTGTTCCCGTGCTGGCCTCCCTGAAGGTGTAGTGAACGTAGTGCATGGGACCGTGCCCGTCGTCAACAGGATTTGTGATCATGAGGCAATCAAAGCGGTGAGCTTTGTTGGGGGAGATCGCGCAGGAAGACACATATATGAAAGGTGAGCGAAACGAGTGAAATAGTGATCTTCGGAACCATGCCGACGGATATGGCAGGGCCACGACAAACGGCAAACGTGTACAGGCAAATCTAGGCGCAAAGAATCATGCGATAATCATGCCCGACGGTAAGATGCCTCCTCCCATTGTGTGTGGCTGAAACCCACATAATACACAGCAAATAAGAATCTCGCGCTCAACTCCATTATCGGTGCTGCATTCGGCGGTAGGCGTCCACTGTTTTAATTTGGGCTTTGTTGATATGATCGTGCCTGTACAGCTGCGGGACAGAGGTGTATGGCAGTTTCCGTAGGTAAGTCGTGCGAATGTGCCGTGTGACATCTACGTTAACGTACATCTGCGCATGTTTAGCCGTACTCGTCGGCGCAGCACAATCATGGCTCCCTGAGCTTGTAGAACGCGCATCGAAGCTGAATGTGAACGGAGGATTTGAGAAGGGTGCAGATCTGTAAGTGCCCTTTCGCCATCCTCTGGATCTTTGCAACGCTAACCTGCACCACATACAGAGGCCCCCTCATCTCTCCCGCCTCCAAAGCTCGCGTCACGGGCCTCGTTGCATCCTGTGCAGACGAAGGAGGGCGAATACATCTTGACGGGAGGAATGTTCAAGTTCCCGGGTACCCCGCTGGTAACTTTGTAGGCCCAACGGTTCTGGAGGCAACAGTGGGGATGCGATGCTACCGGTGCGTATTAAAGTCTCTCGTGCATAACTGGTCTCAATCTGATATTCGTCGCCATATTCAGCGAAGAAATTTTCGGCCCAGTGCTTACGGTGATCACCTCAGACACGCTGGACGATGCGCTCGATGTTATCAATGAAAATAAGTATGGTAACGGTGCTGTGATCTTCACGCAGTCGGGCGCGACAGCAAGGAAATTTGAATCAGGGGTTAACGTGGGACAGGTGAGTTTCTATTATTTCATGTGCTGTGATGTTGGGACTTTGGGGCCCTGTTTTAAAATAAGGGGAACTTGAACCGATGCTAATGTAACCCCATCTCGTGCCTCTACAGGTTGGCATCAATGTTCCTATCCCCGTTCCTTTACCTATGTTTGCGTGGAGCGGTAACAAAGGCAGTGTGCTTGGTGATATCGGCTTCTATGGGAAGAGTGGAATCAATTTCTACACGCAGAACAAAGTAAGTCTAATTAAGCTCTCTGCGTTTGAACTTAGTTGTTGACTTGATCGGTGCAGACCACGACGAGTCTCTGGCGCCAAGAAGATGCCATTGGCAACAAGGCGTCGGTAGATATGCCCACACACCACTGAGCGTGCAAGCCATGGTCATAGCATGTGTTGTCCCGACCTTTTTTAAAGAATGAAGACGAAGGAAAAGGATCACTAACTTGCTTGTTATGTACTCGTCACCCGATATTTCCATTATTAACCATTTGTATATCTCGCATCTTCGTGCATGGAATCAAATTGCTTTCTGTTTTACTCACCAGTTCACTTCGTTTAAATCAAGTTCTCGAGCACAAAAAAATATAAATATATTCCGAGAACTATCGAGCTTCATGCAGCCCCGTCCGATGGATCACTAGTACTGCCAGTTTAGCAGTGTTCTGCATTAGTCTGCGTCCTAACGACTCTATGCACTTGTAGCAATCCACGTATTCACCCAGTGGAGTAAATTCTCCTCTAAACTTTCAGTCTTCTATGTTCACGTGATACCTATCAGCTTTTGAACCTGAACGATCGTGAATTAATGAACACCTGAAGTTTCAAAGCACATATGCCCTCACCCCCGATTCAAGTCTTTCTCACGACGATCGCGTCGCAGGTCGTCGTACGGAAGCGCCAAGGTTTGTGCATAGACGCTCAACGTGCACCACGTTGATCTACCATCATATGAACTAGAATATATTCTTCGCATCCTCCAAACCAAGAAGATCCCATATACCTCGTATGATCTTGCCTCCGACGATGATGCCAAACGTTTGTGGAGGCGTAAGGCCCCGCCCGGTACGTTTCGATCTCATCTTGTACTGATACTGCGCTCACAGTGCCTTTCGGACGATTCGGCAGATAAACAACAGCTTCCAGGTATACTCGTAGGCGGCAGATTTATTGGGGTATGCCCTTATCCATGCCTTCCGAATACATACATACAGTACTCATGGGAGCTGCACCGAACAGGACTTTGATGCCTTGTAAGCCCTCTCTCCTACTCTGTTGTGTCTCAATCCTGTTTCACCCCATATAGCGAAGAAGCTGTCGAAACCGAAGGGCTGGCTACGTTCTTGCGGCTAAATGAAAGCTGGGATATCGCCATTGACGAAGACCGTCCGGCGCCTGAGGTCAAACCTGTTGGTGTGCCCGGGGCCGTCCCCATCGCGCAAATGACGCCCGAACACCACAAGCCCCGATTCTTCCCTCGCGACCCAGATACCCCACTGAAGCCAGTGAACAAGCACGAGGGGAACTTTGATGTGAGCACGGAGCTGGAGGGGTACGGGTTGCAGGGCGTAAGGGTAACTGATGACGATTTGAGGTTGTTGGTTGAAGAGCTTGGGCTCGAGGGAGATGATGCAGAGGATATGGTCAAGAGCTTGGGTGGGAATGAGAAGGGTGGTGAGGGTGACGAGAAGGCGAAGGCGAAGGAAGCGGCGACAAACAAAGACACTAAGAACGCGAGCGCGACAAAGGAAGACAACAAATGACCGTTAGGGTCTGATGTATTATATCTGCTTGATCTATATACCGGCCATGGAACAGTGGAACGAAAATATTAGCGTCTGAACTTGGTCTGGAATGTGCAGAACTCTGCCAGCCGGACGTGGTTAGGTTACTTAGGCATGTTTTTCCTGGATGTAGAATGATAAGGCATCTAAGGTTGAGCTCCTTACAGCTTGCTCATCGGCATGTTGACAAGAAGGCCACCATCGAGTGCAATGGTTGCACCGTTCACGTACGCACCAGCCCTGCTTGCCAAGAACAGCGTGGTCCCTGCGATGTCCTCGGGCGTGCCAAAGCGATTCGTCGGAACCTGGTTGATAATGATGTTCCCCGCAGCTTCAAAAAAATGGGCCGTCACTGGAAGACACACATCAATGAATCGCCAAAAATGGAAATGAAACCGTGATGAACTTACTCTTGCTTTCAAACGCGCCTGGAACGTCAACGCGAGTTGGTCAATTCACTTGGAAGTAAATAAAAGAGCAGACTCACCACAGGCTATAGTATTGCTGACTATGCCCTCGGGCCCAAGGCGGCCAGCGAGGTGGCGACTGAGGTGATGCAGACCAGCTTTAGCAGCAGCATAGGCATATGTGTCATGATCGGGCACACCAATGCCCTCGACCGAGCCAATCTGATAGTATCAAAAGAGAAGCTCATTAATGGAAAGACTTCTCCGAAGATTCAAGATGTACTCACATTGATGATACGCGTCGGATCATTATATACAGCCCCTGTCTTGCCACCTTGAGCTGCGCCCGCACGTAATAATGGCAGCAATTTTTGCATCAAAGTGAACACACGTTGCAAATTCAGAGTGAGGACCTTTGAAAAACCCTCGTCCTTTGTTGTATGATATTCAGCAAGACAAATCGAAGCCGACAGTAATTAACGTACTGGGTATTCGTCGATAGGTTCTGCCCATGTTGCTCCCGCGTTATTGACGAGAACATTAAGAACGGTTTCTCGCGCAGAGAGTTCTTGCACGAACCGCTCCACTTCAGAAAATTTGGACATGTCAGCAGGGATCGCGGTGCATGAACCTGGACCACTGGCTCCGAGTTCTTCTGCGGTGGCCTGACATTCCTTCGCAGAACGGGCCGAGATATAGACCTATCTCAGCGCGGCTCGGAGGTCAGGTCCCATCCATGTGCCAGGAAGTAACACACCTTAGCACCGTTCCTCACAAATGCGGAGGCAATCTATGAGAAATAACTAAGTCTTTACCACCATGCACAATCAGATGTTTGGGACACACCATTTTCCCAATCCCACGAGAACCTCCTGTCACGAGAACCACTTTCCCTACGACTGCGAAGAGATTGTCGACCTGCAATGCGCTCATTTTAGCGGCGCAGTTTGTGCTCAGAGTGTGTGTAGTAATAATGCAGTCTGTAAAATGAAAATAATGACACGTCCTTCTGCCTGCATTCTTTGTTAGTCAGTACTAATAGCGACGAATTTCCAGGGAAGAGGAAAAGACATGTGGAACGTATGGTTTCGCGGACTTCAAATTGTTCTTGTCTACCGTAACGTTTGCCGCATGAAGCCAACACAAAAAGAATTCATTAACCTGATACGGCGGTGTGAAACACTGGAATTACAGGCAATTACACAAGGCGAGATTGTACCTACTACTACCACTGGGGACAGAACTATGAATACAATTGTCGGGTGTGGCAATGAAACACGTCCGTGGTGAAAAATTATACAGGAAGATTAGTTCAAGAAGAAACATCTAAGGTTCAGAATCGTAGAAAACATCTGAGGCTCTTGAACGACGCCGCCGTAATGGTTGATCAGAGAACGTAACAGCAGGAGGCATATCAATCGGGACATCCTCTGTTTTATATTCCTGTGATGCTATTCAGTAAACGATTGTTAATTGATAAAGCTAGACAATAGACGAACGCTTTGGGAAACATTTTCATTCCTTGGGGATAACTTTCTCCTTTGCCGCCTCTTGCGGTACATTTGCTCTTTGGCGATTTCTTCGGTCAGCTCACCAGCTCCATCATCCTCACTTGGGAAGCGCCACTGAATTGCAGGAAGTATGCATGCCGCAAGCACAAGAAGAGATATCACGAGAAAAGTGGCAGATGATACAATGGCAAAAGTAATTGGGAAGCGTGTCACAAGCCCCCTGTGTGTAGTAGGCCATAAGGTTCGGGCGAACGCAAACGGTAACAGATGTACTTACCGAATTCCGTGGCGCTTGACGATTCCTTTCAGGGATGCAGAAAAAACACTCAACTCTCGTCCTTCACCATTACCAAGGGCCTTCCATCCATCCTTGCGCCCCAATTCCACTCTGGCGATGACGCGAGACACGCCGGGTGCGTGCGACTCAAGGAAGAGAATGTCAAGGTTGACTAACTTGGGCGACGGCCATACTTGGCTTTTTGTAGGTGGCAGAACTATAGCCTGGGGTGTGTGAGTGTCTTCTCTGGGGACATACCGTTCAGTACCTACTGGTTTCCTAATGGATGTCAGAGTTCTATTAGAAGGCGTCGAGAGCGTCAAAGTAGTCATGAAGTTCCCTAGGGCAAAATTCGCCTCTGATGCTGGTATAACGAGGTGCATGGAGATATCATAGGGTTGGCTAGGTGCCAGAAATGGCAACGATATCTCAGCATAAGGAGAGGTACCATCGCTACAACGAAACGAGTACCATGAGTGACAGCCGAACGGCTGGAAGAGATCTCACCCATATTGTAGATACAGAGGGGATTCCCACCCTACAGCAACATTCTTCCAAACGTACCAGCCAGAAAAAAGGGAGAAAAGTATGATAACTGGAATCAGAGCAAGACATACGAATAATGGAATCAGCTGAGGTGCTACTGGGCGAAAGAGGTTCATGATGAACCGAATGGCACTAGATACAGCATTTTCGAGCCAAGAATATTCTTCATGCTCTTCATAGGAGAAGGACTTGGAATCCTCAGGCTCGACCTTGGCAGTTGGCGTCGATGAAGCCATGCTTCACGTTGAGCATGAGCTGTTCGACTGAATTGCAGACCCGAATGGGGGATGTTACCACGTGACCATTCGCATGTGTAAGTAGTCTCTTCATCTCAAGACTCACTCAGTAGCGGACTGTCAGGGACTCTCTAATTCTGCCATCGTACGCTCATGCCAGAGTACCGGATAAACCATACTGATTGATTTTTCTGCTCTTCCAAACTAGATGGTACCTGATATCCAGACCCTATTGGGCGCCAACCCATCCGCTGACTCCATAACAGTGTTCCTGAAAGATCTGGTTCAACACTCTGACACGAGCCTGACAGCTCCCGAAGTGAAATCATATTCAGATGCAGTCTACTTCAACTACTATCCCCTGGGGATCAGCTTCCTCTATATCCCTCAAAAGGGGTACAAACCCACTGGGGGGCTAAAGCTCGAAAACCTTCAAGTTGATTCACTAGTGCTTGACAGCATTAACATCTACAATTCCCCAAAGCCTAAGGCAATCCCTACAAAAACAACTACATCTAGTCGAGCAGCGGAGCTCGCTTTTTCTACCTATCCCGTGTTAAAGTGGAAGCTATCGCTCTCTCCTGAGGCTTCGGCGTCCAACGAGTCCTCGATCGAAATCTCGCTCACAACAAATGGTAAAGATTTCGTCAGCTGCCTCGGAGAACCCGATCGGAAAGGCGGTGGCACTGGGCCTTCATCTGGATCCATTGGCATTTGGTGTGAGTGGTCGAAGCACGGAATCATGGTTGAGTTTGGAGGGGATGAAGCCAGAGGACCACAAGCCTGGGAACGCGGCAAGGATGCCATGTGGAGGGTCATCACGATATTTCCTCCAAAGCAGGAATAGACTCGAAGGTGACAGCTTATGCTAGTGAGAGTTCTACTTTTTGCTAATCCGGAGGCAGCAGAAGGCTAAGTTTGAGGTAGTTTCCCGTAGACCATAGAAGCTTTGTCCCTTCCGCGTCACGATGTGTTCGTCAAAAGGAGGCTGCCGCTGACGCATGCAGATCTCTATCATCATGTGCCGCGTCCTTTCTCCCATGATGATAATCTTTTTCTGGAGCTCAGACAACACGAAGACTCAGGTCCTGCGGGAAACACTCTTGTATCCCAGTCACTCGTTCCTTGGATCGGCATTCAATCATCATAAGGCTATGGGTAGACACTGAATGCGAGGGGCTACTGCCCTTGAGACGAACGCGGCGACTAGAGCAAGTGAGAAGAAACAAAGAGCCATTTTCCTGCTTGGAGACACTATATGTAGAGGTCGGAAACCTAGGGATCTCCGTCAACTATGGAGACACAAGGACTTGGTCTCATGGCAAGAGGTAGACGATTCTAGGATTTTAGACACCAACCTTGATTATAACCCATGTGGGCGTTGCAACCATAAAAATGTGAGTTCATTAAGAATAGCACCCGTGAATTTTGACCATGTGAAATTCTGGTCGAAATACTGTGAGATCGGTGAAATGTCGAGACCTCATAAAGAGACATACAGTTGATTTGCTACTAGTCTCGTCAATTGTCTATCATGGCTGCGCCTCCCGAAGTAAATAACAAGAATCTTACCGGAAAATATATCATGGTTCGTCTGCTCAAGTTATGCATATCATAGTGACGACTCTGATGATATTCATGAATGACAGAACAAGACATTAAGCGATGACAGCGACGATATCCTCAAGCTCCAGGGCGTATCCTGGTTCAAGCGGCGTGCCATCTCGATGTTTACATTGACGCTCGGCGTCAAGCATTATACAGACGAGGCCGGCAATGAGCACATAGACGTCGAGCAGACTCTGTCTGGCGGTATTAAGGGCACGAATGAAGACCGCACCCTTGATTGGGAGGAACGTGGGGAGATTGACGATGTTTTCGGTGCTGTGATCGGACAATCAAAGAAAGTCAAAGCTGAGGAGGTGGAGGATGAATTCTTGAAATCTGGCTGGACGGAAGATGCAGTTAAAGACGGATTGGTTCTCGCTGTAGACTGGAGCGATACTCCAAAAAGTGGCATGGATTGGAGGGCAGAAATGGTATGACTTTATCATTCTGTCTTACTCGTCCCTCATATTTTTCAGACATGGGGGTTCGAAATACTGAATGGCGAGAGGAGACACGCAAGACATTTGAAATTTACATCATCAAATAAAAAGGATGGTCCCATCTTCAAACACCTGTATTACGATTACAGTGAGTCACTTCTCGCAGTGGTCTATACGCTCATGACAATATTTTTCCTAGTCGGACCCAACTAAATACCACAGACTTCTATGAACGTACAATAAGAGCTGCTATGGCGAGCTACATCCAATTAAAACCATTTGTCCAAGGCCGGGTCTTAATTGCCCCTCAGAGCACAACGTTGCCAAAGAGATATCAAATTTGGGGTAATCGGGTATGATCTGGTGTGACCGAGTTCATGACCGATTACGCAGGCTGGGACAAGAATAATTGTCGTACCATTGTCTATAAGGTAATTTACGTGGATGGCTCTGAAGACTCGGCGGTCAAGTCTGGCCAACTGCGCGTTCCCGAAGTAAGTAACTTGGCTACATCAAGTGTCTATCTTATATTAAAACTCACGCTATTCTCGAAGTGGTATCACTCGGTCAAGGGCCGGTACCCGGGAAGATCAATCTGATATTCGTTCCACGTGAAATCAAAGCATTCTACTGGCAATATAAGAAGCTAAAGCATAATGCCCTCGCTACCTATTATTCCACTCATTCACGACCTCTTTTCACCATGGCTTGTCCTAATACTGTTACGACTAAGAATCTGTCAGGAAAACTCAGACTCGTGGGTCCCTACTTTGATGTACGACTATAGCATAATGCTGACGATTCATGGCAGAATAAAACGCTGAGCGATGACATCGACGAGACCCTGAAACTTCAGGGCGTTGGCTACATAAAACGTACCGCTATCGCCAACTTCACCCTTACACTGGAACCCACTCAATTCACGGACGATGACGGCGTAGAGCACATTGATGTCAAACAGACACTGTCAGGAGGCTTCAAAGCTCCTGCAGACGGTCTACTTTTGAATGGCGAGGAGATTTCTAAGAACGATGACCTCTTTGGACATTTGATCGCCAAAAGTTGGCGGGCAAAGGTTGACGATCTTGAGATCGATTTCTTGAAGGAAGGTTGGTCGGAGGATACTCTTGAGGATGGCCTCATCGCCGGTATCGTGAAAAGTGACACCGCCAAGTCCGGGAGGGACTGGATCATAAACGTGGTACGTCTGCTGGTTCAGTGTAGTGGTCATGTGATCTTGATGATCCACATCAGGTTTGGGGTTTCGCCGTCCTCGAAGGTGTCAGGAGATTTGCCCGACGCTTCAGATTCACCACAAAGGATAGGTCTGGACCTATCGACGTCAAATTGTACTACGACTATCGTGGGTACTTCCCATCCTCTTACTTTCTAGTACTGACTGAGCTTTCCCTCAGTGGAGTGAGTCTTTACGAGAACAAATCAAACTGTGCCACATATACAATGTGTATAATGAATGTATGATTGAGCTGTATGCAATTGATTGGTGTATGTTTGCGCCGAGTCTGAGGAGAAAAAAATTAGGACATGCGCATCTGTCTGAGTTATCTGTGTTTTTGCGATGAGCAGTTAATGGAGGTCGACGAAATTATGAGCATATTAATTCAGCAGCTTGGGACAAGTCTTTTCTTCATGTAAAGCCTGAGCGGCACGCGATAAAGGTATTTGGGAGTCAAGTTGGGGTCACGTGGCAACTATAAGTAGTAGGCAACCGTAAGCATGGACCAAGTTGTCCAGCCCAATCAACCAGGTTCAACCGCCAACCGTTCTCCATAACGTCCACCACTACCTATTGCTAGTAGTCCTAGTCCATTTAAATATTTAGTCCGCATAGCCGATCACGATGGATGAAGAATACGATGTAATTAATCGCCCCTGATTCCATCTCATTCATCTGTGCTGACATCTTATCATCACTGGCGTTTGGTCTTGGTCGGCGCGATCTAGGTCATTGTCCTTGGCACTGGCCTCACTGAATGTATCCTCTCGGGTTTGTTGTCCGTGGAGGGGAAGAAAGTCCTGCACATGGACAGAAACGATTATTACGGTGGAGAGTCGGCCAGTTTGAATCTAACACAGGTGGGTGCCTTTCTTGTAGCAGAATCAAGAACTCGACACTAACGAACACACACGATTTCAGTTCTTCCGTAAATTTCGCCCAAACCAATCTCCGCCCACCGACCTGGGCCGTGACCGCGACTATGTAGTTGATCTTATCCCAAAGTTCATCATCGCCTCGGGTGAACTCGTAAAAATACTCGTTCACACTGATGTCTTGCGATACCTCGAGTTCAAGCAGATCGCGGGCTCATTTGTGTATAAGAATGGTAAGATCAGCAAGGTCCCGAGCACGGAAGTGGAGGCAGCGAGGAGCCCGTTGATGGGTTTGTTTGAGAAGTATAGAGCTAAGAAATTCTTTGAATTCTTGCAGGGGTGGAAGGAAGAAGATCCGGCAACTCATCAAGGTGAGAGCCTGCGTAATTATGGGTTGGCGTGAAGGCTCGTTCATTCTCATGCGGGAACCAGGATTGAATCTCAACAAGGATAGTATGAGGAAAGTATACCAACACTTCGGATTAGAACCCGGCACGCAAGACTTCATCGGACATGCCCTGGCACTCTATCTCGATGATGAGTGAGCGTAATCTCCCCACACTTCGCCGAGCACACTAACTTCTCCACAGCTACATCAACAAACCTGCTCGCGAGACTTACGAGCGTATCGTCCTGTACACCACCTCTATGGCACGATGGGGTAAATCCCCTTACATCTACCCTCTCTATGGGCTTGGCGAGCTTCCCCAATCCTTCGCACGTTTGAGTGCAATCTATGGCGGGACCTACATGCTCGATAAGCCGATTGATGAGATCGTGCTCAACAAAGATGGATCATTTGCAGGTGTCCGCAGTGGAGCAGAGACCGTCCGTGCTAAGATGGTCATCGGTGACCCGAGCTATTTTGGCGCGGGAAAGGAGGCAGAGGGTGGCAAGCTGAGGGTAGTCGAGGATGGTAAGGTGGTGAGGGCGATCTGTATCTTGAAGCACCCGATTCCTGGTACGGATGAGAGCGATAGCGTGCAGATTATTATCCCGCAGAACCAGGTAAATAGGAGGAATGGTAAGCGTCTGTTTTGTGATTTTTTCGTACGAGCCACGCTCATGGTGTGCCGTAGATATCTATATCGCAATGGTGTCCTCGACACACAAGGTATGCGCGGATAACATCTACGTTGCAATTGTCAGCACCATCGTCGAGACTTCTGCTCCTGAGAATGAAATACAGCCTGGCCTCCATCTCCTGGGTAGCATCTACGACAAGTGCGCACATTTCCTCACCTTTCTTTATTCCTATTCATTCCAACTAATCCAACAGATTCGTGACTGTCTCCCCCATATACACTCCCGTCGCCGACGGGAAACAAGATCACATCTACATCACACGCTCGTACGATGCGACGTCACACTTCGAAACTGTCGTTGAAGACGTGCAAGCCGTGTTCAAGCGTGTAATGGGCAAGGACCTCGAGCTCAAGAAACGTGAATCTGATGCTGAACAATGAAGGCAATGAGATCTTAACTCCACGGCCACTCTCTGCCATAGTCATACCTTATACAGTGTACACCCGGATCAGGCAATAAAACCTTTCTTGCTAGTTTGTTTGTACTCTTTAGTCTTTCGTTCATCTACCCTCTCTACATTTGATTACGGGTCTTGTCACTACATTTTTGCAAACAATTGAATCATGACTGCTTTGGATGGATGTATATTTGTTACGCGGACCTCAAGAGTAAGTATCGCTGACTCGCTCAGACTCGAGGTCTTTAGAATTCCAAAAGCCACAACCCCATGAGAGGCGATAAAAATTTACTACGGATCAGACAAATGAGAATGAATCCATACTGAACTCTGGCACTTGGACATCCTGCTTGGCAGATTTAAGTAGGCTACCGAGGCCTGCCTTACGTGCTAAGAGGTCACTCTCCTCTTTTATGGTCTCCTGCGTGGGTACCTTGGCAAGCGAACGGTCAGGAGAGACTCTGCGTGTTGAAGCCGGAGATGCAATGTCCATGTCAATCATAATTGACGAGCGTCTGCGTAACTTGGGATCCAGCACAAAAGATCTCTGCAATGTGGTATATGGAGTTGGTGGGGGTTCTGTCGGGGCAGAGACAGATATCGATGGGCGCTCAAAGGACCACGAACGCACGAGATCCAGCGCTAGTGCATGACAACCTGTGGAGAAGCTAGTCAGCCAAACTCTAGCTTGACGTATGATCGCACTCACCCATCCTGCAGAACACCCGGGCGATCTGGAGCACAAAGTTGAATTCAGAGCGCCCTGATATCTCGCTTGTGCCCTTGGCTGTTTGCAGCGTCTTGGAGCGGAGCTGGGAGAATAGTAATGCAAGGCTGGGATCATCGTAGTGGGGTTCGCCGATTTCTGCCACTTGTATATCTAAAGCATCAGCAATATCTCGCAAGGGTGTCTAACCAAATGTATGAACTCTCAAGGGTTACGTGGAGGAGCGACTGTACTTACCACCAATATCCTGACAGCGAAGTCCCTTCGGTTGAGCATCCAGAAGGCCCAGCTTCCAAGCCATCGATTACCTTCACGAAAGGCGGTAGGGATCACCGTACTGTGTAGTATATCCCGCAGCACAGGTCCATCCGAGCCTCCTTCCACCACGCGAGCGAGAGCGATTGCCATTTGGAAATCTGACAGATGCCTGAGGCAAACATGAACAGCATCTTTCAGACTCCCCCCCAAGAGGAAGAACGCAGCAGCGTACTCTAAAGTGATCATGCAGTGGCAGAATCCACAGGAGGGTATGGAAACCTACCAAATCTCTGCTTACCTAGCAGGGCATACGCATTCTTCAGCGCTGCAGTCTTCCGTTTCGGTTCGTTGAAGTCGTTCGCGAGGAACCTGAGCATAATGGCCTGTTCTTTGTGCCATGCAGCTTGCTTCCATAAGCCATGCACCAACTTCACCTTGCCCAGTGCGAAATAGAAGAGTGAGCATGCTGTAGGGTCACGATTGTTGCCAGCCATGTATTCATTCCGTGCGACGACTTCCATGTGAGCCCTCTGCATACCCCCGAAACTCAGCATGGCTCGACACAGTGCGAAAGTGAACATACCAAGGATTCAACCGAATTCAGCCATATGAAGACCCCAAGGGCTCGGGCATCAGACCAGAGCATCCTTCCATTGCACGCTGCCGTAGATGTACTTAACAAAAGCCCTTGACTTTCACTGTAGAAGGCCCAGACCATATCACGGTATCGCAGGCGTTCCCTCCAACCGGTTGATCGTGGTATTGCGCCGTTTGAACGTGGACTGCTGGGATCAGATGTGACTCGACGGTTGAGGATATAAAACGACCGCATAGAGATCACATAGCGAAGGCCGTTAGCGTCCAATGCTCGTCTTTGTTCTTCGATCTACGCACAAGGTAAGTTGGTTATGGTTAACCATACATTCGCACACTGACCTCGAGGGTCGTCTGAATGAGAACCAGAAGATGTGCGTGCTCATTAGGAGTCAAATGAGGAAGAGGTCGCGTTTCAAGTTGCTCTATGAGCGTCTCCACCACATGGCGGGAGAAGACGGCTTCATCTGGTCTTCAAAATGTGGGTAATTTCCATAGATTGTTGTGAGGAAACACACTCACGAGTTCTCCTGCGGTGTGCTGAACAAAAAGTTATACCGTTTTGAAGGTTTGATGTTCTGTAAGAAATTTATCACGAGTGACGACAGAGTCTTAAAACAACTTACAGATATGACATGCTGACCACGCAGGTACTGTTCCACGGGAAAGGCATTCCAGTGAAAATCCTGCTTAGGATCTTCGTATATGGCCTTCACGGCTAGAGATAGAGCAACGATAATCTGCTTCACCAGCTCCACCTTACCTACAAAATAATTAGATCGATTTCCTATTACATCCATGATACTTACCCCAAAGCAAGCACTGCAAAAGCATTTGCGGATGGTAATCCTCCAGGGGTCCATTATGTCGAGCAACATACTGAAACAGTGGTTCCTGGTCCTTTTGGAGTGCTGTTTGACCAAAGAGAAACAACTGGTGACTCGCTGCGATCAAGAAGGACCCATTTGCAAGCCATATTGAATCGCAGATTGGATATGAGATGTAGCTGGCAAGATTCAGTTGACTCTCAACACTCGTTGACACACCAAACGTACTTTCTGATATCCACTTTCCAACAGATAGCCCATGCGGGGTCATCATTAAAGTAAGTTTTCCTTTGCTGGCACAACAGCTCAACATGATGTGTGAAACCGACAGCTAGAATTGACTGATTATCAGGCGTTGATGTCCAGTCCAAGTCATTGATGTGTTCAGAAGTACTATCGAAAGGATGGATAAGGCAGTGCTGAAAACAGACTGTCTCGCCCACCTGAATATTCTGCGGTGCTCGAGACCCGAGGCGAATTCAGATTCTTTTGAGTCCCAAATCGTAAGCTCTTCGCCATCCGGTAATCGTACAACTGATGTCAAAACAGCGTATATGTCAGCTATCACAGCTCTGTATAATGAAGAATAAATTGTTCACCTAGTACAGACTTTTTCGCAGAACTGCAACTCGCCAGGGAAAAATTCTTCCTTCCAGTCTTGACCTTGCCTGTGCATCTCCACCCAGAGGATGTTCCTTCCTCTGCTATCCAGAACGAAAGCTCGCCATCGTCAGAGATACTGAGTAATGTATCATGTTCCTCCAAAGAGCTATCCCTACTCCACGACATTGGATCGACGGGGATGATT